GGCAGAAGCTTGAGTGCATTTATTTACGCCGCGCCCTGATTGTAACATAGAAAAGTCTTTTTCTTCTTTAATAACACCCCTCTGCGTCACATAAAAGTGCTCCTTTTTATTGTAATTTCCTCATCAGATAGAAAAGATTTTCTGCTGTGAGTTGGGGCCTCCTGCAGCTTCTCTTTGTCTCTGTCAGGAATTTAAAACTTCAAAAATCATTAGAGAAGTGAGTTAGATTTAAATGTGTTTGTTTTTATGTACGTCTGTTCAGAATAAACGCCGCGAGGGGGAAAAGTTAAGACAAAGAGGAGGCCTATGACCAATAAAGTTTGAACATTGTGTTGTTGAGTAATAACCATAATCATAACCTTATTTTTAGAGCAAAAGTCCAGTGCTTTATAGACACAAAACAGAGAAAACCAAGACAAATAGATCAGTGGGGATGAGGCCTCGAGGCAGATCCAGAGTTTGGTGGAGAGGCTATCGAAACGAGCCGAGGAACACTTTACGATCAGTTTGCTTCTATGTTTTTTTCATCTATGATTTTTGAATGAACAGTGAAATTATAATGCTCCATTCCAGTTACCTTGGAAGTCGGATGTCGGAGCTGGGAATGACGTTACACCCAAGTTGACAGCGTTCCAGTTAACAAGTCGTCAAACTACGGTGGATGCCTACAGTTATCCGTTGTTAGCCGTTGTTTACAATTGCCAGCTTTGTCAGCAGTTGTTAGTTGTTGTTAGCGCTACCAGTTGTAAACATTGCACAACACAGTATTTTACTCGACAAACACCATGGCACCGTGTTCACAGTTAGACGTTAGGCAGCACAACGTATTCCACTTATTTAATTTCACAAAAACAAAACAGAAGTGCTAATAAATAACACATTATGAGAGCTTTTACCGTTCCTCTTTACTGCAGACGCACTGTGCTGCCATCTTGAATTACGACGTTTTCGTCAAGTCAGGATTGTCCGACTTTCCGAGTCCGAAATCATGACTTCCGAGTACAACTGGAACGCAGCATATGCCTTCTTGCTGATGGTCCAGCTTACTCTTAAAGGTCACATAAAGAAATCAATATTCATTTAAACCTGTTGCTCAATCATTTTAAAACTCCTTATAGTGCCTTTAAACAGGAGCTGGCTGAATGTTAATGTTAGCTGTGTTCTGATGTCAGCCAAAGTGTATTTTTTCCTGTTTATCTCTAGGACTGATCCTATCCCATCACCAGCAGCTGTTTAAAGGTTAGCAGTTACCCTGAGAGGTATGGTCTCAGTGCTATAATGCTTGCAGATCTTGAAAACACACAGGCGTCTTTTCTCAAACTTTTTATGTGAAAGGTAGCAGGGCCTGATGTGCTTTGTTCCCAAAAATCCCTGGCAGCAAACATGCCTCTGTTATCAACAATAGTTACGTTTAAAGATTTTGTTACAGAAGAAAAAGTTTGATTTACACAGTATCTTGCTCATGTTTATAATTTTAAATCTAAGGGGTTATAATGTTGCATCTGTAACTGACTGGCCACTGCAACCGTTCTTAATCCATCATAAAAGTAAGTGAAAACAAAAGCTGTCATATAAACAGCTCCAAATGTTTAGCTGCAAGCCCTCTTACGAAACTCAATAGCCTTCCTTTGGGACCATTACTTGGATGTACAACGGCACTAATAAATAAACACACCCATAATAAAATATATCAAATAATAAATGTACTTACTCTATCAGAAGGGTTGCACTGTTCGTATGCAGGCAGAATCAGGCTTTCTCTGTGTCATTCTATCCAATTTATTCTTGAGATTTCCACTGTATATTGCTGCACAGAGAACACAGGAGACAGAGGAGGAAAAACTGTGTCAATAAACTGACAGTCAATAAACTGAGAAGCCAAAACAAAGCACGTTTCTTCCACTGCAGGATTTGAGAGGAATGCATGTGACAGCTCCTCTAAAACCAGTCGAATCTCCATAAACCAACAGTGGATTAATTTTACATCCCTGCAGGCCCGCTTTGTGAACACTGTGCTATAATTTGAGGCACAACCGACCCAAAAACATCCAATCTCATCTCATGCACGGTCACATTTATTTTCTCTTTCTGACTTCTTCCGTAATGTGGGATTTAAATTTTCCTCCTGACCAAAGTCTGAGCTGAGGTCAGGAGTTCCTGCCAGCTTAAAGAGCAGCAGTTCAAAGGATAAGGAAAGAAACAGATGAGGTGAAATTAATCTCAGCATCTTTTCGCCGCTGATACTGATCAAGAAGCGAACTGAAGATTCAACCTGTGTGCTGCATGCAGACTCGCCCCAGAGACTTCGATTCTCCAGCTATAGAGAATGAGCTCATCTCCAGCTGGGACACAAGGAGGAAGGGTGCAAATGAGTGCACTTAAAGGAGGATTATAAAACAGTGAGGCTCTAAGGCCATGACATGTTAATCCTGATTTAAATGTCGAGAAAATAGTAGGAAATAGGCGAGGAGATAACAGAGAGGTTTCCTAGAGAGTAACTTTTCCTCTTTACTTCTGTCCAGGGATGGTGTGAGAAACGCTTCAGTGTTGCCAGAACAACAACAGATGAGATCAGAGCTGAACAGAGAGTGATGTAATCTGCTCCTTAAAGGAACAGTGTGGGATTTAAAGGCAAATAAAACGACCTACTGCTGAAGACTGGGGACCTCTGAGTCAATCCAAAAGTGACCGACAGCTTAAAAGATACAGCTAATACTGAACTAGCGCTATTTTATAGTAATTCATCTGATACATCTGATCTGGAGGGTGAAATTCACCCTGAACGCCACCATCTTTAAGGTAAAGAAGTGTTAAATCAAACGATCAATCATACTGTATTCTGTGGTATTTTGACGTAACATTAAATGTTGCAGAGGTGCTGGCATGCACATTTCCCAAATGTCAGAAAGGCACCGTGTTGACCTGCACGTCAGACAAGTTGAGAAGTAATTTCAACTCTGGTCATGAGGGGAATGTGAGAAAAATGAAGGTTAAATAAGCTGTATGGAAAAAACAAATGAATATCTTAAAACCGTGACTCACCTGTATGTTGGCCTACATGCTGCAAATATTAATAATCCCCAGATTTATAAATCGTAGACCTGATCATGTGTGGTGTATTTCAGCTCCATATGAAAACAATTTAAAGCTCCTGAGTGAGTCTTAAAGTGTGTTGATGTTGGCGCCCCCGTGTGTACAAAATGGACGCTAATGATTTTGCCGTTACTTAGTTTTCAGACTTATTATTATAATCGATCATTCATGACAGTTTTTGCAACATGAAAACGTGTGTCTGCAGTGTGCTGTAAATAACTTGGTTTGAATCTTGTCTTGCTGCAGCAGTTTTAATTATCTTAAATAACAAAGTAGGGTATGATGTACAGTGAGCAGGTGAGCAGGACTATGATGCAAAGCCTGTTTATTTTTTAAAATCACATCAAAGTGAATGTTTCCATTGGTGGTTAAGTTAGACAAGATAACATGGTACAGTTTAAGTTCTGTTATGGTTTAAGTACGGTATTGATCTAAACATAAGGCAGTATTTTTTTCAACATTTGAAACTTCGGTAACCCTTTACTTGATTGATCTCTATAACGCATTATAAATATATGTATAATGCATTATAATCACGTTACAGCACTGTATAACTATAGTTATAAACACTCATAAATGATCATAATGGTTTAAAGCAATAATCATGACACATTATAAAGCTTTTTATCATGACTTACAAGGTCAGGTATTATAATGTGTTGTACTTATTGTTATAAAGCCTTATGATAATTAATGAGTGTTTATAATGATAGTTATACAATGCTATAACGTGATTTTAACGCATTATACATATATTTATAATGCGTTATAGAGATAGGCGTCAAGTAAAGTGTTACTGAAACTTCCTGTAAAATCCACTCACTTTGTTAGACCTGCAATTCTTGGGGGATAACTGTTTATGTTCCTGCTATCCAGGGGAGTTTCTATCTCACAAAGACTGACGTATTTTCAGAAACTCTCAAATCTTATTCAACTTGAGATGAGTTACAGCTCAGGATTTTCCAAGCTTTTCAGCCTGGGACCCCCAAAATAATAGTGCCATGAACACGCAATCCCAGCTGAACCCATTAGATCCAGCAGGGGTGCAAAAGTGCTGCTACAATATTATTGGACCAATATTATTTCACAGTTGCTCAAAGGTAGGAAGCAGAATGCCAGTGATAGGACGATTAAGTAAGCAGACACAGACGTGCATCTATAAGTTTCACACTAGCTTAAAGGCAAAGATAATAAATCAGGAAAATTTACCTGTGTGCATATCATTGTGTTTCCTGTGCTGCTGTAAACCAACTTGGTTTTATTTACATTTCTACCCCTTCTTCTGTTAACACATTCATGAGGAAATTTGCAGTCAAGAATACAATCCCCCTCATCAGTATCTCACAAATCCCAAGAGGATCCCGACCCCTTCTTTGGTATCTACTGTAGTCGCTGATGGTTTTGCATGTCATTAAAAAAAAATCAAAGTCATTAGGAGACCATTTAAAAATCTACTAAAAAGTCCCAACTGGGGCAGAGTTGATCTATAAATGAAAAGTCGTGGTGAGCTTTTTCATTCGCTCAGCTGAAAGGAATCTCTTTTAAATGAAAGGTTTATCAGAAAATCTATTACACAGCCTCTTTAAGGAGGAAATAATAGATCTGATTTGCACTGCAGGAATAAGCAGGTACCGTGTGGTAAGATTTAAAGGGTGTTTGCAATGCTAAAAACTACTCTAGGTTTACACTGAACAATAGAGTCGCCTCATCTAAAGGTCACCAAAAAAGACTAGAAGAAGACTAATGTAAGAACAAAGTGAGAGGGCAGGTAGATGAGGGAGGTGGGTGTAGAAACAAGGATCCTAATTAACTGTAGAGTGAACCAAACATCACCGATTCACGTCAGGTGGCTTTTACACGATTTTACACCTTCATGAGCTCATTAACAACATGAGAACAACAGCAGAGTTATTCTTAAAATGTTTGTTTTAATAAGGTGCTGGAAAAATTAAACAGTCACATTTGCTCTTTATCCTTACCACAGAACAAAGACATTTAAAACCCGAAGCCTGCTAAAACCACAGAGAGGGTGCTGCAGAACAGGAGAACATGACCTTTAACAACATACACGGACAAAAGAGTCACAGTGTGGAGGAGAGGGAGGCCGAACGCACCACACTGGGCAATTAAGGCAACACGTTGAAAGGTAAAAGACAACCTTTTTCTTTCTGTACAAGGAGAGTAGGAAATAAAAAAAAGCACCAGGAAACACATTACAGAGCCTCCTCGAACCCCAGAGGGAAACACAGTAAAACAACTCTTATAGCTGCTGTGCAGGACAAAGACATACAAAGAAGTCAACGACGAGTTAGAGAACAAATCTGTCTTCAAGTAACAGATGTTTTTCATTAGCCGTACTGTTTCTTTTTTTTAGTGATTTCGTCCCTCCAGATCTGGAGCTTTTTCTTTGTCACACGTCAAGTTTTGCAAAGGAATCCAAGGAAAACTTTGTTTCTCTCTCATCCTTCAGGTCTTTTTGTTGGTAGACTTTCAAGTTGGCGCAGAGACACCTGCTGGTGCTTTGGAGGAGCAGCTTGGCATGTACACCGTAACGTAATCCTAATGCCTGTGTAATAAAATAATCTCCCTAAGTGTGCCTCTTCCACAGCAGCTGAAACTGTCAATAAACAAAATGTTCCAGTGAAACTAGGTGTTAAATATGTTAGTGTTGAGACATTTCCAATAAATACTGGCAGGCTGCTGAGGAGAACAGATTTTAAAACTCTAAAAAAAAAAAAACAAGATATCAATGAGGTTGATTACTAAAAAGAAAGACTCCTGAAATTTGACACAATTATTCATAAATAGACTGAAACACCCTCTAACAGCTCAGCTCCTCACACTTGAACAGTTCATTGATCAGAAAAAAGATCAGATTTATCATCAAATCCCGGCCCACATCTTTGGCTCACATCCAATCATCAATGTGGAGGATTACTTTTGCATAATATTCATCTGGAGAGGGCGGTGAAACATCTCAGAAGAACCTGTGCGTCAGTGAAAGGCAGTTTCACAGGTTTACTTTGACAGTGCCGACCGGGTCTCCTCAGAGAGTCACACTCCAGAAGTCCAACGTTTAGTCCCGCCTCAGCGCAGCCAGGCCTGCTGATTGGCTGATGAAGCTCTCCTTTATGCTTCCTTGTTATGGGCTGGACGCCGGTACAGCTTTGAAACACGATTAAGGAAAGTTAAAACGGGCAGCCACAAGGGGGCGACACTGAGAACTTTAAATATTATATCATCTGTAAACAACAACTACTATCAGTCCGTCATGCTGTGCCTGGTTAGGAAAATTAAACCGCTCACAAAGTTTGTTGACAAACAAACGTAGACAGACAAATAAAATCGGGTGGTGATGTTTTCTGCTGTCGTATGGCATCGAGACGATCAATTATCAGAGTAAACATAATTTTTTCAAATCAAGTCTTGGTTCTTCTCGGCAGCCATAAAACAAAACATCCATCACCACCGTAACCGATATATACATCAACATCTTAAATCTTACACCGTCAAAGGAAGTGTCCATCTCACTTTCCTTTCTTCTCCCTTTTCTCATCTTTTTTGTGCAAGAATTTTTATTATTCAGTCCTGTTTTGTCAAGTCGTGGTGTAGTTTTTCAGCAGCATCACACAGAGACGAAGACGTCCAGGTAGAGACGGTCATAAGACTCCCTGAAGAACAGGACAACGATGAGGCTGAAGACACAGGAGCCGGCCAGACACCAGTTCACCCACGTCGGATCTAGAAAAAAGGAGACAGAGAGAAGCAGAGACGTGGTTTTGAGTAAGCAGTCTACTTCAGCTGCATCCCAGACTTGATGCACCGAATACTCAGAGAGCCTGTGTGTCCTGCTTGATGGATTTGTTTGACCTTTTTATTCACTTTCACACCCATTCTCATTTTTCCCTCTCACAAAGAATATAAATAAGTACTTCATACATACAAGGATGATATTTTTCTGTTTTGTACTTTCTGTCAGGGAATTCTTCTTAATAACTCAGGCAACTGCTATTTATTTTACAAGCACAAAACCCCCCCAGAAAAGTCTTTCAAACACTATAACTCATTGAAAATTGCGCAAAGAAAACATATAAAATGTTAAAAGTGGAAATTGAATGAAAAACACATGCTCTTTTGAAAGTTGGCCCAGGAGTGTGTTTACCATTGTGTTGCATCACAAAACATCTGGGAACTAAAAAGATAACATTTGGAGTTTTGAAACTGCAAAGCTCTCCCAGTCTTGGCTGATATACAATTTCAGCTTAAGAGTCTCCTTTGTTGTAGTTTGTTAGATAATGCACCTAATATTTTCAATAGTGACAAGCTGTAACCGCAGGCAAGCCAGTTCACACCTGAACTCTTTTACTTAGGAGCTACGCTGTTGTAATATATGTGGACTAGGGCTGGGCGATAAACCGAAAATTTACAATAATAACCAATGTCATTTTGCCCATATTGGTATATTCAGTGTCAAATAAATAAATAAATTAAAGTTGGTTTTGGATGTGTGTAGGTAGGTTATGGTCTCATGTCCCTTTAAGATGCTGTCCTACATCAGAGATGTGACTTCAACCCATCCAGTCCGTAACAAAGAGGGAAAGACAGGTGAGGAGATGGAGGACAGTTCAAAAGTTGTAGGAGGATGGAGTTAATGTGGGAGGGGGTGAGCGGCTTGTGGAGTAGTCATCGTCCAGTTATCGTTATTGAGGTGAACTGCTCAATATATTGTGATATTGATTTGAGGCCATATCGCCCAGCCCTAATGTGGACTCTGGTTTGGCATTTTCCAACTGTACTGTGTATAATGTGGCAAACTTAGTTCACAGAAGTGATTCTGGTCCCATGCAATGATTCACACTACAAAGTTATCTCTGTTTTTTAATGTAGTGCCATCTGAGAGCCTGAAGATCACAGCCACCCAGTTTTGCTTTGTTGGCCTCAGAGATTACTCCAGAGTCTCCCAGTCTTTTAATGATATTTTATACTCTAGATGATTCATTGCACTTTTACACAGAGGATAATTACTCAGAAATTCATGAGTTATTTCTTCACACAGTCATACTCTCATTCAGTCCAGAGAGACTCAGCTTCTCTAGAATCACCCAGTTGTGTTGCAAATTAACCTGATTAGTTGGGAGATATTTCATCATGTTTTGTTGAGCTTTTTTGAGAAATAGAGGGTTTAAGTGATTAAAAAAATCGTGGCAGTGATTTATGCAGTGTCCCAACTTTTTGGAATTGGGTTTTTAATTTGAATTTGTGTCAGCATTTCATAAGTGGCTTTCTGAGGTCTCTTGAGTCCAGGGCAAAAACATAGATCCTAAACAGAGTTTGTTTTTTATCGTGCAGACTCAGGGCCTTGATCCTTCATTCATTCAACCTGGCTAGGCCTTACCTAGAACGCCAACAATCAGACCTCAATGCAAAGTGGTCAAGTGGTTAAATGTAAGCAAATCCTTGTTGCTAGGTTTAATAATGCAGCAAAAAAATTCCTGAGAGAGTTTAAGCTGTTTCTGAGCGAGATTAGAGACGCTATCTTATTACTTTTAATCAATTCTGTATTTCCAAGCTGAGTGTGTTGTAATGTAAAAAGTCCTGCAGTTATTTGTAATGTTTTTTCTGTGTCTCTGGGTCAGCTGCATAATCTTTTTTTTTTTTGTTCTATAGAGAGCTATTTCAGCTTGGAGTTTTTGGGAGTCTTTGTTTACTCACACTGAAAACTAGCCAGGACTATAAATTACAGAATGAAAGTGCAGCATCCCAAACCATTAGTGCAGAGAAAATTGTAAGCAGAAGTACACTGTTCCACATTTTCTTGCCATCTCACATACTAACCCATTTTCTGAGCTTAGGAAACCACCGAAGTGCAGCACGGCGAGGCTTTTACTGTAACTTATTGCATGCAACACATATCACTGCAGCTCCCCTTGAGCTTTAAGCAAAGCAAGCATGACCTTGACTATCCACTGATGTTTTAAAATAACAACCAGCAATAAGTAACCTGATCATTGTGCCGTTTTTTCAATCATTGGGAACAACCTTATTATAGTAGGATAGTTTCCCCGTGTCCTTACTTGTGTAAGCATACCAAACAAATGACTTGTTCAGAAGGTGAAAACAATGTTAATGGATGTTTGCCGGTTGTTGCATAAACTAAAGCGAACTAAAAATTTCATTGGATCAAAATCTGAGTAATCACTTAGCTGAACTCTGCCTCAATGCAAAGCAACAGACCTGCAGTTTGATAGTGACACATAAGTCACCTTCATAAATCCAGAAACCATAATGAGGGTTTGTATGAGGGGACATTGAATTATTTATCAGTATCATACGGGACTAATGGCTAATCGATAGGAATTCCTGATGTACCATGAAGGGAGTAAGATCAGCCTCCTGAACTGTCTTTGGTAATGATTCTGAATAATTCAATGATATTGGCAGCGTTCCCCATTATCATTGACCTACACTTGAACCTAAACATAGTACAGGATGAGGTGCTTTATTTTCTCTGCTCCATTCAGGCTCCATTAACCACAAAGAAGGGATCTCTTGCTGTCTGCAATACTAAACTATCGGCATCTAAACTCATCAACAGCCTGACAAATGACCTCCAGTTCCTGTTCAAGTAGGTTTCGAAGGTCTTCCAAATGGGACCTGCACAAGTTTGGTTAAACTTTGACTCAAATCTGATGTGATACCATCAATTATCTCTTACTCACACATTGAAGCTTTCTTGCCTTTGCTGTCTTCAACAATATCTGCTTTGATACAACACGACTTGATACGACATGATGAGAAACAATAACTAGAAAAGGTCAAATTAGTTATGATACAAAGTTTAACGATACTAAATAATCCTATATGATACTATTTGACACAAAATAGTATGGGTTACTACTCTATACGTTAGGTTGGTTGCAATGTGATTCGATACTATACAATACGATACTTTATGGCACAGGTATGTTGTAGGTATGATACGATATGATGTGATACAATACGGCGAGAAATGATACAATTGGATGCAATCGTTTATGATATTGTACGATATGATACGGGTACGATGATAGGGTATGATATGATGCAATTTGATACGATACGATACAATCAATTCAATAATTGACGATACGATATGATTAATGATACATTCCAAACCATATGATTAGGGACGACCTGATCTATTATTGATATCGAATATTGGTCCTATATCAGCAAAAAAAAAATTCTGATTATATCGGCCTGCATCTAAAACTCCGATATTAGCGCTCCTATACAAGCAGTCCATTCCAAACTCCGCTCCACCACCTCTATCTAGCAGCAGCATGCAGAGCCCAGTAATCACAACAACAGTATGTACCAAGGTACCAACAAACTAGCTGGGAGTAGGAATGATATCAGCTATGTGGCAGTATTTTTTATTCTAACCCCAAAAAGACATGGCTGAGTGCCAAACTTGTCATGCACAAGTTTGTGCCAATATTGGATCAATATCGGTATCGGCCGATACTGAAGGCTACAAGGCCACAAGAAAAGTGCAGGTTTTTAAGGCACCATTGCATTGGCTCCACTTTTAAACAGCCTGTCTGAGCAACACTCAAATCAATAAACTCCTTATTCCAAATGCATTAAGCAGCCCTCGCAGTAAAGCAGGTAATCTCAGCAACAAGTAGGGTGTTTGAGGTGTTCTGTCCCAATGGAGACTTTAGAAGGATCCACGTTCAGGGGGCTATCTTCTCTGCCAGGACAGAGGATGTAGAGGCAGCAGGCAGTTGCTCTGGTCCTGATAACAAGCCAGACTAAATATAGAGGAATCGAGTTGTAAAACATGGAGGAGTCCCCAAGGCTTGGCCAGCCCAGTGTGTCTTAACACACGCCAGCTTTTATTCGATTCCAATCACCTATCTTTTCATAACATCGTCAATCAGCTGCTGAATCAATGCAAGAAGAGAATGCTGCCCACTCCGGATGAGGCAGCCTCTTTGTGGAAAATTATGAGATTTGGCTGGATGTGGCACACCTTTTACTGCTTCTTTGAAGAGGAAGAATGTGGGTTAAAAGGTGTGAAGATGAAAGCAAAAGATAAATCGAGGTAAAAGGAAGGTGAAGATGAGGCTCAGGAGGAGAGGGAGGTGAGGGATCAGGTGAGAGTGTTTTCGGTGAGATGTCAAGACTCCTGAAGCAGCCTCATTAATCAGGAGTGTGTGAACTGGACAGCAGGAGACCCAGTGAGGAGGCGGGTTAATGGAGTTGTGTTTATCCGGCCTGCTGTCCTCTTCCTCTAACTCTATCTCACATACATATTGGACAAAGATTTGTATAAATTAAAAGTTGGAGACACACTGTCTTTCTTTTTTGCCTGTAGCTTAAAATGAAAGCAAATGGGGAGTTTGGTAATTGTGGAGATTCAATTAGTAAATTAGTAAAAAAAGACCAGCAGCTCAATCACTCTCCTCTGATTTTGAGGTGAGATGGCTAAAAGAGAACATATTTAACAGTGAGCAGATTCTGGCTCTTGAGTCAAGCCTAAGCAATTCAATCAGCTGATAATTTAAATGGCCAAAATTATGTTTCTACAGTGGCAGGGGGGTGTTAAAAGAGACTTTTTTTTTTTCCTTATGAGGGTTGTGTGGGGTAATCGCAATCAGCAACCTGCAAGCTTAAGAAATTAAGTCAGTTAAGAAGAGACTCTAAGTGTCCACTTCAGGCTGGCTGCAAAAGCCCTGGAAGACACACATACAGGATGCCCATCTGGAAAAGTGGTTTTGTTCTTCTGAATAGCTCATTTCTTTGTTTACACACACTGTGCAGGTGGTGAATTCTTGAAGATGTTAAGGTTATCAGTTCAATTAGCTGACAGAGAGCAAAGCTGACTTGGTGGTCAGCTTGGAGAGTAAAGGTCCAACTCAACGCCACCTCTTTGCCCCTTGGTGGGTTGAAGAAAAGTTAGGTCAAGACATTTCCAATATGGCAAAAATGCTTTAAAACACTTCTGATACCATAATGCCACTGTGTTTACACCGTACTCTATAATAATTGTACTTAGAAGATGCAGGTAGCAGGTATAAATATTTTTTCATTTTATTTAAATTTTTTTGAATCCATTTTTGCTTTATTTTTATCTTGTGTTTATAATTTCAATATTTTTTGTTATATTTATTTGGTGGGGGGGTGGGAGGGGGAATAGGGAGGAAACTTAAGAGTTGATTCATGACAGCTGTGACACAATTTCTTCCTGGAATAAGCAAGCAAAATCAGCTCTGTTGAATATTGTATTCAGAAGGGAAAAGCTACAAGTCAATTTCCTTTTTTTTCAATAATATGTCTCATTTTGCATGTTAAACAGATTGAAAAAAATGTACTTAGTATCAGTGATGTCCTGAAACTGAAAAACATGTTAACAACAGCAGTCTGGAAGTTTACCGACTAATTATAAAATCAATCTGGGTTTCTTTTAGACAACTGTCCCAGCATGAAAAAAGGTTATGAGCATACTAGAAGACAGAAGCAAAAACAGCAGAGGTTGTCGAGCTGGTTAAACTGCTGCTCTAAGTTTTAAATGAACCATAACGTTTGCATACGAGCCAAAAAATGTCCATTCGGTTCGCCAGCAGCGAGTTTAAATAAAGCAGGTCCAGTGTGACAGAATGAGTGTACTCTGAAACATCGGTGTGAACGCCGGACAGTTCATCATGTTAACAGCCTATTACTGCAGCTGCCACCGTCAGCACATCGGAGTTCCAGATGAAGATCGAGTCATGGGCTGACAGGAATCTTATGGCCTTCGTCAGTCTTAATTGAGGTCAATGCAGCGTTATAATTAATGAAACTCCATTCAGTTGAGTGTCTGCTGCTTTTGTTTAAAAAAGATTGAGGTCAGGCATTCGGAGAAAGATAGCCACATATAAGGAACCTGACAACTCCTCATTATAGAACATTTGGACGTATTTACTTCTGATCGACAGGTTGTTGAACGCACCTATAGAGCGAGATTATTCATCGAGTCTGCCAAAGCACGCACATGTGGGTGTACTTTGTGAGTTTGCAAGCTGTTTATATGTCAGTGTTTCTTCTCACACATGAGTCAAAACTCTCCAAAAGATTTCAAAACCAGAAAATAAAAAAGGCATTTATCCTCTCAGGGGTGACTGAGCTCTGCAAAAGAGAGGCTGTTTGTTTTTTTAAACACCTCCACATTCTTAACGGGGGGGTAAGAAAAGTTTGTCTGCGTTTTCTCTTCAGACGAAAATGCAAAGTTAAGCAGAAAAAAAAAAAGAAACTTCTCAGGAATAAATGAGTGCTACAATTATTTCTGTCTGAGCTGAAAAAGTCTAAGCTCCCCCTCAATGCTGGAGACTCAACCCTATTCCTCCTCATCTTCCTCTTCCTCCTCTTCCTCTTCTTCCACAACTACAAAACCTCTGAGGCTTTTTCGCTCCACAATACCTCCCTGCTGCTTTGTATTCCACCAGACGCATTGCTCCAAATGACACAAACACACAGCAGATGAAATCCAAAAGAGGAGCAACAGACACAGGTATATGGCCCTTGGACTCCATTCATGTTCCTGAGTCACATGGTTCAGAGATTTTTCTATGGGTTTCTGAAAACAGGAAAAGAGAGCCAAGAGGCCAGGTGAGGCTCAATGAACCAGGACTGGCTGCTCATGGATATTAAAACGGTCAAGGAGGTAAATTCATAAACTCCTCTCGGCTCGCTAGAGAAAGAAACAGAAATCAAAATGCATAATGAGGCGGTGAAAAGCCAAAAGGAAAACCCTCACATGAACCACAAACTGCAAATAGATGGAAATCTTCAAAGGCTGGTGTTGCAAATTTTCAATTTCAGGAGGTAAAAAGGAGAGTTTGAAAAGACGAGGCTCATGCAGAATTTATCAGTTTTAAAGTCGGCATATCATTCGCCCCCGCCTTTATGGGAATAGAGAGAGGAAATTAGAGTAATGAGACAGCCCACTAGAATACTTCCAAAGGGGGATTTACATAATAATCAAATTTATCTTTGCAGGAGGGATCGCTTTAGGAGAACAGAACACAGTTGTTTTAGAGCAAAACAGGAAACAAGCACTTTTTCAATTCAGATAGACGGGGGGGTTTAGATTACACAGGGGAGAGATCGTAAAGTCCTTTTCATAAGTAAACACAGCTTCATATCATTAACCCATTTATACAGAACCTTTATAAGATTAGTTTTTCTTTGGATTTGACTCCAAAACTGGTTTTGAATCTGGATTTAGCACTCGTTTTTACTGGGAAACTCAAATACCCTACGTTACAGTCACTTCTTTCTTGTTCTGATTGTGATCTTACATGGTCTCATGTTTACATGCATGGATGAATTTAAAAGAAACATTGAAACATTGTGCATTCTCCTTTTTTAAGTACCTCTAAAATACACATTTATTCATTTATCGTCAGCTCAATAAAAACGAATCTCTATTGTCTTTTCAGTGCAGCAGTCACTGTCATTGTGTTGCTCTTAATCAAGCATCATTTTATGACATTTCCAACAATGAGCGAATTACTAATCAGGTTGAACTCATTAAGTAAATTGTTCTTTTATTTGGTAAACCAGTGAAAAGACTCTGTGTACTCCTTTAAACAGCTGCAAAACATTTCAACTGGGTAGGGTCAGTTTCTCATAAATAAAGTATTTGTGCTTGGTGTTTTAAGATGACTAAATCACTGGCCCCATTTACATGGGTCCAAAAATCCCATTTACAATCAGACTGAAAGGTCAATCAGATTCAAAACGTCTCATATAAACACCTTAGCCAATCTGATTCACCTGGATCTGATTGTATTTCGGGTCGGATTGTAAAAGGTAGTCTACACCGATTGATAATCCGCTCCATGCTCCATATATACGGCTGAATGGAGCGGACTGGATTTACAGAGAGGCTTGTTTTTTTATTTTTATTTATTTATTTATTTATTTATTTTACAGAGAGGCTTGTTCGGTCTGCGCAGGCGCTAGGTAGTACGTAAGAGGCACGTAGTAACGTACGCAGAGCGCGCCCAAACGAAAACAAACATGGCGAACAAACAGAAAAACTGGACGGTGGAGTGTTAAAGTGTGTTGTTTCGTGCGACTGACGAAGCGTTCACTTCTTGCTGTGTAACCCGGCTGGATTATACTTTTATTAAACTTCAACACATAGGGTTCCTTACTCTGCTCGGTCTGGTAACTCCGGCGGTGTCACACACAAACACGTCCGTGCGCAACTCTAAAATGGAACTAAAACAATGGTTCCCGTTAACAATTCCCATTGATAAAATAGAATACAATTGGATTCAGCTGGGGCCATGAAAACGCAGACTGAACGTGGATCTCTTTACTTAATTTACAGATAATTTACTTTACAGATTCACTTGATCCGATTGATTTCAATCAGATTGAGGAAAACTATCCATGTAAACGGGGCCATTGACACACAGTACAATACAGAGCTGAGCATGTTTTATAAAGTCCCGGTATATAATCTACAGTCTGAGCCTGCAAACAGTGGTTAGCTGTCTGTTATTAGAGCAGCTATAATCAACATAAACAACTCTTCATCCTTAGACACTCAGTGCAGGCAGGTAGTCAGTGGCAATCTCCTGCTCAGTTAGTTTTCTATAGTGTCTACACGCCTGCAGCAAAGTGAACTTCCTGACAATACACCCTGGATGCTCTATTAGACGACTGCAGGGTGGGAAGTGAAAGAAAAGAGCAACGAAAGCCTCTATCATCTCGGCTTGATCTTCTCTCCGGCTGTCACAGGAAAGTTGTCAAGGATCCATCCCAGAACATCAGACGCCCTTCAGCTCGCCCACGTACACATGCACGCACACACATATGCACACATACACACACATGAGTCTGCTTCTAAAGTGAAAGAAAAAGAAGCCCCTACAGAAAAGACACAAAACATGCACACTCACACATACCTTCACTCACAGCAGTCAATCACTCAGCCCAGCAGAGGATGCATGTATTCTTTATAAGTCCCACTCTTGTGACTGTGTGCGGCTGCTTCATCCATCCCCACCTGCTCTATTACTATCTAATCTATGATTCATCACCAGACTGACATAACGCAGGTTCAGACTATTCAAAATACATCACTCAGCATCTAAATCCCAATTTTCAAACAGCTTCCACCTCCTGTTTGAGTTATCCCGCCGCTGTTTTTCCGGGAAAAAATGACACGGACTCAATTAAACCAATCCACTTAGCATCCTTCTGAGTCATTTCAACTACACCTGTTGAACGCACTGAGCCAAACCTCCATCTGCATCACTGTAATGGGAAATATTTGAAAGCACGTCAATGGAGAGCTTGAATCTCGCCAAAAAGGAGCATTCTTCAAAATAAAGCTCATTCATCTTAATGTAATATTTTTTCTCCTCGTGTGCCACAACACTAACAGAAATCCGAACCTAGACATACATTGCTATGGAGCTTTTAGACCTTTTTTGTATTAAACTTGTACAAATTAAGCCCTGCTTTGAACACAAATGCTGCTTTAAAGATTATATATCCATGAAAAATGAGATCCTATAATCCTTAAATAAGAAATCACATTTTATAAATGACCTTTTTTTGCTTTGGTGCAATGTCGACTCACTGCCAAATGTGTGTTTTGGCAGTCCCCCTGTAATATTTACTTCTTTGCGAGCCAGTTTGGCAGGGAAACAGTCAGAGCTCAGAGTATCACTGCTCTGAAGATCTATTTAGGTCAAAAAGCTGTGACAGCAGCAGCAGGTACGTTTTCAGAGCGTACCGTTTAAGAGAATTAATCGCTTCGTCACAGAGATCAGAAGAGAGGAGATGCGAGGAGGAGGAGGATTTGAGAGCATATAAAGGTGTCGGAAACTATAAAGTATAATCTTTAATTATATGTTTTAAATAGCAAAAGCCTCCTCATTCCCTAGAGAAATTATTGCGAGAGCATCCTAAAATTTTCATAAATTACATGAGCTTCACTCTTAAGATTTATTAGATCTCTGCAGATTAATAATCAATTAAAATAGCCACATTGAAACTCTAAACTTCAACTATACCATCATCAGTTTGTTGGTTTTGGTTGGAAAAAAAATAAAAAATAAAAAAGGAAAAAAAATCAAAGTTTTGAAAGTCATTGTCAGAGATTAAATTGTCACAATACAAATGTTTAAAATTTCCATAAGATACTACTAAAAATCATCATTATATTGACACCTATTTTGATACTACAGCTTCAAAAATGAAGCTCCTAAGAAATATCTGATAGATTCATTTCAATTTTTTACCACCTTGCAAACAGGTGATACTTTATGTCAAGAAACTGCAACTCAAAAACAAAAAAATAAAAAAAAGTCATATAAATGATGTAAAATCCTACAAATATGTGCTCTGATTTCCATTAATAATCCAGAGGAAGTGCACAACAGCGAGTGTCTGCAGACAGTATTTCTTTTATTTTGGGTGTTAAGTGTCAATCATTTTGCAGTGTGAAGCTTACGGCCTACAGTCAGCAGGTCAGGACTAATGGAAATCTGCTGGGACCAAGTCTCTAAAAATGCAGAGAAGAAATATTTATAAAAGATTCGATTGAAAAATAAATACGTTTTTTTTTATTTTTTATTTTTTTATAACATTTCACATAAAGAAAAGTAGAACTACCAGTTTAGTAATCTACGCGAGTAAAAGGTATACTTCACAGCAGTGAGGACTTACTTTTGTGGGTAGTTAAGTCAAACCCCTCAATGTATGTCAAGGCTAAGTGCTGTATTATAACCAAAAGCAGTGTTTTCACGTATGTGACTAATGTTTAAGATTGTAAAGAGTTTGGCCCCATCTCTGTTGCATCAGTTTCCGACTATAAAATCCACAAGAATATCTGCATCAAGAGATTGTTCTGCACAGTCAGCTTTTTCTGCAAAAGCCACAACTCAGTGGAACAGTCTACTAGATGACATGAGGAACTGCAGCTGTATCAGCAGCTTTAACATCAATTGGGACATTAAAAGAATCTGAACATTTAAAGTTTTTTTTTAAATCTTGCTTGAAGTTTCAGTTTTCTTCAAGATAATCCATCCATCCATCCATCCATTTTCTACTGCTTATTCCCGTTAGGGGTCGCTGGAGCCTATCCCAGCATCTTGGGGCAAGGGCAGGGGACACCCTAGACAAGTCGCCAGTTCATCGCAGGGCTGACATATAGAGACAAACAACCGTCCACGCTCACATTCACACCTACGGGCAATTTGAAAGTGGCCAATTAACCTAACCCCACTTCTGCATGTTTTTGGGATGTGGGAGGAAACCGGAGTAAAACCCACGCAGACACAGGAAGAACATGCAAACTACCCCCAGAAATGCCCTGAGCTGGATTCGAACCCAGGACCTTCTTGCTGTGAGACAACAATGCTAACCACTATACCACTGTGCTGCCCTCTTCAAGATAATGTCCATTAAAAAACTAAAATTACAAACAAACTGATCATTTCTAGAGTATTTGTGAAAGCTTAAATGAAGCAGCAACAATAGGATTCAGCTGAAAGATGTCTCACTAAAATGAAAATATTTTAAAGTTGAAGCCTCAAAAACATAGGTAATGTAAATTGTTGAGACCAGCTGTTTTTAGCTGGTTTTATGCTCCGACTGTTGTGCTTGTTAGCAGGCCCCCAGGGGCCTCTTGGCTCGACGGCTGTTGAGGTCGAACTAGATTCATATCCACCTGCACTGGCGCGGCAACCCAGAAGGCAGGATCAACATACAGTTGTCAGGCAGCAGCTGTCAGTATCCTCACGGCAATCAGAGAGACTCGGCAGAGTGGGAGGAAGAAGCTGATAAATATTTATGAGGGTTTGGAAATATATCTGCTGTTTACCCTAACAAACAAGGCAGAGGGAGGGAGAGTCAGAGACGGATCCATCAACTCAGCTGATTTGTGTTGTGATGTAGCCAAACTTGCAGGGGAGGGGTAATAAAACTGAAGACTGGTGGGTAAATATCACAGCGGAGAACAACACATGGAAGCAAACACGAGTTCACACCAACCCACACACAAAACAGCCCTTTTACCCACTCCTGACGCCTATACGGATGATTGAGCGAGTTTTACCGACTGGGCTTGCTCTCATGAAAGCTGCGGGGCAGAAAAGTGGCAGATGACATCCTGTCCTCTCTGCTGGTTCCTAAATTATTTCATCAAACTCTGCCAGGAAGTAAGCTCAAAAGATAAATCGGGGGCTAAATTGCAAAAGGGGATTTTTCTTTCTTTGTGCTGAATGTGTCAATTGGATTGCAACCTAATTTTGTGTCTTTTATCGAAATATCTGCGGGGCTTGAAATGGATTTTTGGAAACAATGGAGTCTGGAACCTGCAGTGAGGAGAGCGCGCTTCTGAATGAAGCATCTTGTCTCTTTCATTGACAATAATAAGCTATTCAAGAGGTTACACTTTCAAAGACTAATACAGCAGACGGAGTTTGATCGCGTTTTATATCCACTCTTGTGTCTGTCTTACCTGTGCTATAAAAGGTGAGGAAAAAGAGGAGCAAGCCGCAGAATAGGTTGGCGAGGAAAGTGACCACTCCACAGGTGATGCCTTCAGGAACCGGGTACACGGTCTCGATGAAGAGTTCGAAGAAAATTGGCACACTGCTGTTCATGAAGATGCCCACCAGGATGCAGGAGGTGTAGAGGATGGCTGGGAAGGAGAAAAATAAACATCAGAACAGCAGGGAGAGGGAGTTTGATGTGGATTTGTGACGCTGAATAAATGGGTTTGAATCCTATCAGAGGAGCTTTTTAAAAAAAGGATGGCATTCTGGTCAAGTTTGTGGAAGAGTAGTCGTGATTTATGCCACTCTCACATCCTCCTAAGGTACCGCTTGTTCTTAGCGGCGCTGAGATTTATGCTGAACCCTCATCCTGAAAAAATATTTCAATTACACTGCAAGCCCTTAAGCTGGAAATTTACGAGGGACAAAACCAAAATATTGTAGGTGCATGGATGAAAAACGCCAGTTTGCTGCCATCTCTGCTAACTCATTTATCACCTCCACTTGGTCTGCAGTGACACAAGTGGAATATTTCAGGTTTGTGTTTTCACCTACATGTTTCCACCTTGATTCCTTTGTTCCACACCAAAGTAATCAGACAAAACATCCATTTGTGCCTGAATACTCGGCAGCTTTTGATGCTGTGTATACAGGAGGCCCAAGGACACAGATGTTTACTTCACTGCAGATGTTCTGGATGTCTCATCCTTCTCTTGTCTGTTTTGTCTTGATATGTCCTAAGCTTAGGTTGTATGAAACAAAGGGTGACTGGACAGTTCCCTTAAGGTGGAGTCAAACATTTGTAGCCCGAGTCAGGATTATTTTGACTTCACTTTTGTACATTAGCTGGTAGAGATAAAACATCCAACTTTTTATCTTAACTATGGTCTTAAAATCAAGTTTTGTGATTGAAAGTCTGTCATACAACACATACACTTTAAAGGGATATTCTGGCATAAAATTAATTTAGGGTCAAACACACCATAACACACAGTTAGACACTCAAGAGATGAATGTGACCGACTGTTTGCTTCTCTAGTTATACCAACTTTAGTAACGACCGCACATAGCAATACACCGCGTTTGAGGAGCCACACACAAACCTCAACCAAAATGATCATTATCATCATTATTTTATCATTTCCTTTAAGTAATAATCATCATATTAATCATTTTACACTGCAGATGCGGTAGTTCTTCTGACTTAGCATCTCTGTCTGATTGCATTTCCATGAGGAGATGATGATAAATGTTCTTCCTTGAGCTGCGTCACCCCGCAGCAGTCTGTAATGGACTGGCCTGAGGTCTCACGACAAACAAGCGGCTGCTGGAAGAGAGTGGGTGAGTTGTGTTTGGTCTCTTTGCTAAAGAAATCAAGCAAAGTTAAAAAGTTGTTTGGTGGCTAGTGCTATGTTTGGGACCCTATATATACTGTTGATGAAGTTAGGTGCTGTTCTGAGCATTATTTGTGGCTATAGAGTGGCGGTTTGGTTGAGGTTTGTTTATGGCTCCTCAGACTGCTGTGTATTGCTATCGTGCGGTTGTTACTAAAGTTGGTAAAACTAGAGAAGCAAGCAGTCGGCAACATTCATCTCTCAAGGGGGTGTCTAGTTTTACGCCAGAATATCCCTTTAAGTCTACATCAAAGAATCATGTTTTATGTTCATAAATAAGCTTATTTTCCCAATCTAGTTGTGCCAAAGTTGATCTTGATTTTCTGTATATTAATAACCAAAAGCTGCCCTTGAATGCAGTCAAAGAAATGAATATGTTTCAAAGAGTAAAAAGAAAGAACGGGTATTTGAGTTCAAAATGTACACGTTCAAAAATAAAAAGGTTGTTGAGGAAAAAAACACTCAAGTAAAGAGCAGATGGCTTTACTTTAATACAGTAAAAATACGTTCCATTTCATCACTTCCACCTCTGCTGGGGGATAAATGTTTGGCTTTTCACTAGAGAGTTTTTAAAGTTTTTTATCCAAACACATCACACTTCTTAATGTGGCGACGTTCCTCCCAGTTTGGCATGGAGGATCACTCGGCGGCTTTAGTGGCACTGTGACAGCAATTTAATTTTCAATTTCCTTTGTGATATTTTGCACATTTGAGTTTACTTGCACAGTCCTAATTAAGTTGCAACTCATTTCATGGATTCGACAATATATTAAAATCTAATTTCAGACTCTGTTGCCAAAATGTGCAGATGTCCCCATAGTAAACAGCTTGTCTCATTTGCTCCTGAGGCATGATGGGAATGTTTCTGCTTGTGTTGGCTGCTGCTGGTTAGCTTTGGGTGAAATTCTTGGTTGAATTGAGTAAAAAAAAAAAAATAAATAAGTGACTGGAGAATTTATTTTTAATTTAGAATTATGATGTGCTGTCCAGCTCAATCTATTTCCCAAAATGAAGTTTGTGGAGGTCATCTGTTGCAAAGTTTTGTAAAGTAGGATTATTGCTTGTTCATTATCAGTCGTGTACATGTGTGTAAGTGAGTGAGTGTGGGTATCTGTGCAGCAATCAGATAGTCTCCACTGCAGTCTTCTCGCTGTGACCTAAAGTAAAATATGTGTGTGAGAGTGGATGTGTGCAGAGATTAAGCCGTCACCTCTGGAGCATCACGCCACCCTCCATCTCCCTTATCACACAGCAGATTGGTCCAAATGAGCTCCCCATTATTCTGCACGTCCCTCTAATCACAGCGCCTCTGAGGGTCTCTGCGTGCCTGCCTGTGACGGGAACCAAGAGTCTCTCATGCACCCATGAAAGGCGGCATTCCCCCTGCTCGTCTCTATTCACCCCTAATGAAGCACTGATATCAAACACCAAAGAGATCTTCAACCGCAGCACCTTTCCCCTGACGTTACTGAATCAGCTCCCAGAAGGCAGTAAGAAGGAGAACCATGGTGAGCAGCAGCATAGAGACATGCCAATTTCAAGGAAACACAGTTTATTTTCTACTTAATACACTGGGAGTCTCATAACAATTATGAAGCAGGCATTCATGGATTAAATAACTATATTTTCATTATTGTTTCGGCTGATCTGAAGGTTATTTTCTTGATTTATTACTGAATTTGTTGCTCAACAAAATATCTCAAAATGGTGATATTTTCTATCCCATTTTCCAAGAGTACAATGTGATTTCCTCATATTGCTTGTCTTTTTGAAAAACAATCCTAAAACTTAAGTGGTCTTTTTTTCTGATTGCTGTAAGAGTGTGTGGCCTTGCATTACTCAATCTCTCTCCACGGTTTGCTTTAGCAACATGCCAGCACTGGAGAAAGACCTGGCTGGATATATCATAATACTGTGCAGAAGAAAACAAAACATTTGCGATGCTGAATGCTCCCCTGATTGGCATCCGACAATGCAGACAAGGTAATTTTCTCAATAAGAATAAGCATGTACAACCTTTGACACCGTGAGTCTGAAGAAGCTTTCTGATCAGGTCTATTCTTGTAGCAAATCCACAGTGTGTAATTTGAGCCGTGCTTTGTATTACCATATATGGAGATGATACTGACGCTAAGCTGAACCACTTGTACCCCTCTATAACTGCTAAAATCCACAGGAAATGGAACAGCAGCCTGATCAACTTCACAAGCATTATAATCAATGGATCAGATACGCAAGGTTTCTATTTTTGCCGGACGCTGCAGCACAACGCATCAATTCAGCCCAGCACGAGTGGCAGCGGAAGTTGTATGTGGCTACAGAGTAAAATATCAGGTAAATTTTCTAAATAAAATAAAGCAAATATGTTGAACTGAACTGTTCTTTGCGTGATAATGGGAGGGACCAGGGTTGTGGGATGTGGGTGTTTACATACACCGCTGATCTCATTCAATGTCTCATGGTGAAACACATGAGATCTCGTCCAGTCTCGCAGGAAACATCAGTAATATGGCAAGCGCTTCTCCTCCGCTTGTGGCAGCGGATCGGATCTGGTGGCGTTTTTGATAAGCCTGCGGTTCAGGAGCGTAACGTAGCAAATCTGCATATGGTGGAATCCCGGCATAAGTTGTGCAGCTTTGTAATACTGTCGGTTATATATAACTACATGATTTAGAAAAAACAAACATTGTTTTGTTGCCATTAGACAAAGATTTCAACAGTCAATGATAACTGATAGCTTAGATTTACAATGATTAAGTAGAAATTATTCTTTGTATTTGCATCCCTAGATAGGGGGTGTTTATTTGGATGGATCATTTGGATTTTTGGGGATGAGACTGCAAAAGTAGCAACCATCAACTTTAGCCTCCCCATGTGCAGACTACGTCATACTTCAAGACCTTTAAAACAGGCAAAAACTGTCCCCCTCCCCCTTTACCCCTAAAATTACTCAAAAGATAAAGAAAAGCTCAACACATGGCCTCTTACTTCTGTGCATCTGCAGCAGTGTAACTGTGCTTTAACTTTACAATCAGCAGCACTTAAAAATTTGGCAAGCTACATCAAAGTGATTATGCAACACAGGGAGCACCAGCTGAAACCACAAAGTTGATTTATAACATATATTTTGAACTGAGTAAATCCATAAAATTTTTAATCTAATTGATTTGTCTCTAGATCTAAGTGATCATAAAAAAGGAGTATTTACCAGGTAATAAAGGTGATGAAACGTTTACAGGGTGTAAACTTGTGACTTTTAATACCAAGTCACTGAAATTTATTTGGGGACTGTGGGAAAGACCTAAAGCTGGAAAAAACATAAGTCAACTTTTTTATAGATTTATAGATTTTTTTTCCCAGAAGATGTTGGAAGACCCTGCAGATTATTTTGATCCCACTTTGATTTACTGTTTGTGCGGTACTGACAGGCCCACACCAGGATAATGAGGTGCTTTGGGCCGATTTTGTTGCAATATCACACCACACTCTGGGATGATATGCCAGGTGGATGTACCAGGTTGGAGCCGGACTGCTGCAGGCGGCCAGAGTGAGGGATGAGAGGGTGTGTGTGTGTGTGTGTGTGTGTGTTTGAGATAGAGAGAGAGAGAGAGAGAGAGAGAGCAGTGCCAGGGCCCGGAGAATGATGATGGATGATGATGGCTAGAATCAGCAGCTTTGAACAACATGCTGGTATGCTTATTGCTTTGGCTTTGGTAAAAGCAGCCCAGTCCACTAATGTCCCTAATGCTTGTCACTAATGGAATGTCTCTGTTGAATATGTAGAAAGTATACAATGCAGTCATAAAGTACTGGAAATGAGGACATTGTTCAAAATTTTGGCTCCGAACTTCAACACTCGAGAAAAATGACATGACCTACATGTTGAGTTTAGACTCCCAGATTGTGTGAGGATATTTACATTCATAGCTATCTTTTTGTGACTTGATTTAGGGGCAGTGCAATAATCTGTGGCATCAATGAAGACATTTCCCACAGAGTTTTCAGGCCCATAAAAATAAGAAGTCATTGAGCATCCAAAGCTGCATTTCCCCGCTCAGACTTTCCCCCTGAGACGGGGAACCTTTACAGGAATTCAGAGCGTTTCTTCTGCAGGGAACTCAGCCTAAATGAAGTCGAGAGGGAAATATTTTACCTCCCGGATGACTCTGCTTTGGAGATGGTATCAAAAAATGTATACAGGAACATTTGGAGATGGGGCTGCAGCACTGTTTTTCTGATTTGCAGTTGATTCAACTCAAGCCACCATTAGCAATTAAAAATGGAGGTTGTGAGCTAGTCCAGGAAGGAAACTTCAACTGCTCATACACCTGCAAGCTCTCATTGTTCAGGATTTTGTCATTTAAAGAAGGGGAAGTGATGATGTTGCAGGAAGGACTCCTAGCATGGTTGCTTACATATTACATTTTCTTGATCTTGCAGTGACAAATCAACTAAGTTATAAAAGAAACCACTCCAGAGATGGACTAAAGGCTGAATTTATTCCATGCTGCACATTAATCCAGGAGATAAATCCATAGGAAATCTGGAGGGTAACCCTGACCTTCAGATGAAGGTGTAATACATAAAAAATACACACTTGTGGTCTGGACTCGAACAAATCAATCCAATAATTCGGAGTGGATTGGCTTGCATGTGAAAATCAATTTGGCAAAGACTCCTGAGCTGCCCACTGGATTCATTTGGCGCTTGGGTGTATCTCATCGGCTCATTGCCTGTGTGTAATGTAACCATGACTGTGATGCCATATGAGGGCCCACCTGCTGTGGAGGGGAGATGAGTGACTCTGCAAAGACAGGTGAGTGTAAACCAGGTAGAGGACAGGGAGGCTCCCGCCAGCAACAGCACCAGGATGAGCTTTAGCATCCCTCGTATGGAGTCTGCAAACCTGGAAAAAAACAGGATGGATATCATTTAGTAAAAACATCAACAAAAAAGGGTAATGTGGAAGTATCTGTATCATCAGACTCTGGAGTAGTGCATTTTTGACCGATGGATATTTGCACTTTTTTCAGCTGTAGAAATTCTGCAGCAGCTCCTGCAGTTTTTTTTTACCAGGAGCTGATAAAAAAAAAACAATAGTAGTTAAAATTTAAAATTAATGACTCTCTAATGCTCATTTTTTGGCACTTGCAGCTGACCAGAAGGGTCTGCAAGACGAGCTGTCTCTATTTCTTTTGTGGAGGCTCAGCTGTTTTCAAGTCGGATTTCTTCAGAGTTGATCATTCACACAAATAAAGTGAAAATCACTCCAGAGGTCTTTGTCTCTCTGAAGGTGATCAAATGAGGAAAAACCGCAGAGAGTTTTACTCTGACACTGTGACTCTTTGTGGAGCTTTCGCAAAGATTCTGCAAGAAAAGAAGCTGCTAACTTTTGATCTTCAGGTGACAATAATCCTTTGTCTGGTTAAATTATGCACCATTAAATTCAGGACCTGGTTCACAAAAGGGCTGCTCAGCTTTTGCGCAGAGGTATTTTCAAACTCACAAAGCATATACAAATATCTAAGTGCACCACAAACTGTGCTCCTGTGTTGTCTGTATACAATTAAATGATCCATTATGCATCAATTTACAAGAAAAAAACTGGCCCCTTTCTGTGCAAATGGACCTCATTTCAAAAACATTGGCACTAACAGCCATGCACAGTTAATGTGACCTCTTTTGCTGTTTCAACAAAAGATCTGCTCTTCTTGGTTTAGCCTGTTAAAAGGCACATGACCTCTTACAGAATTCAAAAGACGCTGTTTGTCGTTTTTCAGTAAGGTAGAATGCACAAGAAATCATACCTTTATAAATATTTTCACAGCTAATAACACTGAACTAACATGGCTGTTATGAATGCCTACAATCATCATAAAGCTTTATTAATGTGCTTATAATGTATTATAAATGGTGGGTTCATTTGAAGTATTACAGACCCTGGTAACACTCAATATTGTGTTGGTTGTAATAAGTTGTAATTAATATGTAATAAGTCACTTATAAGACATTATTAGATTCTTACTAACACAAATAAATCTATATAACTATTCATGGAGGCATAATAAATATTTTTTTTAAAAGCTTGATGTGACCTGAAACAGCAAGAAAGTAGAGGGCAAGTTCGACTTTGCTCGTTGAAAACTAACTAGCCTGGCTCTCAGAGGTAAAACATGCATCTCATGTAGGCTGATATGAGTTTAAGAAGTTATAAAAAGGTTGAAGCTACATTTTACAAAAAACTGACAAACTCTGAGCCGAGTTCAGACCCTATTTGAGATTCCAATACTGTGACATGTATAGGACAAAAAGTCGGCAAAGACAGCTGCTTCAAAAACAAGCAGCTTCCTTTATGAACGCCAACGACGCCTATGAAAAATCTAAACGTCTGCTTCCTCTGTGACTGGTGTCATAATCTATTACAGGAGACATTCATTGTTTCAGAGAACGGCGAGATCATTTCCGTCTCCCACTTGTTTCTGAGTGCGTCAGTTGTACTTGTCATTACACAAGCCGACACTTATCCAGGAGCTGATTCAATTTGTCTCACCAGCTAAGCAGGCGGACTTGAGATGCGGATTGTATAATATTGTGGAAGACAAGCCATCCAGCCGTTCACCAAACTCTCTGGAGGACTGAGGTTTTTCTTCATAGCCCTTTCTAAACCATCATAGTTCATTACGTCCTCTCCTGTCCTCTGGGTTTGCATACGTATGCTGGTGAAAGATTAGATGAAGCTACAGAAGCCTGAAGCTAAGACAGACACTAATTGCTTTTGTTTTGTTGCTCACAGTCGAGATGCTCGAGAAAAGAGGGTTCAACTTGACAATGAACTTAATGCAAGAATAAAGAGAAGTGCTGGAAATGGCTGATTAGTTCAGCTAGGTTGTGAAGTTCTGACAGCGCTCTGAAGGGCCGGGCTGATGAGGGACGGATAATGAGAACATCTCCACTCAGAAGATTCCAGTGGCATTTTTAGACAACATCAATGTCTCCTGGGATTTCATGAGCTGTCATTCACAGCCTCAACATATTACTTTCATGTTCACAGGGATTGAAGAGCTGCGTGCTTATCTTTGGACTTCACTGGTACAGAGGGATGCAACGGTACTGAGCAACAGTTGAAAAGTGGCACGCACAATGGAGACTTCAGATCAATGAGAGGGAAAATAAACTATGATACCCTTTGTTGACAGCAGAGGGAGTCTTTGACTTCTCTTGTTTGACTTTATTTTTGCCTGTTTGCATCCTTAGCTGAATACAGACATGCAGACAGCAGCAACAGGTGAAGATTTTGCAGTTAAAGATGCACAGCAAGGTATTTTTGTTGAATGCAATCACCCATGGTGCTTCCGGTTGAATATTCTCTCTCTACTCCTTGTGTACATGTCATCATGAGTAGGGGTCATTTAAATTTCATACATTTTTGATTTGTACAAAGTTCATTCAAATATTAACTTATCCTTACAATAATTATTGTCACTGATTTGACTGTTAATGTTGCTAGGCTACGAAAGAGGATTAGAGCCAGAAGAAGAGAAAAAATAATTACAGGAGGGAGATTTTTTAATTTCCATTTCAAGATTAGAATTAGTCGAAATTTTAAAAAGTCAAAATTTTGACTAATTATGTCGAATTTAATCCCAAAATTTAGGGAGATTTTTTCAAGTTCCATTTCGAGATTAAAGTCAAAATTTCGAGATTCAAAATTTCAACTATTAGTGTCGACTTTAATCTAGAAATTTTGACTTTAATCTCAATATATATTTTTTTTTATCTCAAAATTTCAACATTATTCACGACATTTCGACATTTTGTAATCTTGAAATTTCAACTTCACTGACATAATTTCTATTTTTTTATCTCGAAATTTTGACTATTGACATAATTTCGATTTTTTTGATGAAATTTCAACCTTAATCTCCCTTTCTATAACTATATTTTTGTTCTCTTCATGTGGCCCTTATCCTCTTTCGTACTAGGCAGCTGCTGTAGTGCATCTGAAAGCAGCTCGCTACTCACATTTTATGACAAAAGATGAAAAATGTCGCAGGATAAGGAGGAAAAAGAATTAAGGAAATTGGTGACTGTTTCTGGATAAGCAAATGTTGTGCTGTGAGATTCACAGTAAGAGACACTGTCCTCTGACAGCAGCTGAGCCAGCCACAAAAAAATACAGTAGAGATAACAATCTTTCTAAAGATATGAAATCTTGGCGATAGAAAGAAGTGAGTGCTGCACTAGGTCAGGAGAAATGTAAGAAAGTTTCGAAGTCAGATGATAAAGATCTGAGGCGTCATATTTCTGTGATCTAAGTGAAAGAACAAGACCTTTCACCAGATACAGTATTTGCTGCTGCACAGGGATCTGTTTTTTCTCTTTCCCACATCTGCATCTCTCAAATCTGCATCATTCATCTGCTCATGCATGGCATAAATCCACAACTCCCACAACTCCACATCCAGTCTCTGGTGCCAGAGAGGAACAAAATCCTTAGCCTGCATCCAGCCAAGCCCTCATCACTTTGCAGAGAGGATCACAGGCTACTTCTCTGTATCAAATCCAATCTGATCCTCTAGGCAGAAACATGATAAGTGGCTTATTTCCTATAATAACTCTGATGGTCCCTGAGTCCAGTTGATAAAGAGCTCGGTCACCGATGGGTGAGATAAGTCAGGTGTGTCATGGATTGAAATGAAGTAATATAAAGCAGCAGAGTTTTGGTTTAAGAGCTTTGGCCTAAGACAATCAAAAGCAACATGTCTTATCCAACTGAGTTCAACGTCTTTGAATGTAAAGCAGTTTTTCTAAGGCACTGAGATTAACAGAGACAAAAAGTAAACATCCAATCACAGCTTTTTCATTTAATACTGTATCATCCACTGAATACCAATGCTCTTCTCACATTGTCAAGGACTGTTAAAAGCCTTGTTTGTTTGATCTGTGCAGTTGTAGGAACATGGCGGTGCAAGAGAAACCCGCTCCACCATAGTTAAAGGAAGCTCATTCTAAGCTAACAAAAAACTGTGGCGATTATATATATATGTGATATTATATATATGCTTGGTAAAAATGTTGCTATGTGAGAATTAAAGGGCTAAAACTACTTTTTATGCAACACTATAAAATGAACATAAAAAAGTATCATGGTTTTATCAAACAAGAAAAACCGATGCAGTCAAATACTGGTAAACAAAACTTTGATATGAGCTGCATCGCTGCTCCATTGCTGTCTTTATACTATCAAAATAAACATCAATGAGTCTCTCCACTGCACTTGATGAAATGTTTGATAATTACTAAGAACTTAGCCTTAAGGTAATTTATTTCTAAATGTTTCCCACGTGCACTGTTCTCCTGCTGCAAATACTCATAAGAGCATTAAATGGGTATTAATCTGAGGATGAAATAGTCCCCAAATGGATGCACAGTTTCCTGTTTTTGGTCGATTTTCTTCAAGCAACAGCGCTCGTTTGCTGAAATGAATTCATTTTTTGAAACTCCAGCATTTGCCTTTTGATTCAGGAGCAGGGAGGCTGCATGCCAATATATACAGAAAGGTTTTGAATGCATAATAACATGAAATAAGGAACCGAGGTAACACTTTATTTGACGCCTACCTCTATTATGCATTATAAATATATGTATAATGTGTTATTATCATTTTGTAGAACTGTATAACTGTTGTTCTAAACACTCATAAATGATCATAATGTATTATAGCAATAATCATAACACATTATAAAGCATTATATCATGACTTACAAGGTCAGGTATTATAATATGTTATAATATAAAGCCTTGTGATCATTTATGAGTGTTTATAATGATAGTTATACAAGTTTATAAGCAAGTTATAACACATCATAAATATATGCACAATGCATTATCTATGTGGGCATTGTCAGTGAGTTGTTAACAGTTATAACACATTATAATACCTGACCTTGCAAGTCATGATCAAATGCTTTATAATTTGTGATGATTATTGCGACAAAGCATTATGATAATTTATTAGTGTGTATAAATAAAGTTATACAGTGCTATAACATGATTATAACGCGTTACAAACATATTTATAATGCATTATAGAGATAGGCGTCAAGTAAAGTGTTACCGGAACGGACACACTATTGGGTTAGCATGTCTTAAGTTATGTCATATAAAGCAGTGCATATGGAGTGTCATATTATCTCGTGGGGAAATGTAAGAAATAAAAGCACATTTTTAAACTGCTCTAACAAGCCCCATTGGCTGTAAAGATTGGATTATTTAAGTGATGTTGTACAGATTCAATTTCTTGCTCCCTCATTGCCTCCAGGGAGCGATGAAATATCATCAGGATGATGGTATCTATGGGGCCTGTCGACATTTGTAGTGAGGGACATGTAGTAAATAAATAGCCTAATGGATGTTGACAGTATAATATGAGGATAAGCATGCAATCACAGATTTTCACTGTTTGCAGGAGTAACAAATTAAGCCGTGGCTGACACCCATTCGCGTTTGCTGTATCTCATCTTATTAACCTGCATTATTGTCACACTCAAACCTTTGTAATGTGAAGGAGAATAACCTGTTTCTGTTTTCTGCCACCTTCCTCCCTCATTCCCTCGTCGCCTCTCTTTATTTCCTGGGGTACTTAATAGGAGTATAACAAGAGACGCTTCTTGGTATTTCATTTTGCTCCTTCAATCTGTGGAAATAAAAAGTGCACAGCCTATCACTGTCATCCAGTCAGTTTCTGTCTGGGCCACATAATCAAAACAGCAACCTGCCAGATTGTTTGTCAAATGCCTCTATGACGGGCGCCACACCTTGGAGCATCCACCGCTAATTGAACCTGCAGCATCAGGCTTCCTGCCAATCAACTTTCCACCGGCGAGGCAATGAAATCTTTGTGAGCAGCCAGTTTTTTTTGGCAGGGGGCAAGTGCCTGTCCCTCAAGAAATTTATTCCGCATAAAAAGTGAAACTGGAACACCTGCAGCACAAAAAGCTTTTACAGGGGGCTATTTTCTGCCGCCTGTGGCAAGCGGTGCTCAGCACTGGCGAGGTGTGGTGCTAGCTGGAGGGAGAAGGACATTAACATTTTTCGGCATGCCTGGGGGAGAGACGAGGGACCAAAATTGCTCTCTGCTCAGTTCATTACCACAAGGTTTCCTGGGAGTGTATCTAATGGTGCCATATTGCAGAAAGTTGATGATGAAGTGAAACGCAAAGAGATGTTGCACTTAGTTTTACAGAGAAAAAGAGGCTGAACTTTCAGATATTGTTAAATTTCTTCGCTGTCCGCCACTTTTTTAAACCTTTTTCTAATTAAAGCGCCTCAGTCAGATTCATCAGACCTCTCCCGACTGCATCAACAATCAAAGAGATGAGGGAAGAAAAAAGCCATCAGCCAAGTGACTGATGGTAATTAATGAGAACGTCTGCTCCCTGTTGTGAGTGACCGAGCAGCGGCAGCCACAGATCACAACAGGTGAGCTCTTCAATCAGGATCTGGCATATGAAAGCATCATTATCCGCATCTAACTAGAAAGAAAATATAAAGACGAATGGAGACATGACCGAAAAGAAATCAATTCCAAGATTATAATGATAAAATACTTTTTCAGGCCAACTTGAGGCAACAGAATCTAAAAATATCCACTTTTGTTTCCGTCTGTTTAAAACTGCTTTCAAAACCAGCGTCTACAATGGAATAGATGGAATAATAGGAACAGACATTGAACTGGATAGTCAACCTGATTTCAAAAGAGTTGGTTCAAAGACAACATCGAACATCAATACTAACAAATGAGGAGTCTGTCAGAAGTAAAGGTGAAAACAGGTTTACTATTCTGTTAGAGACTGTAAGCACACAGTTCATCAATTTCGTTATCTACAGTACATTATGTAAGGTTCTGAGACTCTGGGGAAATCTCTGTACAAAAGGGACAAGGTCAAAAAACAGTACTAAATGGCTCTTATCTGAAAACCCTCATGCAGCCAAATTTGATATGGCTTTTTAGTGGAATTCACCGCATGGGAAATGCTGGCACCATCTCTGGGCCAGGGCTCCAAAACTGATGAATCATATTTTGACACTCGCTTTAGAAACCATGGACACAATGTCCTCCCTGTTAAAGAAGAGAGAGACCATCTTGTTTTTTTTTTGTTTGTTTGTTTGTTTTGTCAGTGCACAGTTCAAAAGCCAGCATCTGTGATGGTACGAGGATGCAAGGGATAGGTAGCTTACACATCTGTGAATGCACCATTTTTGCTGAACAATATACCGTAAACAGGTCTGACCAAACTGATCCTGGTTCTCAAACTTTTACAGAGTGTTGTTGAAAGAGGAGACACACTGGAAACTATTTTCCTTTCCGAGCTTTTTTGCCATGTGCGCACAGATTTTTCACCGATTTTCAACTAAATAGAGGGTTTGAATGAGCTAGAAACTTTCAAAATCAGTTTCCAACTTTTTTTGTAATTGGGGTTGTAAAATTAAAACATAAATGTGAACCGAGAGAAGTCAATATCTTAAAATCAATATCTTAGCTTATGGATTAGGTTGTCAGCAGCCCATTAAAGTGAGGAAGGGTCTGTTAAGTACTAAACAAAAAAACTTAGCAGCATAATCGAAGACCAACACACCATGTTTAGTACACTTGACACACTGTTGCACCGTAAAGTAAATGATTTGTGAACCACTTGTTTAAGCTGAATTCTACTTAACTATCAACTGTTGCACCAACGGGAGCATAATCAATCCCTCCAGTGACTCAGAGTCCACGTAATCAGTACCAATAATTCAATGGCTCTGTTTACATACACTTTCATCTGCTGCAAACAGCTTCATTGATTAACAGTGGGAGTTATGGGCTCATTTCCCTGATTACGGCTTTAAGAAAACACTGGGTCCGCCTGGAAGTGCTGATTGGGCCTCAGCCTGCAATAAACATATATTTCCGTCAGAGCAGGAATGAATCCCTTGCTTTTGCAGACTCCACACTTTGTCTTTGCGATGTGGCTCCCTATCCATCAACGGAGGGGGAAGTGGCTGTTGCATTAGCGTCTATATCGCCCCCACTCTCTCACTGTGTTGCTGGATTCAGATCATACATTAAGAACCTAGATGAAATTAGGAGATGGGGAGAAAGACAGGGAGAGACGCCCTCTTTAACCTCAATGCAAACATTAACTGTTTTTTTATGCGAGGCTTATTAGTTATTAGCATTGTTGTAAACAGTGAAGATCTCCCAGGGGATCCTCTAAAGCACAATATAAATGCATCACAGCCGCTGTGAGGAAAATTTGAAGTTGCCAGTTTCAAATCTTGTTTGTCAGGTAGCAGGGGCGCAGACAAGGATATCAGACAGAAAAAGATTAAATCAGTCATTTCATGCCAGAGGAATCATATATTTCTAAAACAGAAGGGTTTGGCAGGTTATCAACTGTCCTGTTCGGGTTAAAGTTGCAGAGGTACTGAAGGCAAAAAGTGACTCGTGTCAAAGCAGCAAACTTCAGGGTTGAAAAATGAAGCTGACGTGCAAAAAAAAAAAGCTGCAGGTCTATTCAGCAGACACATTTTTGTCCAAAGTGTCACAGACCTGAGCATAAGAACACGAGCAAAGGTCTAGACAGGAGGAGACAACATGAGTAATTGCTACAAACTGCTTCAAGTCCAATCAGACATAGTGCTCCCATTTCAGCAGAACAAAAAGTTGCGTCCTTGAATTTGCAAGCCTTGGATTGACTTTCATAAGTCAGCCCTGAACCCAGTATGACCCAGGTTTTCTTGGCTCTACAGCTTTGAGCAATTAAAATAAAGGTAGTTCTTATTTTTATTTTTATCTTTTTACTAATGAGAAGTTTCAAAACTGTCATTTTTTAGGAACATGGTGGAAAACTTAACAGCATTGTAGATATAAATACATTTTTCTAATTTCCTCTGTATTGGTTATTCCTTTCATCTTCAGTGTGTGTTGCAAACTTTATGAAAATGGATCAAGAAAACACTGATCTGCAGTTGATTCCCAAGTTCATTCCTTTGTGTCTATATTTTATATTTAAAGTTTATTGCACTTTATTTGAAACAGAATTTCTTCTCCTCAAAGGTAAATGTTCAAAGCTTAGAGGGCAAAGTTAGGTGAATCTAATATTGTCTTTACCGGTTTTCCTGAAGAGTGGAGTTCCTACATTTTTCAGTCCTGTCATCACTGTGTGTTAAACCTTCAAACCACTTTAGAAACAAATTCAGATGCAAATAAGGTCGGAAAACGTAACCAAAGTTACAGTAAATGCTTATTTTCTCATTTTATGCCTCAGCAGGTCCATCGAGTTTTCACTGACTTGGCCATTATGAGCCTTATAATCAGTCTGAATTGCCACTTTGTTTTCACTTAAGCACCGAGAAAATCAGAGATGTTGGGAGTATATTTAAGGACCTGGAACCAAGCAAAGGTGCCTCTGTGCAGAGGTTCACTTTCAGGGTTACCTAAAGCATAGTCAGTAATAATTACACATTACTTGTTTTAGAAACACAGATAAAAAGGCTGCAAATGGGTTATCACATCTACAGAGTTACTCTTCCGATAAATCTCAAACCCATGATAAATCTTAGATCTCAGCGGTTAGATCTCCTCAGGGGTCATGACCTTTCCTATCATATACGGCAGTGTTAGCTATTAGCTGCTAAACAGCTTAAAGTAAAAGAACTAATGAGTGAACTTTTGCTACTATTGTATGGCAATGCAAAATATGAGCTGGTGCTGATGAAGAGTGGCTAATGTTGACCAAACATTTAACATACCAGGTTTTCAACCAAACAGATAGGTAACAAGTTAACGCCTTTTCTATCAACATGCCACTTCCTAGCTAGTTGACCAAATGTAAATATAATTGAAGGCATATCAACACACTTAATACCCATTAGAAGAACTACCATTAGCATTAAGCTACTTTCAAGGTTAACATTTTGTCTGATAGAGGTTAAAATCCTACAACTAGCAGCTGAAGATAGCCTCCTGCCAAATGTTAGCATTCATCCATCTGCAAGCTATTACTATGGATAATTTATTTATTTAATCTATTTACTTGGATAAAAATGTTTTTTTGTGTGCTGTAGGCTAGTCAGTAAGTGAATGCTAACTCTTTCTTTATCATAGTTAATAAATAAAAACTGTTCTCTTTACAAATATGGTCAAGTTTCCCTCCAGATTTTACCTTTATCTTCATCTTTTTAGATGCTGATCAATCTTAATGCAGTGAAAGGATAAAAATGGCCAGATTCCCTTTATTTATCGAGCTTTTAATCTGGAAATCAGCTGTGTGAAATGAAGACATCTTCCTATCTTGAGCATGATGTCAGAGAAGATTTTTGCCCTTTGATTACTGTGAATGAGACAGATGTAGGGTGATGAAAAAAGACACTTACCTGGCCATTGCTACCCCAAACACGCATCCACCGACACTCGACCAGAAACCAATCCAACCCGCGTCCACCTGTATTAGAAAAGAATAGAAGATAGAAGGGTGGGGTAGAAGAAGTTAGAGTGAAGAGGAAAGAAGAGAGGAGGAGAAGGAAGGTTATTCAAGGTGCACATGCAGTCAATGACTGTGAGGACTGAGGCAGAGCGAGCAACTGGAGTCTGAAGCCTACTTCGGCCTGTCAGTCACTGTGCCTTCTAAATTGCTAGGCAGCCTTCCTGTAAAACCAGCTGTGTGTATATTTGTGTTAGGAGGACATTACGGCAAAGGGACTCCAGCAAAATGCACATGAGATAACCTGCAGGACATGTGCACACACACGTAAAACCACTCTGTGTGTGGCACCCAGGAGAGAATGTCTCCGAGTGCCAGAGAAGGTGTTTGGTTCCCATCAATCTCCCTGAGGCAATAACTCACATTCAACCAAATCCAACCAGATGGAGGATGAGACAGCAAGGGAGCAGAATCTAAAGTAGGAACTGATGCTTTTTGCTTAATCATACTCTGCAGTGACCTGTCAGGAAAGTCTGTAATGAAGAAAAGTGGACTATCAAAGTTATTAAATGTAAAATGTATTCTGGCTTGGAAAGTGATGAATGTCAAAATGTCATTAAATTTGAGCTAAATTACACTCCTTTGGGAGCTCTGTGTGGGCCAGCCTTCTGTAAAATGCTAAAAGCTCATTGCAAAAGCACCATTCTCTTGTTTGCATAGCTGGAGGCAGCTCGGTGGATGACGAGGATCAAAAATATTTGATATGCAAACATTTTAAAAACACCCACGACCCCGTAGCACCTATAACAGCAGCTTATTATCTTTGAAGGCTGTGCAACACCGGTGCAAGGGTTTCTACGGCGGATCATGTCAGATCAGTTTGCACACCACCTTAAGATGCAAAATTCAAAGTGCCTGTCAAGCCAATTCTGACATGCAAATTACTATATTACATATGTAGGTGGAGAGTAAATTGGCTGTAGGATTAGGTATCCCAGAAAGATGAAAAAAGGTCCAGATTTGAAGCTTTATCATGTCAATAACCTTGAGATATCATGTGCCAGGCCAGGAAAATTCTTGGCTCAGAGCTCAAGCCATGTCAAAGTGTTTGTTTTTCCTAATTGTCTCTCTTGATCACCTGCTATGAGTAATTTTAGACTTAATCCTGAGCTTGCATCATATTTCTAGTCCTGTGACTTCTAAATGGCCGTTCTCCATTTAGGGAACAATTATGTTTGACTCATTAGGGCAGTAAGTCACCTGTTCCCTGAGTCATACTCATTATGGTGATGCTTGGCTTCGCGCTTAATCCATCTTACGGCAGGTCTAGCTCTTTGGCCTCAGTAGAGCTCACTCAGCAGACAATCAAGTCCAAGGGATTCCATACTTTCACGTGATCTTAGACCATCAAGAATCCCAAACAGAACCAAACCAAATAATAGGACATTTTAGCCATAGAGTGGTCTTTTATACTTCTATGATTCTCCTGTGTCCTAGTTTTACCCTAACTCCTTCTTCCTACTCGATACAATCACAGTGGAGAGTGTGCTGGTAAAATATTGGCTGCAGAAAAGACAGTCTGGCCGCACTGAAGAATGATGCACAATCTCAGACATGAAATTGAAAAAGGATGGCGATGCAATCACTGAGATGGACTTTCATTGAAGAAAACTGCCCAATCCTATAGGTTATTTCTTTTTCAGGTCTGTGGACTGACAGCCACTGTGTCTGCTGGGCAGAGATGGAAAGGCTATAGGAGGTAGCGCTGCCAATGGTTGCTTCAAAGTAGCTGGATGGATATGAACGGTTACTTTAGGGGCAGATGCTTCCCAGAATTGCCCCAAAGAGGTTAAGTTGCGTGTCTAGACTTTTCACTACGCTACACAAAAAACCGAGGACAATGGAGTCATTACTCGAGTTAGATTTGTCAGTGGGTCGATTGTTCAAGTGGGTGTCATAGTTTGAAGTGAAGGTGAATTAGGGCTTTTTCTCCTATATTCTTATATTTTTTTCTCTTAATTTGCTCAAACCTATGCCACATCTACGCCATCATGAGCACTCTGCACTCCTGCGTTGGTACGTCAATGTCATTCTGCAATACTCCACCTAAACAGCAGTTGGCAGTGCAGGGCCTGTGCTTGTCTTATTGGCGGTTTCCAGTCCTTGTATACAGGAAACCATGGCAGCTGAATCAGAGCTTATGTTTGAGTTGGAGCTAATCTATGTTGTGCAACCAGAGCTGCAGCTATTGCATTGAAGAGATGAGGAGAGGTGCCAGAAGAGTTGGACTACACGGCCACTGAGGAAGAGGACGGGGGGATGGTGGCAATATCGGGTACATCCACAGTCCAATCACAGGGTTTCTGGTCCACCCCATTAACTATCATGTAGCGATGATGTAGTCTGTCTAAGCCATGCATACTGTTCTCTGGCATCTGCTGATGGCAAATTTCTGTTTAAGTGATGGACTGATATTCATGCCAAGACTTCCTTCTTCCAGACACTTGACATTTTTACAGTCCAACAACTTAGAGCGCAATAATGGAGTGAGGGTGGAGAGCCAATATCTGTGACTGAAATGGTTTCTGCTCTTATTGCGAATATCTGTTGGCATACACAAAGTTAACCAGTTGTTAGACAAAAGCTGATAGGTTGAGCTTTGCAGTTTCTACATTTTAGCATCACTCTCAGATCACTCCTTCTGCATGGTTTACCAGCCCGTTAATCCCTTCATGTCTCTTTTATTGACCAAATCAACCCTCATGTCTTTCCAGGAATCTCATCAGCTCTGCTGTAACCACAGTCCTGGATCCATCCCTGCACAGTGACTCTCCTCTGCTATCAGCTTTCTGTTGTACGAGTTCCAAGATGAACCTCTGCTGTGGAGAAGGCGCAAGTTTGTTTCTCAAGTTTTGTGAAGGAAGACAGAAACATTTGTCTCATCTGATGGAGGCAGCAGCTCCGGCTGCCTCACAGCACCTCTGGTAATCTCTCAATCAGACTGCCCGGCTAGCTGAGAGAGCACATGACAGAAGCATCTATATTTTTCAGGGAAGAGCTCTAGAGAAACAGCTGGAAGAAAAACTCTGACAAAGATCAAGCGTGACTATAGAAGAGTTGGAGCTGGATCCTAAAACAGACAAATGACTGCATGAAGCAAAGAAGTTGGAAAAAAAGGTAAAACTTTGAAAGAGATAGGTCACAATGACCCTGGAGTGTGGTTGTTGTCTGATCTCAGGGATTCAAGCCAAAAAATAGTTTAGGCTGAAAATTTTGAGGTACAAAACATGGAAGCGGCGTTCTTCGTATTAGCCCTTACAGTTGTGGAAAATAAAAATAAAAAGACAAACCAATGTGCTTTTATTTCTGAAAGCACGAGCAAATGTGCCAATGCAGGAGTCTATGGGAACCCCTCCCTCGCACAGGAAGATTTAGTTATTACCACATGCAAATATAGCTTTTTTTAGGAGCATTTAGGGGGCATAAATTTGATAAAAAGAAGAAATAGAGTGGGTGTGTGAAAATACTGTGATCCCTGCTTGGCAGCTGGTATTGGCTGGTATAACCATCATGATGAACTGTGGACTGAGCTTGACTCCTTGGCCAGCCTGAACGAACCCTTTGCTTCCTTTTGGTTGTGATTTAGTTTCTGTTGCAGCCAAAAACCAAAACAGCAGAGACAGGAAGAGCACACATCTGTAATCTGTGCCATACATGGAAAGTCAAGGCAGGGAGAGCAACTATAAAGGCCTCCTTGATACAAGATAGAGTCGGCATCAGTAACAACACTGGTGTCACTGCCAATCAGCTGATATGGACTGATGTTAAGGTCAGCTGATGTACCGTGGGCAGAGCTTGGCAGAGCTCAAACTATGCTCAGTTCTAGTTGTATTTAGAGGCCAAAAAACCCAAATAGCTGAGGTGGGGAAAACATACTTCCTCTGTCCATGCCATACAAAGGGGCCAAGCTGCCTGACATCCCCTGTGGGTAATACCAACCCAAACAAAGTATTGAAAAGTACCTCATACAACCCCACTTCAAAAACACACAACTACCCTTTCAAACAATTATTCAGAACATTAAGTGTAAAATTGGTGTCTCAGCTTGACAGTCTAACTGCAGTCAGAAAAAGTCATACTTTGTGCCAAGCTAATTTTGTTCAAACTAAATGCAGGAGAGTTTAAGGCTGAATCAGGGATGAAGTGTTTATGTTGCTCCCTGCATCTTTCAGTCCTAATTTTAGATCTGACAGGATCAACAAAGTTGTTTTTCGAGACTTTATCATGAATTTTAAAACAAACAAAAGCACAATAAAAGAATGCAGAGATCGGCTGATGTTGTTCTCATTGACACGCCCCAAACAAAGCTCTCCTTACTTTCTTTCCCCAACAGAATTTCCATCTCAAGAAGCATTGATAAATGAAGAGTATATAAAAGAAATAAAGCAAATGTTTGAGCATGAATCTTAAACAGTTTTCCAAATGCTCTGCTGCCGTTTACAATATAAAAGTGTCACATCCTCCGCTCTCCTCTGTGTTTTCTCCTCTAAGGCAGCATTTTCTTGATGATAACCCTGAAAAGATTCTCCCTTTGTCTTTAGACATGCCTTGTATCGGGACACAGAAGATGCACACTACACAGAGCTCTCCCACACTGTCTCACTTTGCTAAACTTTTTCTCCTCTTTGCTCTGTCTCAGGCTGAAGATGATGCTTTCAAATGTTGAATTGCAATTGATTAAGTTCTTCACAAAAGATGAGCAGACGCTCTGAGCAGGTTCAATGAATGCAGAAAAAAGGCGGAAAAGCGCAGCACAGTATGAGTCATCATTTTTGCCTTTTTTTTTTTTTACCCTTGCAGTATGAGTTGATCTGTTTTTGTCAGGTGAGGGAAACTGCTTTGAAACTTTAAAAAATGTTTTCACAAGAGAGGAGGAAGAGTGATTTGATAAACCTTTGCAGAGAAGTTCAGCTGTCTGGAAGGATTTTTCACTGAAAACACTTGTAATGTTAGCAAAATAACCTTGAGGTCAATTATCTGAACACATCCAGTATCTGAGGTATGATTTAAAATGCACTGTGTTCTGTCTGTGTAAATAAGAGCATCACTTGGAAAAAAAAACAGGCATCATCACAGTCTGGTGGTATTTGGACCTCTTATTTCAAGGTGCAAGCAGGGACGAAAATCTCTCACCAGTTATTCACGGCATTACTTAGAGTGGGCAAGAGTTGTGAAAAGCTTTTGCAAACTGCTCACTCAGTGGAGGTTTTGGAAATGAAGAAAAAAATCAAACCAGAAAATCAGACCTTCTAGTTTCTCATGCAGACACACAAGATGAGCCCCGGTTCATTTTTGGGGTGCCATCCATCCCACTAACAGGTAACTATGATGAATGAGAGCATGAGGGGTGTTTGGAGGAATCAGTGCTGACCTCGCATGGAGGTTTTTATGAAAGCTAGTGCAGACCAAGGACTGTCTGTTTGATAAATACAGTGGAGAGAGTTTAATTAGCTGGATGGACAAAGACAACTATGCAGGAAAAAAAGGTCAACAGCTCATTAACAAGGTCTTTTTTTTTGTTAATCAACACTGACGATTGTGAAGCAGATATCCTTCTGTCATCAACCAAAAAATTTTGTACCATTCAGGAGGTACTCGCCCACAAAAACATTAAAGTTGAATAATATCACTGAAACATTTAAAACCATAACTCAACAGCTTAATTTTTAGAGTTTGTACCATCAGGGACTTTGGTTTACAGACATGCTATCTAATTCAAATCATGTTTATAAGATAATTATTTACATACACTCACCGGCCACTTTATTAGGTACACCTGTCCAACTGCTCGTTAACACTTAATTTCTAATCAGCCAATCACATGGCGGCAACTTAGTGCATTTAGGCATGTAGACATGGTCAAGACAATCTCCTGCAGTTCAAACCGAGCATCAGTTTGGGGAAGAAAGGTGATTTGAGTGACTTTGAACGTGGCATGGTTGTTGGTGCCAGAAGGGCTGGTCTGAGTATTTCAGAAACTGCTGATCTACTGGGATTTTCACGCACAACCATCTCTAGGGTTTACAGAGAATGGTCCGAAAATGAAAAAATATCCAGTGAGCGGCAGTTCTGTGGGCAGAAATGCCTTGTTGATGCCAGAGGTCAGAGGAGAATGGCCAGACTGGTTCGAGCTGATAGAAAGGCAACAGTGACTCAAATAACCACCCGTTACAACCAAGGTAGGCAGAAGAGCATCTCTGAACGCACAGTACGTCAAACTTTGAGGCAGATGGGCTACAGCAGCAGAAGACCACGCCGGGTGCCACTCCTTTCAGCTAAGAACAGGAAACTGAGGCTACAATTTGCACAAGCTCATCGAAATTGGACAATAGAAGATTGGAAAAACGTTGCCTGGTCTGATGAGTCTCGATTTCTGCTGCGACATTCGGATGGTAGGGTCAGAATTTGGCGTCAACAACATGAAAGCATGGATCCATCCTGCCTTGTATCAACGGTTCAGGCTGGTGGTGGTGGTGTCATGGTGTGGGGAATATTTTCTTGGCACTCTTTGGGCCCCTTGGTACCAATTGAGCATCGTTGCAACGCCACAGCCTACCTGAGTATTGTTGCTGACCATGTCCATCCCTTTATGACCACAATGTACCCAACTTCTGATGGCTACTTTCAGCAGGATAATGCGCCATGTCATAAAGCTGGAATCATCTCAGACTGGTTTCTTGAACATGACAATGAGTTCACTGTACTCAAATGGCCTCCACAGTCACCAGATCTCAATCCAATAGAGCATCTTTGGGATGTGGTGGAACAGGAGATTCGCATCATGGATGTGCAGCCGACAAATCTGCGGCAACTGTGTGATGCCATCATGTCAATATGGACCAAGCTCTCTGAGGAATGCTTCCAGCACCTTGTTGAATCTATGCCACGAAGAATTGAGGCAGTTCTGAAGGCAAAAGGGGGTCCAACCCGTTACTAGCATGGTGTACCTAATAAAGTGGCCGGTGAGTGTATAATGCTGCCATGTGTTTGTGTGTGTCCCCTCACCTGGTTAACTTTAGCTGGTGTGAGCAACATGTCAAGGACTCCTGCCCAGCCGGACATCACTCCCATGGGGACAGCATATGCCAGAGCTAACATCAGGAAGCGGTGGTTTCTATAGGGGGACAAAAAAAACCATGAGATGGAGAATACATCACAAACAAATCAATTGAGCAATAATGTAATCCAACTGAAGTCTTTAGATTATTGCACATTTCGTATAGATGCGTATGCAGGATGGAAAATAGACTGTGCATATACATTATTTAAAATGGATGAAACTTAACTTTGATACCACACTCGTAAATATCAGACAATATCAATACCTGTTTCGATAGCATAGCATCAAAAAATCAGACTACTGGGAACCAACAGTGTTTGTTTTTTTTGTTTCTACACTTTCGAACAGAGACAACATTTGACAAACTGGTAACACCTTATTTCCGTTTCACAGCCTTGTTTTCATGGGCAGTCTTAGCTGTCTTTGCTTTATCTCTGTGTAACTCAACCACTGCTGCTCTCTCTCTCTCTCTCTTAATCTATGTTGCTGCTTAGATCACAAAAAGCATTAAAGCCCTGAGAACTTTTTAACTTAGAACAGGCAGAACTTTTAAAAACAAGCTGAACTTTACAGACAAGCTGAACTAAAGTCAGTGAATATTATTTTTTTTGTCACATCATCCAGCCCTGCCTCCAAGTATAACCTTCACTTTTGCCTCAGATGAAACAATGAAAGCGGCATAATGGGACGTCTCTTTCCCCGTCTGTTCTCTGATTTTTGGAGTTCTGCCATCAGCTTCAGGTCTAGGTTTCCAGCCCATAGTACAGCTGTCACTTCGTACACACACAGACTGAACCACACACACATACACAGCCCTGGCTAACCAGCCTGCTACTGTCACTGCAGTAGACGTATCCTTGTGCAGGATGTAGTTGCAGAGAGATAAGCAGCTACCTGAGCACACTGTCCAAAGCTGCCAGAAGCGCGCTGAGAGGTTTCACAGAGGTCAACGTGTATCCATCTCTGAACAAAAGCTACGGACATTATCACCTCAAGGTTACTGATTCGACGGTATTTAAAATCCAACTAACTAACAAACCCCGCTGAGTTTATTCAACGCAGCTGAACACAAGATCACAGAGTCTGAGGGTAAACAATGACTAATTTTGCAGAGTGTCTAACCTTAGCAGAGCTAGCACCACCACTTTTTGAGATGCCATCTGTCAAACGTGCTCATTTACATCCAGGTAAAGAACTGGTAGCGTAACTGCAAAAGCCATTAGTACAGCCTATAGTAGTGTTGACAGCAGTGACACACAGATGGACTCAGTGCAAAGAGTGAAACTGCCAAGACTGACTCCACCCTTTCAAAAAATAAGTGAAGCGGCTAGACTAGACAACCTTACTGTGTATCCAGCATGTCTTGAACTCTGAAGCAGTTGCTTTCGTCTCAGAGCGCCATCTTCTGGGTAGAACACAACACTGCATTGACATACCTCTCCATGTAATTTATACTGGTGCAGTGGTTGCACTGGTGAATTGGAGGCAGCACAACTTTTGAATGACAAAAGGTCTTAAAACTGTTTTAGTTCCAGCAAATTTGACACCATTTGTTTTTTGGCTGCTAAGAACTGCCAGGAATCAAAGTCAGTTATTGTTCTTCTTTTTATTGGCAAGAGCTGCAACTGAGTCATCTTTTTCATCTTTTTGGACTTAAACTCCACCTGGGGAAAATCCTCTGCCTTTAGAGCTTTGATAGTTTTTTCACAAATTACTTCACAAAGACTATTTGGTTTTGACCCATCCAGTCAAGGTTATAGCTGATTAATTCATCCAAAGACAAAATAAAAAAAATAGCCTTTTGATCTTTATTTAAAATGCAGTATCCCATTTTGATTGCACTATTTTCTGGAGCAGGATTTGTTGTGAAAAGAGTTAGAGAGGAGAAATAGTTGCTGTGCTCCCGATAAATTGCTTAATTATTCTTTCAATACTCAGTGATCTGAAAATTAATCTTCTAAATATTAGAAAGCGTGAGCAATGACAGTTTTAAGTTTAAAGATCCTGAGGTGAGACTGCTTTTGTTTGATTAACTCCTAAAGATTTTTTAATTTTTCAAAACATCACGGCATTTAATCAGCAGGTGCTCACATTTGAAAGGCTCAAATCAAACAAGGCTTTAAATTTTCTTTTATGAGTTATTATCAGCTATAAAAGCTGTCAAAATTTATCGTCTGTTCATGGGCCGACAGTAAATCTGCTTGACTTTTCGGCTCTTGCTGAGCCAACTGATGGCTGCCTATCAAGTTATCGGCTCAAATCAACCTGTACAAATAAGAGGTGAAAACAAGCACCATTCCCAGGCTGTGATGAATAGCTTTAGGCTGCAGATATTATGCTGCAGGGTCTGATACTGTCTGTCTGCAAACATCCCATCAGCTCTCTGAGTGCTGAAAACAACAGGGAGGAAAATACAGACACCTGCATACGCCTCTTAATGTATGCACATCCAGTATATACACACACACACAAACACAGCTCACTCACCTCTTTAGGCACTCCTCCAATCACACACAACCCATTTACAATCATTCGCAACACCCACGCTAATCACCTTCGCCCGGTAAGGTGGCATGCAGATTTAAATCAGTGCCACCTCCTCAACCCTAACAATGTGATTAGAATCGCCAGGCGTCGGACAAATGAGGCGAGGCTGGCAGAGCAGGGAGAAGATTCAAAGATTGTTTGTTTATAGGCGCTGTTTAACTCCTGCATTTATTTTTCCACCTTTTCCTTCATTAGAATGCCGGCGGCATCCTTCAGAGGCATCGAGCAGGGACATCTAGATAACACTTTGGGCCTCCTGCATCCCTGCTCAGGCTTCAAACGCTAAACACAAAAGCAGATAAACACCGAAAGTCTGTCTTAAAACTGGGAGAACTTGACCATGGAAACATAACCTGTACAGAGGAAAACACTTTGTTTTGCTGTAAACACGCACACACCCTTTCCCTTTCCTCAAATGCAGCATATCAGACAGTGGAGCACTTCTGTTCACACAGTGATTTAGGTTCACAGAAACACCAAAACACAGCTTGTAGCTGCTACTGCAGAACTGTTTTGTCCTTTTAGCAACTTTTTACTGGCACTTTTTCAATCATGAGTCACTCTAAATCATCAAGACATTTTCAGTCATGTTGCAAAAACATTAGGATCAATTAGGAAAATAAGCAAATGAATTAAACCAAATTTATGAGCCATGTGACAGTGCAGTGATTATGATGTACAAAAGATTTCAAGATCCCATTTAATGAAAAATGGCTTTTTCTGACTTATTCTGTCACGCTTTTGTTATACTTGAGCCCATTCATGTGAAAAAGCCTCTGCATTGTTTCTGAAGCCCACCGACCGAGAAATAAAGCCTCTACATGGAGATTAAACATGCTCCTGTGATGATGTAATGACAGGAGGGAGTGGTCTGCATAGGCATTAGGACTGGGTGATGAATTGATTTTCAGTTCCAGTTAAACACTGGTTTGTAAGTACAAAGTCTTGATGCTGTTAAGAGGATTGAAAAGGAGGAATAACTGGTGAAATCTGTAACTTGAGATAAACTCTAAGTGTGGTGGAACAGTTCAAATAGTTCACTGTAATCAGTTACTTTTCACTCCTACTTATATTTGGACCAATAAGATACGACCATCTTTGCTTATTATGTATAACAGGTCTTTAAAGCAACACATTAAAAGCTGTGTGGGACGTGGTTTTGTGTTGATTTTTGCTGGTCTTGTTCTGCATTAGTGTGATCAAAGTTTGCAGCTAAAACAAGCTAGTGCTGCTTTCTTTAAGTAAATGTTAAAAGGCTGTTTTCCCAGTGTGCTGTGGGCCACTTCTTCTAGCAACTACCATTGATTAGAGCGGCGGTGTTAACAGGCATTAAAAATGACAATTAGGAAGTGATCGATCATGTCCTTAATGATCTTGTTTGTTTCAGCAGATCACATGGAGACATCAGCATTTATTTCAGTCTTTCATTAACTGCTAAAAACTCCTCACAGGAGCTTTAACTTAGTAATTTATCTTTGGTTTGTTCACTTTTTCCACTCTACAGCTACTGATCTTATAAACTTGTAAGAGACATGAGTCAATTAGCGCGGGGTTACTCTTCTTTGAGATAAAAGTACTTGAATCAACACCCAGAATGCACAGCTTTGGCAAGCATAAAAACTTTAGTTCAAATTCACCATAAAGTGTTCATTTGTATGCTGTCATATTCAGCCTGTCTTGTTTTCAGCGGTGTGAAAACTCTGGCCTTGGTGGGAAGCGTATGGAGGTACGATCATAAAAGCCCTGTGATGAAGCATCCTCTCTGCTTTTTTTCTCCAACACCTTTTACATTAACCTTGCCACAACAGCAGGAAATCAATATCTATGCACCTTTCATCCTCGGCCGGAAGCTTATTTAGATAACCAAATGTAAGCAAGTCGACGCGAGCGAACGGGTGAAAGAGGGGACATTTTTCCCTTTCCTCTCTGCTGGTGATGAAATACCTTCGGAAGAAGTCTCAAAGCTCACGGCGCCATCAGCTAAGTGCCATTTGTCCTTGGCAGACCCCGGCTGGGAATCGATGCATCAAGATGACAACTTTCTAAGCTGAAGTGAGTCAGCTGAGGGGAGGGAAGGATCATCAATACTCAGACCTGAGGCTGTTCAGTATTTCCCTCGCACTTTGATCACAATACAATGATAACTTTGCACCACGTGTAGAGGCGCTCAGGCTTCTAATTAGACTGCCGCTGTGGAGGCAGATGTGAACAGCTGGAAGCACTCATCAGGCGGAGGATCATTAACCAGTGCTCAGACTCTGACAGGCTCAATGGATGAGCAGATCCATCAATGCAAAGGTATCAGACAGACAAATCAGACAAATTGATGAGTCGGCTACCACCTGCTGCAACTATTTTCTTCTACTGTAACAAACTTTACTGGAGATGCATCCAGCCAACAAAGTGTCTTTACAAATCACAATGAAGCATCGCCTACATGTCTACTACCAATCTACTCTAAACAGCTTCTTCATCAGTGTTATTTGAAAATGCTGAGCCTGATGCACAAAAAGATCGCACAGCTTTTTGAGTTCACTAAAGCTGTGCAAAAGACAAAGAGTCTGTCTGTTATAAATGCACCCTAGCAGGGCGAATAGCATTTCTTTGCTCAGGTGCTGTTTACATGTAATTTCATGAGCCCATTATGTATCCAGTTGGGGCAAAATTAGCCAGTCTCTATGCAAATTTAACTCATTTAATAAGGGTGCAGAGACCTAGCAGCCCAGCAACAGATGTGCTTCAACCACAGGCCTTCTTCAGGATAATGAGTGAAAATGCCACATATATAGAGAGGGCTTTTGGTTGGGCTAATAGAGATGTACTTGCTGTGAATGTGTTTCTCCCATGTTGAGTAATCCTGCAGGAAAAAGAGGATACAGAGAAAGTGAAAGCCCAGATCCTATTCAAAAAAAGAGCTGTATGCTACTTCTTAAGTTTGCTCCTGTTTGAGCTGCTTTGGGTGAAATGGGTTAGATTCCAGGATCAATAAGGAAGAAATGTAAAATGATAAGACTGTGGCATAGATGAATCAACATGCCAGAGGATAGATTTATGATGTAGATTCTTCTTTACAGTATGTTGCAGAATGCCCAGAAACTAGAGCAAAGCTACTCTGCTCTAGTTACTTGGCGAGAGGAATGCAGAAGATTCATTACGGTATTGCAGTTGAAATGAGCACAATTCTGCTGCTGGAAACAAGGCTTATAAATGCAACAAGATATGACTGAAGAATAAATGTACTTTGAAATAATAAAGTTGGGCTTAAAAGCTCCAGAGAGCTGCAGAGATGGCAAAAAATATGACAGCAATCTCGATCACAGCGAATAGAATTGATTGGTTAACTTTGCATGTAAAAAAAAAATACGACTCTTGCATTATTTTACAGAAAAGGACGAACTTTTTTGTCTCCCTCTTAAATCTATGGATAGGAGTGGATAAACAGTTGTTTGTTCTGCTCCATGTCTTCGCTGCAGGAGAAAACTGAGGCCTGGGGTTGCTGGACAGAGATACAACATGCTGCCCAAACAGGTTACTGGAAGACTGCCTATCACAAGTAGAACAGAAACCCTCTCAGCTGGATAGCCCAGTTTAAACTGGCCAGTTTAAACATGGATGTGTTCATCTGTCCAAAACTACCAGTCTGGTTCATGTCATGTATCTCAAGGGGAGCTAAGCCTCTCTGTACTGGTCAGCTGCCCTGTAGGAATCATGGCTCTGTAGTGGAGCTATTTCATTCAACAGGGAGACAGAGAGTAGCCAACAAGGCCAGGCCAGCTCCCCGGCTGCTATCGTCCAGATTCTCCAGCTCTTTAATCCCTGGCCACTGCCAGAGGCCCTGCTCCTCCACAAGCCAGACAAAAAGGCACAGCAGAGCAATGCTGCTTCTTCAGTGCCCAGAGGATGGGGATTGCGTAGGCTGAGAGTGTGACGGGTTGTAGAGATGTGATGTGGGTGTTGCAGCAGTCAAAAGAAGTATGATTCAATCATTGTCTCTGGATTTCTGTTGAGTTTTTCTCTTCTAGCTTTTTTAAAGAAAAGGGAAATATTAATACATCTATTCCAAATTCTGAGATTAAGACCTTATTATAAAGGGCATTATTCTTACGAATATGGAGGACAAAGGAGGCTGTAAACTTAAAAAACAAGTTCATCTTTGACAACTAGGAGCCTAATTAACTCTGCAGGTCTCTTCCACTTTAAAACCAACTGTGATAGAGATTCAAACAATTGCTGTGAATTATGTTTAACTAACCTTCTTTGTATCTAATCTGTATCTCCTCTGTCAGAGACTCTGGGGAGTTTGAGATAACAAAAACTCTGAATGTTTCAGTCCAGTTCTGGTCAACAGGTCCCTACATTCTGGTCATTTAGCATTAAGGTTATACCAACCGTCTAAATCTGCGACATTTCACTCTCTTGACACTTTTACTCCTGTAACTACTTGGCCGAATGATTTGGCCTTGACTCCCCCACCGATACAATGCTGCTGTGCTGTTCCTGCTGATCTAATAAGGTAAGGAAAGGTCATTACGCATGAATAAAAGTAGTAACCCAGAGAAATGGTCCTCACTTCAACTCAAGAGAGTAACTCAACACTTTCTTTCACAGTGGATATGTTTCCAGCTTTTCTATTTTTAGGTTAGGGTCTTTTCAGAGTAGTTAAATCCAGTGAGAACTCTAAATAAAGCGTACTAACCTTGAAATCTGTGACAATATGATGCTCTCTGAAACGCCCCACCCGAGTATCATCAGCTGGATTATGAGGTTATTTGATCCTGATATTACAGATGCAGAGGAGGTTTTCAAAAGCAACTACCACATAACAGCTAAGTAATTAACCTAAAGGGAAGGCTGGAGTTTCTTTGACAACAGCGCAGGCAGGAGGTGAGTGACAGCTCAATTCATTAAGATTCCATATCCTTCTCCAACCCAAGACTGTGTCACTTTAACTCTCTTAGATGAGAAGCTTGTGATGCATGGGTAAATAAGAAACCAAACAAGTCTTAATGGGTCTGCAGACACATTTAGAGTGCACTGACTGATCTGCAGAAATACACTGTTGACTGTTTTCTTAGAGTCTAATGTTTTAAAACATAACAGCCCCTGAGACTAATTTCAAAATCAGCGCCAGAGTTTAACCTGCTTTACACATCGATAACAGAGTGGAATCAAGGACACGTCAAGTTTGGCATACAGAATAAACCCAGCAAAAGGTTTCAGAAGGTATTGGTCTTTCAGACGACTTTGTACGTGACAGTGTGTGAGTGCGGAGTTACCTGAAAAGTCTCCACATGCTGCTCCTGTAATTGAGCCTCTGGCTTGCAGCAGCCACACTGGGAGGTATTGGCGGGCGTGATGGGAAATAGAGCACGACTGCCGCGTAGATCACAGCAATTGCAGCCAATTCTGAAAAAGCACAGAGACACGAACACAAGAGGTGTGCTTGTTATTTTTCAAAACATCTCCATTCTGAGACGTTAAAAATAAATTGACGTTTTTAAAAAAAAAAGGTCACCAAGACTCTTAAAAGTCAGCTGAAACCATCTATTCCATCTAGACAATAAATTACAGTATATTTAACACAATTTAACAAGGTATATAATCCGGAATAAAACTCATCTCAGCTTAATCTTGGAGATCATTTTACTCTTCAGTGAATCCCAGATATTTCAGCTGATGCTCTTTTCTTTTTATTGCATATGATTTGATCGAGCAGCAGCTTCTTATTTCTCTGTGATTGTTTTTTCTTTAAGAGACCGTGGTCATAAATTTAAAGAGTTATCTTGCTGTTGCTGTAACAGAGCCTTACGCGAAGTGTTTTATTTCCCTGTCTGCCTGTTTTAATTAGACTAAATCTGCCTGGAGATACTTCATTGTGACTTACACAGTACAATATATCAATGCTGTAGTTCAGATCCCTTACTGTGTGTGTGTGTGTTTTCTTTTTTTCTGTGATTTCTAGTCATTCCTTATGTCCCCTCTTCTTATGTATGAAGAGGCGGGTATCAGTTCAGTTATTACTTTATCCATTCCCCTGATGTATCATTGTGTTTTATGAATGTTTTTATCTTGTAGAGTTTAAACATTTCTATCAGCACCTTGATTTTACTCATCTGTCTTAAAAAAATCATTATTTTAAGAGTGTTTGTAGTAAGTTATAATAAGAAGAATAAATACTTGATGCAAATATAGTATGTTTATTTTTATTCAAAGCAGGAGCTGAATTGCGCTTTAAGATAACATCTGTTTTACACTGTGATTATTATAGGGATGTTCAGTCCACCAGTTGGCTGGTTGGCCGATTTTTTAAAGGCACTATAAGGAGTTTTTAAAACACTAAGACTGACGCTGATGCCGCTTTATGACCTTCGATAGTAAACAAGACCATCAGTAACAAGTCTGATAATTTTACTATTTAATTTTTAATTCTTAACAATGCTGTTGGGGAGAGGTATCAAACCAGGCCACAGGCTGGAAATTCAGTCTTTCTTAACTTTGAGCACAGCAAATGCTCACGGTCAATGGTTGATTTTGATGTAGAAAGACTTAGGGACAACGTTTTAGTCTGAAAACCAAGGTTTTTTTGTACATACTAGACAAAACAAAGCTGATAATATTCTCTTAAGGAAAAACAGCAGATAAAATCAAGAGGGAATCTCTATTGAAAGAGTCACAGAGAACAAATGTTAAGGTATCTGGATCAATGAAAAATTTACATTTAACTTTCATATCAACTCCGACAAACATAAATGTTTTTTTTTTTTTTGTTTTTTTTTACATAGACACAGAAACAATCTTTCCAACTTTTTGTAGGGAGAGAGTTGTTGTGATGTTTTTGTCTACTGTGGACTATGGTGATGTAATCTAAGTCACGCACCCTCCACCACCCTCAACGCCCTGACTCTGTTTATCATTCTGCGCTGAGATTCATAACTAGTGGCCCCTAAAACACTCATCATTGTGTTTTATACTCCAAGGTTGGGTGGTCCGCCGCGCAAGAGAGACTTGAGATTCACTGGAACCTCTTCATAAACAAAGCTTTTAGTGGAAAATCACCACCATGCCTTATTCATTTGATCTGATTCATTTCTCAGACTGTTTTTATCCGACAGACTCCACTAATCAGTGACTTTTTATTACTCTTTCAGTTAGAACTGAACTTGGAAAGACTTATTTTCTGTTTCACAGCCTTTAAATCCTGGAACAAGTTGCAGCGACTCCTTGGCATGGACGTGCTTTTACCTTTTGATCATTTTAAACTTTGATTTTGAGTCTGGCCTCTCTAAACACAGTTAACAGATAGCATGTTGTAGCACTTCCATTATTTTGATATAGGATACAGAGGTTTAAATAAAGTAGGTCGTGTCTGGTAAAAGTGGCATACAATAACTCAGCTGGAGCAACATATTACAAGCACATGCATGTCGACATTAATCTGCAAAGAGGGCCACAGGCTGGAGGTGCGAGCTCTGCTAAGTTTGACATTGTTTACTGGCACACTCTGTGATTTTGTGTTTAGCCATGTTTGATAAATCATGCTCGGCTTTGACAGGGTTTCTGTTTGTTCCTTCAGACAAGTTGATAATTCGCTATTTAAATTTCTGTCCAAATTAAACAGGATATTAGGAACATCCTTGGTTGGTCATATAATTCTTTAATTCCATGCTTACTGGTGTACAACTTTGGTTTATTTGATTCATGTGTGGGTAAGGAGCTGAAGAGAGCAGCAGAATTGACATGAAGAAAGTCATTCCTCTGCCTCTATTTCTTACAAACTTCAGGTTCAATAAAGGTGCTTTGTCCGTCTTTAAAACGTGATGACAAAACTACCTTAGTTTGAAACAAAAGTTGCCGCCTCAATATATTACAGCATACTCATTTCTTTTTTCAGTGTTGCTTTTAATTTTCTGAATCAGTTAAGCATAACAGTCTCAATCTATTTTTCAGAGGGGTGGTTATGAAGATAATAATTTCTTTTTTTTTGGCGTTAATGTTAAATTCTTGAACACCCCTCGCCTGATTGTATTTGTGTCCCCTGGCAGAGCTGACATGATGTTAAAATGATGTGCTATCGATCCAGCAGGCCCTCAGGAGGTTCTCGCTTTCTGTTAGTACCTGTATACATAACCATCTGGATCCTGGATCTGATGGTGTTGTCTGGAAGTGCTGCTTCAAATACACCCGTCCCTGTTTCCGTGTTATTGGGAGACGGCACTATCAGAGGTCCGATCACAAAGGAAGCCGCTCCTCCGAGGTGAGCGAAGAGCGAGGCTACAGCTGTTGCAGTGGCTCTCTGGTCGGGGGCGAACCAGGTGGTGGAGAGGAAAGGGCCGGCGCTCATTATGGTCGGACCCGCTAAACCGTTCATTAACTGACCTCCGTGAATTAACCTGAAACAGAAGGAAGAGATAGAAAAATAATGGTGAGATAGTCGGCAAAAGTATCCTTTTGAAACTGGAACTTCAGCAAACAGAGATGTGCTATTTTGAGATGAGGAGGTTTTCTCCCTCTCTTCTGTCGTTTTTTGAGGAGGTATTTGGAGTGAACTTGGTGGGAAATGATATGCAGTTAAAGGCTGGAGAACAAGAAATAAGAAAGTAAAGAGACTTATCATTAAAATGTGAAAAATAATCAACTAGTATGAGTAGTTTTTGCAAGAAATACATTAAAATCCTGATCATGGACCCTGAAAATGTGGCCATTTTTGTGTCCTTTCTTTCTTGTGGTACACTGATAACTTTGATTTGTGGCCAAAATGTAAAAAAATTAGGCCTCCTTCTTGGACTCCGAGAGAAGAGACTGACATTAATTTCCTTTTGCTGAGGTTTGATAGATCAGCAACGTGCCAATCACTCTAATTGAGGTAAAGCTGACAGATTATATATCTTAAATGGATGCTTGTGGCTGTGGCAGTATACCAGCATTTACCATTACCATCTTTTAGAGTAATGAGTTATTGATATTGTGCGGAAAATATGTATTTGATAATACTTTGGGTTGCCAAATGTCATAAAACTGAAGAGAGACAATGAAGCAGCAGGTTCTTTGGCTCCTCATGTCATTGTGGGAGGAGCTTGGAGTTGCATATCCATTTAATTTAAAGTAATGATTCAGGCAATTGAGAGAAATCCAGTTTTCGTTGCTTCATTGTAAGTTACTGCGGTGAAGTTCAGTCTCTGAAGTTTTGGGTCGAGTTTGTGTGTTTCCATGACAACTTTGAAAAGTTACAACAACTTAACCTGTGAGCGATGATTCTGAATGATACTGAACTAAACATTGACCTTTAACCTTATTTAAGTAGTCGGTGCCAGCTATCGTAGGGACTGAAGGAATCTGACACTTTAAAAGATAACAAAATGACCCTTTTATATCCTTTGCCCTACCATGATTCCTAAACAGAAAAATTCCCCAGGCTCTATCAAAAAGAAGAAAGAAACAGCAAAATCTTGACATTACAGAAGGCTGGAACAACTAAAGTTTGACATTTTAGTCCTAAAAGTGACCGTAAACATTTACTCATCATCAAAAGAGGAGCTGGTTAATTCTTCTTTTAGAAATTCCTTTGGTCTAATCGGATTTACAACTTTCAAACCTCTAAGAATATCAAATATGGATGAAGCATTACTAAGTTCAAAGTGTTCCCATTAAGGCATGATGATGTAATCTGAATGTGTTATGAATGTGAGATAAAATAATGTGGAGGGGAGCGGGTGAAAAGAAGCTTTAATTATGGCATGAATCAGTTCCTGCAGAGTTTCTAAGACTGAGCCGTGCGAGATGGATGTACTCTGAGACGTCCTCGGATGCCACCGGGCCACTCACCACCTTCCTCCCCCATTTACAGACTGTCTGACGGAAAACCACCTGAGACAGCACATGGCCGATTGTGTGTGCGCTCGCGAAAGACATCGTTCATTCAGAGCAATGTGAGATGGAGGCACCGAGAGGCAGAGAGCGAGATAAGGATAAGGACAAGACAAGGAGGGCTAATTCGGACTCCACGGCATCCAAAAATATTCAGTATATTTGTTCAGAGTTCAGCTAAGAGCTCAGCCGGTTCGTATTCATCATTAGTGAGGACAGACTGGATGGAGAAAACTGGATGTTTCTAAGTCTGATCATGTGGACTTCAGCTCTTTTGAAGTTCCAATTAATACCAATTTGGATGACATGCAGCCGACAAATGAAGTGAAGTAAATGTGAAAATAAATAATTAAGATATAAGGGTTCATGACTGGGGCTGGTAATTCAAGAGATTTTATTGATACCATTGCCATTATTGATTTTGCATATCGGTCAGATTCTTTGCCATTTCCCTTACCTTGATTGGAAAAAAATCAGCCTATGTAGGTTTTCTGTGTCAACAACAACAATAAAATTTTATGACGAATCATATCACCTCACTGCTCTTCTTAGACAGGGAAGCCTTTGGGCCTTCAAAGTCAGCTAAGAACAGAAATCACCCTTTGACACTAAGACAAATACATAAATCATTACAGATTACCTCCATTTTTGGGGGATTGGGACTAGACTAAACAAGAAGCACAAGGAGTTTCTCCCTGGAAATCTGCTGGTCTTCAAGAGTGAGTGGATTGTACTAAATACAAGTCAACAATCCGCAGGTGTCTGTGAAGGAGGGGGTTGGGGAGGAAAGTTCAGAGCGTCGAATTGCTGAGATCTCCTGGAGGAGTTGTGCCAGCATCGACCTTGGCCAAGGCCGATACCGAGGGAGCCGAATAGTAGATTAGAATATTTGGGTTAGAGCGAGTAGCCACATTCCAATAGACTTCGGCTACTCTGATTGTCCATCCTGGTCTCTCTATCAATCCATTGTCTCCAGCAAAGTCGAAAGCCTCTCCAAGATCACATCTCCCTTGCGATCCCCAATCATGACTTGATGTTGAAGATTGGAGACCGCCCCGGAAAGAGTTCCTACGGCTTTGCCCACCTCAAAAATCATGACGGGCAGCCTTTGGGGGCTCTTGACCGCTGCCAGCATCTCCTTGTTTTGTAGATAAATCAGGGCGAAGCAAAAGCCAAACAGCAACAGACCTGTTATCATGGTTCCGAAAAGGTAGACATCTTCCACATCCTCCACGGAAAGGACCGACAGGCACATGACACGCCACTTCCCCCAGCTGTCCATCACGTAGCCCGCGGCGAACCTCCATGTCTCGTAGAGACAATCTTGTCACTTGCGTTGAAAGACCAGTTCATCAGTTCCATGGTTGGTTTCGGAGATCAGGCAGTGAGAAGCTCTTAGAGTTTCAGACAAAACGGGACGAGACGAAGAGGCAAAGCAGGGAGCAAGGAGATAAGGGAGAGGAGAGAAAATGCGACCACCTTCGTTGAGAGCCGGAAGAAGCTTATGTTCAATGTTCAATCAATAAGACACACCCCTTTATTTCCCTTATTTGTCCTCTAAAATTTCCGTGTTAAATTTAGAGGCAAATTTTGAACATTTTCTTCAATAGCTTCCATTACATGTGACCAATTGGCCTAAAACTGATTTCAAATAATAGTACATATGTTGACCAATAAAGCACACATTATTTCTTAAATTTTTATTGTGCCCTTGAAGTTCCTGAAGCACATGTGCTCCTTGTGAGAAAAGTTAGTGTCAAGCCCTGTCCTAGAAATACCAGCTTGATGATTAACCACACAGCGGAGATGAGAGGGAGTTTCGCATCACAGCATTTGCTAGCCCTTTAAGCAGACATCGATGTGATAATACCAGGGTGGAGAAGATTAGCCTGTTAATAATAAAAATTCTGACTGGAGACATGCTCCCATTAAGTTATTTGGAAGGGGGAGGCCTCTGTGAGCTGGTGATATTTGTGGAGCCAGCCTACAAGCCACCATCATGTCCGACATCAACTGTGAAAGTGGACACATGCTTTAAAAAAGTGCAGCAGAGCCAAGGGCTGTTTTGCAAAGTGTTGACAAAGTGGCTGTCACCACAGACCAGTGGGCAGGTCTCACCATGTACACTCACTTGTCATTATATATTCTCCAGTTTTCACAGACTGCAAGGTTAATTATTAAATCTGGAAATGACCCAATATCCAATTACAACAAGGAAGAAACTCAGCAGCCTAATCACTCAAAAACACAAATACAATCCAATAATAGCTGCTCCAGTTAGTCAGCAATTTTCATAACTGAGCAGTAAAACACATTCAGTTTGTTATGTTCAGTTTGCATGTGTAAAAAACAAATGGAAAGCACTATCCTGGGACTTAATGCTTACATATACGAGGCTGTTTTCCTCTTTGGTTTACTCTCTCCCCTCTCTGCCCTCTAACTCTTTTTAACTTTGCTGTCTGTTGCCTCCCGGGTTTGCAGTTTCCGTGTCGAGGCAGAATACAAAGTGCAGCGGTCAGTGACAGATTGATTTGAGAATAACTCGTTCCCTCTATATCTCCTTCCCACATCTAACGCTGGCTAACATCCCAGCCTACACAGCAGCACCTCCTAAAATACTCTACGCCTTTTACTTTTTATCCATCCCACTCCTTCCTCTTTCATACCCATCTCGGTCTTTATTGCTCAATTAACTGCTGAAGTTTCCAATAAGTGCAAATTGGGGCACTCCAATAAAGACATGAAAGTTTTAACAAGCTAGTGTCCCATTTTTTGATACAATACTTTATTAAAATGCAGAATAACCTGATAATCTGAAGTGTTGCTCATGCTGAACTCAACGACTCCAACTTTTCTGTCGCAAGTGAGTCACCTTAGCCGTTGAGGAATGAACCCAATGTCAGGACACAGCTGTGTTTACAACTCTGCTTTTTTCCTTCATCTTATAAATAATAGCGGAAGAAAAGAGAGACAAGCGATAAAATGTATCCGTCACATGAAAAAGGGTTTTATTTTGCTTCCCTTTTTAAGGCTTTTCTTCTATGTGTCTCTTGTGGAAAACAGCCAAACAAATCCGCAACATTATTATTTCAGTACAAGATACTAATCTGGGTAAAGAGTCTGGAATTATTCTGTTTTTAGGAGTTGATGTTGCCGCTTTTTTGCTGTGACATCTCTTCAGACCCGGTGGCCCTGATAAACAATGTTCTCTTCTTGTGAAGTGCGTCACAGTGAATGACAATCAAGGCCACGTCTGGGATTTCTCACAACCTGCCAAGAGAAAGTCTATCATGTTTAACTTTTCTTTCTGCTTTCTACAAAGTATTACGTCACGTAATTGGTGTTGACCAATGAGATTACTTTGTGTTCTGGATGCTCAAAAGTCACATATGGAAACAGACAGAATGGCAAAGGGAAAGAGGAATGATACAGAGAAACTGTAGACACACACTTCAGCAACCCGATGAGTATTTCTGTAGAGTGTGGAAGCAAATAGGCCTCTGCATCGTAGCCCACCAACTGGGAAAATACAGCTACACAAGGTGATTTGAGCTGGCTCCTGTGGTGATGTAACAACAGGAATGATTTTATATGCATGCATGCAAAACAACTCCTACTCCTTGAATATTTCACTTCCTTCTACACCATCATGGTTTTCCTTTAGTACTGCAGGGTCAAGCTGTCAAAGGTTAGAGCCCGACACTTTAACTCCAACAGGTGACTTTATAAGAACTTGTTTTATGGGATACAAATTTGTCTTTTTCATGACTATCAACTTACTTTGCCCATAACATTAAGTTACAAACCAAAGTCAAGAAAGAAAAAAGCTATGAATTTCAACACACTAATCAATCAGAGATATGCAACTGTATGCACGGCTGTAAATTTTTCAACAGCCTTCTTTGGTTCAGGGTCCATTTCAGGTTAACAAATGGAGTGTGTTTGCACAGGTTCTTCTGGAGCACTCACCAATTTAGTTAACGTGTTTTTTCCACCTCTGTATCAGTCTGCACCAGTTCAAACTAAAATGAAACTAAATGATGATGGCTCTGTTTTATTTTGTGAGAGTCAAACCATTCCACATGCTTCATAATAAATCTGGGAAATCAAGATCCAATAAGGCTCCCAAATATCATGATAATAAGATAATGAAATTGAACTATAACTGTGCTGCCTGCTGTGTTGCAGTGCAAATATACTGCACTACAATTTAAGCCTGGCATTTGATTTAGTGATTAATATCATTAAAATTAGGTTACAGTGAAGAATTGATGCAAGGTCCCGTTCAGCACTGTTAAATGATAATAAATATATATTATATATGATAACAAAGGGTTAAACCCTTTTCTATTTCAACTTATTCAAGTGTTTTTATTGTATAGTTTGGATTGATTAAGTTTTTAAGACTTTTTTTTAGCTTTGTAAATGCATGTGATGTAGAGATAAATTTCTGAGTAATCCTTTGAATGAATAATCATGATCTCTGTATGAACCAAAATAACTGTGATTATGATTCTCGCCACATTTGAGCAGCCTTGCTTCATCATCTCCTTATTTAATTTGAGCTAACAAGACATGCCAGAACCAGCCACGCAATTACTGAAAGCATAAACAAGGCAAAAAGGCTCCATAAACATCAGTGTGTTCCTCTCAGCTTTTAAAACTTTGTGACACAAAGTTTTGGTCACTTCTCTAAAACTATTAAAGTTTTGTCTCTAAGCTCTCAGGATGGATGTGACTGTGAAAATTGCCTTTAATGTGACAGGTGATAGGGACAGATGGTGGATAACATGAGGATGAGAGACTGCACAGGGTGAAGCAAAGGAAAGGGCGCAGTTTTTTTTTTTCAGCCAGATGATTGCGTTAATCAGTATTGATGAATCCTGTCAGACCAAATCTGATGGGGACTGAGACAAAGAAGCCGGCATTGTGGTAAAATCAACCCCGTATCTCTGGTCTAGCAGGGCTGACAAGACCCAATTTTGCCTTCACACAAAGGCCAGACCAATTCCGTCTTGAAAATGACACCACAGCAATAGCGACAGTAATAAGACAGCCTGCTGCGGGACCCACAATGTGTTCTGATGGCCAATCAGACAGTGTCTAAAAGAAAGTCTGAGATCTGACTGATAGACACTTACTAATCACACGGCTAGTTTTTGTTTGAATGCAGGAGGGAGACAGGCAGAGAGAGGCGAGAGAAAAGAGCGAAGGCGTGAAAACAAGAGACTGAGGAGGGTTAAAATTTGATGTCTTTGATTTGAGAGCAGACCTCATCACAGCGAGGGCTAATCAGTGACCCACTGATGCAATGCTGCCTTTCTTCTCCTCACCCGAACTCGACTAAACAAACACACTCTTCTGGTTTCAGACGCGACTGTAGCAGCTGTACAAAGTTCCTGGTGATAAAAGCAGAGGAACTTCCACCTCAAACAGGTTCAAAACTTCCTTTGATTCTCAGAGAAAAGATCTTTAGAGTCAAAACAAAGAAGCAGTTCACTTCCACAAAAGGGCTTCACAAACAAAACCAAAAAAAAAAATCTCCTCGAAAACATGAAACAGTAGAAGGAAAAAACAGATCTGCAAAGAAACGTCTGAAATCGAGCAGGAAACTAACAGTCTTTGATCGCTCTTGAATAGCCCTTGAGCTCTGGAGCCAGTATGTCTCTCAATATACTCAATTTATGCAGCACCTTTCAAAATAAGAGTCTACAAAAGCTTTGATGAACAAACTAACCAGAAAACTCAGTAAGCGACAAAAAAACAGACAAATAAGGCCAGATGCAGCAGAATGACACAAAGCTACAGTCAAGAAAAAAGACCAAGAAGACAACACAGAAATGTAAAACTGGAGAGAAAACTGTGTAAGAGCAGTAAAAAAGTCAAAGAAATAAATGAAACAGCAATAATTAGAAGTAATAAAACAAAAACCTAACAAAAAAACAGAGAAATCTGGGTAAGAGCAGTGAAATAAAGTCAAAGAAATAAATGAAACGGCAAGAATTGGAAGTAATAAAACAATATAGAGGCATAACAGCATCAAATATATTAAAGCAAAATCAATTTAAGCGATAAAAACTTAACTGAAATCGAAGAAATTTAAAAAACAGAAATTTGAGCTTTTATAGAAACAAAAAAAAAAACAGGAATAAAAAAATATTAAGACACAAACAATCTTAAAAACAAGTAAAAATGGACAGAATAAAAATATTTCAGAGAATAAATATACATAAATTACAAAAATATGAATTTAAATAAAAGGTTTTAGGAAATATTACCAATAATGAGAAATAAAAGCAACATAAATTTAAAAAAAACAAGAATTTGAAGAGAGATGTGTAACAAATGAAGAATAAATAAAAGACATGATTAATAATATAGAATTAAAGAGGAAATATTAGACGGAATTTTTAGGGTCTTTCTTCTTCAGGCTGGTCTCTCTAAAGTTAAGGGTCCTTGAATGTAAAAGCAGCTTTTGTACGGAGCCCCCACTTTTGCACCTCACCTGGAGATCTCAGGCTTATCAAGTGTCAACAAATATTTGATATAGCTTGGAGCTGGACCCACACATGCTTTAAAGGGGTCAGAAAAAAATCTTCAAAGTAAGTGGAGGCCACACACAGCAAACCCACAGGTCCTCCTCACACAAAGCTTCCACAGTCTGATAGTTTCAAGGCAAAGAGGGACATCTACTGGTGATCCAGGGAGCTGCATGACTATCAGCCTGCACTCCACTGTCTTTAATCCACTGTGTCATCCATTAAGTTTCAAGAGCCGTAACCTATTACATTTAATATGCAAATGAGGCCGCACAGTGTCAGAGCTAACATTTGCAGAGTGATTCACGCTGTCTTGGCTTTTACCATGCAGTCTGGTTTTCCACTTGAATACCGAATCTAAAGAGCAAAAGGTCAAGATTGTGAAAGGCTGATCCCATCATGCAATGGGAAAGCAGCAGGCAGCTCTGACCCAGGATAAAAACCTTGACCTTTATGAACTTCTTAGCTCCAGCTCATGAGACAGTATACTGCTCTTTGAAAAAAAAATTACAGAGTTTGATATTGAACCTTTATACTTTTTTTGTCCTCTTTGGCTGGTCTTCAGAAGCATGAAGGAGGCTGTGATTAGATTTTTGTTATATTTAGATGGAAGGTTGTCAGTCGACACACTTTGAAATCATCTGCAAGCGATTAAGTTTAGATGAAAACTGTGTAAAGATGACATATTTAGCAATCTGTTTGTGTTTGAGGGCCAGATTTTAAAGTTTTCAGAGTGAAATGTTGTCGCATTTTTGCCCAATGTAAGATTTTAGCTGCTCATCAGGTCGGTGTCTCCTTTGTCTTACAAGTCAGGACTGCTAGCAGACCACTGGCATCATCTTGCAATATTATGTGAGGTCTGTCTTGACAAAGGCGCTCTATGGATGGCGGCATACACTCACCGGCCACTTTATTAGGTACACCATGCTAGTAACGGGTTGGACCCCCTTTTGCCTTCAGAACTGCCTCAATTCTTCATGGCATAGATTCAACAAGGTGCTGGAAGCATTCCTCAGAGAGCTTGGTCCATATTGACATGATGGCATCACACAGTTGCCGCAGATTTGTCGGCTGCACATTCATGATGCAAATCTCCCGTTCCACCACATCCCAAAGATGCTCTATTGGATTGAGATCTGGTGACTGTAGAGGCCATTTGAGTACAGGGAACTCATTGTCATGTTCAAGAAACCAGTCTGAGATGATTCCAGCTTTATGACATGGCGCGTTATCCTGCTGAAAGTAGCCATCAGAAGTTGGGTACATTGTGGTCATAAAGGGATGGACATGGTCAGCAACAATACTCAGGTAGGCTGTGGCGTTGCAACGATGCTCAATTGGTACCAAGGGGCCCAAAGAGTGCCAAGAAAATATTCCCCACACCATGACACCACCACCACCAGCCTGAACCGTTGATACAAGGCAGGATGGATCCATGCTTTCATGTTGTTGACGCCAAATTCTGACCCTACCATCCGAATGTCGCAGCAGAAATCGAGACTCATCAGACCAGGCAACGTTTTTCCAATCTTCTATTGTCCAATTTCGATGAGCTTGTGCAAATTGTAGCCTCAGTTTCCTGTTCTTAGCTGAAAGGAGTGGCACCCGGTGTGGTCTTCTGCTGCTGTAGCCCATCTGCCTCAAAGTTCGACGTACTGTGCGTTCAGAGATGCTCTTCTGCCTACCTTGGTTGTAACGGGTGGTTATTTGAGTCACTGTTGCCTTTCTATCAGCTCAAACCAGTCTGGCCATTCTCCTCTGACCTCTGGCATCAACAAGGCATTTCCGCCCACAGAACTGCCGCTCACTGGATATTTTTTCTTTTTCGGACCATTCTCTGTAAACCCTAGAGATGGTTGTGCGTGAAAATCCCAGTAGATCAGCAGTTTCTGAAATACTCAGACCAGCCCTTCTGGCACCAACAACCATGCCACGTTCAAAGTCACTCAAATCACCTTTCTTCCCCATACTTATGCTCGGTTTGAACTGCAGGAGATTGTCTTGACCATGTCTACATGCCTAAATGCACTAAGTTGCCACCATGTGATTGGCTGATTAAAATTAAGTGTTAACGAGCAGTTGGACAGGTGTACCTAATAAAGTGGCCGGTGAGTGTATGTTGCTCCAAACCTTCCGGGTTATGCTGCGTTCGAGTTACCTCGGGAGTCAGATGTCCGAGCTGGGAAATGACGTCACGCCCGAGTCACCAGTGTTTCAGGTACCAAGTCAGAAAAAAGCAAAATTTGAGGTGGAAACAAGATGGCTACATCTACTGACGTTATTTTAGCGCTCGCCTTGTCCGAACATAATCAACTTACGAACGAATATGCGGTCCTTCTGCAACATCTTGTTTCCGCCTCCAATTTTGCTGTTTTCTGACTTGGTGACTGAAACGCTGGTGACTCGGGTGTGACGTCATTCCCAGCTCAGACATCTGACTTCCAGGGTGACTCAAACGCAGCATTAATGGTGACTTCTCAGATGTGTAAACTTGCCATGCCCTGCCTAACACTGAGGAATGGAGAGAAGAGCCTTTCTAGTTATAAATATGGACTAATAATAGGACTCGGCACAATACTACAAACCACACTTAAATGCAGTATAACAAAAGCAAAACCAAATATTTCACAGCAGAGAGTCAGTACTATTTTTTAGGTTGGGCTGTCCCAATAAAGGGATCAGGATTATATACTTCAAGATGAGCTTATTATTTTCCCCAACATCGGGCCTGATTCACTGTTACATTAGCCGTTCACTCCACTAATGGCTTTCCTAACCCAGGCTCATGAAACATAGAGAGAAAAGAATGAGGATGGAAATTGATTTATCTACTCTATAAAAGCTCAAAATTATTTTAAAAATCTTCAAACCCTGGGAGTGAAAGTGATACGTGACCCATTCAGAGAAATACAATTTCCTCTAAGTATTGATATTTTATGATGAACTGCCCCATTGTGGAGCCCAATAGCAATTATCAGGCAGATTACCACTCAGAAATATTCAATGAAATTACATTTGTAAAAGGCAAATTATAATCAAAATGACCTTCTTGCTCTTTCTAAAAGGGGAACGGTGAACTCATGAGAAAAACTGAGAATGAAACGCAGAGAATAATGGAAGTTTTATGTGTCCCCGTGATGGCCTGTCTTCCAATGAAGAACTGTCTGATAAGAGAGGAAAAGGGCGGCAAGGACACATAAAAGGAGTGTAAAGGATCCACAAAGTATTGAACTGTCTGTCACAGGCAGCCAAATGCTTCCTGACTGTCGGCTGATCAGTTACAGGTCTCTGCTTTGAAGAAGGGCAAAGGACCTTGGCTGAGATCAATACAGCTGAACACAGACTGCCTCTACAAGCCACTGTCAAAGGACTACTGCATGTTGTACTTTGCTCAACAGCAACAACAACAAATATGTTGTTACTTAATCTTTGTTCTAATCAAATGTAAAGTGACACTCTCAAGTATGTCACTCATTTTGCAAAAAAACAATTAAAACACACTTTAAGAGTCCAGGAAGAGAGACTGGAGTGTACGTGCACTGAGAGCAAATGCAGTGTTCACAACAAGCCTAGCTAGCAGTTGTCTGCATGACTCAAATTATAGAAAATAAGTGAAAGCCATGAGAAAAAAAAAACACAAAAGCCACCAGCCACAGAATACGCTCAGTTATTCAGAACGGCTCATCCTCACTTACATGGAGCTAGTTTGGGGGATGTTGCTCTAAAGACGTCAATCAGCTGCTGCTGCTATAGACAACGCCACAGCTAACGTGTTGGCCCATCTCTAAAAGTGACCAATCTTAGTGATTCTACTTCACAGCAGTCAAAACAAAAAATGCTGTGATCTTCTACTTTTTTATTTCAATTTTAATTCTTTATCTTATTTCTCAGTATACTCATTACAGTGTACAGCCTAACCCAGCAGGGCTGGACTGCTCATCTGTCATCATCTATCTTCATGCTTGTGTGTTGGGGGACATTAAGGGCCTTGTAGAAAGTTATGCAACTTATAGGTGGAGCATAAATATTGGGATGACAGAATAATGGACTGAGTTTCTTTAAAGAGCATTTCTCCTTTTATTAGATCAGAAGTAGAAACCTAATTTAATTGATAAAGGTGCAAAAACATGGGAAACGAGCAGAGCAGTTTCTGCACTTTTAAAAGGGAAATGTCGACCAATGCTTTAGAGTGGACGATGCAGCATCCATGGTTTCCAAAAGGAATGTCAAATCTGAATTTGTCAGGTCACAGGACAGACTTTTATTGGTAGTACACACTGTAGATGATACCAACTTTTTGCTCACCCAGGCTCTCACAAAGTGATGAACCTATTCATTGTTACTTCTATCAGACTCGGTCTCTCTGGACTGCACTTATTACAACCTGTAATACCACTAACCTGCTGCAAATTAATACGAGAAGGCCTACCTAATAAATCCAAGTATTTAAGATAATACAAGACTTGTGACTACATTGGAGATCAAGAGTCTGCTTTACAATTCAAAAGCTCACCATCTCACTTCAAGCACCTGTTTACTGTCCACTACAACAATGTTTCCGGAGGAGTCTTACCATCGTCTGAGACGCTGCTCTGTAAATGGGAGGGACCTCAAAATCGCTCCAAGCAGCATGAAGAACCCTGAAAGAAGGAGGGACGCCCTCAGACCTGGAAGACAGAAAAGATGTTTATATATACAGATGTCTAAATCAGATCATATGTTAGCTGCTTTGTGGGTGTTCATCACTTGTAATCAAATTTTACTTAATTAATGTGCAGCCCCAGTCTCCTTCATTAGACTTTAAAATAAGCGTTAAATTAAGATTATGTTTTTTGCCACCCCAGGGTGAAGGCTGCACTCTCACACACATGAGCAGGACGACAAACAGAGAGGTCTGATCTCTTTGGTCTGATATTGATGCTACATGTGAACAGGGTCTGCTGAGCTCACCAACATACATGAAATCGTCTCATTTTGAGAGCAGGACTGCCATTATAGACAATCTTCATCCTGATATTAAAACATTGATTTGATATTTAGTCCAGTGTAACAGTTACAGCTCATCATTCATTCAGACTTTTCTAAACGCTGATTTTATCTGATGAGCTGTCAAAATAAAAGGTTTTTGATTAACAATGACATAAACCGGAAAACAATACAAATCCCACTTTTAAGAAGCTTAAGCTTGCAAAAATTTATTTCCTAAGAAACTCAGACGACTGTATTGCACGCGTTGCATGATTAATCCAAAAACACTCTAATACACCAGGCCTGCAAAAAAAAAAAAAAGAAAGAAAAATATGTAAAAACTGTAATCTCTTTTGGATAAGATGTTAACTGAGCTGAATGGACTTTGGGTACAATGCGGTTTGTAGTCTGCTAAATGTTGAGGATTGACAAAGTAGAGATATTCCTGTCTCTGTCGTCAGGCTGCGGTCTTAAAAATAACTGCATTATTTTTAGCCAGCTGTGTCACATAAAGAGGTGACTGAGTGAGTGTGTGGCTGATTGTATCATCAAATATGTAGGAAGACAACAGGAATCCCGATCCCTGTTCAATGAAGCCCGTATGACAGCAATCACAGCGACAAAGAGGCCTCTCACAAACAGAAGTGTCTGCTCTCAGTTTCACCCACATGATGCCCACTCGGAGAAACTCTCTCCACTTCCCTGTTCTTCTCTCTTTCCATGTAAGCTGTCAGCTGCAGAGGCTTTACATAGATCTCCACATTGGTCAATACTTCAGCAGCAGTCAGACAGGACCTGGCTGGGACTGAGTTCCATTGATCCAGGATGGGAAATACAGGTCACAACATGCCAATACAAGCTCATGGTGCATGCTGGGAGTTTGTCAGGCTGTCTTCTTTAGGTTTCAAAGTCAGACGTTTACCTCTGTGCAGTGTTTTACTACATCGCCTGTCAATGAATCCCTCAACAGGATTATGTTATGGTCAATGAAGAATCTGAAAGACATCTGTGCTTTATGGTTATTTGAGGCTGGGTTTAGGAACACAGTGACACTGAAACTGTCAATACAAATCTTTTGCATGCAACAAAGACAGTTTTTTGTCTTCTTTGCGCAGCTACTCACTCAATACAAAATGCAAATGCCACTAGTTTGCCCACTGTGCTACTGTAGGAACATGGCAATGCATAACAGTGGCCTCTATGGAAGAGGACCAGCTTCTGTGTAGACACGATATGCTCAAAAACAACATGCTTTTCAATTTATTCTGGTGATTATTCACTAAAACAAACATAGTTATAAAAACAATATTCCATTTCTGCCAAGTCTGTTTGGATAAATGCAGCTAAATACTGCACACTTCACCTTCAACTCAATATCCAGACAGCAACCAATACAATACATTTTTCAGAGAGTCTCAGCCCCTCTCGTTTGATTATTTTCTTATCAGTGAACGACATAATGAAGTGAGTGCAGAAGCTTATCAGTTAATCAGATCGTATTTCTGCAGCTTTGTGTCATAGTGATGTTGTTCCAGAGATTATATCAGACTTGCTGTAATGCATAAGAGAAAGTATTTTTACTTGTTGCATTTGGATTTTGTGACACACAAAGATAGTGACCTACATTTGAGAAAAAAGGGCTGGGGGGTAACAAACAAGATTTACCAGCTTTATAGCCTCACACCTAAAGCTCTTAATGGAACAGTATGTCTTGTCTTCTCTTTTCTAAACATGCGTATGAAGTTCTTTTAACTAAAAACCTTATCCTGCTTTCTTTGAAGATATCACTTCCTGACATAAGTGTCGGGGAAACATGCAGGAAACTGTTCTTTCTGCAACACTCTGGGAACCACTTTATCAGACACCTACCCTCCAGCAGCAGCTTCTAGCACAAAAATAGCTATACAGAACTGACATTTCTGGTTTTTGATGTTTTGTTGGCATTGGTAGCTTTAAAAAAGGTGTCGAATATCAGTCTGTTTTACAACCAGCTAAAAACTCCCCACAGGAGCTTTAAATCATCTTTTGTCCTAGCTTACTGACAAACTCTGTAACATCAAACAGTATGTATTTTATAGTCCCATTATGGTGGCCTTATGGCTAGATTTTGAGAGCCTCTCTTGGATGGTATTTAACTTGTTGTTGATCATCATGTCTCTACCTTCAGGGAGACAAACTCTCTGAGGGAAGCCAAACACTTTCCACAGAGGCAAGCTGGAGCAGAGCCAGTGAATTTGAAAGCCTACAAAAAAGACTGGGTGTGTAGTCAACAATTAAAAGCCCAGCACAACCTGAGGATGCCATGTAGTTGTTCAAAGAAGTTGAACACATGATCCACCCAGCCTATAATTGCAGTGCTGAGTGATACGGCAGATTCTGCTTTAAGCTGGGCAAAATCTTAGTTTATCCTGCTAACTCAGAGCAGCTATAGCGTGCAACCTCTTACATACTAAAGCACACAAGACACCCAAAACCACATATGATTCAGAATCACAAGGTGAGTTGTGTAATTTCTTGCCAAGATTGTGCTTGTTGTGTATAATTCACCCTCAGCCTGGTTGCTATTATGATGTTACTGCCCTGTAAATGTTTATTGTCGCCTGACAGTTGTGCCCACACATGATATAATACATATCCATCAGCTGATGTGGAGGAACTGGTTAGGTGAAGTGCTCTCTGACTCAGTGGCTTTCCGTCAAGAGCTCTTCTGCATGCTGAGGCACTTTGAGAATGTTCTGTGGTTTTTGTATCCTCCTGAACGTAGCAGTTTTTAAAGAGAGAAGTCTCAAAATACCATTCGAGTGTTGGCCATAAGCAAGTTTAAAATTTCACTTGGATATCTGAAAACCCTTGGTGTCCTGCAAAAATCCAAATCATTTACTTGCCTCTTAAAATAAGTATAGGTTGCTTATTCAAGTGTCATACTTCTAAATGTAAATATCTTTTCATTGATTTTGCCATTTGTAGACAAAGTGAAATGAAAAAGTAGATATGAAAGCACTAAGACTAAGGGTAACTGGGCTTGAAGTCCAATTGCCCTTTCAACAAAGAATTGGATAACCTGGATGAATGAGAACCTACATAGACATCATGACCAAGAGCTCAGATTAGTGCTTCACAAGGTTTGGGGGTACAGAGAAACTGCTTATACCCCAAAAATGTGTCAAGTGGCAGCTGCTGTATCTTCGACATGTTGTGCTACAGCAGTACAAACCATCAAGCAGCCGCAGGTGGAGAGAGAAGAGGTGTGTAACTCTGCTAGGAGGAGCAGGAGGAACAGGTGTGTGTTAGTGAAGCAGAGGGATAGAGTGAGTAAGAGGAGGGTGACAATGTTCGTTTCGAAAAATGTCAAAAACAACCAAAATATTTTGGATTATGATTTTTAACATAATAAAGTGGCCATATCTAGAACCAATGCCAGCATAGCTCATGCCTCAAGTACTCTCAAATCTGTTAGTTTCATGTATCAAGAAGCACCCAAGTTACTGCCCTAGTCCAATATTTATTATCTAACTGGCACATCTATTACTTTCCTCTTCTACAAACTGTGTCCTTAAACAACAACTTAATGGCAGCCAATAACAACAAAGAATGAAATAAGTTGAAGCCAAAAATGTCAAAAAATTAATGTCTTCTCTTATGTTAGCTCTGCTTCTTTCTAGCTACTGAAGTTAACATTTACACTCAAGGAAGGCCAAGTACAGCCCAGAGACTAAACACAGGTAGACATGCAAATACTGAATTCGGGCAAACTTCACAGCCAAAAACCCTGGCAGAATAATGCCCAAGATCTTTGGAAAGGTTTTCTATAACAGCACGATGCCCTTGACGTCTACCATTGACAGGATTACAGCGCCTGAAAATACAGCTGCACTGTGGAGAGAACAATATAGGGATTTATGGTGTACTATCCGACTCTATGGTGTCTGTTTAATAGTATTTGTAGTCAACAAAGCAGGGGAAATCCAACCTAGAGAATTACACACCAGATGCTCTGGCCAGTATATTTTCCAACGTGTTAAAAAGGTTTTTGTAGTCATGCACTGAAGAAAGTATTGGAGACAACGCTCTTCAAAATTAAGGTTTTTCTGTGTCTGTCTTGTGAGAATATTTTGTATTTGCTTGAAACAACGTAAATCCAATGTGATAGGTGTATTTTCAACACACATGGTGGCCGTCGGGGTAAGATGAGGTGAAATATAGTCACCTCCACTCAGTCTGTAATTCACCCCTGCCTTGTTGGTCTTGTGATGTCTACTTGTGACTTTGTTTTTTATTCTCTACCTTTTGGAAAAATGACATGCAGCAAAGTGTCCAGGCTTAAGAGCTATTGTACTGAATTCAAATCCTAATCCCAAAATCTTATAACAAAAGCCACATTGAAAAGATTAATCTTAATCAAGTAAAAGTCCTGAACTTGAAATATTACTCAAGAAAAAATCTTGTATTTTCAGAAAACATGGAGTGAGTTTGCAGAAGTAATGCAGAAGTACGTCCCCTGTGAATGTAATGCTATTAACATTTATTGTCAAGTAGGAATTTACTGCTGTAGTTGATGAATGTGGAGCTCATGTTTGGCAAGTAAAACTAATGGCTTTTTCTGCTTTTTTATCAAAATTCTTCTTCTCTGTCTGTTTAGTATTATTACAAATTATTATCAGTTGTTTTTTGAGCTGAATCTTGACTTGGTGTATGTAACAAAATCAAAGTAAATCACAAATGATATAGGACTACCCAAGCATTGTGGCCACTTTTATAACGCTCATCAAAATACACCACATTAGCAGAGTTACATTTTTTTTTTCTTTTTTTTTTTTAATTTTTATGTACTTATTCATTTCATTTATTTAATTTGGCTGTGATAAGCTTCACAAAATATCTACAAAATCGACCAAGTTACTTATTCTCAGAAGTTAGGACATGTAACCCCAGATATCACCACTAACCTGAATGATAACACTATCAGGTGTAGGATGTCATGTAACAAAAACAACAGACTTGCGAGTGTTTGAACCACGAAGCATCTAAAAATATTATAGGGTTTTTGAAAGGTTTGGTACACTGATAGGACCAGAACTTGAGGACAGGACACAGTGTACCAAATAACAACAACAGCTCACCTTTTTTGTCCATTAACCACATGAACAGGAAAAAGGGAATGAAACCCAGCGGGCTCCACAGCACCAGAAGCGCGATGTCTGACTTAGTGAAGCCGTATGCGTGACCCGCCGAGACCTGGATGGGACCCCAGAAGTTCCACACCATCCCTTGCAGTAGTCCCAGCAGACAGAACAGCATCAGAACCAGCCATCTTCTCTTGTACACTCTGCTGTGCACTGGCAGAGTGTGTGTCTCACCATTAGCAGGGATCATAAGCGGCTGTCTTTCAGCCTCCGAGCTGCGACCGGCACCCATTTTAGCTGCCTGTTTGAGGTTACAGTTAAAACTCCCGATTTCACGCCCGTACAGCACCGGTACACGGTCGTCTCAACGAGCTGCTGTCGGCCACACAAACAATAACACCCGATACTCTACGCTTGTGTCATTTAACTATACTGCGCATGCTCGGGCGGAAATCGTTAGGGCAGTTAAAACTGTAAACCTCGGACCGCCATTTTGGCTCGAGCGCTGGCTTAGCTTGAGTGGTGCTGCTGTGGCTGTTACGGAGCCGTTATGGAGTAGATTCACAATGAGGCGTTACAAATGCAGAAAGAAGCCGCACACTGTCACGTGTGGTTTGTTTACTTCCGCCTAAAACCCAATTGCACGTGCTAGGAAAGGTGAGTCTCCCGTTTTTGCAAAAGACACCCGGTTCTGAGCAAAGCTAGCAGGAGATTAGCTTTTCCTTGAAATGTGAAGAACAAGCTTCCTTCTGAGCTGAGACAATAGCCGTAAACAGACCCAATGATATACTCACGGTTTAAGAGTTGTGTACAAAGCTTAGTCCTAAAATGTTTGACAAACTTTAAAACTACAAACGACAAAATAGTTTTCCTATGCTGTCACGTGACACCGGTGTACTAGTTCGACAAGTAACCCTGTTAACCATGGGGCTAAAAGCGTCTGTGGTCGTCCACTCGTCAATGTTGAAAACAGAAAGCGGAGACAGACATGTGCAGGACACGTTTGCACAAACTGTAATATATTAACAAAGACTCATTTCTGAAGAATTCAACAGCTGCTTGGGTTTTCCGCGAACAAGGTCACACCCTTAAAATAACCCCAGTTACCACTAACTGCAGTTTTGATAACTTACAACACTGCTTCATAGTGAGGTGCCAGCTGAACTCATATTTGTAAGAACTACTTTTGAATATCATTGAGACACACCACAGTTCATTTCAGTCTATTCCGGGGATATACTTGGATTACAAACAGGACTGGTCTAAGAAAACTGAAGCTGTTCACAAAAAGGGCCTCAGTCATCTAGACCAGTGGTTCTCAACTGGTGGGTCTCGACCCAAAAGTGGGTCGCGGCCACGTTCTGGATGGGTCGCGGACAGCTCAAAAAGTAAATATTTAATGCATCTGATGTTTGATATGTCAAAAATGGCTTATTTTGAAAGGCAGGCGTTGTGTTGTGGTCCTCCTGGGTTTCTTATTAATGTGGCGTAAATGCCATAAAAATACAGGGTTTTTTTTTTTGGTCTTTATTTTGTGCAATTTGATATTTTCTGTTTATGCAACTTTAGTAGTTGTCATCCTCAGTTCATGTGCAGTTCATGTGATGAGGTCCTTTAACATCTGAGGATGTTATATGAGTCTGTGGTGGCCAGTGTGACCCTGTTTGCTGTTGTGTGCTGGGGCAGCAGGCTGAGGGCAGCAGATGTCAGCAGACTTAACAAACTCATCCGTAAGGCCAGTGACACTGTGGGGGTAGAGCTGGACTCTCTGACAGTAGTGACAGAGACGAGGATGTGCTACATGTAATCTTGGACAGCATCCACCACCCACTCCATAACGTGCTGGTCAAACACAGGAGTACATTCAGCGCTAGACTCATTCCCCCAAAATGCACCACAGAGCATCACAGGAAGTCATACATGCCTGTGGCCATCAAACTTCATAATTCCTCCCTCTGTGTGTTACACACACTCTGTCTGTCTATGGATTTATTCCTACTGTAGAAACTGTAAATTTCTCCATTGCATATATTACATTCAGTGGTGTAATCTGTAAACTGGTTAAACTTCAATAATCCAAGAATGAAATACAAATCATGCTTTTCAGTTACACTATGCAATATTCCCTTTAGCTGTGCAATTCTTTGTTAAGCTGTACGATACTATGTGCAATATCCTACACTACAAACTGATTTTGTATACACTTCCTGCTCTTTCTGTTTGTACCTAGCTTATTTCTTAAACACTCTGCACTTTGTAAATAGCTTTATTTTTAATATTCTGCACTTTTTACCGAACATTACAATATATTATTTATTCTTATCAATTCCTATTTTTGTTCTCCTTCATTTAATATTTGTATTGCAAGTGCAGGTGCAATGCCATAATGACTGAATCTGAGAACACATTCTGGCAAATCACAGCCATTCTCATCATTTGCTATAGCAGAGCCAATCTTTGTGTATTCTGGCCACTACCAGTCTAAGATGCCCAGGTGGTATTCTGTAGTTGTCGCTCTTATGCAGCTGAGATATGTTGAGACTGGATGCCTGGTGGTTTCTGTCTTTTTAGGAATTTTTCTATTGAAAGAGGTGGTAGGTTGGTCTGGCTTGTTTTCAGTGGTACAGGAGCCTTCTGGTATGTCAGTGGCTCTGATAACAACTACTCATTTCTGATTAGTTAGACTGGTGTGTTGAATTTTAAAATAAAAGATACCAGAAGAACATAGGTTTCAATATGCAATGACTAATAACACCCAAAAAGACACGCTATATTAAAATCCTTTCGTCACAAATAATGCCTTTAGTCAGTTTTACATTTTCTGTTTACATCCTCAGTGACCCCCCAAGTAGTTGGAATCCCTACTTTAAAAAGGTGTTATTGGTATGTGCATTGTGGCTCCAATTCATCTTGTATTGACCCTGTTATACCACCACCACTTTTGATACCTTTAAGGGTTAAAATCCAAATATTTAATTTTCTGTTTCATTATTCAACTCAAACACTAAAAGATCATCCTAGTTCCAAATTATAATCCCTCCGAATCTGACTAAATATATGTTAAACAAGATCACACAGTTCAAATATGAACTCTGCCCTTTATTAGAAAAATGATGTTGCCTGAAGTTCACTGAATACATCAAACATGTATATTTGGCACCAGTGAATGGCAATGTAATGTGGTATGCGCATAAATATATAGTATTGGCTGATAATGTTTTCTGTTGAGTGATTTTCAGGATGTAGATACCGTTAAGTCATGTAAAAGTCCTTTTACGCATAACATACGTATATGTTAATTTAGTATAATTATACGACCCTGATGTTTTTGTGTATTAAGATATTGACAGATTTGCATATTCACACTTTTGGCCAGATTATTTTGAATCATTTGTGTAAATTTTGTACTTCATTTCAGTTTGACTAACCGGCATCCATAAAGAGCAACACAGATATTTATCTTTATTCTTGAGAAGATAAAACAGCTCCCAACATCCTCTCTGTTTTAACTATCAACCAGTGTCGCTACAGGTCATGGCTGCTCTTGACACCATTAAACCCTTCAGCCCAGAGGAGATTCAGAGGATCCTGCATCACCTGCAGCAGCCTGCAGTCTTCATTAACATGACGTGTGACTGGCCTGTCCTCCACTGGACTGCAGAGCATCTCTCTGAATGCCTCCGTGACAGACTTGTCCGATTCCGACTTGGGGAAAAAGATGAGACAAAGAGTAAGAACAGAAAGTTTCAATGACATGAGAGCAATACATAAATAAAACTGATCATGTACAAGAAAATATTTTGTTAGTTTTGGACTTATAATTGCCTTTCACCCACTTTCTGTCTCATATTAATAAATTGATTAGTTTTCAAATGTGTGAATGTTCTTTTGAAAGACATTTTCTGCTAAAACCATTAAGCATTTAGTGGTTTAACTACTTTGTAAGTTATCCACTCCACTTCAAGACATTAATCCAAAATGTTCTGGCACCACTTCGTTCCTATAGCCGTCAATTTCAATAAGCTCAGTAAAAAGCTTTTCTTTTGCATTCTTATTCACACAAACGCACAGAGTTTTTATTATTTCATTACATTTCACTGAGCACATGACTGCTTTCTGCAGGCTTGTGAAATACATTTTCTAAAAGATACTGTTTTAAATATTGAAGTTAGAAAGATGAAGTTAGAAAGATGTGGTTTAAGAAGAGAAATACAGATTTTTTTTAATGATTGAACAGCTCTATTCCATCCTCCTCTAAAACATCAGCACTGCAGACTCCTTCAGTGATGAATTACAGGGCAGGTCCTCTGATAAAAGCTCACTAATTAGATTTCTAAATCATCTTCAACAGCCAACAGGAGGGCATTGTTTATGATGGATTATGACTGGCATCACTCAACTATGGACACACTTAATTTACTGCAACAAAAGCCAGTAAATCACTAAAACTGTGATTTATACTTCTCATGAAAGTGGGTAAAAACAAAATTTCATGCCCCTGTGATGATGCATATAGCAATTCTGGCCTTTGAGTTGCATTGCTACTATAAATTGAATGGTATTACTGAAACTTTTGCACCTTTTCCACTGATTTCTCATTTACTTGTGGTTTTCTTTCCAGCCCCTCTGTTTGAAACACAGTGCTCCTATGTGGAGGCCAAGCTGAAGCACTTTCTTAACTGGACCCAGGGTCAGACTGGGACAGATGTAGGGCCTTTCAGTGACTACTCCATATCAGAGTACTGGGCCTATGCCGACTACAAGTACATTGCCATGTTGTTTCAAGATCAGCCCTCTATGTTTGAGGTAAGAATCCTCCCACACACATGAATCATAGAAATCTGGACTTCAAATACAACTACCAATGTAAGACCAGGCTATTAAGAGATCTTAAACCAAAAGCAGACAGAGAACCTAGCAACCCGCTGAGCTTTTGCAACTCTATTTGAGCCAGTCCTCAAGTCTTGTGTCTGCCATTGAAACCTTTTTGAATACAAAATGTTTTTTTTTTTGTATTATCTTTTAAATGGTTTGGGTAAAAGAGGCTAAAAATATGTATTCACAAAAAACACAGAATTAATAGTTTTATTGCTTCAGCCCCTTTGGAGTCTTTCTGCTTGCAGCTCCATATTGTTATTTTCTTAAATATGAGTTGCTAGTGGCAACCACTGACTGTATAGACCCTTTTAGGGACCTCTTGTGAAACATATTTATCATATAGGCACTAAAGCAAAAGCAAAAACCCAACAACAGCATGCATTTGTTGTTGCGCCATTGTTAATGTCGTGAATACGGGGATAAATATTTGTTTTCTGTTCTGGCTAATAGACAGGACTTGTTTTTTGTGTACTCCTTCCTCATCAGTTTTTTTAATGGGACAGTACAACCAAAGATGAAATTAGATGTCTGTAAACAGTAAGGTCTTCAGACTTTAGTTTTTGAAATCAGGTTTCCCAGTTTTTACAGCTACCTGAATAAGTAGTTATGTACAAGCTCAAAAGTATGTGTAAATCTGACTATTATACCTGGGTGGGCTTTGAGTAAGATATAAGAGTATTAGTGAGGTTAGTCATGCTGAACAGCCGAATTTCAGTTCTCACCAAATGTGTCAAATGAGATTAAATTTGGTGCTCAGGGCTGACTAGTCACGTTTTTCTTTTTTTTTTCCTCAAAACTAGGCAAAAATTCTAAGTTCACCTGGCTCGGTTCACAGGGGGACATTGTTATGTCGAAAAATAAAAGGAGCTTTTCCTAAATTGCTTACACAAAGTTATCAAGACTTAGTACAAAACAAAAGTTTATGCTGTTGGATTAAGATTTTCTTGAATTGTTTTTGGATATTTTTGCCTACCTGTTTTGAAACTCAGTGTTTTCATTTGGAGACGAAACTGAAGAACTTTCATAACTGTAGCTTGGGCCGGACTGTGACAGGTGTGGGGCCCCTAATCAGAGCTGTAAGCTTTAATTAACCTTAAATGCATAACCACATTGTTTTAAGATCAGCCTTCCATTTTGAGGTAATTAACCTCCTCCTTTCACAATTTTTATATTTGGTTCCCTCGACTCTCAAAATACTTCCTGTGCAGTAACAGTGTGCAACAACAGGTTTCAATACCCTGACAGGGGAATTCAGGGAAAATAGAAATAAATAACATTCTCATAACCATTTAGAAGATAAGTGCGGCTTATCCTTGGATAGAAAACCGCTTTGTTCACTGTGTTAATGATAGTTGCAAGTATCTTGTTGAGACCATTGATTGTTTTTTCCCCAGCTTTTACTGACGTTAACCACCTCATACACCGTCACAGAGGCATGTGTACCGTAGTGTTCCATCCCCTCTTCTTCAAGCATGCACAGTTTTCTGCTCCAGGGCCACGCTGCTGTAATGCATGCAGATGGGGTTTGGCCTTACCTTGTAGAAATATGCATAAAATCTCAGCAAAAGGTGTCTGCATATGCCACTCCAGGACCTATTTGTATTTGTATTAAACCATGTCCCTCTTTCACTGAATCTTTTGCATACCATCACCATTGTACATGGCGTCCCAGTGTATTTTTAAATGGAATTGTAAATAGTACTATTAAACTGACACAGTGAACTTTGTGGTCAGTGATACTAGAATTTACATTCTGGGCAACACAGGAGTTTAAACCAGAACTGTAATCTGCAGGTTGCTGTTAGGAGCGTGTATTGAAAAGCTCCTTATTTTTGTTTACAGTGTGATTATTGAAATATCAAAGCGAGCTCACAGTATGCTTAAATATAAGCAGCGAGCGTAGCCAAGTTTTTGCCTGAGGCCCAGGGCGGTGGCCTCCCTCCCACAGGTGAAATCCACGTGCCGGCACAAAAATGTAGGAGAAGTTTATGTCTCTATTAGATGTGTGATTTCACTGTGTGGTAAGACTAACGTGTGTTTGGGCTCTCACAAAATAAAGAACCTAGAAACAAAGACGGCAGAGTCGGGTGGAGGTTCTCACTTGTTATTCATGTGCACATGAAGGCTGATTTAAAATGTGTGGAAAAAACTTTGAGACGGACAAATTAACAATTGGTGTCCAAGCAGTTTGAAAACTTGGCCAAGTGTCTGCTGACTGGGTTTTATGGGGATAGAAAGGAGTAGGTGCGAACAGGTACCGGGTTTAAGTCCCAGGGGGACAGAGGAGTAATCGCTAATAGATCCCGAGACCAATAAATTGGCAGACCAGAATTGTTGTGTGTGAACAAGATCCCGAGATAGAGAAGTCTTAGGGGGATAGATCACCGAAGTTGCACGCAAGTTGAGAAGCCGGCAGCCTAGCCCTGACAAGTGTGTGAAAAAGAATAATCCGATGAGGTGTGTCTAAAATCGTGGATACAGCTCTGTTGAACCCGCGGAGGTCTGAAAAGGTGACAAACCCAGACAGACCACCCCATGTTAAGCTTGTATATTTGACAAATAAAGTACAAAACACCCATAAAAGTGTGTGTGTGGACCGGTCCGTATGAGTGTGGTCTTTCTTTCCCCCTTCTCTCTTTTTCGTTTCTCTCTCACAATAGACTCTGTCCTCACATCAGCGTAGTGGGGAAATTGGAGCGGCTGATAAGTGTGTGTGTTTGCATACGTGTGTTGGAGAAAGTCTGATGATTTTAAACTGAATGATAAATGTCGCATGGGCTGTGTATAACACATTAAGGTATATGTTTAACTGCAAGTAGACTGACATCAATATGTCGTGCATTGCACAAGCTGAGCATAATCTGTTGCAAATTGATGTGTGACTAATTGAAAATGTTTAATATGCTGGTTACAGAAATATTATAAGCAAACAAAGATTGACTATGTTGAGACAACCTGTATATTGTGCTTAAAGTTGTAATAATTGTAATATAAAATAGACTGTTGCTGGACCTCTTGGATTGTGTGTGTAAGGTTTGATGGTGAAACGGATTGTGGTGCTGGTACATCAATTTGGAAAGTGTGAACTGGGACACAGTTAGAGTTTGTAAGTTGAGACGCAGTTAAAAGTTGTGCAGTAGGGTGTGGCACAGACAGAGTGCAAGACAAGTTGACAGTACGAGAGTCAGACTGAGACTGATTGAAAGATGCGGGAAGTAAAAGGGAGGTGGAGCCACTTCTGCTCTCCCTCTGGGAAGAGCCCCCATGAGGCAGATTCAGATCAAGCCAACACGTGAGTTATTGTAATTAGTTCATAGTGGAGGCTGGAATTATCAACATTAAGCTCCAATTCAAGCTAAAACTGAAATTCAGAGTAACAAATAAGGATTTAGAACTTAAGTCTTTACAGCAAATGAGTTAAGGTTTTACATATTTTATATGGGAAAGGTCCTTAAATAAGTAGATACATACAAGCGCTAAAGTAGGAATAGATTGGGTCATTACTCCCTGCTAGTCTTGGATTTAAACATAATAGCATTTGTGAAGTCTTTCTCATAAACACACACATTTCAGTTCAAGCCAGGAGTGTTAAAGAATTGATTCAGTGCTCTGTTCTGATCAGTCATATTCCTGGAAACAAAATAAGGAGAAATCTTTATGGATTGGCTTTGTGCACAGGGAGGCATTGTTGTGTTGAAATAGAAAGGAGCTTTACCCAGATCTGTAAGTCCAATACTTGTAAGGACTTTGCATTAAACAAAAAAGTATGCCATATTGCTTTGAGATTTCCTTGAATTGCAGTAATGTTGTGTTCACACCAAACGCGAATAAAATCTTCTAGCTTAATTCGCACATTTTTGGACGGGTGAATGTTGTGTATTTACTTGCTTGATTTGCGTGTTGGCATCGGGTCTGTACAGAAAACCAAGACCACTTTTCAGACTACAGATTCTACATTTTTTATTAGACTAAGTTATGAATATTGAATCTTTTCATTACAACAATAAACTTATTTAAAGTTCAGAGAGCTTCTCTTAAAGTCTTAAAGTTTTTGGAGCTGTAGTTTTTCAATCAATTAAACATTAAATGAAAAATATGCAAATTTAAAGAGACAAAACCTTCCTCCTAAAGTTTTATTCAAAGGTAATTATTAATATTCTTTTTTTTCCCCATTTTTTGACATTTTCAATTAAAACATCAAGCCTTATGTTTATTTCAGTTTGATATAAGCAGGTATTTTGTCCTGCAGTGGGTAAAGACATAAAAGTGCCATCCTTTTTCAAGCAACAGCCACCTTTTCATTCCATTTGTATCTCAGTGATTCATTTTTGTTGGGCGTCCACCTGCAATTATTAGCCGCTGACATTCATGCCTTGAAGACAGGCAGACGGGGGCTTTTTACAGGACAAATGATTCTGGGAATAAAGGCTGCCTCCAGGCTGCATTGACCAGTGTGTCATTTACAGCTGCCTGCATATATGCTAATGGATTCATTATTCAGGATACCGGTCTGAATGCTACACCTTTGTGCTCTGACAAGACATGATTGACAGAGCAGTTTTCCATGACAGATTACAAATACTGTAGCCTGGTTTCCCCACACAAAGGCCTTCATTTGGCACCTATAATGGGCTCTGTCAGAGGAGCTGATGAGGTGGGATTACTTCTATTAGATGTGACAGTTCTTACAACATGAGCCGTGTGCATGTCACATGTACAATAAAAGACTTTTAATAGAAAATGAAATGCTATTATTTCTATTTTTATATCATTTTGATTGATATTTGTAAGACCCCAATCTCATAGAAGATGTTTTAAATGATATTCTAACAGAATTTGATGGTTAAAAAGTCATTCAAAACCCATATCAATTGAAAAGTAGTGTAAAGACAAAATTTAAAATGCTGAAAATGCTATTATATACTTTAAAATTCACTTTATGGCTATTTTACATGTGACAAGCATGTTAATCCTGTTTTATGATGCCTCAAATTTTTCAGGGTATGTGCAGATGAGGTGTGACAGTGTCTCCCTAAAATATGGATGATCTCCTCTGAAAAAGTTTTGTTCAGGATGCTTGCATGTTGCTTCTAGCCCTCTATATATTACTCAGCATTAGAGGTGTCTTCCCAGATGTGCAAGCTACTCGTACCCTAAGCAAGTATGCATTCCCATGCTAATATGTGCTGATAACAAGCAAACAGAGGGGTCCATGATGTCCAAAAAGAATCTCAAATTTCTAGGGTCTTGTGGAATTAGTTTGCCATTTAGTTGAAGTGTGCTTTTGTGTTGCAGGATGTGAAGTGGTCAGAGTTTGGCTATGAGGGACGTAATGGAAGAGAGAGCACTTTATGGATTGGCACCGAGGGCGCCAACACACCGTGCCACCTGGACTCTTACGGTTGTAACCTTGTGCTGCAGGTACAGGGACGGTAAGAAGCATCATAGCATATGTTTACTGATGTTTGTGTACTCAAATTACCAGATTATTCATCAGTTAACTGCTTCTGACTCTTTACTACCAATCTTTTCCTCAGTAGCTGAAATAAATAGTTGTTTTCTACTGGTCAACCCAAACAATTAGAAAGTAAATTTGACTAGTTTGTCACTTTACCACACATTCTGGTTTAGTACAATGTAACTAACTCTGTATCAAAAAACCCTAATTTGCATCAAACATTTGGCTTGTGTTATTATGATAACAAAATGTGTGATGGGTAGTTTGAAAAAGAACAATATTGACTTTCCTTACCGTTACCACTTTCCTCTGTGGACCTGAACACCTCCAAGAGGTTTTTAAGGTTTTTGAATTATTAAGTCTGAGGTTACAGTTTACTTTCATGCAAATTTGGCCATCAGAGAAAAGGTTAAAAGTACGACTCTGCCTTGTGATACCTGTGAAAATGCTTTTGCACATTCAGTGTTGAGGTGACATAACCAGGCATACGGAAACTTCAGGATATACAGCTGATAATTTGGGAAGTTTTCCACCTGCAGCCACCCAACTTTTCTGCAACAGGAAAGCTGCAGGGCACTGCAGCTGTTTACACAGACTACGATCTGTCCTCTTGCCCTCTTAAAGAAAGTTAATTTGTTGCAGAGCTCGCCAAAGCTGGAGGGAAATGGAGACAGAGTGTGAGGCGCTGCATTGGGCACCGCGAGTCAGAAAACAAGAGGGAAAAGGTCTTTGAATCTTATCTCAACCTACTGCTCTCCCAGAGAGGCCTTTTATCTCACTCATTGTCTCTTTTATTTGGTATTGATCTCAAGTTAAATGAAATTCAGCTGCTACAACTGGCCCATGAAAGTACAACAGTGAGGATTGATATGATGACTTTGGTGACAATGGTGGGTTGGATGAACAGAAAGCAATAAAGGCGATAATGGGAGAAACCTCAGAAAACGCTAGAAAGACATTGAGCTGCCAAAAAAAATAAGGCTGTTTGGAGCAGTAAAAATCAGAGCCATCTACACTTGAAACTATGTATGAAGTACATGTCACAGAGATTATTTTCTATGGAAGTACAAAAGAGTGAAGCTTTCTGGATTTGCAGGGTAGTAAAATTTTTAAGTCAGATTAAATTTAAGAATAGAATTAAGAGTGACAATAAAATGTGTTTTTATTTCACTTCTAAAGTCTTATCTGTAATAACTGCAGTGTTTTCTGTGCATAGGAAGCGCTGGTACCTCTTCCCTCCAGAGGACACTGCTCAGTTGTACCCCACCAGGATCCCTTATGAGGAGTCCAGCATCTTCAGCCAAGTGGATGTTCTCCATCCAGACCTGAAGAGGTTCCCTGCTTTTCAGGAAGCCCGGGCCCATGTTGTCACTCTGCAGCCAGGGCAGGTGAGGCGTCTTTGCTCGATATAGTTTTATTCCAAACATTTAATCCGTTACAGAGCTCTCTTTTAAACCCACATTTGATCAGTCATGTCCTCTTAAGCTTTCTTGTTCATTTGGATTCATACTTCTGAGTTTATTAGTTTGTTTTTATGGATAATGTTGAAAGCTCATGTGAGGTTTGAGTTAATTTTGCCAAAAACAGAGCTGCATGCTTTTAAATACCTCACCTGAACCCTACCTGGCAGCAGCAGTCATGGGCATTGAAATAACTGCATTTAAGTTATCAGTCTTTTTTGGATCGTTAGTTTTTTTTGGCTGCAGTAATTCAGTGTTATAAAAACTCAGTTTCATAACCAGCTTGAAACACCTCACAAGAACTTTGAACCACGATCATAACAGTGAACCAACTATTATTTTGTTCCAGTCTCAGTAGAGGGTTTCCTCACCAAAAAATATTTTCAGCTGAAAGTATTTTCTGGTCAGTTAAGCCCATCTGATCTTTCCTCTGAGCTGTTTTTAAACATTTCTCTTTCCTGGCGCAGTAAACACACAGCATATTACAGATAACAGTGTACCACTTTCTACTTCTAACTCCCCTTCCATTTTATTGTGTAGGCCTACATTACACAACAAACACTATCCTGTTTGTCTGCTGTGTAAAGAATCACTCATCGCAATCATACAGACATGTCTAGTGAAATAAAAAAAGTCGTTATCAGATAGTAATTAGGGATACATGATATAAATGGCATTTTATAGAGTCACAAAAAAGAGTTTTATCTGAATGGCAGACATGAAAAATCCTGCCAGTAGCAATCATGTGCACCTGATGACAGCCTGTACGCCAACAACGGGCTTTAACATGTTTGCTTTATGGGAAGTATTTTGTAGTGTCAAAAACATGAAGCAAAACAGAAACCCAAATTGGTATCAGTATCTGTATTTGTATCATTCAAAATTAGTTTGAAAGTGTCATCAGACTGGTATCTGCAAAGATCTTCTTGCATCTGTAATTGCATTTTTTATTTCTTTTTATTTCAGCGTAACAAAACACATTTTATTTTACAGTCAAAAGCTAGGTGGATGGCAGAAATATACCAATTTATCTCAAATGGGGCAATCTGCAAGCTCCAACATCCTCCTACTGTCAGCGTGTAGTTCCAGTGCAAGTGATTGGCAAATGTCTGCCAATTCATAACAGACTTATGAACATATTGTGTATTATTCAAAGAGACTAGAGCATCCACGGGGGGGTGGAGGGACGCAAATCTGCTTGCTAAAAACAACAAAAAGTAATGATACAATACAGAGTGTGAATAACAATAAAAGGGCTGAAATAAGAGATGAAGAAAAAGTAAACATGAAGTAACTCAATTGTTTTTGTGTGTATCACATCATACTTTAAATGATTGTGACATGTTTACATCAGCTGCAACCCAAAAAAATATTAAAGCTCCTCCTGAGGAGTTTTTAATTGGTTATGGAGCGGACTGAAATCAACAGTGATGACTCTTTACAACCTGCAAAAGCAAACTAGACTGTTACAAAAGATTAAAGAATATCTTTTACACAAGATTTATTCCTGTGATACTAGAGTGTACTGTGCTGTCAGGGGGTAGGTGTCAGATCATCTAAGGAAACCCAATTATTAAGTTCTCCCCAGCAAACATAATATAAAGCAAGGTCATTATTTGAGAACCTAGTTTACACCCATAAAGTAACAGACATTACTTTGTCCACATGAGGGCGCCAAAATAAACATAAACAGAAAGTTCCTCACTGGAGCTTTAAAATAAATTTAATGAAAGAGTCCAGTTTTAAAAAAAAAGAGAGATTTTTTTTTTTCAATTAGACTTTTAAAGAACAATTGCTGCTTTGTTGAACTGCTAGTCATGATGATAGTCAAAATTTTATCACCAGACATATCCATCTATGTATCAGTTGTGTCCAACATCTATACGACTTGTATTTGCTTGACGTCAGAAACCCACCGCACGTGATTTGATGAAGTTGAACTTTATGCAACCCCTTAGCACTCCATAATGTGTTCAGATGCTCGTAACACAGGAGCTATAACCGTAAAAGATCCCTTTAATGGTCCTTGAGCTCTGAACATGTAAAAGTAGACCTAAAAGGATGAGATTTATTTGTTGTGATGTCCTCCATAAAAGTAATGCAAGGCAACAGTCACGACTTGCGTGGCAATTAAAAGCTGGCCTTCGTGGTTATGGTACTTCACCTTCAACAGTCTGAAGCTTTTATACTGAAGGAGGCGTAAGGTAAGTCACATTAAAGTCGCTTGAGTCATCACTCTTCATGTCTTGTCAGGGGAAAACGGCAGTGGGGTCAAGTCTAGGCAATTAGATCATCTGACAGCACAGTCAAGCTCCTGTCATCTGCTCTCTCGTAGAAGCAGCAGGATTCAGAGTCTGTAAAGGTATGATTGAGGTGTTGTGAAATCCAACCATGGCTGTTATGACGCCCTCATCTCCTCTGCTGCTTTCAAAAGAGTTTCCGGATTTTGGGTAAAAGTCTTCCTGTCCTACTTTGCCTTGTTTTAGATTCCCGCTGCATTGTTTTGTTCTGCAGGAGTCAAAAAAGTGACAGAGCAATTAAGCATCTGTCTCTTTTCACTATCTGTTTGTGCCTGAACTCTTGAAGCGCCCTGAATTCGCTCTTATCAGCAGAACAAAACCCAGCTGTCAAGGAACTCTGAAGGCAGGTGAAACTCTGTGCAGGCCAGGGTCACAGCTGATGCTGCGGGAGGTTTACTTATTTTATCTTGAGAAATGATGATGGTGGTTACACAGCTGAGGGATGGTATGCCAAAGAGAGTCAAATGCCATGACTGTGCTGCTTTTCAAGTACAGCCAACCAATCTCGTTTACTTCAGTTTTGGTGTTTAGCAAAACTTTGACAGTTTTTGTTGATGCCACTGAAAGAAGACTTCTATTGTTGACTTCTGGAACCAGCAAGTTTTGCCACCCCAGTCAAAAAAGTCTGGACATGACATTGTTCAGTGGCATTAAGAAAACAGTAGGATCTATACTGGGTCAGGCTAAAAAAAATTTTATTAGAAAAAGCTGCAGTCAAACACCTATTTCCTTCTTTTACAGAAAGGCGGTAAAAAGCTGACTTCCGTACCGGCAGATTAACAGTCAGCTAGTACACAGTGTGCAGGACTAACTCCCCAGTGAAGATTCGTCAAAAAAAACTGATCAAAATGAAGTCTTAAGGATAGTAAGACTTGAAATCAAATTTTAGGAAAGGCAATTCACGCAATAGTTATGACTTAAGTACAATAAGCAAGTGAATTGACTCTATTACTGTCTACCATGAACAGTAAGATCATGATGTTGGGCTGGAAACAAAATTACTTGATTTACAACAATGTCTTTAGCTGGGTTGCATGTTAGGCTCTTTATGACTGCCTCTTTACAAGGCAGTCGTAAAGAAATATTACATATTAAAACATTGAGCATTAGCAGGAAGTTAACCGGAGGTACATCCAATGATAAAACCACTGTTACTTTAACAGATCTGTACCATTTGTTTTTACGGTTGGATTGTTTCATCTTTTTACATTTCTTCTTTGTCCAGGTTTTGTTTACTACCTGGCTTTCGAGCATCCATGCTATTCAATTACATGTTCAGACCCTGGTGTGTGAACTCATAGCGTGCACATAACACTTAGGTCAGTTTCAGTCCAGTTTAGCTTTAAACATGACTTAGAAAATCGATCCACAACCACATTATCCAGGTACATTTTTCCAACTATAATAAATCCGGTTTCAGTTTGAGTAACATGTTTGCACAGGATAAGAGTTCTCAGGAATTTACAAAGTAAATCAATATCAAGTCACTTACATGTTGAAATATTGTCTTGCATCCCTAAAACAGAGATCTTCAACTCCTCAAGGTCAGTGTTGTGCCAGGCTTACACGCAACAGAAAGCTATGAGTGCACTTTTTTTGTTTTCACCATACACTCTGTCATACTGCAGCAGAAGACAAAATAATCGAGCACAGGTAAATCTCCTTCAGGATGGCTCCAGCTCTGCAAACCTAATGAAAGAAGAGATCATTCATCTTGTCTTGTCAGACCACAGGCCATGAATGAATCAGGCCTGCTGAGGAAGCAGGGAATCAATAAGACTTGCCCATTTTAATAGACTTACTTTATGAATGGATGACAGTCTGTGGAGAGAAAGGTGTTTGCTGCCATCTAGTGGACAATCAGAATTAAAAAAAAAAATCTGTCCTAAAGATTTATCACTGAGGCTGGAAGGCAACAAATATTGAGTCTGTGATGTTATGAAACTGCTGATCCATTTAGACTGCTGAGAAGTATCTGACTTTTATCCTCTCAGGTACTTTATGTCCCCAGACACTGGTGGCATTATGTGGAGTCTGTCGATCCCATCACAGTCAGCGTCAACTCCTGGATTGAACTGGTGAGCAAATCTGTAAAAATGTAAGGAAAATATAAGAAGAGGAGCTCAGTCCTCCCTCGTCAAGGCCTCCTCACTCTCAGTTGTGAACAAAATTTATAGTTAAAAAAAGAAGAGCTTGGTCATGATGGTGAGTGTGTGAGTAAAAGGCCTCCCACTACAAGCTAAATATTTACCCAAAGAGCTGCTCACTCTCCAACTGTAATGATTGTAAGGTTGCCAAAACAACAAACTCCACTCTGCATCTTTTTCACTCGGTGCAACTGTCTTGACTTTTCAGAACTCTTTCTTGTTTTGCTTCTCTGACTAACTCCCTCGGCTCTCTGTCCCTGCTCAGGATGTGGATCACATCGCCAGAGTTAATGAAGCGGTAACCAAGACTGTAGTCTGTGCCCTGAAGAGCGCACCAAGCGATGACAACACCGACGACTGGCTCAATCCCACTGAGGTTGTGAATTCGTTTGATAACTTGGATCAGTTGCTCTCTGATTACCACCTCTTGCAGCAACAGGGAAAAAATCCAAACACATTTATTTCAGCCTGGATACGCAGAGCTGGCATCAGAAAATGAACTGTGAGGATGGAAAATAAGGGTTTGTCCAGCTGAAAGAGGCTTCAGAGGGTTCACAGCACCATCAACTGTCTCATTACTGAGAGGAAAGGAGTGCAAGGACAGAGTTAGTGAAATACGCTGAATGGGATGCCAGCTAAAACACGTCTGCGCATTTAAATGAGGAGGAATAATGTCAGTGGGGGGCCAAAACAAAAGTAAGAAAAAACTGATTCGCCTGTGTTCCCCTCTTTCCTCATACAAGGAGGAGAGTAAGGTAAAGCATACAGTCTAATTTAAAGATAAGCTCTCAGGACAACTGGAGTCTTGTCCTGGTTTGGCCTCCCCTGTCGTCTTTTAAGCTTTTCCCCGCATACTATTCTCTCCTTGTTTTCTCTCTCTCTTCCCTCATTACAGCGGTAAAGTAGGGGGAGGTAAAGGATGCAGCCTAACCCTGCAGTAGAGATGTGGCCCAAGTATGTTTCATGTGCTGGTTCTCTCTCCCTGATATCTTTCTAGCATCTTTTTATAATTTCTCTGTTACCTCTTTCTTCTCTCTCTTTTCCTTCACTTTGGGTGGTGTGGGGAGGTAGAGCATACAGCAGAACTTAATGCAGGCGAGCTTGAGTCCAAACATAATTCCTTCCCTGGTTTGGCCTTCCTTGGCCTTACATACTTCAAGAAATAACTTTCTGGTAAAGACACCACAACCAAGAACTGAGTGTAAAGATGAACGTACTTGTCAGAAGCTGGACATTGCTTGCCTTGTCCTTATTTATATTTGGACAAGACAAGCGCTAAAATAACTTTCGTAGATGTAGCCATCTTGTTTCCACCTCCGATTTTGCTTTCTTCTGACTTGATAACTGAAACGCTGGTAACTCAGGTGCGACGTCATTCCCAGCTCAGACTTCTGACTTCTGAGGTAACTCGAACGCAACATTAGATATTCTGGATGACTGGTTTTCAGAACCTACAAGCCATAATTGTCAACATTTGAACAAGAATGGCTTGAAATATGACACTTGACGTGCACTGAATATAAAAATGATCAAAGTTACTTTTTCCAAAACAGACAACAACAAAAAACTTGTTCAGATGCACCTGTTCTTGCAACTCCTTATGAAGGCTTTGGATTAATCCTTTAACAACATTGGCCACAGGAGTGTTAGCACACTGAACACAAAATGCAGGATGATTCATCAACTCAACATCCAGGGTTTATGCCACATGCTGTTATCCTTCAAATATTTCGTCAGAACCTCTGCCTCACCTCTGAAGCTGGCCTCTCCATCTGCACTCTGGTCGTGCCAGAGAAGTTGTCAATAAGGCCTCCTCCGAGTCTCATTAAGGCTGATATCTGTGATTTAGCTCATCCAGCCTCGCTGAGAGTCTCGCCTGCCTGCTGTAAGCGCTGTACCTCCCACATCTTATTCACTCAGAGTTAGTTGGAAAGCCAGACAGCTTAAAGCACTCAGAGGGTTTATTTATCCAACCCACAGGAGGTTGTTTATTCTGTAGTCACAGTAAGGGCTTTCTGTAGACAAACACAGGTGGTAGAGAGACACTAAAGCTGTATCTAACAAGAAAGGGGACACAATTAAAACCCTTGAATCTAACTCCCTGTTAAAACAAGTTTTCTGCTGTGACAGTGCCAGTGAAAAAACGTCTGAAAAGAGGTATTATACATCTAGATATTTCAAGGAGGTGAGGAGTTCAGAAAGTTTGAAACTCTCCAAAAATAGTGAATGTCTTTTTATTGAGATCTGACAGCTATATGAGCTGGAATGATGGTTCTGCAGAGCCAGCTAGGGAAAATTAAACAACTCGTAAATATACAAAGAGACTTCATTTACCAGGGTGCTCATGTAGTCCAGTTGGGAGAGTACATACACCCAACACAGAGGTTTGAATGCATCAGCAGCAGCAGCTTTGATTCTGCAGCTTATGATCCACATCACCATGACCCTGACTTATCAGTATTTCTCTCCTCTGCTTTTACCATCCAAAAGGCTGAACTGGCCTCAAAATAACCTTTAAAATTAGAAGAAAAAAGAGGGGAAAGCTACTTGTAGTTTACTCAGAGTGGGGGTAACTTTTGGGAAACTTTTGCAGTCCTTAAAGCGGGTGGTCTGGGTTCAAATCTGACCAGTGGCCATTAACAGTGTCACCCCTCACTTTCTCTGATTATTACCAGACAACTTTGTAGATTACTGTCACACACTTACTAGAATTATTCCTCAACTCAAACTTGTTCCCCTACTGACTTGTTCTCCCCTATATGTCGCGTTCATAGGTAGGAAAGGTAAGTTTCTCTCCTCTACATGGAGCTGTCCATTTAAATCCAGTTTCATGCTGCGTAAATCTGATTGGTTGTGGGTGTGTTTTCTTCAGGAATATTCATAAATTGTCCAACCTCAGAGAAGAATACCAGATCTTAACTGTTTGAGCAAGTTACACGTAATTCTGGCGTGAAATTCAGTTTGATCAGCATGTTTGTCTCTAGTTTTGGTGTGGATAAAACTTTTCAAACCTTTCGTCAAACCAATCCAAAACAAAAGCGATTTTATCGAGTAAATGGGATATCCACCTCCTTAAGAACTTCAGAGCTTCTTTCCCATACAGAGAGTTATGCCTTTGCTTCACAGAATAATGAATATTTTCTTGTTTTTTCTGCATTCTGCCATTTCCATACATCTGATCAGATCATTCACTTTTATATCGTACAGACTCTGGTCACAGCACGGCTCTCCCTGCCTTCACTTGTTTTTCATAAAATAGCTTTTAAACTAGTAGCTGCTGTTTGCTGACCTCTCAGTAACAACATGTTTTTATGTTTCCGCAGGAAGCAGTAGGGTCCCATACTGAGAACATGCAGTATGTAAACCTGGCGCTGAGAGCTTCTGCTCAAACACAGAGGAGCCTTGGCCACAACCGAGAGGCACGCCCCATCAAACGGGACTCCAGGGGACAAATCAAGAAACACCGAGATAAAGTAGAGGAGCCGAAGCCCTTCATTGTTCCCTTTGGACCACATCTGATCCCTGTACACTGTCAGCGGGAAAACTTACCAAAACAAGAGGGAGAAACGGACAAGAAATCCTCCAGGAACTGTGATACCAAGTCTCAGGAGGTCTGCTTCACTGCCAGTTCAAATGAGGTACAGAGAGCAGAGCTTACATCTGCCAACAGCTCAAGTCAATGCAGACAACGTGACAGCGCAGATGTGAATACCCAGAACCCTTCAGAGGATTATGAGGAACCAGTAGACACGAAAATAACCACTAATGACCTGTTGGACTGTCTGGTACATCCTGATGTCATCGCCCTTGTCACCAAGCTTTTACTGGAAAGGCACACAGGAAGTTACAGGGCTATGACACCCTAAGACTCATAAATTACATAATCCAGCTGAGGCTGTTTTAGGTTTTCTACTGTGGATGTCTCTCTTGACTTGGTGATGGACAACTGTGGCAGGAAAAAGCTTAAAACAGCTTTTTTTGCTGCAGATATCAGCTCTCCAAAACTCCTGCAGATGCTTTAGAGTTGATAAAAGGAGGTGAGATTAACACTGCCTTTCTTTCACCCCCTCATCTGTAACGCTTCTCAGGAGGCACAATGTCGGAACCAAAACGAATCACAATACGAGCGATGCCATCAAGTGCTTCCTTGTTTTGCTGCCCTGCTCAGACTAATCCAGTTTGGTTGTTCCAGACCAAGAAATATGCTCTCCCTAAATCAATTTCATATGCTAATAAAGAGCATAATTCAAGGTAATAATCCTGAGATTTGAACATTTGTTTTCTCAGTAATGTTTTCCTGTCATCCTCTAACGAAAATTGTCAATGAACAACAGCAGAGGGCTAAAAGCGATGCTTCGCTGATCGATGAAAACTGCGTGCAGGAGGTAATAAATGGGAAGTGATTGATGACAGTCTGACACCACATATCCAGTCACATCTTAGAGAGGAAGGACATTAACGGGGAGAATGAAAATATGCTTTATAACTTGTTTCTTAGCTCAAATTCATGCAGTACTCTTTGTTTTTCATTGAGATTGATCTAAAGTGTTCACAGTGTCAAAATGCAAATTAAATAACTTTTTTACATTTATGAAATAGTTGTCAAATGCATGTGTATGATACACAAAAGCTAACCAAACTGCCAGGGACAAGATTTTATATTGTCATTTATCTGAAACTGATATGAGGGGGGTAGATGTCAGGTGAACTGCTGGAATAACAGCCCTGATTTAACCACATAAAATGTTCAGAATAAAAGATAAATTTGACTGTTGAAACTCAGCAGGATTAGTTTTTAGTCAGACACTACTTCAGCATGTGGAGGCTGGGATAAACAATACCTACTTTTTTCACAGGGGGCGCCACAACAAGCCAGAAAGTTCGTATCGTTGTACTAAATTGCTTTAGTTTCAAAATTGACCAAACAGCGATAACAAGGAGCATTTTTAATGTGCTTTAAGATCACAACAAACTCAAAAACAAGCTTTTGCATCACATCTATTTACAGAACTTCATAGGGAGCAGCACAATTTACAAAAAAATCCATCAAGTATCTCATGACTTGAAAGGACCTTGCAGCTGGTTTTACATGAAAAGAGAGCAGATAAAATATGTGGTCCAATACTTCAGGCAGTTGTTTAAACTTTATAAACTTTTTCTTACTGCTTTGGAGCGACTACATTCGCAAAAACACAGACCAAGGGGCAAATTTTTGAACCTTGTGACTTTTTGTCTGCATTGGTCTTTCTCCTGAAATAGCAGGATCGGTATATTCAAGTACTGTGCTGTGTCTCATACACACCTTATGCACATTATTCAAGCAATGATAAAATATTCATAATATGGTAATGGACGCTGTCATAATGCTGAGTCTGCAAATGTCACTTGAAAGGGTTCAATCTGAGACGCAGCATGATTAAGGCAGCTATCTTTGAGAAGCAGCATTTCAATCAGAACAGACTTGGCAACATGCATTTGAACTTCATCCAAACACATTCAGGTTATCTTGCAAAATAAAGAAATCTGTGACAACCAAAATGCAGAGCCCTGAGCTTTCAGTCGATAATCCTAAAAATGTTACACTTTTTAATTTTCCTTCAATATGCAAAACCACCTCAAACTCTGGTCCTTTAATGTCATAGTTAAAGGCACACAATGTAAACTGAACAGTCACTGACATTTTTTTATCAAAAAGGTTGTGATTATTTGTAAGCATCATAAAAAATAAACATTTTGATATGGAGTTAATATGCAACAAACATACAGCACTCATATATAACATATAATATTTAACATTCATTTGAAATAATACTATTGATCATGGTGTGGGGAATGGCACTTTTGAACACTTCTTCATGCATTCAGTCTCAATCAGAGGATACTCTTTTGTTCTGAGGTTAGAATTTTGAATGTCCAATGATCACATCTTATCACCATAAAAAGTATGTATATTAAATTTAAAAAAACAGAGTACAGTCTCTTAGTTCATCAAATACTTAACGATGGCTAAAATGAGTGGATGCTACAGTTTGGTGCTCTTCCCTGCTTTGTTCAGCTGTATGTCTTCCCTCTTTTCCTTCAAGTTGTCCTGGTCGTCTTCCTCCTTCCCTGAGTCCTCCAGGTAAATCTTGTCCAGCTCATCAGGGTTGACGTAGGTGTAGAATGAAGCCATGATGGAGAAGATGATGCAGACGCCCAGCAGCAGACCAGCAAACAGCAGGAATTCAATCCACTGAGAAAACAACAGATACTGGTCAGAGCTTCAACAGTGAAAAATGTGTTCACTCTTGGCCTTCAGGTAGTATAATGATATAGGCGTATATATTTTCTTTCAAAGTAAAACAGAGATTTAGGTATTCAAAAGAGTTTTGTTGCATAATTTGTCCATCAGGGCTGTGTACGTTTATTGCACGAGCAACAACTTAATCTATTTAAACCAAATGTGCTTTAGCGTTTTCATTAGCCTTCAGTGTTACCTTTCTATTTATTCACTTTTTCACTCCTGTGCCTTCTGTTCTCAGTTGACACATACTCCAACTTTTAGGAACACTGCCACACTTATCAATAGCATTTCTTTATCACCAACCAATCAGAGTGAAGAAAGGAAATGACCTGTGACACTTCTTTGCAAAAACAAAAGCCGAGAGAAAATCACTACTATCGCATGTGAAGGGTTGGCCAACACAGACAGAGGAGACACCTCTTTGTCCACAGGCTGGGAAAATCAACACAAACTAGAATTTTCTCACGGACGCTTTATATCCCGGTTATCAGTGTTTTTTTCCCTCTTAAATCATTATCAGAAGCAGCCTCACTCTTATGAGCTCACAGTTGTAGTCCCAGTTCATAGCTCTACAAAATAAACACTGAAAAACTTTTTGTCACAGCGATGTTGACCCTTGCATTTTTGGGCGAAAAATTCAATATTTTGAATTCAAGCATTTTTATCTCACCGGGTATTCCAGTAAATTGTGTCTTATTATCAGTACTATCTTTAGTACTGGTGAAAAAATACCTCAAACTGATGACAGAGACATGAATCTTTGATCATGAACTTTGATTCAGGTCATCCATGAGACATTCCTGAGATATTAAGTAATAGGACAGATAGAGCGACAAAAATAGCCACTGAGCTGGATACCACGAGTTAAAACTATACTCTGATATGCAATACTTCATACCTGTTCCAGTCCCGCACCCTCTGCCACAATCAGCACGATCACGTTCCCAAAAGCAACTGTGAGCAGCCAGCCGGCCTGAAGGACTGACTTCATGTTGGCCGGAGCCTGAAAGAAAAAAAGAAAACTCCACAGTTAGCAAGGATAGGAGACAATACAGCTCTGAAATGGTACCAACACTAAACAGATTCATGAGTTTAATACTTCCTTACCTTCATCTGACCCAAAGGAATAAAAGTTATGGAAAGAAATGTAGTTTAACCAATGATTTATGACAACTTCTTAGTCAGAGCCTTAGGCCTGGTACTCATGAAATCACTTCTGGAGAAGGACTATTTCCGAGAAATGTTAACTCCCAGTACTCCTCCACAAACCTTGTGTTTTTAAACATAAAACACTCAGCACATGGAGGTTGAATTGTGGCTCTAAAGCTTCCTGCTCCCACACTGAATTGCAAAACCTCAGTTAAATTTGATTTTTGACTTATGTCTGATTATGGTACGGCTAAATACAGGGACTTTACATTTGTCTCACAAGCAGGAGAAAAGTTCTGATCTTGATTATTTTGACAGGAGAGTTGAATTTTTGGAAGTCACACAAACTTAAGTTCAAAGTGTAAGGTGAACTCCATTATCCATGTGAAGGACAATTTTTTTGTTTTGCAGCTAGCAGTAAGAAAACACGAACAATAAAAAACATTAAAAAAGAACAATAAAATGAGCAAAAGCATGCGCCCAACAAATCTGCAGATAACAACAGGACAATAAATACACTGAGTGAGACAAGTAGAGGAAAAAGTAAGAAATGTGATAGTTTGACCTATTGTATGTACTCTGTTAACATGAAGGAGGTGTAGTTTATGACATATCCTGCAGTCAGTCAGTAGGGGGAGCTCTAAATCTTTCGCTTTTACAGCTAGTGAACATTCATGATGTCCAGTGTAATGTTTAGTCTATAGTTTGTACCAAAAATGGAGCACAGCAAGAAACATTAACAACAGCTGTAAAAAAAATAAAAAAAAATCTTTTTCTTCATTTTTGTCCTGTTATTTTTGTTTCATCTACTTCTTTTATTTTGAAGATGACTCGCTTTATTGTCCTCCATTTTTGTTTTACAGGTTGTGAAATATATCCCAGATTAGAGCTGCAGTAATCTTTCTCATGAATCTCTAATCAGAATTACTGCCCTTTCTGAGGAAGTAAACTATAAACTCATTTTCCAACTCAGAAGGAAGTAAGTAGTCCTCTGAAATGATTGTTGTGGATATTACGTTATTTCTCGGTCTGTACTTACTGAGAATACAATGACTAACCTGTGAGTAGGAGAACTCCAGGCCTGTGATGGAGAACATGACCTCTCCCATAGTCATGAGGACGTACTGAGGGATCTGCCAGGCTATGTGCACGTTGTTGGCTTTCACATCCTCCATCTTGTGAGGAACAGGTTTACCCGATTCCTAAAAGGACACAGAGAGGTCTCTATCACGCTAATGAGCAGGTGAGATCATGAATAAAGTTTAAGTATATACAGCATCAAGGATCCTGACCTCCATGAGTATGACAGTGTAGGACGCTCCAAAGTCCAGCAGGCCCAGGTTGAGTTTGGGGCAGGGCTTTGGTGGTGTGGTGGGTATGGTGCAGGTGACATCAGTGTATCTACAGGAGGACAAAAGAGGCATTAAGATGGAGATGATGAAGAAAAGGAAATTTACAAAGTTAGCAAAGAGTTGGTTAATTTGTTTGATGATGTAAACATGGAGTCGAGTAAAAAAGAAATTGCTAGAGAAAGCAACTTGCTGCCCAAAGTGCCTCTAGAGTAGTAAGAGTAAACTGTCAGAGTAAGTAAAAAAAAACACTAGAAAAGGAAGCTGCTAGGTTTTTTGAAGCTCAAGGTTCAAAGCCATGTGTTGTTGTTGACTTTGATCACAAAGGGACTAACCATGTGACAGAGTGCACTGAGTTACAGAGGCTAATGAGTCAGTTCGATACAGGTGAGAAAAAGGGAAGGTGACTTACTCTCCTCGCTCGACACTCTGATTTGGAGACATGAAACCAGAAGGTACAAGGAACTCTGCATCTCCAACACTTATGCCTATTGGATCTGGTCCCTTATTCAGAAATCTGTTAAATTAGATTTAGGTATTAGTGAGGCTAAACTGTTAACAAGTAAGGATGAGTTTAAACCTCTGAGATGAAACATGTTTTACCTCAGATAAGGATTCCCATCTCCTGTTTTCTGGATGTTATCTTCCACCTGATGATGATTAAAAAAACAAAAACAGCCTTGTCAATGCACTTATCACCAACAACATCTAATCTTATTCACAGCTCCACCCTGTTTGTCTTCATGATTCAGAGTTGTAAATATATTTTGAAGACCCTACAGAACTTTGTTTCAGGGCCACTCACAAGTTTGCACTGGAAGCCGATGATGTCCGAGTCTACTATGAGACTGTAGGCTTTCATTTGCTCAAACGTCTGCTCACACTCTGAGGTGACTCCATTGGAGGTGATTTCAATCGTCAGGTTCTTGCTGGCAGCCTCAAGCTGGAGTGTTTCATACTTAGGAGGGTCCTGACAACGAGAGTGGAGAGCAGAAATTTCAAAACATTATCTTCAGTATGAAAATCAGCTTTGGCAAAATAAGAGAATTTAACGCATGATGTAACTCGAAAAGTAACTGGGATCCTTTTAAGATGTCTTAAAATTTGCTAAATTGAATGGCAGAGTTGATCCTGTCTGCAGAAAAGCTTGCTTGAGCTTGCATGCTGGTGTAACTAGTCCAGTGACGTGTGACTCATACAACCTCACTTCAAAAATACTGAAATATCTCTTTAAGTACACAACTCAAAGAGACTAAACTGGTTTAATTTGTCCGCAAGGCTTTACAAAAACAAACATGAACATGCTCATCATGAACCCACAATAAACATCCACACCTGTCAGTGTTGTGCATGTTTTTGAGTTTTAGTTCACTGGATAGAAACAGTTTCAGCATCTGATCTCTTTTTCATTTGGTAATCCATGTTTGTTAACTAGTTAATCAATACAAGTGGTTTTTAATGTCAACTGAGCATTTCCTGTTTAAACAAAGATAATAAGTGACACGGCAGATTAATCCTGTGCAGATAAGGACTCTTAAGAGATAAGAGCCTCTCATTCTAACATATGTTGATCTTAAATCCATAATCCTGACTAGTTTTGAGATACAATCTAAAAAGGACCCGGATAACTCATACATAAAAAAAAGAAATCATGTTATTGATATTGTGAACCTCCTCTTATTTAGTTACCTGCAGGCGTGTGATGGAAGCTGGAAACAGGTCGTACTGGCCAATTTTCACATTGATGTCACCTGGGGCAACGTTGTAGATCTGCAGGAGACACTTCCCAGCAGGTGCGGGATTCACAACCGTTTCCTGACGGACAGAGACAGAGGTTTGATTCTCACGCTGGTACAATACATGAAATCATGAGTATCACAGAGAAATTGAAGCAGTTTTATTAGTGAAAACCTTACTGCTGTTAGACTTATGAACATCTAAATCTGCTTTTATTTTGTGACAAGACTCTGCAGATGCTTTAATGTCAGTTTTAGGTTGGTTCTTTTTACAAGTACTCTGAGTTTTTTCATTTCCTGTGCGTCTAGACCAGTGGTTCTCAAGTCCACACCTGATTCAAATGATCAGCTCATTAGTAGGCCATTACAGAGCTTGATAACGAGCTGATCATTTGAATCAGGTGTGTTGGAGCAGGGTAACATCCAAAACATGCAGGACAGTGGCCCTCGAGGATTGGACTTGAGAATCACTGGTCTAGAATGTGTATGTTTCTTTCTTCCTTGGATCTTTTTTTTTTTTTTTTTGTATAAAATGTTTTAAAACTTTTGCATTCTAGAAAATCTATATTTAAAATATCTGAATTTTCTTGTAAGTTGTCAAAACAAGTATGCAAATAGTATGGTATATGTTGGTAAGACAGAGCTTTAGTGAGCATCCCTTTATTATATGACGAGGCAAAATTGCTGATTTCTGATTTTTATACTCACTATGACGTTAACTTCCACCACTGTGGCGGCTCCAAAAGCCAACGCTGCAAAAATCATCCCTGCTGCCATTTTCCTCAGAGGCCTGAAAATAGAAAGAATCAACACTTTTACACAACTTTTATTACTTAAAGGATGTTTATGGAGTCAAGCTTTGAGATTCAAATCTTTATTGATCTGTAAAGTGATTTCCAAATCAGCGTCCTCCATGATCTCCTACCTGATAAGAAACTGCCCCACCCGTTGTTACATATAAAGCCATCTGTTGCAAATGTGTACTTTATAACCAGTAGTACTCTCTGTTTAAACCAGTGACTGCAGTGGGTTTGTTTGTTTATGTAACATCACCTGATACCATATTTTGTACCCTAGATAGCTTTTCTTTTCCAGTCCCAAGATAATGAATATACTTGCTGAGTGCCCTACGTGTGTGAGGCTGTTTCATAGGGTACTAATGTGAGGTCACATGGCTCATTTTCTAGTTTTAAGAGGCTTTTTAAAATGCTGGTGTGTGCAATTAACATGGGAGGACCCAAAAAAAACAAGCTTCTACTTACGTGACTTTGATTCTGCAAAAGCCAACCACAGGATAAATGACGAGGTCAAAGATGGGAACGAAGACAAGAATCAGCAGAGCGTTCAACATCTAGAGAGGAAGGAGGGCCTTTAAATGACTCAATAAAAGCTAAATAAAACTCATCAAATCATAAAGATGGAGTTGTGTAAGTAGAAAAAGGCTGATTATGTTTCAATATAACCAGGAAAAGATGACCTGATGGCAGTGATTAAGATCTGTGTCTTATGCAAAGTGATTGAGTCTCTTGAAAAGACAAATATTTGTCATCCAATGTGCTCAGTACGTTTGCACATAAAGAATACATAGACAGTTCAGAGTATAGATGACATATACTCAGAGTCTGAGGGTTAAAAATAGTCACAAGGGTTTTAATGTTCCTCTCGCTAAAGTGGGGAAACAACCAGACTGAGAACAAGTCTACTTTTAAATTTGTTTAAAGGTTTTCACCTTAGTGTCAGGTGACAGTAGAGGCTCTTTTTAAGGCAGGTTCAACACTGCAGTATGAAAAAAGTCCTAAGAAAAAGCCAGTCAAGAAGACTGTTTGGAAAAAATCTTTTGGTGCAACTAATCATTAATATTTCTAGCACTTATCGCCCTGGTGCCATGATGCTTTACCATCCACATGTTAATAAGCTCAGATAACAGATGGCAATTCGTTGACAGTTATTGCCGTGACACTTTAATGCTCCACTACCAAGATCTAACTAAACTCAGACGCCAGATGGCATTTTGCAGCACTGCCCAGTTTGGAACATCATCCATGTATAACTACAGACCTGGTTATAAATTCATTGTGACTGTGACATTCTGTTTTTTTACTGTGCACACAAACAGTGAAGTTAAAAGTAGGCAGTAATGCAAGAGTAAGAAGCCAGTTAGAGGAAATATTCCTATATAAACGTACCTGCATTTGGTCCGGCTTAATGCTGACAGAATCCCCCTGTAACAAACAAAATAATTCAAATTAAAGCTCCTGTAAGGAGATTTTATGGTTATTAAACTGGCTGATATTTACAGTAATGACTCTTTATGACTTTAAAAAGCAAACAAGACCATCTGCAATGAGATTGGAAATGTGGGGGGTGGGGGAAACTACATGATCACTGAAGGAAAGTTTTGTTCACAATTCCACTGTAAATAATAACAGTGAGTGATAAGTTCCTCACAGGAGCTTTAACAAGACAACCATTTAAAGTTTAACTTTCAGAGTTATTACACAATGTGCTTCTCAGACAATAAAAACAACATAAACTTAAGCGAAGGATTTAGTCAGACCATAAAGTCATATACTGGAATGAAACACAACAACATCCTCACAAACGAAGTCTGTTTTACAAGAATAACAAAACCCACCCACTGATAACAAAGTGAATAAAACATGTTATCAGCTCTTCAAATTTTCACATCATTGCTAAGCTGTTTAAATAAAGTCTTACAAAAGCCATGTTCATCCTCGTGGCCTGAAGAGTCCAGCGGGAACCCTGCAATGAAGAAAATCACAGCTTCACTGTTACTGTATTTTGAGGTAGCAGCTCCACAGCTGGCTGACCTCAAACCCACACAGGGTTTATTTTGTTTTAATCTACAGGTAAAATCAAGAATTGCTTATCAAATGTCATTCTTTATGAGGTAATTCAGCTGATGTAAATAAAGAACGAGTCCAGGGTGAGTAAAATGCTGAATGTGGCTTTGAGGTTTTTCTTTATCAGATGGTTTAGTTGAGTGCTGGTCAGAGGAGAAGATTACAGGTAGTTATGGGATTTTATAGAGTCATGACTCAGGACCTTGGAGTTGTGCTGACTAAGAAGGTGGTTATGTACTGTATGTACACATAGAAAAATAAAATTACATAATACTACATTATAAAGTGGAAAAAAAAACTAAAAAGTCAGCTTTGCTCAGTAACAAGAGCAAAGTGAAGCCGCTTCAGCCACTTTGCCCCAGCTGCACACAAGATACTAAACAGACTAAATGAAGATAAGTTTAAACCCTCAGAAGTTGTTTTACAGATTTATGGTACTAATGGCTCTTTTTGACCTCTTACATTAAGATCATCGGTGACAGGGTAGATATTTGAGTTGTTCAATGCCAGTTCACTGACCGAGAGGTCCATAACAGACAAGATTCTGTACAGCACAACAGATCTTTCCTTGCATTTGTTTAAAATGGGTGCTGCACTGACAAAAAATATCTATGGAGGTCGCCATCATGGAAATGCAGACTCCATCTAACTTCTGGTCATCCAATACCTTCAGAAATATTAAATTGTAAAAGACATAACTTCCCTTACAATGTGGGAGAAGAAAGGAATAAGCTACTCTGAGAAAAGTTATTTTTGTACCAGCCTGAAAACATATTCAATATCAATGTAAAGATAGGCTACTTAGAATGGGTGTGTATGTGACCTTTGGGGCTTTTGCACCAACCTCAAGTGGACACTCGAGGAACTGCAGCCTTCAGTTCTTTCACAATGGCTTAGTTGTTAAGACAGTTTATTATTCTTTTATCTTAACGTACCTGCTGATCAAACAAAGCCCAGAACATTGGAAGTGGAATGAAGAGCACCAAAACCCGCAGCACCATCTTTATCTCTTGAATGAGTCGTTTCTGTTCACACAAACACAGAGAAATTATTGGTGCACGGAAACACCACTCTACAACCACAAACTTAGAAGTATTTTATTGAGATTTTTTGTTATAGACCAACACAAAGTAGTTTATACACGGTTTTCAAAAATGTAAACAAATAAAAATCTGACAAGTGTATCATTTTAGTTCCACTTCACAATTATGTGCTACTTTTTGTTGGTCTATGACAAAAAAACTCAAAGTACTTTTAAGTTTGTGGTTGTAGAGTGACAAAATGTGAATAAGTTCAAGAGGTATGAACACTTTTTTCCAGGCACTGTATGTATGAGGTCGTGAAAGGAGTATTTTTATTACCGAGTATTTATCCTCTGCCCAGTCCAGCCAGTGCTCCCTCGAGGAAGCATGCTTTGATCCTTTTGAGCGGTTTTTGATGGCAAACTGTAAGCCAAAAGTGAAAAAACAGAATTAGAAAAGTTTGAAGATGAATCACCAACAGGAGGAGAAGCAATGTTTTTAATTTCACACCTTTATTGCAGCAAAATAAAGAGAGAAATCCTCTAAAACAACTCAAGAGGATTGGGAAATGACTCACCCCGATGCAGTTGCAGACTTGCAAAAGTACGTTTCCTTGCGGGGGATTCCTCTTGTACAGTCCGCTGCCAGCAATAAACACAACTGCACAAAGCAGGGAAGAAAGTTTATGTTGAAAGTGAATTGAAAGTTGTGTAAACAATTGCTCTACATACCTGCTTTTAGAAGTACATGCTTATATTTCTAACTAAGAAGCACAGTCTGCTACAGACTGTGCTACATCATTTCAGATTTGTAAGCCTTCTTTTCAGCAGCGCTTTGGAGTAACTCACTTTAACATGTCGTAAACACGCAGAGCTTAGTCTCACAAGTCAGTCATCAATAACAGAACTTCATGTCACACTAACTGTGATCTGTGCATGACCCCTGAGTAATAAAATCACACTTTGTTTTCTGAGCGAGCAGTCAACCAAGCATGAATCCTATAAGGATCAGCAGGAACGGGGATTCACGGCCAGAGACAACCGACTGTCAGGTCTTATGTGGACGGGCCTTGATCAATATGAAGCCCAGCCTGTTGAGAGCTTGACTTAATGCAAACACACCCTCAGCATACAGATCACTGCCTGAACACAGCTTAGATTCAGAGAGATCGAACCTCAACGATATGGTTTAATTTAAACATTAGGGAATGTATCAAGACCGGAGCTTGGTATGATTTACTGGAGGCACACAAACATAAATATTTGAGTTTCTTTCATACAGTATTAATTCAGATATTAACTTCATCACGTATCACCACTGTATCATTAAAAATTATGTCAGATAGCCAATCATTTTCAGCCTCATTTGACTGAGTCAGCACTTTTGGAATTAAAAAAAGTGTCAGCCTGAGGCGGTCTTTGAAAGGGAGTAGGTGCAATAATGATGCACAAGAATTTCTGAATTTCTCTCCCCATTTAACTCTTAATTGATTCATCTTATATCGCAATGCAATGTTAGTGGCAAGTGTATTCTTGGTTGTGAAAGAAAATCAAAGCTATTTTCTCTTCCCAACAACAGAGACTCCAGAAAAAAGTGGGAGGTTTTTATGTTTTTAGGACATCATCAGTCACAGTAGCTATTTGTGCTCATCACTTTACTGTCTTCTCTAAAAAAGGCCAGTACGAGCTGCATTTACATTTCAATTGTTATGGGAAAACCTAGGGTTGTTCCATCTATAAAGACCTCCCATCTAAGCTCTAAAACACAAGCTGAAAGTGATATTATAACAGCAGGTCAAAGGCACTGAAATTAGGGATTTCAAAGATGCCCATGTAAGATAAATAATTAGTTCTTTTAGGTGCAAATCATGCAAAGCTACTCAGTAGGAGTCCCAGACTGAGACAGTGAGAGGCGAAATGAGTATACTAGGTCTATTTAAAGCCCTACACGGGGGATCAAAAACCAGTTGGCAGGTTTTGGCTCCTTGCAAAGATTTAATGTGGGAGCACAGAGGAGTTTGTTTCATCATAGAGAGCCAGAAGTTCCTGCTCAGCTGCTCATTGCCTAAAAATTTGCTCTGGCATCACTGAACTTTAGCACATTGTTTTTAGAGGGTTACAAAGCCACTGCCCATCCATCATGGGAACAACAGTGGATAGGATAGGACAGTGGATTTACAGGTGAAGTGATGCTCACCTGTAGCCACTATCATCAGAATAGCAGGGACCCCAAAGGCCAGGGCGTAGCAGTCATTACCAAAACACTTCACATCGCCTGCAAGAAGAAAATAAAGCTTTAATGGCATCGATATTGTGATTCAGTTGCATGGTGTGATACAAAGTTTAACCATATCAAAGATTAACCCAGTGAGTGCTTACTTCTCAGGATGGGTGTGACTATGGTTGACAGGAGGCTCCCAGCATTTATAGACATGTAGAAAATGGAGAAGAACTTCTGCCTTTCAGTGACCTGGGGGTGATCAACAATAAAATCAGAAATCCCTTTTAGCTGTTTATCTGGGTTTGGTAACACTGTAATTTATGATCTTTGGATCCAAGTGGAGGTTTCAGATTTGTGTTACAAAAGTTTTGTATACTCTGTTGGGTTAAATATCATTGTATTGTTGCATATAGTACTGTATCCTATCAAATCAAAAGTCACTGCATCGTATCTCAAGGTCTCATGTTGAAAATGTTAAAAACACGACTGTTTCTTCAATTGATGACACAGCGTTTTGTAACACTTTGACCCTCCACCAGCAACTCCAGACATGAAAATAAAACCAAACAGAAAAAGTCCATCTTTATAGTGATGGTTTTTAGCTTTTATCATAGGAACCATTTCCAATTTGGACTTCACTGATTTCATTCATTACCCTGGTTTAACATCTCCAAACTAGAAAATAGGTATAGTTACTTACAGCACACTCATCAAACTGGTCTCCACCAAATGCTGCCACACAGGGTTTGATTCCTCCAGTGCCAAGGGCTATGAGTATCAGACCAACCATGGACAAAGCACTAAAACACACACAGACCATAAATATAACTCATTCACCATGGCCATGAATCTAAATTTCTATTATTCTTATATTTCCAAAAGTAATATGTTGTGATATGGAAACACTTTCTGGTGTTTGACTGTTGTTTGCACATAATCAGAAATTCAAGATTGTCTGTTAAAACATGTTAAAGTCTTATTAACTAGTTGTCTACTCATACTGTGGCATCACTAAGTGTGTCTCTGTTTCTGAAATATGATTCTGCACATTCAAAGTGAGTGAATCAGCTTGCGGTAACTTACATGTGCACGTCTGTGTTTCCCACAGTGGGAATGGCTCCGACTGACTTGACCACATGGCCAATCACATACACAATGGACAAGTAGATGATGGTCCTGTTTAAAGCAAACTGTGATTACAGACATGCAGACTGCAATTTTATGTACATATATCTCTGTGAGAGTGTGGCCAGTGACTCATCTCCACTAATAGGAGGAGTTCGACAATTTAGAAAAGGCTCCTATATTTGAAGGCTTAAAGATTGCTGATGATTTATTATAAACAGGAAGAAATAAATTATGAGCATATCTGTGGATGAAATTGATTTATTGATTTCAACATTTCAACACCCCATTTATGACTTCTTCCACAAATCCAGAGCCTTTTCACATGAATGTCTGTGAATTATCTGGGGCATTATTTCAGAAAGGGTTTATAGTGTGATTTTTGTTGTTGCTGTTAAATCCACCTCTGTTCTCTTAGTTTGACAAAGGCGGACATCTTAAAAGCTACAGAAAGAAAAAGTAAGAATCTTAAAACCCGGGAGGAAACACATTTAGATGGAAAGACTCACTTGTATTTTCCCAGCCAGGAGTCAGCAATGACAGCTCCCAGAATGGGTGTGAAGTAGCAGAGGCTGCTGAAGGCATGGTAGATAGCTGTGGAGAGGTCCTTGTCCCAGTGCAGATAAGTTAGGAAGTAAAGCGTCAGCACCGCTGTGAACAGAAACACAATTTTACCTCAGGACTTATCTCAGGTGTTGAACAATTTCAATTACGCATGCAAAGTTGAAACAGTTTACGATATGTCATCTAGATGTGTCCTTAATTTCAAACAACTTCAACTAAAATTCTTCTCCGGAATTAAATAGCTGAAATTGTTCAACATTGTGTGTGTTTTCAAGTATATTTCACATGATGTTAAACTATCATTGCACATGTTGTAAAAAAAAACATTAGTACATATGATATGAGAAGATTCGTAAGTTATTTGCACATATTTAAAGTTGAACTTGACATGGTATGAAAGTATTATTGCATGTGATTCAAGTATATTCCACTCAAAATAAAAAGTATGAATGCACATGATATGAAAATTATTATTTGATATGCTAGAAGGAGTTTAATTGCAAATTTCTCAAAAGTATTTCTGCACATTATATAAAAAGTACTGATGCACATTTTTTACAACATGTCATTCACATTTTATAATGAGTGAAATAAGCATGCCGGGACTAACCAGAGGTGTAATTTATGTTTCTAATCAATGTTAAAAGGCGCTTTTGTATAGAATATCTATATGTCAGTGTGAACAGATTGAAGTAATGTGACAGGCTGACATGTGAGAATAAGTAAGGTCATGTGGGGGAAAAACAGAGCCTCCTGCCTTATCTGTCCTTTTCTGCTCTCTCAACCTTATTCACTCCCACTTTAAACTCTTTACGAGCTGAGCATCACCACTTCACACTGAGTCAGCTTCTCTTCACGGTGGCATTTAAAGACCCTAAACCAACTCTGTTAGCTAGTAATCCTCTTCCTCAGGTCAGTCAGAGTTACCATGTGTTGTCCAGACAGCCTGTTTGCATACCTTTCATGCCATAGTAGGAGAAGCGTTCGCAGAACTCGTTCACCACTATGAAGCAGATACTGGTCGGATAATTGGTCCCACATAGTTTCTAAAAAAAGGGGGAGATGTTTATTTGGTAACATTTTAAATTTCTTGACCAAAACAATCAAACATAATCCTGCTGTATAACATTCATATTCCACTTCTTATCCCTAAATCAGATATAACCGAGAACTTACTGATCCAAAGCAGTGATAATACTTTGCCACAAAGTGGTAAGAATTCAAGCGTACTAACTTTAAGCCCATACCTAATAAGTCACTCAAGGCAATCATTACACAGAAACAAGTTACACACACTCAGCTGAACTATTGATCACTGTTCTAATGCTGTTCACAGCATTAGTAATAGTTTATATTTAGCCACAGAGTTAATTGCTCTTTAGTGTTATACTGAAACATTAATTTGTTTTAATACGGATACACATGTGTGCAATTTTATTTTTAGTCCCAATTGGGTAGAAAATTGTGTCATTTAATTAGGTAATAAACAGTGTCTCCACAAAATGCACAGTGAATCTGATCTAATGACAATTCTACTATTACCAGAGTGCTTTGAGATATGGTTTAATTAAGACTCCTAATAAGTTACACACACAAAGACTTTGTCTCCTCACTCGCATCGCTTTTTGTTTTGGTATACAAATGTAGGCACACATGCAGGTTGAAACCAGGACAACAAGCTCGACATGTTTACATTTGATTATCATATACATAAGCATCACAATATTTGTATTTCTTTGAGGTGTGGCTGTTTATCCTCTTTGCCGCAAGCATATTTTGGAGCTTTTGGTCTTATCAAAACAATATTGGAAAATCTTATAAGTCCAACAGTGACCATTTCTGCAAAGAAACTTCTTTGGATGATAAAATAAGCCTGTTTTTTTTTTCTTCAAACAGAGTAACACGACCCTTGAAAACTATTTGCCTTAATGTCTACAGGAACACAGTTAAAACCCTTTAATGCCCGAAATCACAAATTATGGCCAGAAAATTAAATTTTTCTTGGAGCTGAAATGTTTATTTCACTTACTACTGAAAACCAAAAAAATCTAAATGTCCTTCAAATGTAACAAATATATTTATTTATTTTGTTTGAAACATCAGCTGTTTTTGGAAATTGATAAACCACAAGAGGGCATTTTTATCATTTATCGGGCTGTATTAAGGTGTTTTTTTTGTAATTTGTTGATCATAGTGATTGATAGAAGTATCATAAAAGTATGTATCAAATATGATACAAAAGGGAATAAAGGGCTACAAGAGCATTACACACAGCAAAAACTAAAACCCATGTAGATTTTTTAAGGTTTCAGATCTGGTAAAAAAAAGATAATTATAAAAAAAGAAGAAGAAGAATTGCAATCGGACCAAATGAGCAAGAACATTATCTATCCTACTGGCATATTTGTCTACTGTAACAAGCTCTTCTGCTATCATTGTTGGCTTGTAATTGTAAAAACACTTGTATCTGTACTTGTCATGTGTGTCTTATGTTAGACACTTGAGCGGGGAATAGTACTAAAACACTTGCCCAACTACTCAATTTTTGCTGTTTAACTCTCGAGCACCCAAATGTTTGTATGTCTTGTATATTTTAGGCAGGCTTTGGTGCGCCTGTTGCATCATCCCACAATTAACTGGTCTTTGTGGTTTAACGGGACCCGTACTCAGAGCTGGTAGCCCATTGTAAGACACGTCCTCATGTGTACATCAAGACAAACACATTTACGCTCCATTTTCGTACGTATTGGTCTCTCCGCTCCCTTGCGCCTGTTGCGACTACACTTTGAGTAACTTTTCACGATGGGCTTGATTAATTTTCCAAACTTTTCGCGCACTCTAACAACACAAACTGTTTCACGAAAAAAACCCAAACGACCCTTTTGTCTCAGCAAAAGCACGGCTCGTACTTACCCTCGTCATCTTGCGTTTTTTGGGTGGATAAGTTTGGATCCTCACTGGTGCATCGGGAGCTCCTGTCTCACATCCAAGTCCGTCCCACTCTGCTGTGCTCTGTGACTGCAGGAAGGCAAAACCTCCAACTTTTATGCACTTAAAAGTCGACTAAAAGTTAATGTTTCACCACGTGTTAAATCAGGACCTACAACTCGCTTCAACAGACAACGGTTGTGTGAATTACTCCTAAAACGCAGACCTACCACAGAGTGGAGACTTGAGGCGCAGGAGGTCTGGTGTTTGTAGTAAAGAGGGGACCAGCAGCAGGAGCAGGAGCAGCACACTCTGGGTGGACAATAGTGTCGTTGTAAAAACTCACAGGCATAAACCTGACATCAGGGTGGAGGGCTATGATGTTTGGAGACTTTCACTCATTTGTCTCCACTACAAACAACATTTACAACATTAATTTTTGGTGTCAACATGGGTTTGATTGTATGAGTGTTTTTCTAATTTGGAAGACATGTTAATGAAGCCATCTGAAATCTTCCCTCTCTTCCTTTTTTTGGGTTTGGAGACACTAACAATGAGTTTACTGTTACTGAGGAGTATTAGGGAATATCATGCAACATGAATCCACTAGAGGGCGTTATTTGAGCAGTTTCTGACACATGTAGGCCTGAGTATTGCTTTTTGACTTCAGAAAACATGCTTGGAGATTATTTTATGTTAGTCATGATAGAAGTTCCCTGTGTCTCCTGTTTTATTCACTGTGTTTCCCACCAAAATGAAACTTATTGCTGACCTGGGCCTTTTTAAATCTCAATTGAAAATTGAAAATATAACACAATACAATACAATATAATATAATTAAAAATGTAATACCTAGTAGAGTGGTGACACTTTATTTTATTGCATTGTATTTTATTCTCTTTTTTTATTGCTTTTATTGTTTTTATTTATTCATTTTTATATTCTATTGTTACATTTACATGTACATTTTTTTAAGACTTACTTTTGCAGTTTTCTATTAACAGACATACAGCTTCCGAACATAAACCCCCTCCCCCAAGGCTCTTGAACAAAAAGAAATTAAACAGAAAAATACGAAAACAAAAATAGTCAGACAGCGACCTCTTCTCCTAAGTTCAGGAAATCGATGTTTTGAGCATGTTTTAAAATGGTTGTAATTGTCCAAGATGTATCACTGAAATGGAAAACCTTACACAGATTCTATAAAGGGACTCCAGGTAAGGGCTTTACATATTTTGTATCTCAGTTTCTCTAAAGGTAGAAATTATAGAACATCCCTCAACTACTGCAGAAATGAAGGGGCTGAGTTTGCTTTCCAATTAAAGAGTAGCATTTACATTTACATTTATTTTGCTGTATTTTACCGAGTGTGTTAACTCTATTTTCATTTCCTTGGTTTTCCCTCCTTGTTTGATAGTTTCCTCTGTGTTCTGTCCATCACAACTGGTGCTTGTGTCCCTGAGTGTATAATCTTTGTCTCCCCCTTCTTCTGTGTTGGTTAATTGTTCATATGGTTGTTAAGAGTTACTTTATTTAATTGTTATTCTGTTGGCGAGTTTGGGTTTTAAAGTTGCCTTTTAATTAATTTGATTCCTGGGTAGTCTGTGTAATATGAATCTATGGATTAACATGTCTAAAAAGTACAAGTGTCAATATAAACACATGGAATAATGTCAAATAACGTTAAAGACTTGCTGTTTGTGGTAAAGATTATATAACACTAAAACTCTTCGCCATCGTACTACTCTGTCCAAACAGCTACAACCCTGCATTGAAAAGAGACATGGTTTGTTATCTCTACTGCAGTTTTCTATTATCTGTTAACATGTGAATGAAGTTATATGTCATATGACGGCAACTCTACAAATTAAATTCACCAATGACAGCCGTGAAATGGGCTTAAAGTGCCTGAAAATGTGGCGCCTGTCTGGCTCAGTGGTCAAAGCAAGTGCCCCGCTTAGAGGGACAGCAGATTAGTTCATGATACACAAGGGGGGCGTGTCAATGTCCCCCTAAATGAGCAAGAACAATACAAGCAAAGATCTAGACAAGAAGAAACAAGATCAATATGAGCCACAGAAAGGGGTGGGGAGTTACCTTAGAGTTTAACCCATCATACATACATTTAATGAATAACAATCTGTGAGAGATTTTAGCATTTCTTCCTGGAACAAGCTGCTAGAAAAAAATACCAAATTTACACTTTTGGAGCTGCTTCTTTTATGTCTTTCACTTTGGGACACAAAAAAACCTCATGAGCAAAACTACAATCCGATCATCAGACTTGAATTCAAAGGCAAATGTCACATCCTGTCAGGGACTGTGATATGTATAAGGAAAGAGGAAAGTGCACTTTTAATTCTCTAAAAACTGCCAAGTGAATAAAGAATCAATGAAAAAAATAACAACAAATTACAGTGCGTTTTCCAACCACTAGGTGGTGACATAAGACAGCTAATCCTAACAAACTGAGCAGCCATGCAAATACGCACATATTTATGTCACTTTGTTTGGCATAATTTATCTCCCAGTGCTCATTCTTTAATCAATATATGTGCATCAGTAAGTAGTTTGCTATAACATACATAGTATTAGTTTTGAGATTCTAACTGTCTAATATTTCAATGCATCTGCAATTGCGCAGGAGAAAAGTCTGGATGTAGGTTGTTTTAAAGCCCTGGTAGGTTGTTTTTCCTTTACGATTTCACAAAAACAACAATCAAGTAATCAATATGAATAATTCATAGAATAAATAAAAATGTAATCTTACTGTCTGGCCATCTTGTCCAGGAGTTTTCAACAAGATTAAGATAAAGCTCAGCAAAAACAGAGCTGCACATCCAGCTCTGCACTGCTCGAAGAGGAAGAGTTTAAACACGGTGCATGCCAGGCAATCACCTGTTACGCCTAGGGGTAGATGAGGGACTGGCATGAGTCATTTCAATAACAAACACTTATAGTTCCAGAAAAACCACATTTTTGTGCTCATAGCTGACACACATATGGAAGAGGTGTATATATTTGAGGTGCACCACATTACCTCTGCATATACAGTATATAATGCTTTAAAGAAACCCTTTACGCACAGGGGTGTTAAATTACAGTAAACTGTGTTTACATTTACATAAATAACTGGTAAGACCAGTTCTATAAAGACAAGAGGAAATCAACACAAACAAAATATTCCTCAGAGGAGCTGTAACTTTACTGTAACCTTGTCTCTTCCAGTGTAAAAACCACAATACCATGTTAAAACCTTTTCTGAATAAGTTATCTGTTGTAAATATGCAAGTAGGACAAGCACAAATATTACATGTTTCTGCCTTTATTGAAGAAAAACAGGACAAATACATGGAGATTATTCAGTAAAGATTCTAACCAAGTGTGTGGCTTGAACTGTTGAAATGTTGTTTTAACCTCCTGGATGAGGGGTTACTTGTTTACGGAGATGATAAAACAGGTCATCTCAACCCACGGAAAACATAAGTCAAAAAATATGAAATACTGATCATTACAAATAACAAACTAGAAATTGTAAATCACAAAACAAATTACAATAAAACCTTGTAATACAAATCTGTATGTACAACACGTACTAAAATATAGCAGTAAACCTCTGACTGAACAAAGTTTTCAAGTTAGAATTTCTGCTTAACAAGTTTAGTTTCTTTAACACTGAGGCAGGGGCGTGTCCTGACTTCTTTGACAGGGGTGGCCTAGCCCAGGTACTAGCATGAGCAGGGATGGCCGGCGTATGAGAGCACACTCAAATTGATAGTATTTAGCCTCTTTGTCTTTGTTGTCTTCTTTACCAACCACCATTGCAACTGGATACATTTGACATTAAATGTAAAAGTCATTTGAACGTGACTAGAGAGAAAAATAAGGGCACTTAAATTCACTGTGTGCACATGTGGTCTCTAAAACCTATTAGAAAATAAATGTAAACAATGTATATATAGGAAGCACGATCCAGAACGAGAGCAGTTTTTTATTTTACCAAAAAGATGGAGCTTAACCCGTTGTTGTACCAGGAATTTTGACCTTCACAAACATTATATTTATTTATTTTATAGACAGTGCTCAATTTGTGAGTTTCCAGTAAGCAGCATGGGATGTACCTGGAAACCAGATTCCCAAAACTTGGCCTTGGCCACCGGGCTTGCACTCAGAGCAATTTGCAAGTGCCAATGCAGCATTTTTAAAAAGATAAAGCTAGCTATTTTCAGTTTATACTTTAGCATTTTCAGTTGTTCCCATAAACAGAATATGGCCATAGCATGTCTAACAAACAAGTTTTGTTTGAGTATCCAAAGTCAGACCTTAAGAAGGGCCTTTTTGTGTAAAATTAGAAACACTAAAAAAATCCTACTGACACACTGTTTGAGGAAATAACGGTGCCTTAAAACTGGTGGGATAAAAAGTTATGCACAAAAAATAGCATTTTCTGTAAAACATTTCGATTCTCATCAGTTTGCCTTGTATTTTTCAGTTTTAGTGCATTTCAGTCAGTCCTAATGGTGAGAACGCTTTAGAAACCAGTGCCTGGTGCCAGGCAGACATCACAGAGTGAATACCAAAACAGCTCACAGGGAAACTCCAGTGGCTGCTCTGGGCTCCTCCTGCTCCACTTTTCTCTCCAGGAACTGCAGGTTGATCTCTTTTGCAGGACACAGCAAGGTTCTGGTGATCGGCTCGACTTCAGCTCCTGTTGGATCCGGCCTCAACTTGTAGCTTTTTATCATCTTCAAAATAAAAAGGAGACAATATTTAATTAAGAAAGGTTTTGGCAGGAAATCTATTTACAAGGAAAAAGAGGCAGACAGTCAATATTTAGGTTAATGATTACCTGTAGTTTGACAGGCTGGATGATTTTTAAATGTGTTTTTTGGCTCATGACTGAGTCCCAAGTCGGGGGAACTCTTGGTAATTTGTTTGGGTCACACCGCCAAGACTAATAGAAGTAGAGCAGCCTTTGTGCTCTGGCTGGAGGGTTGAAAACTCAGGGATTCAAATAAATAAAAAGCGGATGATTACTATGCAAACAGGGGCCGTTACTTCAGTTTACTGACGCTTTCTTGATCAGATCATTGGTTTTTGAAAATTTGATACATGCTTGAATAAAATGTGTGCACAAGTTTCTTAGAGCAGCCCACAGAGACGTCAGTTTCAGAAACTGTCTCCTACAAATTCTGTGAAAAGAGAGTTGTTGTTTTTGTGTGTGTGTGTTTGGGATTTTTGAACCTCTCCAAACCAAGATATTCCTCGTAAAATCTCTTGGATTATAGTGGTTACCTGGCATAGTTGATCCTTTACCCATTACTTACTGCTTACACTCTGCTGTCTGTGCTTTGTACTGTTATATTAACAAAATACTGATTACATCAGTGGAGTACAACTCGTACTGCCAGAACATCTTGTTCCACCCTGACCTTGACTTGATGCCCAAAAAAAGGTACAGGGATGCTTGTAGCACCCTTTTCCAGATGGACTAGCTTGGGCACAGAAGGAACAACAGGCCATGAAACTGTCAGTGCATGTTGATAGGTTTCCTCACAGGGTTTTGAAGCCTGTCAATGGTGGTTACCATATTGGAAATGCTGGCTCAATCTAACTTTTGGTTGAGGTGGGCCTTTAAATTCCTCGCTAACAGTTAAGTCAACCCGCTGAGCTGGAGGGCAAAGCTTTGGTCAGCCAGGCAAAGTATTCAACCCTCACTTATTCTGGTGTAAATATATATCCACCAAAGATTGCTTGGCTGAACCTGAAAGGGAAAAAAAGGAGCCCAGTCAGCAGTAAAGAACCAGAATAACAACTTTTTCCCGTGCACAAAGGCATTTGGCCCACATAATTACTAAAAGTTTGATAATGTTATGAATAACAGTGGCCAACTTTGTTGAACAAGGTAGGGAGGGACCATTTTTGTTCCAGTACAACAATACTTTCATTCTCAAACCCCAGCCATTTAACAATAGTTTTTTCCAGTTTGGCATGGAAACATTGACCTCAATCCCATCCAATACCTTTGGGAGAAAACTGCAGCTGTCGTGGCTGAATGAGAGGAAACGCTTGAGTAAGGATTGTGCCAATTTTTGTAAAATCTCATCCAAAAATAAGGTTTTGGAAAGACATGGTTTTCAGTTAGACATGGATTTGACTTTTAAGTGACTACTTACAAAGCTGTGTCATGTCTGATCTGTACTAACTGGTCATTTCAATCTAACCTCTGTTTGTTAAACCACAGCAAATCAGAGACATCAATAGAAACAGGAAGAAGACTTTACCCTGGACAGAAAGAGGTACATCTCCAGCTCAGCAAACCGTCTGCCCAGACATCCCCGGATCCCAAACCCGAATGGCAATGATGCAAATGGGTGCTGCTTGAACTTCTCCTCTGAACCTCTCAGCCAGCGGTCAGGAAAGAAAGCGTAAGGGTTTGGGAAAACGCTCTCATCATAGGACGCAGCATAGCTGCAGAGGTGGAACAGCGTCTGTAAGAGATGTTACAGAGATGTTAATATTTTCCTAAAACCACCCAAAATGTGGCACATATTCACATCATTCTACATTATTTTAAAATCTTCAGAATATCCAACTACATTTCAACACTGCAGACTTTCTGAAGCTGCAGACTGTGCAGCCTTATGTACATTTGAGTCATTGCTGACAGGCTTTACTTTATCTGAAATAGAAACCATCACAATCCATCACTCTGAAATAAACGATCACATCAACAACTTGTCTTCCCTTGAGGATAACACTATGTGCTACACTTTATATGTGTGAGTCTAGGTCTTGCAAGGTTTGTTGGCCCATATCATGAGTTCATCCAGTGAACTGACTGAAAGAAGATGACATGACACATTGTCTGAAGAACCAGCATATATGGAGTTTTCATATATTTCATATATTTGTCTCACCTTTTTGGGGAAGACATAACCTCCAACCACGACCTCCTCTTCAGCAGTGACTCGGGCGTTCCCTGCTATTGCTGGATACATCCTGGAGGGAACAGACCACAGTCAGGAGGAGGCAGCTGAAGATAAACAGTTCTGTTATCCAGTAAGAGCAACTCAGAGAAGATATTGTTTCCATAGTTTGAAAGTTTTAAACCCTGCGTCTTGTACAAGATCTACAAATGTATGAATACTTATTTAATGATCATTAGTGATAGAAGTAATTCGCACTGAGCAGAACTAGATTATTCCCCACAACCATGAAATGTAAGGGACTATTTTTTTTTAGTGTAGATCAATCTTGAATCAAGAAAATTATCTTTAAATCAAGATTCAGCATCAAATTATTCATGTCTCTGTCGGATGCTAGGTAATAAGAAAGGTAATGTATAGAGAGTGGGGAGTGTGAGCCGACTGGAACCTGATCAAGGTGAGGTGGGACCCTCCGACTTATTCTGCCTCACCCTCCAGCTCTACAATATTTCCCTTTGATAAAACAGCAAATTCATCTAAAGACCAGCTGCTTCAGCGATCAGCTGTGATGTTGATATGATTTATTGATAAAGACAGAATCCTGTTACCGTAGTGTCTCTCTGACGACGGCCTTCAGGTATGGCATCTGTGCAATGTCATCACTCACTGGCACCTTATCTCCGGGACAAACACTTATGACTTCCTGGTACAGCTTCTCTTGGATTTCTGGCTCCTTTGCCAACTCGTATAAAGACCAAGCGATGGTGTTGGAGGTCTACAAAAGAAAGAAACTAGGCTACCATCTGTTCAATCAATGCAGTCTGCACTTTTGTTCTCTCTCAGTCTGCTCGGATTAAAGAGCTTTCTTTATTTGGGTGAACACTCAGGTTGAACTTACTGTGTCGACTGCTGCCATCAGGATTTCAGTGATGCTGCCCAGGATCTCAGTGACTGTCATCTTATCACTGAGTAGCAGGTGTGTGAGATACGCTCCCTCCACATTTTGGTCCTGTTTCACCCTTTCCTCAATCTCCTTCATTTTTTCCTGCACCAGCTCTTCAGCTATTCAAAACAAGAGAAAATACTTCTGTTAATATCACCTCGCAACACCGACACTGAAAAGCAAGTAGTTTGATCAGAGCAACTAGGACCTGCGAGGTGGACATTGCTATTTGACCGAGTCTGGTTTCTTGAAATTATTCAATTATGTAACTGGAAAACGACCGTGAAGCCAGAGCTCTGGTAACTTTTAGTGACGACATTCAGTAGAGGAGGAGGGGGAGGGGCTCGGATGAGGGCTGTCTAGAGCAGTGGTTCTCAAGTCCAGTCCTCGAGGCCCACTGTCCTGCATGTTTTAGATGTTTCCCTGCTCCATCACACCTGATTCAAACGATCAGCTCGTTATTAAGCCATTACAGAGCTTGATAACGAGCTGATCATTTGAATCAGGTGTGTTGGAGCAGGGAAACATCCAAAACATGCAGGACAGTGGGCCTCGAGCACTGGACTTGAGAACCACTGGTCTAGAGTGTATTATCAATAAAACTGCAAGGGCTGGGGGGGGAAGTGAACTGAGCAGCCTTTAGTGGTTTAAAACTACCCCCTAAACTCTGGTCTAAAATGTAAGAAACAAACAAAGAAAATACAGTGAGAGGCCACAAATGAATCAAATGTGGGAACAAGAGAAATCACAGTATTGTAAAACATGATGTCTGACATGTATCCTTTCAAAGTTGTTTGTGATTAACTTAACATGCAAACAAACACTTCTTGGGAGCCAACACCCAAATACAATCAATAAATTTCATTAAACAGTTTCAAGGCAGGCAGTATGTGTATTTCTTTAACACAATAGCACTATGTTATCAACATTGGTATCCTTACCAACGTTGAAGAGGTAATCCCAAGCTTTCACAAACTTTTTCCAGAAGGGCAGGTAAGGCCAGGTGGACTTTGGGAAGAAGATGACAATTTGAGATTGCCGTAACATTTCTCCCACACTGTCGATATACTTCAGGGTTTTCTCTGGCACCACCTCGTTTAGGCAGCCCATACGCTTCTCAAACAGCACGGAGCAGGTCCCTGTAGTAAAGCACAAAAATGTTATATTGACACGGTTTGTCCTCTGGATCCATCACCAGACTGAAATATGTTTTGGTTTCCTCAAAACCAAAACACAACTCAAAACTGCACCGGCAAGTAAACTGTGAACATGCCATTTTAGAGAAGTTAGCCTTAAACTTCATCAGTTCAGTGCTTTCCAAAAAAAATAGTCCTTGAACCAAAAGTAAACAAAAAAAGGTAACCTTTCCTAGTTAGCTTTAACATCCAGCTGTCTAGGAATATCCGCGTCTTCTTGCTCGACATGAGTAAACCCATAAATACTTTTTCATTTGTGCCAGTTTCGTGGAGTTAAAGCGAGTAGCCAGCTGGCTTAGCTTTGCTCTGAGAATAGCTTAACGGAGAAACAGCGAGCTGAGCTCAGATTGTGACATAAATCCCTGGAAACCACAATCTTTTGTTTCTACAGTCATGCATAACACAAACTAAACAAAAACAAATTCTCATAATTGAGCTTGAAGAACTAATATGTGGATTATGACTTCATAGTAGCCCAGCTAGCCAAGCTCGTTTCTGCCTTTTTTTCTGCTTAAAGACCAGCCAGGCTGAACTAAGCTGGCTTTAGCCTCTTATGAATTGTCATTATTTACTATGCTCCTACCTTGACATTCAACTCTCTGCAAAAAAATGTGACTATGCCTGTTTCCCAGAACTCCTAGCTACTTCTTAAACTACATGTGCCCTTTTTTTTGCTCCTTTAAGCCCCTGACTCTTGCTTACAACTAACCCTCCTTGAATCAAAGCATTTACTAAGTATACCTAAAATCAAAACTTAAAAACTTTATTACATTGGTCAAAGTGTAAATAACAGATTTATTTAAAGAAAAAGAAAAACTTGAGTATTTGATATTAACTTACTTGTTGAAAAATTCCATATCAAACACATGCACATTTTTAAAGATATGATAAAGAAGTTATTTGATCTCATTTCCAAAAAAAAAAAAACCTTTGCCATTTGATTAACTTTTAAATATCATACTGAATACAGAGACAAGTTGGTCTTCTTAGTCTCCGAGGTTAAAAAACTAATACTTGAACTGCTGATTTTTTTCTTAAAGTACATCTGGGAGACGTCTGATTTGCATATCTACACCAATTAGATAAAACATAGTGCTACAATTGCTCACTGATATCCTCTGTAAGCAGGTTAAAATGAGTATTGAGAAGATAAGTAGAGTACACCCTGATAAGAAAATATCAGACTTGTCTTTGTGATGAGGTAACTCACATTATCTAATCAGCTTTCAAGGTCAAAAGACTTGACAACTGTGTCAGTGTCTGACAAGAACCTGTATGATGGTTTCTGCACTGACAAGTTGCTTTAGGGGGGAAAAAAACACTTTTCTTGTACAGAATAGATTTTTTTCTCTGCTATCCCTAACCTTTAGATTGACAAAATTTCAAAGAGTGTTGGGTTTCAAAGAGATACTGGTTTTTCAGCATCCTATAACTGGAAGACAATGGCTTACAGGACTCAATGTCTGCAGTCGCGAAGGAGTCAAGGACATTTAAATCAAGGCTAAAAGCATTGTCTTCTATCTTCTGCCAAGGTTATCGTCATTATCTTAAACTGTACATGTCAGTTTGCTTCGCTTCCTTCAGTTTTTTCTTGCATATTTAATACTAAAGAGTATGAAGAACTTTCCTTGATTATAATCATGTGCAGTTTCCACAGATGATTCCACAATGATGACACTGACCTTCAAAAGTAAATTTGTAGAGTTCTCCAGCCAGGTCATTGACCAGAACTCCCTGTCCACTGGTTTCCCTCAGCCAGGCCACTCTGTCGATAAAGTCTGTCACCACCTGGTTGATGGTGTCGGTGTAGGAGGAGACGTGTTTGGGCTTCAACAGCCATGGATTCAGGATGCTGCGGATGCGCTGCCAATTTGCACCCATTCTGCAAACCAGGATTAATGCATTGGTTAAGCTTTCAGAGTGAGATCAAGATCTTAAATACCAAAACAAACTGTAGCAACTCCTTCACTTGTTCTCATTTAGAGGCTGGGCTCAGAGCCAGAGAAAAGCAAGCTTGTGTCTGTCATCTTTACAGTTATGCAAATTATGAGTCACTTACTTGGCATGCTGACTCATGGTAACCTCATCTTAATACCTCGGGTAACAATGACTGTGGGTTTTTTTCCTACTTTCTTAATACAGTTTGGTGTTAATTAGGGATTTGTTCAGAGCTCATAGTTTAAACACAGACGAGAGGAAAGTAAATGTTTCCTTTAGGGATTATTATAGTTTCTTTTTCAAGCATGCTTTTGGTTATGAAACGCAACATCCACTTACTCTCTCTGGTGACCAATGAAATAGGGTGCTCTTTGCATCTGACCTCAACTCGTGTCTTGCTTGTATATTCATAATCGTGCACAGCATACAAATACAATGCAAATTTGAATTACAAATTTTTCCATAAATAAAATTAGCGTACTATACCTTTATGTTACAATTTCTATCATTAAAGCTCCTGTGGGGAACTTTTGTTTTATGTTGATTCTGGTGCCCCCTGTGGACAAATCAGTGCCGTTTCTTTTCCTGATAGTGCATCGTCATTGGCATTTTTTTTTAAATCTTACCCTGTTTTATTACAACCCATATATATTACACAATAACTCTGTACCATGTAAAATTTTAATAAGGCTGATTTAACAGACTGATGCCTACCCTCTGCCAAAGGTTTTTACGCATTGAAAAATACAGCGAGTGAACAAGGCCTACAAATTATTTATTTAAAAAGGCACTGAAATCTGCTTACAGTATACATACATAATAAATACATTATGCTATTGGACATTAGATATAAAGGTAGAGGGTTAATATTGGTGTCACTCACTCTGTCAGGGGTCCATAGGCCTGGTTCCTGAGCTCTCTGTAGGCCCTCCAGTGGGGCATGTCTGTGCGGATCGGGAGTCTCCCCTCCTGCCTAAGCACCTGCTCTATCAGGTCAGCAGAAGCCACGTTTACCAGGACTATAGGGCCAAACGTTGACCTCCAAATAGGACCATAGATCTTCTTGTGCTCAATCTGCAAGAAAACAGTGTGAGTTGATCAGTAGTTCAATGAGTTTAATGTAAAAATAGGTTGGATGCAAAAATACACATTTCATGAGGACGTGAGGCTTCAGGGTCAGGTCACCAAACTCAAACAACATAATTCTTCATCACCATACGCTAGCAGTCTTTACTTTATAAGCAATACAATTGTGATTCATTTATGATCAACTAACAACAAACTGCTTTCTAGCAACTTATGATGTACTGTATTGCGTTTTTTCCACTGGACAAGCAAAGACGTGTGTTGTCAACAAAGAGACAACAACAGAGACTGCAAATGAAAAAATGACTCAGGGTGTCAAGAGGGGGTCAAAAAACTACCACAATCAACTGCAATGGGGGAATAACAAAGAAACAAAAATACTGACAAATTCCTACAAGAGTTAGGCATCAGCAAAGAGACCATACACTAGAAAGAGGCTGACCAATCAGCAAAGACAAAAATAACAACAAATAGATGATAAGCTATGACTGAAGTTGCTTATCAACAACAATAACAACAAGACAAAACAGGGAAACAATATGGAACCAATGCAAGTTAAAGGGTCAAAATCAGATGATACATTAAACTTATAGACACGCTGAAAAATCAGATCTTTCCAATGTGTACAAAGTGTTGTGTCTACCCCTCTCTCATGCATGACAAGGAGTCTATTGTCTCAGAAAATACCACAACCTGTGCCCTATTTGGCTAATTTCCAAGGTAACAACTTTATACAACAAAACCAACTTCTATAAAAGCTGCAGATAGAAACGGACAAAGACAATGAGGAGCCAAAGAACCAAGAACTGTGAGTGAAGAACTAAGTTTTCAGTGCAGTCAGTGGTGCAGAAAAGTTTTATCTGTATTGTGCAGAGGTCAATAAGCACGTTTCAGATACAGTGTTTGAAACTGTATTCATTGATTGACAAAATCTCAGTGATCCGGACGAATGTGTAGCCTACTTAGGGTAGAGCCACAGTCTGCTTGCACTGAAAGTCAATGCAGAAATCTGGGTTGCAGATAAAAACCACAAGGGTTCACTACCGGTCAAATGCAACAGTTTGTTTCAACAACACACTCTCACCGACCACTTCTCACGTTACTCCTACTTACTTGCATTAGTTGCGACTTTTTCAGATACCCTTTGACAAAAAGCCAGTTCAGGGTGGACAGAAAACCTGGCCCGCCTAGGTCGTCCATGGTTTTCGGTTTGACGTTGTCACCCATCACGGCGGTGGAGGTTGCGCCCCGGCGGTGGATGTCTCCATACCTCACCGTGGCTCTCAGGAGACCATACCGGTGACGGTTCCTCCGCAGGCTGATGTGGATGAGACACTTTCTTAACATTGTCCCCGCGTTGAAGCCGTGTGTGTCCTGCACCAGCCCTGCAGCCCTGGTCCAGTGGCTCTCTCTGATATGAGGACTAAATAATGTGCGCAGTCGCTCACAACGTGTATTTATAGTCGCGGACATCCCAACCTCTGAGCACAACTCTGGACTTTGGAACTCCCATACATTTCTTCCGAGGGAAATCGACACAAAAACAGGCTGTTGTAATGAGATATAAGAGTTCACAACCTCCAAAACAGCTTTCCTGAAGCGTATTGTCTTGAATTTTTATCTTATCGTGTTGTGTTGGCCTATTTTATTTTCAATATCTTCAACTACTTTTGGGACTCCTATTTAATACAGACGACAAACAACACAAACATGGTTAATTTTCACTTCCCCCATCTTCTTATACTAAAAATAACACAAAATTATATATTAATATATATATAATTGGGCGCTTTGCAACAAGATTTGAAGGCATGGGCAGATAAAGAAAAAAATCATGGGTGGCACTGACATCTTAACCCTTTAAAGACTTTTGTATCATATTTCATACATAATTTTATTGTACTTAAATCAATATGATCAACAAATTAATAAAAAAAACACCTGAATACAGTCCGATAAATTATAAAAATGTCCTCTTATCAGTTTTCAGAAACATCTAATGTATCAAACGATATAAATATATATATTTTAAGGATATTTTGATTTTTTTGGTTTTCAGTAGTAAGTGTAATAAACATTTCAGCTCCAAAATAATTAGATTTTTCTGGCTATAATTTGTGGTCTCCGGCATTTAAGGGCAAAAGGTTAAAAAATATATATTGATTTAACTCTTGATTTCACAATCCGATATTACTGCTTTAACAGCATGTAGATGACAGGTAGTGTCAGCCTTCTTTAAAGCGTATATTTCTACAGCTTTGTGGTATTTGTGGTTAAATTCTGTGATGTATTCATTCCATCAAAACAAAACATCTATCAGACCAAATTGTCAAAAAAAAGGGAGGTGAGCTACAAATCCATATTTTTTCAGAGTAGCATATTGATAGATGACTGTATTCTCAGAAATTGTGTCCATTATTACCTCTGAACCAATCTGTGGACTTTGACTTTGATAGTTCCAATAATGCAAGATGTAAAGTCACATAAAAAAAAAAAACAAGAGCAATAAAACTAATGACCATATTCGCCTTCTAATGCCGAGTATCTGTGAAGGCATGCTTTTTGTGTCACCAATATTTAAAATAAGGTCTTTGCAGTTTAAATGTAAGGGTTAATAAGCCCCAACAATGGTGAATTTTAACATTGTAGAAAAATATTTTAAAAAAAAAATCTATACCATCGATATGGTCAGATGATACAGTCAACAGAACAAATGAAAACATTATCTTGAAAGTGCACAGATTGATTTGTGTAGGTCAACTGAATTATTGATGTACATTCCTCGAAATGTTTTCAGTTCCATTCAATATAGGGCAAGAAGAGTTTGTTTCTGCAATTTAGAGCATTTAAAAGTCATCATCTGCAGATTTCAGACACACTATGAAGTCTTTCTTTATAAAAACATGTATGCAAGATTTGCTACAAAAAGTCTGAAATTACTAAACATCCAGAATTTCAAGTAAAATCCCATTCAAGATGTGGCTAAAAAGTCAAGAACACAAGCTACAAAGTTGACCTAGATTTTTTTAATTAATAAATCCTGTCATTGAAGTCAGTGAATAAAGTTTAATGAGCAACATATGTGATGAAAAAGTGTGACTTTGGTTTGTATTTATGATGATTTAACTTAGTGTCGCTCATGGGATCAGTAAAAGGTATTCTTGCATTAATTCATGTGTCCTTGATAGTGCATGAAACTCTCTTAACGCCACCAGAGGGCCACTTTAAAACTTCACGGCAGTAGTTTTACCAGCAGTTAAGTTAGTATTATTTTTCTTCAAACAATATAAATGATTTGAAAGATGTAAATCGCAAAACTTATACCACTAGCAACCACAATATTATAAAAAAACAAATACAATAGCACAAAATACTCTTAAAATCTTTATTCCGCTACAAAGAAAGTCCTCCCAAATAGTTTACAAATGGTTCTGAGGCCACAGTTCATCTGAAACTGAAAGATACCTCCCTCTCAGTTTCTCACTTTATCAGTCCGCCCTGACTCTAAAGAAAGGCTGGAACATAAACAGCAGTTTCCTGTGCTCCTGGGAGGCTCAGCAGAGATCAAGAGCTTGTGTCAAAACAAGCAGAGGGCCTCAAGGCACATTAAGTTACTCAAGGCTCATATTTAACCGATATATCAAAGTATTTGGCTTGTGTCACAATACAGCTACTGCTAACTTCAGATTCCAATTTCTCTGCTTTTCAAATATACTATATCAAATATATTAAGCAATTCACTGTTGGTGGAATATATTTTTGAAACATAAATAATTCGATTCAAGTATTGCAGGTTTAAAGCTACAAATCATAATCTTGAATAAGTTAACACAGTTGGCCGATTTGTGTGCAGCAGGCACTAAAATATTTCAAAAAATAAAGATTAAGACCTTTGTTGATCCTCAAAGCTGCAAAACCAGTATTTTTATGATAAAGTAAGAAAAAAATGATATATAACAGATCTTCCTGTGCTTTTGGAGCCTGTCTTTTGCTCACTGGCTGCTTTCAGATGATTTTCTGGTCACAAAATTAGCTATTTTCTTCCTAAAAAGGCTGTTGTGAAACATCGGAAGCATCCAGCAACTAAAGAGTGCTCTAAGACTTTTTTCAGGCTCTTTGTGACTAAAACAGAACTTGAAGGAGAGTAAATGTAAGACTTTTCAACTCAAGATTGGAAAAAAAAAAAAACTACAAATGAGTTGAGAAGCTCATCTGTAACTTAGAAATTGGGCAACTCTTACTAACACTTTTGCATAAACACAATTTTTACAGTTCATCAATTGTAAGTTACGGTTTGTTCCACTGTTCTAAAGTGGCCAAATAATTTAAATCATAATGTATGCAGCTTTTAAATAAATTAGCTGGGCTCCAGTTATCAAAAGCAAATACTCAAACATTAATTAATAATAACTCCAAGAGAAAAACTTTTTTGGGTCAGTGTTGCTCAATTATGTTACGATTGCCTCCAATCAGAGACGAATGTGCCAAACTGAAGCTTTTACTGGCTCTGACTAAAGCTAAACTATCGTCCCTAATTATCTAAAGTTGCTCAGATGTAATGCTAAACCTCTAGATGTCCTTTAAAACAAACATCCATCTACACTACAAAAATAATCCTGTGATTCTTGCTCTGATATGTTTGGTCAGTGTAACCATACATCCAGTGAGATGAAACATTAACTCATAATGTGTCACTTTCACTGCCATCTTACTTCTCCTCGGTCTACTTAAGGCGTCTCTGGAACATCTAGTCTTTACTCAGAAAATAAAGACCTCCAAGTAAAAAAAATCTGAGAATCTTAAATAAGAGAGTTTGTTGGCAGAAAGGCAAAAATACATGTATTTGTAAGCAGATATGAAAATAAGACAGTCTCACATTATAGGAAGCAAAGCACTGATATGTCTGTGGCTCTTTCAGTTTACTCCTCACTGATCGCTCTCACTCTGTCCACAGGGGGGCGCACCTCTTCATGTTCAGTCACTTTCACTGCCGGATTCACTCAACTGCAGGTCATTCTCTGAAAAGAGAAAAGAGGCAGTGGAGCAAATTAAACTTTAATTTTGAAATAAAACGTAAAAAGCATGTTTTTTTTAAAAATAATTCCCAAATGATGCGGTAGAAAATGATCATGAGGCAAAGATGAAAAAACTTTTGGGGTATTTTTGGTGGCATATTAACTGAGTTTCAGATTAGGGCAGTCATGATAGCCAGTTTTCACTTCACCATTACCATTACCATAAAACGTGATCATACAATATTCTTTTTATTTCCCTATGTTTAATGGTAAACAAAAAAAAAAACAATTTTGTTGTGCTTTTATTTTGCTTTTCTTCCACATCTACTCACTAAGTGTGTTCATGAGCCCCCCTCCTCTCTCCTGGTGGCCGCTGTTGGTACTGCTGCCGGTGTTGATGATCGGCATGCTGTGGTTTGCTGGGGCCGGGGGCGGCGCACGAGTCCGTTCGTCCTCAGAGTCGCTGCTGCTGGAGCTGTCGTCACTGCTGGAAGACGAGGAGCTGTTGGAGTCTGAGGAGCTGTCGCCACTGCTCATCTGGTCCATGACGCGGGCCTCTGCCATCAACTCTGAACACAGTGGCATCGATACAAAGATGAGGACACAAGTGATACTAATCCCAGTTCATGCCAAAAAGGCTCATGTTAAATATTTCAACCACTCAAATTACAATCACTAACCAGACTGTGGTATGAAACCCAACAAAACAGAGATTTCAGACCTCTTTCAATGTCATCCATGGGCGATGCTGGGGAGGTCTTCTCTTTGGGTGGAGAGCTCTTTGAGCTGGTTGATGTCTTGTTGCTGCTACTGCTGTTGCTCTTCATCTGCTGGCTGAGGCGGCTGGTCTGCTGTTCCAGGCGAGAATGGATCTTACTGCTGCCTTCAGCCCTAGATATATCCACGCACAATGCAAACAATGACACATGGATTTTTTTTTCTTTTAAAGTGGTTCAAGTAACGTCTCGAATAATAATCCAGCTGCACCACTTACTATCAGTTTTAATGTCAACTATGTAACTTCAGAGAAGCTAAACATCAATATTTCTTAAGCCATGATTTCTCTTTGTTTTCATTTGCTGGAACTTTCACACAGATTTATAAATAAAACTTCAAATAATAAAGTGTAAGCATGTGTATGGATAGAACAAATGATAACAGCTATTTCAAATATATAAAATAAAAACATTTAAAACTAATTTTCAACCTACCTGGTCTTCTTCACAGCTATATTGCTGTTCAGTTTTTCTAGCCTGTACTCTCCTGTGTCATGATTGACTATGAGGATGCATTCTTTCATATAAGGTCTCTTTGACCCTTTAAAGACAGTCACTGGAGCACTTGAACCCTGTAAAACACGAAAAGAAAAACAGACACAGCGTCAGCAGAGTTAGACTCAAAAAACTGTGAGTTCTTAGTCTCTGAATACCCCAAATTTGGATTTCTTTTTGTCATTTTACTTATTGGATTTGTATTTAAACATGGTTACTGGTCATCTGGTCCATCAACCCCAGCAAGGAAAACATTAAAAGAATTTCTCTCAGTAAGCAGTAAAAATCTTAGGCTCAGGGAGATGTAACTGACTGACATTTTATGTGGAAAAGGCCCTTAACATGAAGGATGGTAACATAGTTCTTATGAGTGATGTGAGCAAGTCCAAAACATATAGGGGAGAGTGGGGTAAGATGAGCCATTTTTCATATTTCAGATCACTACATCAAGGCAATTATAGTGCATCGCTGTAAACCAACAGAAAGAGTGTAAACATAACTGTCTTGATAATATAGCATGCCAAAAAAAGTGGTCTCCTATGAAACTTAAGGGGTAAGTTGACCATAGGAGTGGGGTAAGTTGAGCCGTATCCCTACTACCCCTCCACTCTCACCCCAGCCCTCCCTCACCTTCTCTCTCCCTAAATAACAGTCACTTCTTCACATCCATGTGTATTTTTATCTATTATACGATATTCAACTGTTACAATAACTCTATTTATTATTATTGCATATAACTGCTAAAAAGCTGTTTTGTAAAAAAGTCATTTTAACATGAGAATGTCTTTAAGTGATTCAGAACATTCACAGCTGTATTCTAGAAAAGAAAAAGTAAAACATTTCAACAATCTGAATTAAAACTCTGATCCTCTCATCAGACTCCTTTACTTTCTCAGTTGAGCCACTGACTCAACTTACCCCAGAGATACTATTATGACTTTATTAGTCCTTTAAGCTAAAATGGGGGACTTGAATGTTAGGTTTTTGACCTCATGTTGAAGCTCATAGATACAACTATTGATGTATAAAACAAATGTAAAATGATCTTTTTTGTCTGAACACAATTCTAATAAAACTTAAGACAGACTAACTTCACTTTCAAGAGTGAAAAATGTTTTTTTTTTTGGAAACAAATGTCTAACCCCAACACTCATGTGTTTCTACCCTTCACAGACTCCATGAATTGATGCCCATCTCCTAAATATTTGGTCACATGATAAATTTCTTTTACCATTTCCAAGGAACAGGAGGTGGCTCAACTTACCCCACTCTACCCTACAGATACTTGTGCACCTATTTGGGCTGATTGAAATATTGACACATTATTGCGACAAAACATCTTTTGGTCAGTCACTATAAAGAAAAAAACGGAATTTAACTGGTTTGGCAATTCTGTGCTTCTGTAGAAACATGGCCTTTACTCACCTCTAAATTGGGTAAAGTAATTGTGACTTGCTCTCCTTTACCCACTTCAAGATCTCCTTCACATGTTGTGTCAATAGAGGCAGGTTTGAAGTCATCTGAGCAGAAAACAGAAAAAATAGAGCATTTAAATTAATCAAAACAAAAAGTACAGACGTCTAATTTAAAGACAGCGCAGTTATCGTCAGACCTCTTTGTGATGCAGTTCTCTATCAGCACCACTAGATGGCGGTGGTGTACAACTTAACGCAGAGCTAACATTAGCATCAATATGACAGCTGAAGCATCAATGGTTTGTAAAAGTTTCAAGTAATTTTGTCTATAAAGACAACGATAAATACATAAGCCTGTTTAAGAACTAAACCTGCCAACTACAGGCAAATAAAAAAGAACTGCCGAGCCACCTATCCTTGCAAAATAGTGAAACATCTGTTTTCTGATTTTTAGCTTCCAAGCTAACTAGCATGCAACCGTTAGCTTCAGCTAAAGCCAGTGATTCAAATCTTTCACTTACATCTCACTGTGTGGTAGGCACTTCTAGGGTGTTTCTCAAACGTCTCTCCTAATTTCAGGACGTGTTCTTGATTGTCAAAGTTGGAGTAAGCTGTTCCATTCATCCTGAGAGAGTTACATGAGCTGTAAACTTTCTGCTCTTCTCAATCCGCTAACCATACATAGCACGGCTGTGACGTCTACACTGGTGCTGTTAAGTCCCGCCTTGTCTTCGCTATGATTGGGCGAAGATAACCATTCCCTTGTCTGATTGGTTGAATGTTTGTCAGACAATGAGTGCAATGACTGCAGCTTTAGAGCGTATGTCACGTAGGTTTTATATCTATGACCAGGGGCGTCACCAGGAGTTCTGGGTCACATTAAAAGATATTACTCACTGAACATTTTTAGGTCCAAAAGAGGTCTCATAGATGTCTAAATGTAGCCTAGACGACTGGTCTAAAATCAGTCAACCACAGGTCTAAAAATGAAAGTTTTTTAGAAGTCTAAATTTAGACCAAGTCTAAATCTGAGCTATAGCTATACTACACTGTATATTGCTCAATGTATATTGCCCTCGGGCCGTAAAATGCCCAGGTCTGATCTAGATGGTTGAAATTAGGTCTAAAAAAAAGCTAGACGTCTAATAGCCGTCTATTACTCAGACGGCACATTCATTCATTCATGCATTGCATTTATCCATGCATTCAATTAGATAATTACTTTAAAGATAAAAGGAGCAACAACAACAACATGAAAAACCTTGCAATGACTGTATGAGAAACATAATGACATGATGAGCCACTGGCTGGATTTTTAACCTGGCCTGTCTGTGCCAGAATTGTTCATTCTTTTCAATTTATCATTCTGTAATAACTTTTCAAAAGTAGTGCAAGGAATATTTTTCTTCCAAACCAATTTGAAGTGCTCATGCCAGGCAAATTACACTATCAACTGTCAATGGCAAGATTTTAAAACATTAGTTGGCTAATTAAAGGTCAAAAGGTCATTTTATGGCTCACTTGAACAGCCCCGACAGCCCAGGACTTGGACATGGAGCCATTTTATCAACAGGTGGCAGTACTGTCCATTACACCACAGCCCTGCCTGGCGGTCTTGGTCTCTTTGAGTCTTGAAGGAGCACATATCAAACTATGGTTCTGGGACATCATTACATTTGGTCCTGAATCACATCAAAAACCTCTGTATTGGATTTTAACCAAGCGTCCTTTTCATGAATGGTTGCCACACTAAACCCATCATGTATTCCAGTAGCTCAATACTTTAGTTGTTTAAAGGAAGGAGATTTGGACACACTTGCTCCATGGTGTACGACCTGTTTCCATCTGGGAGACTGTCCAAATACCAAGGAGAACAACAACAACAACAAACATTGAGGGTATTGGTTTCTCAGGTCAGTGGACACATTTCTCACAAATAAAACACACCAAAATGAATAAAGTGATGAAGAAACATTCAAATTTCAATCCGCAGCTCCCAACATTAACACAGTGCCTCAAAAACTAGTCAGCAGCATCACTGGACTGAGCTGTAAACCTAATTACCCAATTACCCTGGACAGCCTTCGCACAGAGAGGAGGTCCTGAAGCTCCTGCAGTCTGGAGCTTAATGAACTGTTGCGGTAACACTTAGTGACTGCAGTTTGAAGCTCCACTGGCTGAAGGGTTTCTGAGCACGAGTGAAAATAATCTCTTTTCCTTTCTTTAAACTGTTAATGATTCCTAAGCCTTAAATTCCTGCCGTGTCGGCACTTTACTGAGGCCATATGCTCCGCTGCCTTCAAACATTAAAGGATCAACATCGAAGACAAGGGGAATGTCGGGATTACGCAAGTGAATTATCACCAAATTGTCACAACACGGTCTCCCCCCCTCTGCACTAACACCACATGAGGAGAGGTTGTGTTTACGTATGTGGATGTTTTCAGTTCAAAAGGGAATAAAAACAAAGCCATATGGAGAACACAGGAGGGGAGCTCTATAAGTCAGCTATGTAACCTTTGACCTCTGGAGGGAGAATCATAATGAGGGTTCATCAAGTGCAAGGAACATACAAAGTTGTGGGTAGAATCTCAGAAGTAGACAAAAAAGGAGTGACAAAACACAAGCTAAATACTTCCAGGATTAAGCATGTCTTTTTCCATGTCCTTGTGATTAGATTCTTGTTTCTAGGATGTCAGCACCTTGTTAAAAAAGATAGATTGAAAAAGGATAGGCGTCCTGTTTCACCATATCCGTGTCCCCTTGTGAAAAGACACCAGCAGGGGTCTGTTTCCATGGCTGAGGGTAAACAGTGGCTGCTTTCTGGTGATATCAGTTTCTGTGGTTGACTTCAGACCGTGGGAGGTAAAGTTTTCTGTTTCCAGGCAACTATCCAGAAGTTCACAATACTGAGGTCGAGCAACAAAAGAGAGTCCCAGGTCGTAAGCTGGTAGCGGTGGGGAGAAGAGACGAGTCCTCGGAGAGAAAAGCTACACAGAAGACTTTGCTCAGCCAAAGTAGACAAAAAGACTTCCATTTCCTCACTTGTAAAGAAAGCTGTCATGTCAAAAAAGTAATATTTCCTCCTGGAACTTTAAACTTAGTTTGTTCGGTGTATGGACAGAGTTTTGAGACTGCTTGAGCAAAATTGGGCAAACTTGACAAGACAAAAAGTAAAGATTTGGCAAGTTTTTTCTCTTATTTCTGTCTGATATGACTTGATATAATCCACATTAATCTGGTGAGATGAATATCTGGGTTGGTCAAGCGGTACAGATGCATGTAGGCCAAAGTCCTCAAGAGGGTGGTGTGGGTTTGATACGAATGTCACATCTCACTCTGTCTGTACATTTGTCTCTTTTTTTAAGTTGTATAGGCCTATTTTATTTTGGGTTTTTTTTTGGCCTCTGTTATAAAGAACACTTTGAAAAGGAGACAGGAAATATAGAGAGTAGAGCACTAAATACAAAGTCAGACAGTTGCTCCTGTTGTTGTTAGCCTTATTAGCTTTTACCAGGCAATAACAATACACTATAGATAGCCTGTGAAATCAACAACACTGTCAGTGTGATATATTATATTTAATAAAACATGACCTCGCTGCTCATTTACACTTTACAATCATTTTAAGAGGGTACTTTTAGAGTACCAGGTAACTGAAGTTGCTCTGAGTCTCCTAGTTGGATGTCCAACTTCAGGGGTGAATCCCACAGACTCATCTGAATTTCTAACCTCTGAGATCAAACGGTCAGTTGACCTAGCGTGAGTCAAACTGGTAAGGCGGCCTTTAGCCTCTTTGCTAACAGCTGCAGTATGCTCGCCCCCCATCAGTCCAGTCGACTGTGCTCCCAATTATGCAAAACTCTTAACCTGAATATCTTCAAACTGAATTAAGTGTTCACCTTCAGTCATTCTGTTTCTAAACTTTATTTTTCCTTTTCACTTTAAAGATGGTCTTTTTGTTGGCCTTTATGTTGGGTTTACAGTCGCCCTCAAGTGGACACTCATGAAACTGTTTTTTCTGCATTTAAAAAAAGATATTTGTGAAGACGAGGTTGGCGCTTGATCAAATGTGGCTTTTAGCAACTAATGTAAAACATCTCTTACTTAAAATAAAACAAAAATCCTCTCTTATTTTGAAGTTTTTGCTGCATAGAAACCATTTTTAAAAAGTTTTAGACACCTTCTTGAAAGCAAAACTGCTCTGTTACACTGACATATATTGTGGAATATTTGGCCTATTTTTAATTTTTTGGTACAATGAACCACCTCCAGGTTAGTATCCAAAACTTAGAGTAACTACTACTCTCAGATTTTCTTCTTTACTGTGTACTTTTGACTTGAATAAGGCAACATCTTTGCTTTAGATAAAAAAAAATACTTTCTCTTTTTTAATATATAGTGCATAAAGGTCTCTGTGTTTTTTTGACCACTGAGAGTGAGGAAGAAGTAAAAGCCAGCAGCTGTCAGTCACATCAGGGTCAGACTTGTCTCACACTGAATGACAGACGGAGAGACTTCTCCCATGATCTTGAGGGGCTGAGTGAGTGAGGAGGGGGACATATGGGCTGAGTGTGACCGCAACCTGCTTTTTTCATCTGAGCCAATCAGGAGCAGAGTGAGAGCGATTGTCCTCTGACCAGTGCTGCTTTCACTTGCTGTCAGGAATAGAGAAAACTCGCATCAAACGTGCCAAGTCAGTATAACAGACATTTGGCTGTATTGAATTTTCTTGGAAACAACATAAAAATAAAAAATAAATAATTAATTAATTAAAAATAGGAATCGGGCGTACACATTTAAAAATTATTTTTATTTAGCATAATTTTTTAAATTAAAAAACACATTATTATTATTATTATTATTATTATTATTATTATTATTATTATTATTATTATTACCGACAGGTGCAAATTGTGTCACATCCACACTGTGATGTCAATGATAAAACATATTTAGTACATCTATTTGTAAAGCTCAGTTATTGGTTTTACGAGTAGTACCTGAAGGCAGCACAGTTCCCAAGGAGAACCCCAGCAAAGAAAGAGGTCGTGTCTCCGGGATTCTCCAGTAAAGACCCTCAACCCGGCACGAGGGAATCACACAGACTAAATGAATACTTGACCAGAGCTTTAGTTTAATTCAGTGCATTAGCAGCCTGCTCTTCACGGACCTGAAACTCATCAGATCTTTCAAATCCGATGAGACGCGAGTCTTCAACCTGCGGTGCAAATCTGATCCAGAATCCACTCAGGATCAAGACCTCTTCTCTCTGACGGGATGAAGGTGAAAGCGCCCTGAAAGCAAACTCTGAGTAAGTAAAGCGCACATAATAAGAACCCAGGACTGAAAAGACCCTCTGTAAAAGAACCAGAAATTAGAGAACTGATCAGATCTTACCTTCGTTAGTTTCAGTGTTGCACCTGAGCTCTTGCTGTTGAGACGTGAGTAACTGTGGTCTTCAGTGGTGTGAGATTTGTGTGCATATTTCGAGCTCAAACTACCAAAGCGGTTTTTATTTAAAGTTTGAAAGTATATATACTATCCTTTCCACATTGTGTGACTACTTCTCCTTCGGATTTGGACTGAATATCAACAGCCAACCTACCTAATGGCCCCCAAACTTGCAATAAAATGATTTCAGCATGTAGCAAATGTCAAAAACATATTGCTCCTTAAATAGATTAACCTTTTGATTTGTTTCACTGCACCTTTAATTAGACTCATTGTCTTGGCCTGTTTCAGGAGTAAGCCAGCGCAGTACTACTTTTTATTTGGGAATCATCCCTATCTGAGCCTTTATTCACAACTCGAAATGTTTGTTATTTTCAGAAAGCTGTTATCAATAAAACCAGTGGTTACTAAGGGAACTACAGTTAGTATCTGCTATTAAAGGGATATTCCGGCATAAAATTAAGTTAGGGTCAAACACATTGTTACACTGAGTTAGACACCCCGTCGAGAAATGAATGTTGCTGACCGCTTGCCTCTCTAGTCATACCAAATGTAGTAACAGCCGCAGATAGCAATACAGAGAGCCACACGCTCGACCAAAACGCCACTCTATAGCCACAAATAATGCGCAGAACAGCACCTAACTTCATCAACAAAACATATAGGGCCCCAGTTACAGCAGTAGCCACCCAACATCTCTTTAGCATTGCCTGATTTCTTTAGCAGAGAGACTAAACACAACTCACCCACTCTCTTCCAGCAGCCGCTTGTTTGTACGGAGACCTCCAGGCGAGTCCATCAACTGCTGTGGGGTGACACAGCTCAAGGAAGAACATTTATGATAACTTCTTTATCATTTCCTTGAAGTAAGTTCCATGAAGAAGTTATCATAAATGTTCTTCCTTGAGCTGCGTCACCCCGCTGTATTTGACAGACTCGCCCAGACGTCTCCGTACAAACAAGGGGCTGCTGACAGAGAGTGGGTGAGTTGTGATTAGTCGCTTTGCTAAAGAAATCAGGCAAAGCTTAAAATAATTTTTTGTGGTTAATACTAAAGCTGGGACCCTATATGTACTGTTGATGAAGTTAGGTGCTGTTCTGAGCATTATTTGTGGCTATAGAGTGGCGTTTTGGTTGAGCGTGTGGCTCTCTGTGTTGCTATCCTGCGGTCGTTACTAAAGTTGGTATAACTAGAGAAGCAAGCAGTCCGCAACATTAATCTCTCGACGGGGTGTCTAACCCGGTGTTACGGTGTGTTTGACGCTAACTTAATTCTATGCTGGAATATCCCTTTAACGTTAGCACTGTGATGGAAAAAGCATCAGGGCCGGGTCACCTGTACAACAGACTAGATGTGAATTAACCGGATTCAACCAGGTAGATCCAAATGATGATAAGACACCTCTGTGTATTGTAATTATTAGTAAGTGGCTAAAACTGACACTGTTTTCCAATGTTCTGCAACTGGTGTTTGCACCGTGCAGAGATGAATGCAAGCTAGCTATCACACATATTCACGACTACTTACTTTATAACTGATATGACTATATTCACACAAATAACATCATCACTAGAATCAAAGCAGGAACAACAGTTACCAGGGTGAACTAGACTTACCTCTGGGAATTGTTGTCTGGACAGCCTGGACTCTGTCCTCACTGGCCCTTCAAGACGAATTGCTTTGTCTGATGTCTGTTAAATAGATTTCTGTTGGTTGATGGAGTTTATACCCAAGATGGCACCAAGATGGCTGAATCTGTCTTCATTTTGTGCTCTCTCTTTGTGTGCTGCCATTTAGTAAATGAAATACTGAGGCTCTGCAGTTATTCCACATTTCCCTGTGGGAGCGCCTGTAGTCTCATGCATACTCAGGGGAGTCCTTCTGTGCAACATTTTGGGGTTGACTGAGCTGCAGAAAGCAGGTGCATCCAAGCCATGACTGGAAATGCCTCTAGGGCTGATGGGAGCTCTGGCTCGCCTCCAGGCTGCAATCAGTTAATGTTAATGAATACGGTAAAATGATCTTATTTGCACTAACAGCAGTTTCTTTGTTTTCCAGGAATGGAAATAATGTAAAATGAACCTCAGGCTTTCTTTGCATTAATAGTTGATGAAAACTGACTTAGTTGTAGTTTTTCTTTCCATTTCAAAAGTCACATGACTGGAAAAACCATTTGAGTTGTCATGGGTGCTTTCACAAAGGCATTCCCCACAAGACATGTATTAGTGCTCCTTAAAACCTGCAACTGCTTATCGTGCATAATGTTTGGCCTGCATGGTCTGAGGCTGATATGATTAGCTCATTAAGAGGAATTAAATTCTTGACTTATGGATTCATTCTGATGGTAAAACGTTAATTAGGGCAGTGTTTTCCATTGTCTCCTCAGTTATGTGTGGTGAAACTTTTGCTGGAGTCGTATGTCTGCTGTTTTAAATGAGTATTTAAGTGTGCTGGAATTTAAGAGCAAAAAGCTAGAGTGCTGAGAATATTGATGCCGTTGTTAAATTCAATCTAATTCCTTGTACTAAAATAATCAACTGAATATTCCTACTTTCTGACAGTTCTTTAAACAGTTTTCTTCTAGTTATTCCAAGTTGTACACTTCAAAATAAAAACATGGCTTGACCATGAAGGAAATAATGGAGCCACAATGCAGAACAGAGAAAAAAATCCAAATAAAAGCATGATGGCCTGTTGTTTAATGAGTTTTATTTTAGAGGCTTCCCTCAATATCACAATAACATCATTGCGATAATTTGTGGCTGTTTTTATCCATTTGTATGGTTGGAGAACCATGACGATGGGCTCAACAACGGATCATAAGTTAATGATGGCGGTGTGCACATACCTAGTTTAGAATGGAGTTAGCACTTTACTAACATTTAAGGGGTTGTACCAGCTGACATAGTTCCAACACAAGCGTAAAACACATTTTAAATTTTATACCTAGCTCTGAATAGGAATAAAGTCCTTTATATACCATTTTTGAACTATTTTTATAATAACTTTTATAGTGTCATTAAAAAAATCTGAGCAGGCCTTCAAGTCTAAACTGCCTAACACAGCTGATGCTTACTTTCAGTCTTGTAATATGAAATGAAAACTTTTACATGGAGATAGTATGTCATTAAAAAGGTTCAATAAAGCCAAACACTTTAACGGTATTTCTTTAATTTTGTAACTGAATGTAACGATATTAAACTCAGAGGAGACCCCTCACCAAAGACCCCTCAGATTTTCCTCCACAGGGTGAAACCTTGTTGCTTCTTATCTGAGCTCTTCAGGGAATAAATCAGAAAGGTGATGAGATAAAAGGTCAGGCAGTAGACCTGCAGACTCTCACAGCTTCCTTCCACACACACACACACACACACACACACACACACACACACACACACACTGCTTGTAGTCAATAACACTAGATTTAATAAGACAGGTCGATCCGTCAGAAGCTTGCAGAAGTGCTTTGCAGGTACAGTGAGGGCCCCGGGGCCCTTTAATGTGAATGTGTAAGCTTGAGGCGAGCTTCCTAATGTACTGGTTTTGTTTTGGAGCTAGCTCAGCTTGGCTGGACACAGTGTAATTACCTTCCATTAACTTATTGGCTGAGATCAGGTGTTTTTTTAGGTCATTGACTTCCATTTACTTAAGTAAACTCATTACCTCCTTCATTAAAGGATTAAGCCTTTGTGTTATGAGCTAGTTTTTGTACAGTATATAAATTGGCACCACTTTTTAGGAGTACAGTGTAAAAAAAATTCTAACGGTGGTCACCAAATTTGTTATCACAACTCCAATAAACTCCCAGCTAACAGTAGGAATGTTCAGATTGGCTTTTTTGGATCACAATCCTGTTAAGTTTTTTTTTATACTGGGTCTCTGTTGTCATTGAATCCCAACCCGATACTTGTATTTTCCTGGTTGATAAAGCTACACAACATTTATATTTACTTTACTTAGTTTAGCCTGCATTGTTGTAAAACACACATATAATCTGTTACACATGCTTTGTGGAATGAGACCCACAAGACTGGTATGCATGTATACCCCACACTTAAGTGAGTGAGTTTCACAATAGTGACACCTGACTGCCACTCCCAGAGCATAAATGTTGAACTTAAACTTGGCTCTCCGGTGTCGGTTTTTTAATGAACTGGATTACTGTACTAATTGACCTGGATCAACTCCAGCTCAAAGTGAAGGAATCAGTCCAGTGTGCAGTGAGGATCAGCGATGATCCTCAAAACAACAGTTAGAGCTCCAAATGTCTTTGGTAAAACTAACAGAAGTCTTATCATGTTTTAAATATTTTCTCCTATGTTTTTACAAACTTTTCTATTCCGCTCAGTGGTGTCTGGCGTGGGGTGGAAATGGCAGCATTTGCACTGAACTTAAAAGACAAAGTGACAAACTCATCCACCCTTCTCTGTAATCCTTTTGGCTCCTCTCCAGCGTATTTATCTTACTTTCCATCCTTGTCCCACTGGCCATTTTCTCTGATACTACGGTGAACGTGTTGTTCTGTCGCATATTCACTTTAACGTTAAACATTTGGCTGTTGAACTGTTATCGCTCCCTAGTTTATTTTTTTTTCCATTTTGCTGGTTGTTTAACCACAAGGTTGTTATTGTGACAGTCTGTCCTGTGTTTGAGATTTTGCCTTAGAACTGTGTCAGAGTTACCCTAGGATGCTGTCCTCAGGCTGTCCTTATATCAGTTTCATGCATTAAAAATGACAATACATGAATTGTCAATCTCGTATCTGAGAGTCTTGTTTGTTTAAAGATATCTTGAAAAGGCATCACTACAAATGTCAGTCTATTTCCTAAACATCAAAAACTCCTCATAGGAGCTTTAAGTACAGGTATGAGGACTCAGAAGGATCTGTTACATTAATTAACATAATCTTTCTGAGCAGCTTATTGGTGGCTGACATGAGCCATGTTAAGATCAGGATCAGGACATCCCTGATTAATGGGGAACTGGCAAAGAGAAGAAGTCAAGGCGATGACTGTGTCGCCTGATAACCAGCTACGACACACAAATCTTGACAATTTGATTAGCCACACAATCACTGATAACTGTAAGCTGCACAAAAACAAGAGCCTCCTGTTTGACTTTTGTGCATAAAAAAAAATACTGATACAAAATCTCATTTGTTGTATAAATGGGTATTTTACAATGGGCTTTCATGGAGTGTCCTTGGCTTTTGCAGTCAGCCTCAAGTGGACATACGAGGAACTGCAGTTTTGTTGAACTTCTGCGTTGGCTTATTTTGAACACACACTGAATGCTGCTGCTTAGTTTTGTCCTAGACTGCAGAATTTTTGCAATTGCAAGACTTGAAAATCTAATCAGAGTCAAAGGAATGTATTTATAATGCCATTACCTCAGTGCAGGCGTCAGTCAAAAGGCACTCAGTCCTCTCAGACTTGAAGAGAGGAATGCCACCTTGAACCATGAGCGCCGTGCTTACTCCTGCATGAGAAAATGAGGAGAATTTCACGAATCTGGCTTTGAGACAACACAGCAGAAGAGGACACTGATGTAACTCATTTTTGGGTTCATATTTTTGAGGCTAAGTAATAAGGAAAAAAATGAGCTGGATGAAAATGAAGACGGGAGTGTATTCAAGGCAGACAATGAGCATCAAACCTCATTGACCCCCTCATCCTCCCTTTGTTCTCGCAGGATGAACTGTAACTCATCCCCTTGTGTCCTGTTACAACATCAGTCACAGCTGCATGCACAGACCCATGAAGGCAGCATGACTGACGGTGGGTGTCTGTGTCCCCTCCCTCTGACAATCAACAGAGGGCATTGTGGGTTGATGACAGTCAGGACTCCCTATCCCAATTATGGACAAGCACTAATTACCAGAGGAGTAATTAACAATCAGGCAGCTGAGGCAACAATAAACAGCCTCCGGAAGAGTGACAAAAAAAAGCTGCTGTAGGAGGTGAAACAGTTAATTATACCCGTCTACTGCATGCGCTGCTCGCAGCTTCTATATGCGGCTGTGCAGTTTGTGAGCTCATGTTGTGTAAAGTGAGACTGATGCTTCACCAGTTCTTTTGTCTTTTCGGAGAAAGATTGAAGGCTGGAGTGGAAAAGCAAACAGTTTTAGGCGGGCAGGAGAGCAGGAAGGTCACTTGATAAAATGCTAATACAAGCGCTTAGCATCAATGCTCTGTCAGTCTGACAAGGCTGGCTGTGCTGAACGATCCCCTCAAACAAACACCGACCCTCTCTCTTTATCTCATACACACACACACACACACATGCAGCAGCAGCCTTAAAAAAGTGTCTGAAGTGAAGGACATGGATAGTTTATCTCACTTCTCCTCTACAAACAGATTCTAACCATTACTCTGTCAACCTTGGAGATGATAGGCCTCACAGGGCTGCTTGGTATGCAAACAGAGGCACCAGACCAGAGATTTATCAGCCTCAGCAGTTTGATATCTGGTTGATTAAATTTGTTTGTCGTCTTATCTCACCATCACCCTGGATTTATTTGTTCTATGCCATAATTGATGCAGTAAGTAGTCTCAATTTGAAGACTTTATATTATAAAAAAGAGAGTATGGACCAAAGAAGTTGTCTTGGGCGGTAAAAATCACATTTAACATGTAACTTTTGCATGTTGACATTTTAACATGGGATAACCACACTGCTGTTAGTCTTTGGCTGCATTGTGTCACACACCTAGGTGTAATGGTGGGGTTACTCTGCTCCTGATCGTGCCTTACAGCTAACAACAGAGACACAATGGAAGTTAGATGTGTAGCTTTGGAGCTGGCAGGGTGGAACAGCGCTCTGTGTGAGCATGAGTGCCCTGGCTGTATGTTTGCATGCTTTAACACAATGTTTTGGATTAGATGCAGGGTGCATTGTGTCAGAAGAAAGGTGGCGCTGTTGCAGAATCGCAGATCATAAAGTTCGAGTAGGGTGACCATTTACCCGGACATGTCCTCTTTTGGGGGGCTGTCCAGCCTTGTCCGGCTTTGTCCGAGGGGAGTTTATAAAATCCTTCAAATGTCCGGGGTTTTGTACGGAAGTTTTGAGTTTGTGTAGCAAACACTCAACCCGAAAAGCCCTCAAAATGTAATATGCGTGACTCCGTGACCCTGCGTAGTAGTGTCCTCTTTTTGGGGATTCAGAATATGGTCACCCCAGTTAACTTTTTGTCCTCAAAGGCCACGATCACCTGTGGAAATTAAAATTGTGGCAGCTACATATCACAAAACATCCCCACTTTTACACTCTGTACCAGAAGTAGAATTAGCTCCACCTTTAGCAGCAACAGCACTAAATCATCATGTGTTTAGTCATGCTTTAATCCCTTCAATTAATTATGAGGTACTGTATGCAGGAGTTCTACTTTAATGTTGTATTTTGACCCTGTTGCACTTTAAACTCATATTACAGTGTGAACTCAACCCATGTGAAAGTAAATCACATGTGAAATACCGTTTAGCACGTGAGGGCCACATATGCAGTCTCTACATGTGGTTTCTCTGCGTGCCAAACAACATTTCATGTGCGATAAAGCCACATATGTGGACTTCAAATTTCCATGACTTCATATCCAATTTCACAAGCATGAATGAAAGCATGAATTTTATATGCATTTTCTGAAGGGAAACAAATATGTAAACAGATACAGGAAATGCCTGTGAATGCTGACATCAGCCTGCTCTGTTAATCTGTATTCAGAAAAGTCTTAAAATGATGGAGAAACAAATCCTTTTAGCTGTTTTCTCATATGTTTGAGCTTTTTTACTCTCTACAGCATTCATTTCCTGTGTATATGTTCCCAGGGTGGTATAACCTTTCCTCTGGAGCCTTCATCCAATAATATTATTATCTGGATTAGCCCACATAATCCATTCAGGTTCATTACTCTGGTGGTATTAGCATACAGCTTAGCAAACCTGCAATTGTCATTCGCAATCAGTGTCACAGCTGTGGATGGAAAGGCAAGTTTAAAGGGAATTGTAATCCTAAACTTGGGAAAACATGAGCACATTTTGAGCCTACTGACTGTCCATTCCTGCTGCAGCATCTCTTGGAAGTTTGCCTTTGCAGCTCTGTGTCTTAAGTGACTCCAGGGAAGGTTTTTAATAAGTCAAACAAGGTGAGCACTTTGAAGTTTCCTCCAGCAGCAGCAGCAGCAGCAGCTTTCCATCGGTGCATTCATTTTTAAAAAAGCATAACCTGCCTGGTAGCCTGTGGCAGGGTAAAAGCTCCCTCAATGTGTGACCTCTCCACCTATCATCTGCTGTAACCATGAGTGAAGCTGCAGACTGGACTCCAGCTGTGCCCACTCTCCATTCTCATCCAAGCGTTTACCTCTCCTTCACTAATGACCTCACTCTCCTTTTCTGCACCTCTCCCTCCTCTTCTTTCTTTACACTACACGCTCTGATGTTCCAGTCTATTCTGCCAGTGGCCAGACGTCCATTTATCTCGCTTTCATTCATTGCTTCTTTCTTTCTTTTTTCCTGAAAAGGAAAAAAAAAAGATAATTGGCACAGCTGGAGATAAAGGGAGAAGATCACACATGGACACCTGTGTGAAAATGTGATTTGAGCAAATTGAGAAAATTCCCTGAAAATGTAGAGGATTCGGAGAAGTCTCTGCATGGATTCTACAAAACAACACACACCTAGTGGGAAGCCAGTGGATGAGCATGCTACTGTTGCTTTCCTCTGCATGTATAGGAGTGCATTTCTTTTAGCACTGACAGTTGTGTTGTAATTGGCATGTTGCAAATTGCCAATGTTGGATTGTTTAAAAATATATTCACACTTTAAGAAGAATATTCACTAAAATGCGTGGAAAATTGAGTGTTTGATGCTTAAATGGCAACGTGCAACCTTTGCTCTTAACTCAGCCCTCAGTCCAGTCTTGCCCTACTTTATCTGCTGTGATCATATCTCTGTGAAACTGCGACACAACATCAGCTGATGGACAAATAGACTCAGACTGTAGCTGTTTTCTTTAAAAAAAATCTTTCAGTCAACAAGAATCACTCTCCAAATCCTTCTCCGGTAGCCTCCCCTGAAGTAATTACCCATCAGAGTCTGCGCCACAAAACAAATAAAAAACAAAAATGGCTTTCTGACTGAGTGGGTTTTTGTCCCTGAGCATTTTGCTTAAAGAACGAGAAATGAACGGGCCTCAGAGGGAGCTATTGTTCTCCTTCATTTTCCATCCATACAGTGAAAGCAGCGGCATTTTAGCAGCACAATACATTTCTCTCAGAGGTGAGTGTGCCGTCCATGTGTGTGAGGAAGCCAGATGCAGAATGCTAATGAGACTGAAAGCCTCTGCGCTGCTCTACCTGACAGATTGAAGACAACCTCTGCCTGTGTGTGTGTGTTTATATATATACGTGTATGTGTGTGTGTTAAAGTGCCCCCAACCTTCATCTGGACCAGAAAGGGTCACAGCACATATTTACCAGCAGGGAGGATTATCCTGAAAGCAGCTGAATCAGCATGCTTGTGTTCAGTTGAGAGGTTGGTTAGGTGATCAGCAGTATCCTGAAGCTGACTCCTCTAGTTTGCTTTTTTAGGTGGGTGAAATCTGGATTAAACTTGGGTTTCCCCTCCTCCATGAATGCTGAAAATAAAAATGGCTCCATAATTTAAGAGAAGATGTTCAAATGAAGCTTTTTCTTCTACCTTTTCTGTTTTTTTTTTAACTCTTGTTTGATATTGCTTGCAGGGTTTGAAGTTGTGTGGTCATTTGAAACCAGTGTGCAATTAGGGGCTAAAACTAGACTTGATCTGTAAGGTCACTCTGAACCTCATTTACCTTGTTAACTATGTTGATCTGCATTTGTAATAGCAAGAAAAACAGGAACTGCTGCGGCACAGATTAAAATGTTTTATGCTAATCTTGTTTTTGTTATAGCTCAGCTCTACCTTTTTTGTGCTGTATACTTTGCACAACACAGAGTGAAATGCTGGTGATGATTAGTAAACATGATTATTTACAGTTTTATTCAAAGCTTAAGGATCTGAGCTCTTCCTCCACTTACATTTCCTCACAGGCTGCAGATCCAACATGTAATTCAGCCTTTTCAAGCCTTCATCTTTATAACCCCAGTAATCAGGATTATATGTTGTTGTGATATAGACTGATGTCGCTTATTAACCTTAAATCACCTCAGCCTCTCTGCCATCACTTGTGGAAGGGCTTGGAGCTTGGACTGGGCGAAATGGCCTCAAATCAATATCACGATATATTGAGCAGTTCACCTCGATAATGATAAATAACAAGCTGCTCACTCCCTCCTACATTAACTTTGCCTACTGAAGCCACCACTCCAGACACTACAACTTTTGAACCATCCTCCAACTCCTCACCTGTCTTTCCCTCTTTGTTACGGACTGAATGGGTTAGAGTCACGTCTCTGACAGAGGACAGCGTCTTAAAGGGACATGAGACCATAGCCTACCTACACACATCCAAAACCAACTTTTATTTACATCACTGAATATACTGATATGGGCAAAATGATGTCAGTTATTGTCGTAAATTTCAGTATCGGTAAATTTTTGATTTATCACCCAGCACTACTGGGAGCTCTCACGACAGAGTAGTACAGTCACATATAACTTATTGCATCTAAATAATTATTTTTGATGGATGTGGTCCTGAAATTTTTAGGCATGAATTTCTTTATTGCACTTTAAAAACTGACCTGCACCTCTGTGGCCAAACTCTCTATATTTGATGTATTTGCTTCAAAGCCTCTCTGGCTTTCTGGTGGAAATTGATGGAAAAGGTGTAAGTTAGAAAACTGAAAAAAAAAACAAGGTAAATGGACCCGTTTGGGTTCTGGCTGAGTACTGGCTCCGGCAGGGTGGGCGCAGTCACACATGCACACATGTTTGAAACACTGTGGCACAAATATAGCTTAAATTATCTTCCATTAATTCACTGCCAGTGAGGGAGAAAATTAAACTTGCATTGTCAGGGCATGTAACAGCCAAGGTCACATGTTTTACCATTAAAAATGTGTGTGTTGTTGACCCCACTTGGCTCTCCCCACACAGAAACAGAAAGGAGAAAATGTTACCTCAACAGGGAACAGTCATCTGCCTGCAGTGGTGCATGTTTGCCATTATGCAGTGCATTGCTGTCTGACATTAGAAACCATTTTTAAAGTGGCATTGGCTCCTTCTAATGGCATTGGCCTCACTCTCGACTGTGCCCTTTCATCCACAGATAGCCCAAGGTCTCTTAAAATGACTTTTCCATACACTGTTATTCAAAGTGCAGCGACCTTGTTGGCTTCTCGCTCTTTCCTTAGAACCTGAGTTATGTCACTGGCGTTGCATAATGTTAACGCCTTCAGCACAGTAGTGTTGGACGCACGCAGGAGGAACAGTTGCATCTTACAGTTTACAGCGATCGCCGGTTGCCTTCAATTTGACAGGAACAGGGTCATTGAGATTCAGAGAGCCTTACTGCGGTCCGGTCTGAATATTCTCTGTCATAACACGTGTCAGCCTGCCTCCTCTATTGATGTGTAAATGTGTTGTTTCTAAAGTAGCTTTTATTTATGAAGATTGCTGCTGTTAGGCTTTGAAGGGTGATGGGCCTTTATTTCCCGCCTCCCACGCAGCGCAGAGTCTTTAAGAATTGTCGCTTCTCGGGTAAAGAAGAAATACAGGGAACGCTTTTTTCTGGGCTAATCCTGCCTTGATTGAAGGTGATCCAGTTTGTTCCTTATGCCTTTATTCAGCTCAGTACAACCCCAGCTCTATGAGAGTTGTGATGCTTTAAATGTGGATTGAAACAGAATTTGATCATTTGGGAATCAATTAAAGCCTATATTTTATTGAAAATTTGAGAATCTGGAAAAATCTCTGAATCAAAACCAATACTGGAGCATGATCTTCTTGTCCTTAAGAGCAATGGATTACAAAACAGGATTCTGTTGAGGAAACACTGCATGGGCTCAAAAGCAAATATCAAAATCCCTCGTCGCTGCATTAAAGGGATATTCCAGCGTAAAACTAAGTTAGGGTCAAACACATCGTAACACCAAGTTAGACACCCCCACGGGAGATGAATGTTGCTGGCCGCTAACTTTAGTAACGACCGCACAATAGCAATACACAGCCGTCTCAGGAGTCACGCGCTCAACCAAAATGCCACTCTATAGCCACAAATAATGCTCAGAACAGCACCTAACTTCATCAACAGTACATATAGGGTCACAGCCATAGCACTCGCCACCAAACATCTTTTTAGCTTTGCCTAATTTCTTTAGCACAGGGACTAAAAACAAATCACCTACTCTCTTCCAGCAGCTGCTTGTTTGTACAGAGGCCTCTGGGCCAGTCCATTACAGACTACAGCGGGGTGCCACAGCTCAAGGAAGAACATTTCTGATCATTCCTTTATCATTTCCTTGAAGTAATAATCATAATACTCATTTTGCACTGCAGACGCGGTAGTTCTCCTGCCTTAGCGCCTCGGTCTGATTGCATTTCCATGACTAGAGAAGCAAAACAGTCAGCAATATTCATCTCTTGACAGAGTGTCTAACTTGGTGTTACGGTGTGTTTGACCCTAACTTAATTTTAAACCTGAATATCCCTTTAACAAATGCAGGGTCAAAGACGATACAATGCAAAGACAAAACCAGAGTCTTAAAATGTTGGTGATGGCTCTGGGCCTGAGAGGATCTGGAAAACTGTCCTGTGGTCTGACAGATGGATCATGGATGCTGCATGTATCTTGCATGCATCACAAAAGCGTGGCTGTGTTGTAGAAGAGTCTGCTTAGTCACTTGCCTGCCTGCAACCCTGACTTGTCACCCGTCAAAAACATTTGATGCATCATGACACAAAAAATACCAACACAGGAGACCCTTAAGTGTTAAGTTTTACATGCATTTTATACAACATCCCAACTCATATAGAATTGGGGTTGTAGATCTGATATATTCAGCCTATTTGACCGTCTGTAGAGTTGTTGCAAGGAAACATCAACGTGTCAAAATCCTGGTGTTTACTGCATCTACTGAGGCGGTTAATTTAGTCTGAATATTAATAGAGTTGCCATTTTCGCAGATGGATGAAGCCCAGTCATGTTTCTGCTGGCAAAGCTGAAGATTTACCGTCAATTTCCTGTTCGGCTAATACTCATTCAGACACATGCTGGTACCTCTTGGCAATCTCTTCTGTTACATGGCGGCACCACCAGATGAAATAGAGCTGCATGAAGTTTCAAAAGAAAGTGCTCCTTTTCATACCCTCCCGTGAAGATATTTCAGCTGTGTGTGGAAATGTTTTGGTGTGTATTTGTGGTGGAAATGATGATGATGAAAGGAATATTAGCAGCCAGAAGATGCTCCAACCAGATCTGTGGAGCATCAAAGCGGGCTGATGAGGGAGGCATGTCGATGGTTTACAACAAGAGATCCAGCTATTAGAGGGATGGTATGGTACAGTGCGGAGTCAGTTAGATTGACAAGAAAATTGGATTTCAAGGCTGCCCATCAGGAGGGCAGGGTTCATTCAGAGCTCTGTGCAGCTGCAGGCATACTGATTATGATAGGAGGCCTCTCTCTGTATATAGGGGGTTTAAATGAGCCAATACAGGGAGTCAGGAGGGGGCACACACACATACTGCTACACATTCATTCATAAATACATCTCACAATATAGGTCACAGCAATTTTATTTACGTAACAGCTGACATATTAATGTTGCAGTGGTTGGTGAGGGTTGTTTCTTTTTCTGATCAGGTCTGTTGGGAGCCAATGGAAAATGAAATAATAGATGTAAATGGGTCATGGTGGTTATGTGGATGTGGCCCAGTTTAACATTTATTTCCATTTCAATGCAGGTGACCTGTTCTAGCTGCATGGTCCAATTAATAAAAACACATAAAGTGCCAGTTTATTCCTCTGATACGGAGCAGGCTGCTGGTAGAGGGGGCAAATGCGTGAATTTTTCAGCCCTGAAATGTTAGATCTTCAAACCGAGCTCTGGTTTTGTTTTAGGTGTCAGTAGATCATGAAAATACAGATCAGCCTGCCTCCTCTACTGATGTGGCAATGCCTTGTTCTCTACACATGAATACTGCTGCTGTTGGAGTTTGATTGGTGATGCTCTTTAATTTCTTCCTCCTAAGAAGCGGATGGTCTTTAAAGAGTTGTTGTTCTCAGGAAAGGAAGAAAAACGTCTATCAGGGTGTTAAGAACGCTGTTCTTGCTTCGATTGAAGGTGATCCATTTTACATTGACCTGCTTTGATTCAGCCCATAGATCCCTGGCACCATATTGACTCAAATATGAGACAAACTCCAATTTCCTTAACTAATTTAGGAGAAAAACTCATGAAAATGAGAAGGCTATTTTACTTGAGAATAACAAAAAAAAAAAAAAAAAAGGCACAATGAATAAACTAAATTTTGATTTTTTTTAAAATATATTGAATAATGTCTTAATTTTCTTTTAAATGAAATTGTCACAGATAAATAATAAAAAAATAAAAAAAAATAAAAAACTAGAGATGCACCGATCCATTTTTTTGCGTTCCAGTCCAATACGATACCTGGGCTGAGCGTATCGGCAGATATCCGATTCCGATCCAATACTATTGTTGAGTGAATGAACTGTATACCTTGCCCTGTGAGTGAAGGCATCAGGCTTGACATTAGCCTTGTTAACAAATTAACACAGATATAAATTCACTAAATATTATTTATTAACAAATAACAAATTGCTCATTAGCACACAGCAAAAAGAAGACTTCCATGTGATAAAAGACAAATTAATTAAAAGAAAACAAAGACTGGATCGGAATGCTGGATCGGTGTCATTCATCAGATATGTGATCCAGTTAATTTGTCAATATCGGAGCCGATATCCGATCCAAATATCAGATCTGTGCATCCCTAATCCATGCATTGAAAGAGCAGAAAGAGTTTATTTCTTAATTAACCAAAACAAAAGGAAAAATTATTCATCTTATGGATGCAAGAGCAGATAATTATGTTTATCCTCAAAACCATAAAAACCATATTATGCACCTCTGGTATGAATGTGAAGGTGAAAAGGATTTAACTCCATGAATCATAGAAAAAAAATGCTGGTAATCAAAGAAACATATTGGTAGTTTATAAGAACATAAATGTCAGAATATCCTGCGTGCTGTGTTTTCAGGGATGTGAATTTTGCACACTCACACTGACGCACATCTCATGAGTGAAGCAGCAGTTTTCATGTTGAGGAATGTGGGCCACCTCCCCTGCTGCCTCCTGTCTCCTCAGCACTGTGGTTCAAAATATTAAAGTGTTAACACACAACTGTTCTCCTGTACGAGCAAAGCACAGATTTTAAGGCTACAAACTGGCGTGTTTGAATACCTCTGCATTGCGGACATTGAACAGCAACAATAGAGTGAAAAGTACATCTTTAACAGGTCATGCAGGGTTATCTTTCCAACAGAGGACAAAAGCTCAGTTAACGCTATAAATATAGTTCAGTGTGTCGAGCCTGTATGTGTGTCACTGTGTTTCTTTATGCATTGTGCCCCCCCATCAACCTCCACCCTGCCACCCATCACTCTATTGATTGTTTGGCATCAAAAGCGTACACTGTGCCCCACAATGCCCCTTTGGACGCCAAGCAATCAAGCGCCAGTTAAACACACTGGCAGGGGATGTATTTTACGACGTCCTGTCTGTGCTGAACCCCCCACCTCTCCTTCTCCTTCTATATGTGAACATTTCCATCCATCTGACAGGGTCAACAGGAATGCATTGTTGGTCTGCAGGAGAGCTAACAGTAAAGGCTATTGTGCAGCGGTGAGAATGCACACACCCTCTTCGCCCTCCTGTATGTGTGTGAAATAATACAGACTAATGACATGACCAAAGCCGGGCTGGTCCCTACATCCTGCTGTGTTTGTTAGCTCACGATGCTTCATGCTTGCAGGCTCCCAGGGTTACTTACTCGACTCTAAAAGCTGTCTCACCCTCCTCTCTTTCCTCCCCTGAGTCATGGAGGCTGTACTAAATTTAGCAGCCCTAAAAAAGTAATGGTGTGGTAAGTTCTTACTGAGTTTGAACCCCACAAATACCTCTCTCTCTCTCTCCCTCTCTGTCGGTCCCTCTGGTTGTTTCTTGCTCCCTCTCCTTCCATTCTCAGTAAAAGGCTTGTCCGTGACTCACCCACAGCAGAGCGAGGGCCCGATGAATTATTGAACCAATGGTGGAGCCCTCATAAATTATCTAACCGTGTGTCGCTGAATGGAGTGGGGCAGCTCTGTGGATTCATCTCAATTCGACCCTCAGTGTCAGCACTACCAAGAACTCTGTGAGGGTCTGATAACACAACAGGGCAAACCTGGACACCAGCAGACACATACACAGGCTCATACATTATGAACTCTGCTATACAGGCTTCTGTCTATTAGATTCAGCAGGAACATGCTTGGCTGGGCTTTTAAACCAGGAATGACTGTCACAACTCTACATCGAATCATAGACATGTTAGAAGTGTACATACAGAGAATCGACGTTCTGCAAACATGAACGGTTTGACAAGTCCTGCAGGCATCATAAATGCCATGGTATTAACAATAGATGAATATGCTTCACTCTGAAAGATGCATTTTGCTGTTTTAATTGGCCACCTGAAAAATTGACTGTTGTATGAACGTCGTCTCATTGATGTTGGTTTCTGATATAGCGATGCACAATATTATCTATATCATATCATATATCAATGTTGGTTTTTATAGTAGCTTAAAAAAAGTTATTTTTGTGTATTTGCAGATATAAAAACTTCTTCCTTAATAATTATCACTTAGAAAGATGATTCACTGATAATGTGCATTAGATGACAGTTCACATGTTGGTAGCATAGAGGGGTTCTGAAGTGTTGGAAACAGGCTTGATTAGAGAAGGAATGTCATTTGTGGTAGAATCAAATGTAGTTGACTGTTTTATATCTGGTTCTCAAAGAAATTGACTCTGCCTTGGTAAAAATCCCCCCCAAAAGGCATGAATATATTGGAATTGATATCAATATCGGCCAAAATGACCATCAATTTATTAAATTTCGGCAAAAATTCAATATTATGCATTAGGGATGGGCGATAAATTATCATTCACGATTTAGTTTCTCCATGAGAAATATTTGCCATCTCACAATAAACGCGGAAAATGCAAGTTGATGACAAAAGCGTGAGTGACGGGCTCACAGCTGTAGCCCACACAGAGCAGAATAACAAACAAATATGGCCGAAGGTGGTGAAGAAGATGTCTCTGAGGAACTTGTTGCTAAACGAGGCTCCACATGAGGGGTTTCCTTCAAGATTGGGGTTTAGACAAGTGCGATCAGATATGCCTGACATCGGACAGTAGATCCGCTCTCTCTGTGCAATAAGAGTTTTCAATAAATGTGGAAAGTGTTTACACATTTCAGACTTATTTGATGTCACTAGTTTTCTCCATAACCTACTACTTAAACTTGTGGTTAAGTATTGTTGAAGTTAATTCAAACTTCCCCGAGTCCGTTGATGGAGACTGGAACAGAGGATTCACTGAGGCAAAAAGGTGTCTTCAACAAACCTTTTATTTCGGCACATCAAATAACACAAGATATCTTGGAGAGCACAACATCAACCCAATGGTATCTCTGAGGTGGTCTGATTACTATTTTTCAGTAGTTAATATTTATACCCTAGGAGGCGTCTCATCATCTTTTTGGGCGGAGAGTTTACATAACCAGCAGCCCCCAGTGTTTCTCTATGGACAAACAAGCACGTATTGTTCTATTTTTTTTACCTGACCGAAACTGTGGTTTCAGGGAAGTTGACCTTGGATGCATCCAGCGCTTGTCTCCTTTTATCATATTTGCGTCATGTATTCCAAGCTTTCACTGAGTTCCCACTGGGCAGACTGCTGGGCATGCAAACCCCCCTTTACACCTCCCCATCTTCTCAGGACAGAGTGATCTTCCTCCCTCGTCCTGTTGTTCACATCTCTGACTAGCACCTGCACATCTGTTTATGAAAGGCACATCATTATCTAAGGCATATGTCAGGGCCCTAGAGCACTTTTATAAGGAACACTTTTAGTGAATGGCTGTGATGATTATAAAGCACACTTTTTAATAAATGACTGTTAAGGCAGAACAGTTTAAAACCATACTTACCAACCCTTGGCACTTCTAGGCATAAGCTAAAATCCTTCTATACTGAAAGTCTCTGTTCTATACATTGTGACACAGTGGTCAATTGCCCCTGTGTTAGCTTTAAACTTTCTTATCTTACTCATCAGTACATGTCCGCAATGAGCACACAAAATAATGTAAACACAATAAAAAAACAGTTAATTACCTGAAACAATGACTAAATGATTGGTATGATATATGAGTTCCCACAAATTCCCCCTTTTGATCTCTTCAAAGAGATCACCTTCAATTAGCGCATCAACAGTGCCAGGAGTATAAATTTAACCGTCAGTACTTCCGCTATGACTAGGTAAACATTACTTTTGTTCGCATGCAGGGCGGCATCCAGGTCGGGGTCTACCACACTGAGGGACAGGTTAGTATCAAGCTGTGGGCTGGGGGTTAGAGGAGGAGATGGAAAACAACCGTGAGTATTTTGATTGCCAGAGGGATACACATCAAATCTATCAACCCAACATTCAGAAGGAGTGGGAACCATGACCTTTAAGTAAGTGAAATTGACGGACACTACTGACACCCCCTTTTTGGCTGTCCTTCCCCCCCGGGGCGTGTAAGAAACATCATAGGTTATGGAACCTTCTGCTTGTCGCCAATTGTTACCATCTCCGAGGGAGAGGCCAACTTTCACAGGAGTGTTTGGACCAGAGTATTCGCAAGTAATGGTCAGGGCTGTAGCATTACCAGAGATTGATGGGCGGGCCAAATAAGCATCCTAACCGCGGATGGGACGTGAGAGGTATGTTGCATCGTGTTTTGTGGCGTTTGTAGGCAACTGTGGGAACTCCCTAGTCAGCCCTAAAATTATAAGCAGCAAACCTATGTTAAATAAGACTAAAGCAATCAACCATGGCCATGAGCCAAATTTAGGATGAGGGATCCTCATTTCGTTTCTGCAAAATTCAACCCACAAAAGAACATCGAGCAATACAATGTAAGTTAATAACCAGATAAATGCCGAAATAAAAGGGTGTGGAACATACAGTGTGGAGCATACAGGTAAAAAATCTTCTCGTCTTGTACGACCTGACAGATGATCCGTCCGTGGAGGTCGCCCGGACAGGCAGCGTAGCGTCGTTGTCTACTGGAGCAGGTGTCAGCCGACGTCCTGCGGGATGTTGTCGTCTTTCTTCAGGCGGTCAGGGGTAGACTACCCTGTGCCCTTTTCGTTGCAGGGATTATTCTGCCCTGTGTCTTTTCTGGAGGTGTGTGGCTCTTTGGTTTGGTTTCCTGCTGCAGCTGCTGCAAGATCCTGCCGCACTTCCTTCAGGGAGCGTTGAGGTGTTACAGCTGGGGCGCACTGAGTGAGGTGGAACCAGGTGTCACCTTTCCCGTCCAGCCGGACTGCGTGGGAGGTTCTCTCGGTCACCTGAAATGGTCCTGTCCACCTAGGCTCGCTCCACTTTCTCTTGATGACCCGAAGGAGGACCCAGTCAGTGATGGGTAGGTCACCGTCTTTGGTGCCGTCTTTGCTGTCTCGCACCTGCTTAGCAAATTCAGAGAGAACAGATTGCAGTTGTACATAATAATCTTTCTGGTGCATGTGAGAGGGAGGAGGGTCAGTGTTTTGCAGGGCTCGTTCTGGCCCTGGAAAAGGTCGACCACGTTCGAGCTCGAATGGGGTGTGTCCAGTTGTCCTGTTTACTGAGGATCGGATGGACATGAGGGCGAGCGGTAGAGCATCCACCCAGTTCAGCCCTGTGTGGGCACAAATCTTTGACAGCCTGTTCTTGACTGTCTGGTTCATCCTCTCAACCTTACCCTGAGATTGAGGATGGTACACGGACCCAAAACCATGTTTAAGTCCCAACATGGCCTCCACGTACTGGAGGTCCTGGTTCTTGAAGTGTGACCCATTGTCCGACCTGATCTTTTCTGGGAAGCCATGCTGTGGGATGTAATGGTTGATGAGACACTTAACTACTGATTTGCTGTCCTCTCTTTTCACTGGCCATGCTTCTGGCCATCCTGTAAATGCATCAACACACATCAAAACATACCTGTACCCTCGGACTGAGTTAACCATATCTGTAAAATCAATGATGATTTCTTTCCCTGGACGTGTTTTTAGTTGGAACTTACCCACCCCGGGTTTGTATGTAGGTCTGGTGTTGTGGTGTGTACAAACAGTGCAGTGTCTTACCCACTCCTTTAGCATGTCATGTAGGAAGGGGTGCCACCATTCTTTGAGGTCCACTTTCATCTGGGAGATGCCTGCATGGCCAACTCCATGTGCTTCTGAGAAGATACTGTCTTTGAGCCCAGGTGGCAGAACCAACCTTCCATCTGGGGATCTCCAGGTCCCTTCCGATAGGACTGCGCCTCTGAGTTTCCACACTGTCTTCTCTTCAGGTGAGGCTAGGTCCTGTTCTTTTGAGATTTCTGTAAGGGACAGTTTTGTCATTTGTGTCTCTGTGTCTGGTCTTACCAACAGGAGCTTCTCATGATATCCTGCGGCTGCTTTGGCTGCGGAGTCCGCTGCTTGGTTGCCCATGGCAACTCTGGATCCGCTGTTGTCGTGTCCTTTGCATTTGATGATGGCTACCTTCTGGGGAAACCACAGTGCTTTTGCAAGCTCTTTCATTTCATCCATGTGTTTAATGGGTTCTTGTTTTGCAGTTAGGTAGCCCGCTCTCATCCATTGTCCTAGGTCTACTTGTGCTGCATGTACTGCATAGGCTGAGTCAGTGTAAATGTTAATGTCTTGGTCTTTACCTGCTTTCAGGGCTTCAATCACTGCCACGACTTCTGCTCTCTGGGCTGACTGTGGTCCATTGAGCTTTTGTGCTGTTACCGTCTTGAGTCCGTCTGGTGTTTCTTCTATCACCGAGAATCCTGCTCTGAGTCCCTCCTTCTCATCTCTGTAGCAGCATCCGTCTGTGTATAGGTTTCTGGCCCCTGGGATGGGTTCCGTCTGGAGGTCTTCTCTGGCTTTTTCTTCTTTTTCAACCCTGTGGGCACACTCATGCAACACACCTTCCCCCAAACGCTCAGCCATGTTAACACCTTCATGAGTGAATAGCAAGTTTGGGGCTTCGAGAATGCGAGCGAGTTTTTGCTGTCTTGTGGAGGACATCGTAAAAGTTTGCGAGTTCACATAAGCTACAACGCTGTGTGATGTCAAGATGTGAAGTGTGTGTCCCATAACTATGTGTGCGCTTTTGTTGATGAGTTTGGCAACACCTGCAGCATGTCTTGTGCACGTTGGTTGACGTTTTTCTGTGGGGTCAAGGATGACACTGAGATACATCAGTACCGTTCTCTCTCCCCCTTTTTTCTGGAACAGAATACCGTTAGCAACAGATTCTGTTTCAGAAACATCCAAAAAGAACGGGCGCGCGTAGTCGGGGAGGGCCAATTCGGCGGACGCAGCGAGTTCTTGTTTGAGTTTGATAAAAGCTTCTTCCGAGTTGCGGGACCATGTCAGATTCGCATTCAGATTTCTCATACCTGCAGAGGTGACCATGGCTCTCAGCGGAGATGTGAGAGTGGAAAAATCAGGTATGTACTGCCTGCTGTAACCCACCAGACCGAGAAACGACAGCATAGCTTTGACAGTGTCAGGCTTGGTGTGGTGCAGAATGGATGTGCGGTGGGCGGGGGACAATGAGGCCCCCTTTTGTGACAGTAGTCTGCCGAGGAAAGAAACTTGTTTCCGCGCGATTTGCAACTTAGGTTGACTGACCTTGAACCCGTGGCGGGCCAGGAGTAGGAGCAGGGCCCGTGTGGCCTGCAGGCAGGACTCGGCTGTGGTGGACGCAATGAGCAGGTCGTCGACATATTGAATCACTGTGGTGCCATCGGGCAGCTGCAGGTCAGCCAAACTCTCTTTCAGAACCTGGTTAAAGATGCCAGGGGAGAGGGCGAATCCCTGTGGGAGGCGGGTGTAACGGAGTCTGCGACGCTGGTAGGTGAACGAGAAGATGTCCCGAACGTTCTCATGTAAAGGGAGACAGAAAAAAGCGTTAGCAAGATCAATACATGTGAACCATGCTTGTTCGGGAGACAGATTGTTCAGAGCAACATATGGGTTTGGCACCGGGACCGTATTGGTCCCTAGAATCTGATTGATGGCTCTGAGGTCATGGGCCATACGGTACTGACCGGTGCCCTTCTTTTCAATTGGTAGAATGGGTGTGTTCCAGCAGGAGTTGGAGGGTTCGAGGACACCAGAGTCTAACAGGCCTTCTATGGTGTCCTGAATGCCCAATTCTGCCTCTCTTTTGTGAGGGTACTGTGGCACCCAGACCGGAGAGTCAGTATTCAGCTGGAATGAGATAGGTTTACAGTGGATCAATCCGACATCGGTTGGACCCTCGGCCCACAATGAGACTGGGAGGGAGGAGATAAGCTCCTGTGCTTTTGGATGATCAGATTTTTCTCTACCATGGTCTCTAGGTATGAGTTCATGTGTGCATAAAGCAGAGTCAGTGGTAGTACTCACAATTCTGAACATTTTCAGGGACGGAGAGCGGAGCACGCCAGGCAGGCCGGAGGAAGACCAGTCTGAGGCTAAGACTGCTGCTTTGACCATGGGGCCCAATTCGCGAGCCTCATGTCCCGGATGGAGAGCCAGCGAAATGTGGGGGAAAGCAGTCTCAGACATATTATACCAGGACTGTTGCTCTCTTGTGAGATTAACCATTGCCGCAACCCCCTGTTGTCCCACCAAAATGTCACCAGAATGTAGCTGCCAGGTCTTACCTTCTAGCTGATTTTGGAATTCCTCTAGGTAACATTCATTACCCTCCCGGTCGTAGAACAGAGTCAGATGGAGCGGGTCAGGTGGAGCCATGTAGGGGTGGACGCTGAGGATCCAGGGTTTCCAATGGAGATAACATGAGTAGAGCCCAGTTTGTGATGGCTCCAACAGGGCCCAGAAAATGTCTGCAAATCTAGGTTCAGTGTCTCTGAGGAGGTACTGGTGTGTGTCCCCAATCCCTTGTGCACATAGAACTTCAGTCCCATCCGGGAACGTGACAGTGAGGCCCTGCTGACCGCAGAGGATCTGTGCATTGAGTCTCGAGAGTAGGTCCCTACCCAGGAGATTGACTGGAACACTGGGAGACACTAGATAGGGGTGTTGTAATTTCTGTCCCGCTACGTGTGTGGGGAGGGGGATGGTAAATGACAGAATCTGACTTACCCCAGAGAAACCCACCACGCTCATCGTCCGTCCAGACAGAGGCCCAATGTCCTGATTAACCGTAGATCTGGTAGCCCCTGTGTCAACGAGAAAGGGCAGAGCGTGGTCCCGGACCGTCATGGACAGCATGGGCTCTGCCGTTACCCCGCTGTCCGAGTCGCTCTGTGGGGCGTGTCATTGAGGATACTGGTAGGCGTCCTGAGCCTCCCAGGTCTGGTCCCAGGCAGTGACTGCGACTGGAAACTGGTGGGCCTGCTGCTGCTGCTGCTGTTGTGGGGGTGGTCCTCCCTGTCTCAGCGGAGGTGGTCCACGGGCCATGCCACGCATCGGGTAGCTGTGTTGCTGCGGAGGGTTTGGTGGATAGTTTGGACATTCACGCCACCAGTGTCCATTCATGCCGCAGGAGTGGCAGGCGTTGTTGCGTGTAGGTGCTGTTTGTGCCTGATTCCAGTAACCGCCCTGGCGGGGAGGGCCGTTGTTACGAAATCTCCTGTTGCCCTGGAAACCTCCTCCCCTGTAGGGTCCACCAGACCTCGCTCCACGTCCTCTGCCCCACGAACCCTGAGATTGATCTGTGGGAGGAGAATAGGGAGAACAATCTGCCCGCTGGGGCACTGGGTACATGTCAGGTGAAATCTGTGGGTCGTTAGAGGCAGCGGCAATCATAATTTTATCTGTATTACGATCTTTCTTACCCTCAGTGATATTTCTCCGAGCCTGGGTGAGCTGCAGCTTCATAAGTTGTCTCTGCATGTCTTTGTCATCATCACCTTCTTTGTCAGCTCTGTCTTTCGCTCTCTGTAGGTGGTGTTTGAGATGTCGTTCCCACACCAGGCAGGTTGAGCCCGGAAGGTCTGGGCTGTTTTCCAAGTGTTCTCTAACGTCTGCTGGAACACCTTTAATTACAGCATCTCTAAACCAATGTTCCTGGCCCTTACTGGGGTGAACCCCTGTGCATTTGGACCATTGTTCCTTGCACTGGGCTAGATACTCGCTAGGAGAGAGACTTTTGTCCCATGAGAACTTGGGGATCATTGGACCGTTGGGAAGCGGGTATTTGGAACGGAGCTCGTTACGCAGAGCCCTAATTACTGTGACTAGCTGCCTGTCATCATTGCAGGAAATGGTGCCTGCACAGGTTTCGATGTCCCTGAGTTCGGTAGGGGTGACACAGAGCGCGAGAATAGCCCTGAAATCGCCGAGGGCTAGATCTTGGCCTTTAGTCAGGCAGTCCAATTTGTCCAGCCATAAGTTGCCTCCCTCAGAGATGGGGGGCAGCTTATCACTGATGGTTTGTGTATCGCTAACAGCGAATGGTTTATAGATTTTGTGTCCACCACTGGATTCAACCAGAGGGAAAGCGGAGGAGCTGTGGTGTGCTGTAGCTGCGTCTGGATATGCTGGAGGTAACATGGCTTTTGAGCGTGTGAAGTGATGGTGGCTGAGAGGTGCACTCACCCTTTTTTCGTTCGTCATACGCTGCTGTTCCTCTAGGGTGGCAGTGGGTCGGGCCATGGCTTCACTGGCGTCCGTGTTATCCGTATAGTTGACGGTGGAGCCTCTGGTGGTCCTCTGCATCTCATCTCTCATGGTGCTGAGCATTTCGTCTCTCACTTCCTGTCTGAGTTCCTCCTCCACTCTGCTGCGCATGAGCTCTGCACCTGTAACATCTAGGGTGTCTTGCAGTATTTTATTGAGAGTGCTCTTGGTAGGATTGGGGTCATATGTACCTCTTACCGTGAGTTGGGCTGTGCAGGGCAAACTCTGTGGACTCTGTGGGCCTCTGTTCGGGGACGGTATCACCGTCTTATCCTGTCCCCTGGGGGTGGATCTCTGCTGTGGCTCAGGAGCGGGCAGTGAATCTGGTGTGGGCAAAGATTTAAATTGTAATTCTTTTTTAAACTCACTCAAAAAGCGGGCCTGACGGTCTCCGAATGGTGCATCGAGCTGGTCCTCCTCTTCCTCCTCCTCGCTGTCCTCGGCTTCAGAGTCGCTGTCTTCATCCATGTCTCTGTAGGTATTGTTGCCTTCTCTGTCCTCGTAGTCTGAGAGGTCGATGGTGGTGGTACCAGAAGTCCTAGAGGCCATGGATGGTGCCTTGTGTCCAGGAATGTGAGAAGTCAGGGAGGGGTCCGGCTGTTGAGGCATCATGGTGGGGGGTATGTCAATCTTCAGATGTCCTTCATTGATGTTGATCACTGGGTAGAGAGAAGTGCTCACAAAAGGATTAGTGGGTGAGAGTTTTTTTCTGTGAAAACCAGACTGAGCGGAGTGGTAAGGTGGGGGTCGAGGCGGAGCTTTGGGAGGCGGAGCTGTGGGAGGCGGAGCTGAGGGGTGGAGACCTGAGAAAGGATTCGTTCGTTCAGCGGTGGGAGGAGGCAGGATAGAGGGAGGGGTAGCTGGTGGAGGCGGAGCTGGGGTGGCACCCTTTGTGTTGGTGGGTGTGTCCTTCTGTGTCTTACTGTGTGTGTGTGCTGATTTGAATAATCTCATGTCTGTATTTGGGGTGGGGGTAATCCCTGTCAAACCTTTCTCAGCTGCCTTATTTACATTAGTAAGATGCTCTGTCCCTCTGTGGGCTACTCCCAACGTCTGCCACCTAGCAAGTCTTCTAAAATGCTTTTTTACGGCCTGTTTATATTTTCTGCGGAGCAAAATGCTGCCTAGCGCTGCTTTCTTCCTTGCTGCTTCTCCTTTTGCTAGCTCTTCTTTCCCACGTGCCCAGATGAGATCTCCTAGTGAGGATCTTTCATTTTCTCTCCCTTCGATAAGCTCTTGCAGCATATCAGCATACTTTTCCCTCCCTTTCGCTGTCACCACAACTCCATCTTCTTTCCCTATGCCCTTTAAGATCCACTCTGCCTGTAGAGATAACGGGCCCCACCCATCATCATCTACCTCACGATCAAATTCACCATCCATCCCAACAACAGCAACGTCTCTTTAATGGCCGGCTGGTTTGTATGACACTTCCGTTTCGGGCAACCAGCCTTATTGGAGGCCTTCACAAAGCCGGTCAGTTTGTATGACACGTTCGTTCCGAGCAACGGACCCTTTCAGTGTAGTACTGAGACACTTTGTGTGAGGTTTTCTCCAAGACACCACTTTGAGACAAGTTCAATTTTCAGCATATATGTGGTCAAAACAGTCACAATTCACGCACAGGCTTCAATAATGTCACACAGTAGAGAGAAAGTTATTCTCCACTGAACTTTTTCTGTACGGCAGAACTCCTCGCACAGGTTTCAACTGTATCACACAGCAGAGAGAAAGTCAGTCTCCACTAAATCTTTCTGTGCGGCATATCACCTCGCACAGAATTCAACAATAACACAGCAAAGACAAAGTCAGTCTGTACTGACTTTTGGTGCGGCACAGCTCCTCGCACTAATTTTAACAATCACGCAGCAGAGAGAAAGTCAGTCTCCACTGAATCTTTCTGTGCGGCATATCACCTCGCACAGAATTCAACAATAACACAGCAAAGACAAAGTCAGTCTGTACTGACTTTTGGTGCGGCACAGCTCCTCGCACTAATTTTAACAATCACGCAGCAGAGAGAAAGTCAGTCTCCACTGAATCTTTCTGTGCGGCATATCACCTCGCACAGAATTCAACAATAACACAGCAGAGAGAAACTCAGTCTCTACTGAATTTTTCTGTGCGGCATATCACCTCGCACAGAATTCAACAATCACGCAGCAGAGAGAAACTCAGTCTCTACTGAAGTTTTCTGTGCGGCATATCACCTCGCACAGAATTCAACAATCACGCAGCAGAGAGAAACTCAGTCTCTACTGAATTTTTCTGTGCGGCATATCACCTCGCACAGAATTCAACAATAACACACACTTCTTTTCGGGGGGCTCCAAGTCCCCGGGGTTTGCAACCCAGCTCAACTAGCGCCCCGTCGAGCCACTAGGGGGGTCCGCCACAACCCAGAGCGGTGGTCCTTATGACTCTTTTCGCGGCCTTCACACCGGCTTCTCTTAAGTTTCACTTTTCATTTCACACATAGTTACTCTCTTCGTCAGAACACAGAATATCACAAGATGTACCAGTACAATATCATGAGCCTCGTAATAAATTTAGGATTCAGTATATACAGAGTTCAAGAGATCTTTGATTTAGAGTAACACAAATAGGCAGAAATTCTGTTAAAAAGGTTTTCTGCTTACCTTATTTTGTGGTCGACCAGATCTCTTTTCCTCTGATGCACTGAACAGTTTTCTCCAATTCAAAAAGCTCTGTCAGAACTCCATCCCGGACGAGCCCCCAAAATTGTTGAAGTTAATTCAAACTTCCCCGAGTCCGTTGATGGAGACTGGAACAGAGGATTCACTGAGGCAAAAAGGTGTCTTCAACAAACCTTTTATTTCGGCACATCAAATAACACAAGATATCTTGGAGAGCACAACATCAACCCAATGGTATCTCTGAGGTGGTCTGATTACTATTTTTCAGTAGTTAATATTTATACCCTAGGAGGCGTCTCATCATCTTTTTGGGCGGAGAGTTTACATAACCAGCAGCCCCCAGTGTTTCTCTATGGACAAACAAGCACGTATTGTTCTATTTTTTTTACCTGACCGAAACTGTGGTTTCAGGGAAGTTGACCTTGGATGCATCCAGCGCTTGTCTCCTTTTATCATATTTGCGTCATGTATTCCAAGCTTTCACTGAGTTCCCACTGGGCAGACTGCTGGGCATGCAAACCCCCCTTTACACCTCCCCATCTTCTCAGGACAGAGTGATCTTCCTCCCTCGTCCTGTTGTTCACATCTCTGACTAGCACCTGCACATCTGTTTATGAAAGGCACATCATTATCTAAGGCATATGTCAGGGCCCTAGAGCACTTTTATAAGGAACACTTTTAGTGAATGGCTGTGATGATTATAAAGCACACTTTTTAATAAATGACTGTTAAGGCAGAACAGTTTAAAACCATACTTACCAACCCTTGGCACTTCTAGGCATAAGCTAAAATCCTTCTATACTGAAAGTCTCTGTTCTATACATTGTGACACAGTGGTCAATTGCCCCTGTGTTAGCTTTAAACTTTCTTATCTTACTCATCAGTACATGTCCGCAATGAGCACACAAAATAATGTAAACACAATAAAAAAACAGTTAATTACCTGAAACAATGACTAAATGATTGGTATGATATATGAGTTCCCACAGTATCTTATTTGACCATGCCAATTGATGTTCTCAAGACAGAATGAGTCAAAAACATAGATAGGAATTATAATATTTTTATTGAGACTTTTATCATTATCACCAGAATGGCAGAATTTACTGTGATAAATTTTTTAGCCCTATCGCCCAACCCTATTCATCCCTAATTCCTGAATAGATGATAAGAGATTAGAGCAAACTGCTACAAAGCCCAATCAAAACAGCCACGACCCTGGGTAATACTTGACGGTTGGCCTTAGTATAATCAAAACAGAAGAGTCATACAATAGTTCTCAGAATAAAGAATGCAAAACCATGAGTTGTATCAGGCTTTAAACATTTTCCATTCTGCTGTAAAGCTTTTCATTTTAATGTAGGGGCTGATGGTCTTTTCTTGGCATTGGAGCCAGCCTCTAATCTACCTGGGCAATAAATGAGAAACTTTAAGGCATATCTGGATTATAGTAACGAGTAGATCTACTAAAAAAAACATCACCTAACAAATCTACTTTAGACTGTTTAGACCAAATTGATGATGATTGATTCCATAAGAAGAGTGAATGACTGACTCTAACTGTTGTGGACAACATATATACTTTGGCAGCACTTACCGTTACAGTGTGTAAGCCACGGTACGGTTTCACATCCGCCATGACAGATTTATACAGCAGAGATACTGTATGTTGTGGAATGTGTTTCTCAGGTTCATGTGCAGTTCTTTTAGCAGCTTCAACATCATCATGAAAATCTCGATAAATAATTCAGCGGTCTGTCTGAGCTTCATCTGATTTGCAAAGAAACCAAGAATAAATTTTCTCTCCTGTTATCAGCATCTTCAAGCCAGAATGATCAATGTGTTGGATATGCAACTCTGGGTAACAGAAAATGAGATTCACAGCTCCACTTTGCAGCCAAATTTGGCAGTGGTTACTTTCCCTCTCTTGTCATCTTGCTGGTTATCAGACCGCCCTCCTAACTTGCGGAGGTCAGCACATTCAGCGGTCAGAGTTTAACTTAGTTGAGCTCTGTGTCCAAAATCTATCAGGAAACCAATGTGACTGCACATCTCTAATGGAAAGTAATAGCTCTGCTGGCATGGACACTTCCACTATTGAATAACCTGCTCTGCTCCTGCAGGCATTTGGCAGTCACAGCAGCATTCAAACAGCTATTAATGAATGTTAGAGAGGATTTAAACATGCTCTGTTTGGCAGTGATCACATACTGTAATAAATAAATATATATGCTTCAACTTTAATGCACGCTCCTATTTCTGTCTCTGATTTATGCCTTCCTGCTTAAGCTGTAGTGAATCTTTGGAGCTGATGAATATTGAAGAAACATTTCAGCTGTGTTAAATGTTTTAGCATGTTTCTGTTTGTGATAGCAAGAGCTTTTGAGATGCAAAACAGCAGGTGTTTAGTGAACACTCACCCCCCGCAGTTAGGGGGCTGCTTTGACCGATAATGGCTTTACTGGCACCTGGGATATCACTACTTCTCCACTCTTGCTTTGTGCTCTCAAGGTGAATGGTGGAGCGAGACCAAAATAAGCAAAGTGAGTACGTTCTGGGTGTCGGAAACAGAAGAAAGAGGAGGCTTCGGTCTAATTTTGGCTGTGAGATTGTTCTGGAAGTGACCCATATTTGTCTGTGTCTGAGTGTGTTCTTTGTGACTCTGTTTTTATAGACAGAGAGAGACGTCTGGCTGAAACCTGCATGGTGCCTTATCGTGAATGTTATTCCCACTGAAAGTCATGTTTGTAGGATGGCCCCCCAAGTCTCTCTCCATATGCTAATCGGTAAATGCCAAACACATGAACCAGAATGCTGTCGTGCAACACAACACAGCAGATGACGAGTAGCAGAGCCTGTGTGCAGTGTTTATGCATGTTTCCTGATGCATTGCCCATTAAAATGGCTCATTCTGATGACACATGTTCCTCTGACAGAGCAGAAGATCTGATTAGATTGAGAGTGTCCTGCTGTGTGGATAATTGTGCATTTTAATGAGGTAAATAAAGACTTTGAATAAAACCCATCCTGTTGGTGTGGTCAGACAAGTGCAATTTGGTGGTGCAGAAATATCTAAAAATCTATCTCTGTAAATTATTTATAATGGGTGAAAAATATTATATTGATTTGTGTCAATCTAATTCCTCACTGGGAGCCAAGATGAGGATGTCGACCTCTGCCATCAATAACACTCATGTTTATAATGAAGATGAAGGTCAGAGTGGTATGGAGAGAATAAATGTAGCAGCAGTAATAGAATACAGACGTGTGATAATTTTCAAAACAAGCCCACCTAAACAACAGAGTATGTTGATGATGTAATGCTGCGTCCCAGTTACCTCAGAAGTCGGAGCTGGGAATGGCGTTACATCCGAGTTGACGGTATTCCAGTTAACAAATTGGAAAACCAAGATGGACGCCTACAGTTAACCATTGTTAGCTGTTGTTTACAGTTGTTAGCTGTTGTCAGCTGTTGTTAGTTGTTGTTAGCTTTACCAGTTGTAAACAATGCAAAACACAGTATTTTACTCCACAAACACCATAGCACCGTGTTCACAGTTAGACGTTGGGCAGCACAACATATACCACTGTATTTATTTCACTAAAACAAAACAGAAATGCTAATAAATAATACATTACGAGAGCTTTCACCATTACCCTTTACTGTTGATGGGGTTGGCAAGGATCGTCCGACTTTCCGAGTCGGAAATCTGACTTCAGGGGGTCGTTCCAGGTGAATTTCTGACTCTGAGCTCGGAAATCCCAATTTCCGAGTACAACTGTTCCTCAACAGTGAGGAATTAGATTGACACAGCATAAGCCCCCCAAATCAGTATTTTTGACATCACAATGCCTCTTTAGGGACTTCATGTCGAGTGATGATACAGGGTCATCTTATCTGTTTATTCACATATAAAAAACTGTGACAAACTATAATTGCAACTCTAAACCCCGACATGCACCACAAGCTTACCCAGGCAAAAGTGCGGCTCTAGTTTTTTCTTGCTTTCCAAAACTGTTATAAAAATTATCCTGTTTTACTAAATGAGAACCTGACAGTAAGAGTGGGGCTATGGGTCATTAGTGAATGATCAGGATCATAAGGCTGCAATGACCAAAGCCAAGGGTGCTGCAAAATGAATCGATTCATGCTGATAGTGGGCACAGGCCCTAATGTTTGGCTTGACTTCATCACTAGGCTGGTAGTGCATGCAACTGTCTGACTCTGTCCAGCTTCACTGTAGGGATACATGCAGCAACACATTTTTCAGCACCCATATCATAGAAAAACACTGTCTGAAATGTATTAAACTGAGTAGGATAGCTCTCCATCTGAGTAAAGTGAAAGACATCCATATAAATGTAAGACACGCCAAGGTGTCTTCTGATTCAAAGGATGTAATTGAATTAAACGGATTAGCTCAGGATTGGCCTCCTAAGTAAACCTGATGCAGCTGTCTGTATTTATCACACCAGGACTTGTTTACAGTATCAGTTCAGTGCATCTGTACTTAACTACTTTCTTCCCTCTATTGTCAAACTGCACCAGCAAAAATAATGAAAGTAATCTGTATTAAACCAGTACAGTTTAAAATCATGCTTCATGCAAATAGACGTGTAGCATTTGCAGTTTCCCCTCATGGGACTATTAAAGGAACATCTTATCTTATCATTTAGGTGTGTCAGCAAGAATTAGGCCAGTGTGTCTGCCTGTCAATCAAGTCCAAGTCAGTTTTTTGAACCAGGGTGTAAATGTGTTTATCTTTCCTCTAATGGTTTTCTTTTTTTGGCTCAGTGTGTATGTGGTTTCCAGTGCTTCTGCAGCCCACCTCAAGTGGCCACTTGGGGAACTGTGGTTTTTAGCACTTCCACAATTGCTTCATTTCTCAGGACTGGTTGCCGCTTTGTGTGACCAAAATCTATGAGTGGTTTCAGGCATCAAAACCTTAATTGTCAGGCTTTTGCTGATTGTCTTGTTTGTTTTTGTGGCTCATAAAGGTGCTACTGTAAATTGTAGTCCTTTTCATAACCAGTTAAAAACTCCTAAGTGTACATGAATCATTCATCAACAAAAATCCCTGAGTCACCGACATAAGGATGGTCAATGAATTCAAGTAAAATCGGGAAAAGTTGTCTAATAAAAGTACAAGGAATAAATTTCAAAGTAGTCTCTGAATCTGCTGATCTGATTTTCTCGGGCAGCTTGTTCCACAGCTTTAGGCCCTTTTTCTGTGAACGCTCTGTCACCCCTAATATTCAGCTGTGCCTCGGGGACACATGAAAGATAACTTTTAGATTTAGAGAGGTGGTAAGAGCTTTTCTATTCTTGAATTTAGACAGGATATCTCCTGTGCAGGGTTTGTTTGATCCTGCCTCTACAGAGAGGAGAGGCATGAAGTGTTTTTTGTTGTTGTTCGTCAAAAATTAAAAGGTTTTTTGACAGAAAAGTGTGGAGAATTTGTGAGAAGTCCAAAGTGTGGGGGATTGCTTTAACGTGAGAAGTAGTGTATGTGATCCAGGTCATCAGCCACACAGAGCAGCTGTCACTTCCTCTGACTGTAGGGCAGAAACGAGGCAGATTCAGGGATTAATGGAGTGTCCAAACACGGCCGGGATGATAGCACAGCAGCAGCACCTGCTTGTGTGCACTTTGGTGTGTCTGTGTTTGTGTGTATCTGTAGCAGAAAACACCTCACAACTCAAGTCCCGACAGCCAGCCGCTTCCCAGGTTTCCATGCCAACCACAAGGGCTGTTCACGTTGGAGCATGCTCAGTTTGGCTCCCTGTCGTTGTAACAATAGCCAGTGAGAGGGCTCACACTCACTCAGTCACACACGCACACACTCCCTGACACACACTCTACTCCAGCTCGCAGTGGGAGCGAGACGGAGAGGAGAGGGCTGCCTGCTGCGCTGACGGAGCTCACAACACACAGCAACCAGCAAACACACACTCCATCTTAACAAAGGTGAGCACGCAAGCATGCACAATTTGACTGCTTTTATTTCTCTTTGTTTGAGAATTTGTCAGGTTTGTAGCTTTGCATTTTTGAACGAAAGAGCTGCAGAGTGGAGACAAGTGTTGCTGCTGGAAAAACTACATGTAAAGAGGAAGCATGTGCTCTGCTTTCTTAGAGTCAAACTGCATGGTTTCTCTCTTTTTTGTATAACAGTGTATGTTGCATCCTAGCTTAGTGGAAGTGGTCTCTTTATTTTATGAATGATGCAAGCAGGCTGAATATTTTCTCCGCTCAATCGGAGGTGTAGTAGTTGACAAAGCAGGGTCTCTGCTCAATAATTCATGCTGCCTTGTATGGAGGAAAGTCAGGGGATGACAGCAGGTGTAATGTGATGCTTTGCATGGACACAGATAGGTCTTTTATGTGCCTATGACAGCACAGCTCAGTTTTACAACCTTCTCTTTGCTTATTCAGATCTTTAATTTGGTTATCAAGCATTTTAGAGCCTCTTTAAATGCTTACTTTATCTGCAGATAGAGCATAAAAAAGGAGAATTCTCTACTCCTAAAAGAGATGGATGAAAAGACCTCATCTTGTGTCTGAAATTGTTATCTGATCTGCAGTTAAAGGGAGTGCGAGGAGCGTCTCCTCATGCCTGTTCAACCCTCTTCAACCTGAGTGTGTTTGTGGTGTGTGAGTGTTCATCAGGGGCGGTCAAAGCGAGATGTATCTTCAATCTTTCCGGTAGTCTCGCCCCATTTCTCTCTCAGAGGCACACTTAGAGGTTCAGACACTTGCTGAGAGTCTCTTCCCGCCCGCCACAAGATTAATTGATGTGGCTGATGAATTCCCGGTTGGTCGATAGCGTATTCCTCTACAGCTTGATAGCTCCTGTGTGTGTTTGTGTGTGTTGATGGCTGTTTGGAGGGGAGCGTGAATATGATCTGGACAGATTTGTGGTCTCAGATGTGAAATAGAGGTGCAGTCAGGGCTGTCTGATGCAATCTGAATCAATATGATGATTTATGTTCATTAAAAGTTCAATTTTAAAAACAACAAAATATTAAAATTTTCTATAACACGCCCTTTTTTAGACATAGGAGTTCTTAAGAATGTATCAGTACCATGCTTACTTCCATTTAAAGACATTTTGAGAGCACACTGAGTGATGTGTGAGTCAATAAATACCACTTTATTTATATGGAAATATTCAAAGCTCCTGTGTCAGTTTTGGCGCCCCCTGTGGATAAAGCAGTCTTATCATATCCTCTTCGTGCTTAAGGGCTTTCCTCTGACAAAAATTCTCATCCTGCTGACTTTTGACTGTTACATTTTTTATTTATTGTGAATATTTAAAGCTTTCAGTAAAAAATTTTGGTTTGTGTCAGAGTTGGCGCCCCCTGCTGGAAAAAGCTGACTTGCTTATCTTGTCCTTTTTATGCTTGAACACTATCTTCAGCTGCTTAGCTAACACCTACCCCCCTCAAATCAGCTTAAAGCAATAAAAAATTATCAGTATTATGGCATAAGTATGAATTTCAGGGGCATGTCATCTGAACAAGTTGTCTATTTATTCATCTATATGTCATGTTCTAACAGTACGATCTATTTGGAGTTGTGTTTTTGTGTCTGTCTGATTTGGCCTCCACCAACTTTTGGCAGAAAATATCTTAATTTTGAGGTACCAAGATAAGATGGTTAATATTTTCAACTCATGGCTCTAAACAGAGGTTATTGCTCAAACAGCTGCCTGCAACAGCTGGAAATGAGGCTGATGACACTGAACCGTGCTCTTTAACTTTCTCAGCGGAGCTCTAAAAGAAAGTCATCATTTCTCATCTGTTCATCTTTATTAATTTATCCCAGACTAATGCCATCAGATTAGTCATGATGATTCATTGCCAATACAAACAAATTGACCGGTTAAATGCTCAGTCGATTTAAAGCAAATCATTGTCTGCTTGATTTTCTGTCACCTGGCCTTTCAATAAAATGCCACTGTCTCCTTTTTTTTCACACCGAGGAGGGAGACAAAACAGGATGCTATCTGAAATTTCGACAGAGGGGAAAATAGACGAATAAGATCCGAGAGGAGGCGACACGTGGCAGCGCAGAGAATAAAGAGGTGTACTGTAGAGTGATAGATGGCAGACAGGGAAAGAGAGTGAGAGCTACTCTTTCACCCTGCGGGAAATTGGAAAATAAATTGAGTTGATACAGGCGGGTTTGCATGGAGATATTGACGCTGAGGAGTGGGTGTGTGCAGGGAGGGGAGGTTTGGATTCAGGGCTCAGAAGGTTCACGCAAGGCTAATCGTCTCTGTGGCCACCAGTTAGGACGAGCAAAAGGCTTCCCGGGGTTGGTAATTAGGAATATCCATCTGCCATTGATGAAAAGAAACAGCCCAGCGAGGCTCTGCAGCAGCTTCTGTGTCTGATTTTACAGGAGTTTGTCTCCAAGCAAGTTTTAGGCACAATGAGTACCAGGAAACCTACTGTTGTTCTTATTGCTAAAGGTTTTGAGTCGGTTTCAGCTGTTATTGGAGCGTCTTTCTTGCTGAGGTACCTGCTGCATTTGTTGAGCTGAATATAAAGTGGCACACAGTGTGGGATGTCAAGTTTGATTCCCAGAGCTTGCCGTGGTTTGATGGCTGAAGGCAGACAGGCAGGCAGACTTTGTGAGAAATGAGAAACCACAAGGACATGACAGACAGAGTCTCTGCTAATTCACCTGCTTGTGGCTTTATGTGGTGTAGACCTATTGGAAATATGCAAAAATGTGCTCCAAATTTGCAAAGATATTTGCTTGTGACGACCAAAATGTCGATATTGGAAAGTTTGGGAACATATTTTATTGTTTTTACTCCCAGCTGTAAAAAGGCTGTCATTGTGTCAAAACAATCAAGCTGAACCAGTATGGAGCATGACAAACCCCCTGCTGCTCAGACACTCAGTACTTATGTTTCTTAATTTAACAGTTTTGTCAAAAATAGTTCAATGTAACACAGAACAGAAGCCCATCATATATATGAAATTACACAACATAAGAGACTTCCAATAACTTTGATCATAAACTGTAACATTTTTTGTGTTTAACTAACAGCCTGCACAATAATCCACACGATCCTTCTCAGGTGTTCGGTGTTGTGACTGTCTGCTTTGAATATCTTTGATTGAAGTTTACGCTCAGCATTTTTTTTTACTGAAGCAAAGAGTGCCATTCAGTGGTCAGGTAACAGTAAGAGCCCCCTCTGCTGGATCAGACAGCAAACTACTTAAGACAGTTTACATGCTGAAATATATCCAACAGCACATTACAGTTTGACTATAAACCTACCATGGGTATCTCTTTTCATCATACTATAAGCATGAGCTTTATACTGGTGTAATGGGAGCACCAATGATTGTTGTCATGCAACATCCTCGATGCTGATATGTAACAGCAGTAAAGATGAATAAATAAGAGCTCCAGATATGCTAAAGAGGACTCCTGTGCATGCGTAGATGATGCAAAGGCATAGAGATATAACAGAGTTTATACATCCTCTGGGTGTTGATGCTTGTTAGTCAGCTCTCTGTAAACTGAAGTGACAGCTGATCAATGGCTCTCCATCCCTCCTCATTTATAATCCACCCCCCCGCACACAAACACACATCCTCCAGTTTCCCTCTTCTTCACCTTCATCCATGCTGCTAATCATCATCTCCCTCCAGCTCCACCCTTTCATCACTATCATCCCCTCTTCCCATCCCTATACTCTCCCCCAGTACTTTTCATAAGCTCTGAAATATCTTCTCTCCTCTCCTCTCCTCGCCTCTCCTCTCTTCTCTTCTCTTCTCTTCTCTTCTCTTCTCTTCTCTTCTCTTCTCTTCTCTTCTCTTCTCTTCTCCTCTCCTCTCCTCCAGTTTAAGCCCATTAACAGCTTGTCCTTGGCTGGAGGAGAAAGCCAAGGGTCTTTCCCTGCTCTCCCTCCCCTCTCTTTTATTTCCTCCTCCTCCTCCTCTTCAAAGATGCTGTGAGTCATCAGTGATACCCAGAATGCCTTCAGGTACAGATCCTTATAGGCGTCTGTAGGAGCCAATCAGTCGATAATCCGTCCATCATGCATCTGTGATGGCTCTGTGTAAAGGCCAACAATGAGCCGACAAGAAAGGTGTTTTGAAAACATTGACACCCCCTCAGCAAGGTCAAGGGTCAGCATCGATCCTAAAAGAGGAGGCGGATGTATGAACACATGGCTGACCTTAAAGGCAGAGGGGTGATTTTATTGAGTTGGGTATTTTATTTTGAAAAGGGGCTCTTAAATAGCAAGCAGACAAGAATTACTGAAACCCTTTTCCTTTTTATTTGTATGTTGCCCTGAAGTCTTCATCCTTTTCTATCAGAAACCCCTGATCAAAATTCATCTAAAAAGTGCGGGTTGGGATAGATGGATTTCTTAGTTCATGGTCACATTGAACAAAAAATATATATACAACTTGCCACGCATCAAATCGGGGCATCTTGTTTACATTCAGTGATGTGGTTTTGACCAATCAGAATCAAGTATTCAGCACAGTTGGATAATCAATGAGAAAGAAAATTGAAGAGATCACAATGGCCATAACTCACAGTTGCTTCATATTTTGTGCAGGGATGTTCTGATGTAATATATTTTATTTCTCAGTTGTTTCAACATAAACTTAAAGCTCAGATGAGGAACTTTTGGTTTGTGTTTACATCGACAAAGCAGTCTTTGCTTATCTTGTCTGTCTTTTGACAAAAAAAATCTCATCCAGCTGATGTTTGACAGTGTAATTTATCATTTATTATGAATATTCAATGTGGGAAATTGTAAAATCAGAGCTGCAAAAATGATACTATGAAAATTGTTTTTCAATTATATGAATAACAAAAAATGGAAATTGAAGGCCTGCTGACTAGTATGATGGGAGGAAATCACTTTGAAAGCAGCCAGATTGGTCCACAGAGTCTGAGGTAAACCAAAGTGGTTTGTGAGTGTGCCACGCACCAGCAGAACTAGACCAGCTTTCAGCCCCCGTTGCAGGCTAATGTTCACATACCTACCAGAGTAGATCCCTGATTTCTCAATAAATAAATAGATAAATAAATAATACAGCCAAACTGCACCTCACTATAAGATACCAGCTGTCATCCCAGCATCTTGTTTACATCCAGGTAGTAGATCATTATATAACCAGATCCACAGTGAAACTAGTGGTGGGTGGTTGTGCCATGTTTTAGTTCATGTAAGATGAATTTTATGTTGACACAACTGTGATGCTGAAGTTTTGCTCAGCTGCTGCGATGTGTTGACTGTGAATGTCCTTTTCTCTTGTATTCTTTAGAGGGGAAGAGGGATGGTAATCAGTACCTTTTCTCACTGAGCTTTTATGAAAACGCACACAGCCTGCTTCTACAATATCCTGTTTTGGTGTGAAAATCTCCAAGTCAACTGAGGTCTGTTATTCTGTGAAGAGACTTTTGCATTTCTAATAACAGCGAGGCATCACTGGATCATTTTCCTCTTTTATCCACTTTTCTTGGTGGATTTATGCGGACAGCTGCCTGTGACCCCGCTGGTAAATAAAGCAGCAGAGTGTGTTTCTTCTTCTGCTGACTGACAGGCTGGTTAAAAAGAGGAGAAAAGCTTTGATGAGAAACATGAATGATTCTTCTCTATTTTCTATTTCTTTCTTTTTTTTTCCCCCTGTGCATCCGCTCTTATCTTCCTGTCTCTTCTCATTCCCGGTGATGTGCGAGTGACTCATGTTGCCATCTGCTGCCCGGCAAATCCTCTTCTCCTTATTACCCGTCCTTTGTTTATTAACAGCTCTCCTATGGCGACAGTGATACCTCTATCTCCCTGTTGTCTGCTTATCCCTCTCTCCATCACCTATACGCCCCCTCCCCACCCCCCTTCCTCTTTCTCTATTCATTCAGGCTTCCCCTAAACTCTCCTCTGCCGAGCTCGTACCAGCACACAAACCTTCTGTTCATTTCACCTTAAACCATTTTTTCTCTCTTCACCTTCCTCTTCTTTTTCTCCCAGGAGACAGATTGTAGAATGAGGTCAGACACAGTGTGTGTGTGAGTGTATGTGTGTGAGCGTGTGTGTGTGGGAGCATATGGATATGAATGTGAGCAGACTGTTGATGTTTTGTTGATGTAGGTGTTGCTGTTGCTGATGTCATTATGATCCCCCGCAGAAATGACAACAGACACAGGAAAACACCCTGGGGCCAAGTGTGTGTGTATGTGTGTGTGTGTGTGTGTTTAGGTTACCAGACTGTGCACAGACATTCAGCTTGGAAATGTTATAAGGTAGAAACAGCACAATTTGGTCCATTTTGGCGGCTATTTTTTTTTCACTATTACAATCAGAAAAACTGTCTTGGGGAAACTGAAGTGGAAATATTAGGACTTCCAATTTGATAAAATACAGACAGGATATTTGTGTATATTTTTTGTGTATACGGATATTATTGAAACTTTATTATACTCTATTATGAAGATAAGTACATGTACACCAAATGCTGTGTTCGAATTACCTCAGAAGTCAGATGTCAGAGCTGAATCAAGTTACCAAGTCGGAAAAAGTAAAATTGGAGGCGGAAACAAGTTGTCTACATCTACAAAAGTTATTTTAGCTAGCGCTTGCCTTGTCCGGATATAAGCAAAAACAAGGCAAACGCTAGCTAAAAAAACTTTCGTAGATGTAGCCATCTTGTTTCCAATAGATACACTGCCTCAAATGACTGCAGACAGTTTTACAATATGTACAGTTTAATAATTTACAGTATCTGTGATCGGATCATATTGACCTGATAATATTAAAAACCTTGTAAAAAATTTGATGTAGACCCAGTGATATCATCGACTAGTTTCTAAAAAGGCATCAAGAAGCCCAAAGAGCTGGTCCTTGTCATGTAAAATGTGACTCCAATTAACTTCTAGCTGGTTTAGAAAATAGCAAAGAGAGGAAGTTTAGGCCATAAGGCCCATTTACACTCCATGTTAGATACAAATACAGGTTTGAACAACACTGTCAACTATACTCTGTGTTAATTTGTTCATATGTTGTCTTCAAGCTTGCGGATACAGACTAGGGTTGTCCAAATACAATAATAATAATATGGGTATCGGTCCAATATCAGCAAAAAAATGAATATCAGATTAGATCGGCCTGCCTTTAAAGTCTCCGATATCACCACTCCATACAGGCAGTCTATTCCAGACTCTGCTTCAGCACCATATCTAGCAGCGCCCTGCCCGAAAAAGACATTGCAACTGAGTGAGAAACTTCTCATGCACAACGTTGTGCCAATATTGGATCAATAACGGTATCGGTCAATATCGGTATCATATTGGAAGTCAAAAAGTTGTATCCGTACACCCCTAGTACAGACTAAACATTGCAGTACCAGCCATAATCATGTGGCAGTGCTGAACAGTCAAGCCAATAATTCAAAGAAATTAAATTCTCTGTCTACATGTTGTAAAGCATGTTTTTATCTATTACATAAGTTTTTTCAAAATCCATATGAAACTTGTCTCTGGCTGAGATAAGCATGTGTAATAGATTGTAATGTGCATTTGATGATGGCTGTAATCAAGTGAGTATAAAACCCTGACTGTTCCTTAAACACAAATCAGGTTTCATGTAAAACTAGATCACATTTTCTTCTGCAAAAATAAAACTGTGAATGAAATCTTAAAGCCTCCAGACAAAAAAGGGAACAAAAACCCATTAGTATGACAGTTTTAGCTCTGTATCTGAGTTATAACGCAGTTTTTCGGGTTTGTTGTGGATCTGAGAGGAGTTTGAAAGCTTTATGCAACATAAAAAAATGTCCTGGATGTTCTTTTGAAGCATCAGTGTGCTCAGCCTCAGGCGAGCCGCTTCCTCCTGAAAAGACGAACTTGTTTCTTTATATGTCACTTTAATGCCAGCAGTTTTCTCCCGCTGTTACATAAAGCTAAATGTAGAGATTAGTCATTAAACCACGCTCTGTCTCCATCTATTAGTCTCAATTCTTTCACCTCTGTCTCCCTTTCTTCTGAGATAAAGGTGGTCCATTCATCCTGCCACACAGATTTCTACTCCACAGAGGAAATAAACATCACAAACTCAGCTTCTAAACTTGTTCATCTGCATCCCAGTTTGAAGATCAGAACTTTATTTAAACTGTCACATGGGGCTGTGATCAGAGCGGAGCAGGGAGGATGCTGCTGGTTAAAAGAGATGTGTATAAGTAGTTTGATCTGGTGTGTGTGTGTGTGTGTGTGTGTGTGTTTGCGTGTGTGGAGCTGCATCTCTCTTTTGCTCTAAAGGTTAGCTACATAACCCTTCATCATCTCAGTCAATAGAAGAGGCAGGCTGTGGTGTGACAGGGAGACAGTTTGCTGATTGGGTGACACGCACACACACTCACTCACACACACAGACAAACACACACGGGTATTGAGATTATGCGTATTTTGATCAAGGCTTGTTTTCCTCTATGATCACAGTGTAATTACGGCCTCCTGCTTCATCAATTAAACATGAGCAGACGGGCAGACTTCGATTGTGTCTAATATTGACCACAGATATGGTGTGTGTTTGTGTGTATGTGTGTGTGTGTCCTTCCCTTAACTGATCAAAGAGTGAGAGCTTGGTTTACCTGCATCAACACAAGGACAGCTTTTGTGATTTGATTCTCAAAGCAGGGATGTAGTTGATGATAATCCCTTTACTCCAATTAATATTTTGATCATTTCCTGCAGGAATATCAATTTTGATGTTTCTGCCCTTATTTAGCTTCACTTCCTGTTGGAGTCTCAGTGATGTCACCCACTGATGGCAGTGGCCATACTGAAAATGCTGTTTTAAAGGGATATTCCGGCGTAAAATTAATTTAGGGTCAAACACAGCATAACATCGAGTTAGACAGCTCGTCGAGAGATGAATGTTGCCGACCACTTGCTTCTCTAGTTATACCAACTTTAGTAACAACCGCATGATAGCAATACACAGCGGTCTCAGGAGCCACGTGCTCAACCAAAACGCCACTCTATAGCCACAAATAATGTTCAGAACAGCACCTAACTTCATCAACAGTACATATAGGGTCCCAGCCAAAGCACTAGCCACCAAACATCTTTTTAACTTTGCCTGATTTCTTTAGCAAAGAAAGTAAACACAACTCACCCACTCTTTTCCAACAGCCACTTGTTTGTGGCGAGATCTCGGGCCAGTTTATTACGGACTACAGGGGGGTGACGCAGCTTAAGGAAGAACATTTATGATCATTTCTTCATGGAAATACAGTCAGACCGAGACGCTAAGGAAGAAGAACTACTGTGTCTGCAGTGCAAAATGATTAATATGGTGATTATAACTTAAAGGAAATGATAAAGAAATGATTATAAATGTTCTTCCTTGAGCTGCGTCACCCCACTGTAGTCCGTAATGGACTCGCCCGTGGTCTCACTACAAATAAGCGGCTGCTGGAAGAGAGTAGGTGAGTTGTGTTTAGTCTCTTTGCTAAAGAAATTAGGCTGAGCCTTATTTGTGGCGTTTTGGTTGAGGTTTCTTCATGGCTCCTGAGACCGCTGTGTATTGCTCTCTGCAGTCGTGACTAAAGTTGGTATAACTGGAGAAGCAAGTGGACGGCAACATTCATCTCTCAATGGGGTGTCTAACTCAGTGTCACAGTGTGTTGGACCCTGACTTAATTCTACGCCGGAATATGCCTTTAACGGCATATTCAGTTGGCAAAATGGAAAAAGAAAAACATCTCTATAGAATTAATAGTTTTAAAATTATTTTCAAATGATGATAAACTGGTTTATTGGATTGTTTTACTATATCTTCTTTCTCCATGGTTTACTTGCCTTGCTTTTTTTGTCAGGTATCAAATTCTTCAAGTGTCATAATAAAAATCCACAAGAGCGTGACCTTATTTAAGATACTGCATCAAAGTACTTATGATTTCAGTTCATCAAAAGAAGTCTATCATGAGTAGTAAAGGATAAACTGATCAGGCTTTTTTTGTTCAGATACTTGGTGCTAAAACATCAGCTCTATCACACCGGCACACTGTGCTTCTTATTATCCTGAGCAGAATGACTCCAAGGTGAACTGATTTTATTTGTATTATTTTCTCAGAGTGGGGTTGACATAAAAGTACATCCTCATAAGGATCACACCTTGACACTTGATAGAAAAGAGAAAATAAGGATGGAACAACGGGAAGTGTAATAAGATAAATGAATAACACAATAAACCTGGAGAACACTCCATTTATTATAACAACCCCATCAAGAATACTAACCCGTATTTCTCAGAGGAACATCGAACCCTCTCTGTATCACTTCAAAGCACCGGTCTCCCCTCAGCTCTTTATCTTTATTACCCGACCTCATATCACATGAGAGCTGTGGCCGTCATTTGCATGATTTGACTCCTTTGAACCGTCTCTCAGCGGAGGAGAAGACTCCCTCTTTTGTCCTCTCTAAATATCGCCTGTTCTGCTCATGGAAAACCTCATGCAAAAAAAGAGAAGCACAGTGTTTGCTCTCGGGTCATCGTCTGTCGGTAAAATGCATCTGCAACATTTCCACCTCCGAGTACATGAAATATGAATGAGACTGAGATGACCTGGAGTGCAGAAGAAGGGCAACAGAGTGCAGGTTAGGAGCTCGTTTTAATGCCACAGTGCCAATCGAGTTCAGCTTTTCATTTTTAAACTTTTGTGGTCATTTAACATCATGAAGGAGAGTTGAAAACTAAGGGAAACGGATGATGGATGATGGCAGACCACATGTTTTAACCTACAGTACACTAAATTTTCATTTAGGGAAACAAAAACACGCAAACCTCCTGCTGACTGTGATCATCACTCTGCCACAGTGAATGAAGGACCTCCATTAAACACAAGTACAGCCCATTCAGCAAGATAATAAAACCGAATCTACTTAGAAATATTTCAGCTCTATTGGCATGTACGTCCAAACCGAATATAGACACTTTATTGTTGGCACATTGTATCCTGGTGTTCAGAGGAGACAGGAAAAAGAAAATCATTGAGCCATTTTCAGCCCCTCCTGCAGCGATTCGTGTCAGGACCCTCGCTGTGCCAGACTGCGGTCTGAATGAACACTCAGAGGTTGGATTGATCCAGAGAGAATCTATATTACTGATACAGAATCTTGTTCCTAGTATCGATGAAATTTGCAGCAGGATATGTGAGAAATTCAGGGTTGAGTCACAAAACAGAAAACACTCTTGCACATGGAAACTTTTCCGGTATGTCGAATCAAGCAGGGGAAAAAAAAAACTATTTTGTTCATTCACAAACATCCATCAAGTTTTTTTTTACAAAGGGAATCTATGAATATTTTACATTGAAGCAAATTATGAAGGTGAAGTGAAAATAATTTGCCACTGAAAGGATGTTACCGATACTTTTTTAAGAGCTACGAATTCAAGAAAGGGACTTCGCTCCCAGTCTGCTATTAAAGTGAACGTTTTTGAAGTTTCTGGTCAGGTTCAGGATTGCCAAATGCTTCCTAAGACCTATTATGCTGATCCTTACTTTGATACATACTGTACTTAATGTGACAATGTTAGATGTCTATACTAAACTATGGCAAAGTTCCATAACATGAAATACACAGATGGTGAGATAGTACCCTGGGCCTATTTTTTAGTTTTCCTGGAGGGCTTCCTTCATGACATGGCCACAATCTGACATCCTCTTAGTAGAGATGCACCGATCCATTTTTTTCCGATTCAATCCGATACCGTTACCTGGGCTGAGTGTATCCGCCGATATCCGATACGGATCTAATACTGCTGTTGATTGAATGAACAGTATACCTTGCCCTGTGAGTGAAGGCATCAGGCTTGACTTTAGCCTTGTTTAAAAAAAATAGTAACAAATTAACACAGATATTAATTAACTTATTTATTAACAAATAACAAATTGCACATTAGCACACAGCCAAAAGAAGTAAGACTTCAATGTAAACATTTAGTGCAAAAGGACAGACAGACATAGAATATAGAGTAAACAGAATCGCTGTGTTGCGTTGTATGATATTAGTTAAAAGAAAAAAAAGACAGGATCGGAACGCTGGATCGTCGTCATTCATCAGATATCTGATCCAGTTAATTTGTCAATATCGGACCCGATATCTGATCCAAATATCGGATTGGTGCATCCCTACCTCTTAGGACAATTCTCAGTTGCTCTGTAAGTTGGTATATTAGTAGCCTGATAGCTGAGGTTAGCTCATACTCTGTATTTGCACGTCTTTTGGCTTTTAGTAGAACTTTGCCCAAGAAGGAGAGAGTGTAGTAAACTGTGTGTGAATAAACAATGAGAACCTGCTAAAACCAGCCGACACCAGTGATAGGTCTATCCCTAACAATATTCAATGTGTTGTTTCATAGTCAAACATTTTCCTTCGTACTAAAGCCCCAGACGTTTCAGAAGAAGATATTTTGGAGCTATCGTGGCAATACCAGGATTTAGTGAAACCATGTAACTCAAACATCAGGATCCTACATCCTGAAACTCCACTGTTGCTTCCCTGATAGGATGGGTGAGCAGAGAGGGGCGTCTCAAGAGAGATACCCTCTGCATGCTGAACTCACTTTGTAGCACCAGGCCTCTGGAGATGTTTCTTTGAAAAAATAATTCCCACTTTTGTTTCAGCACACATCCAGCTGTCACTTCTATACATTTATATCTCCAGTTTGAGATTCCTGCAGCGCTGAGCTCATTCTGCTCTACAACATTTCTTCTGTACAACTCTATCCGCTCCCCTGAGACGTGTACCTCACCCTCATACCACACTCAGACTGTCTAATTAACTACTCTCTTCCACACTTATATCTTTGAAGTTGCTCGTACTCGGCGTCTTGCAGGCCCCCGCCCACTCCTCTCCCCTCCCCTCTCTCTGATGAGACTGCTACTGTAGGTGTAGCAAGCAGTGCCCCCGGGTGGTGCCTCATTAACCCACATTTCACTGGCTGATGGGATACAACGAAAGGGGGGGGGGGGGGGGGTGTTATGTGTCGGTATGTGTGCATGTGGGAATGTGTCTGAGAGGGGGAAATGGTAATGCTGAATGCTGCCTTTGAAGAAACTCTCTAGCATTTGTATGTGGTAGAAGCTAGGAGCGTTTTTTTTCCACTACATTTTCCCCCTGATTCAGATCAGCCAGCTCAGTGTATTACAGTCATTATCAATGCTAATGCTGTATTCATCTATGCTGGAAAATTGGAGCTTAAAATTGGGAAAGGATTAATTCTGAACCTCAGGCATTTGAGCTCTCATGTTCAGAGAGGATATTAAACCCAGTTACAGGTTTGTCCGCACACAAGTACCAGAAAATTTTGATTTTTTACAGATTAAGGCTACTTAAGAGAGTCAAGAGGACCATTCGATGGTCAGGTTACAATGAAAGCACTCTCGGAACTGGATAAACTGATTAAAAGGTGGGGTAGGCAGGATCTGAGGAAGTGCCAGTTTTGGGGGAGAAATCTTGAATGTAAACACGACCCCTCCCAACCATTTTTCCCATCAGCTCCTCCTCTCTCCTCCCTCTCTGCTCTAGCAAGCCCCGCCCACAAACAGACGCTCCTTCTCGCTCGTATCGTTTCAATAAAATTCAGATATAATACAGTAATACAACTGTAGATGCCAACAAACTACCAGAAAAAATAATGTTTGCAGGACTTCTACAACTAGGATAAAGTGACATAGTCCAGGACCCGAGGTCAACAGTTTAGCGGTGCTACAACACCCAGCAGGTCCCGTTTGACAAGAAACACTTTTGTTACAGACACTTGGTTTACTTTGTTAAAGCGGTTTAACTGTCCAGCAGAAAGGTTACAGGGTCCGTAAGATCCTGAAGCGTCCCCCATGCACCATTGATGTTGACCCGGCTTTTTAGCTCTTGTCCGGATGGTCTACCTCCATTTTAATGCTCGTTATTCCACCAGAGTCCCCGGGCTTTAATTCGTTCTCTTGCGTGTGTTGGTAGTTGTGGCCAAAGGAGGATTCAGAACAATTCTCTGTAGTTTCTGGTAGGTTTCTACTGCTCAATATTGTAGCACGCTAACTCTGTTTGGGCTCATGCACGCTATTGGAGGATGTGGAGCATGCCTAACACCCAATCAGCGTGAGGAAGCAGTGTCCGTCTCACAACCAATCAGGTTGGGGGAGGCGGAGAATGGCTTTGTTTACAGTCAGAAAGAGCGGGCCACTCAAAACATTTTAAAATGTTGACTACACAGACATAAGAGAACACAGCGATATTTTTATCTTACCAAATGTCATCAATAAGTAATAGCTATTGACTGATATTAAAAGCCTTTTTTGTATATACACCACAAAAAAGATGCTTCTTTAACAGAATCCTGCCTACTCCACCTTTAACCACACATTTATATTTGAACAGCTTCATACAGTTTGGATACGAACTTTAGTATTTTGAACATTAAGCTCCACTTTATGTCTGTCCCTGAACAACCCTTTTCAGTGTCGGCTTCAGTTTTCTCTGATGTCAAAGTTCCTCCGTGAACTCTCAGACACACGTCATTCATTCTTCAGTCATCCTTCTCGCTCAGCTACTCAGATTTCACCCTCATCCCTCCGTAGCCTCAGCTTCTTAATTTGCATCCTCTCCTTGCTGTTTAGTAAACTAATCCTTCTGGTTTCATTTAATGTTCATCCTCCACTGATCCTGCAGAGCTTTAACCTTTCCCCTCTCCTCTTTCTATCTTCATCCTGACAGGACAAGGAGAGCCACTTCACTTCATTACTAGTTTCTTATTACCTGCCCAGCCCTCTGCAAGACTAACTCACTTTGCATTTGTGTCTGTCAAAGTAAAAGAGTCTCTGGAGTCAGAATATATGGAGTCATTCAGCTGGAAATGCCAACATCTGTTATAAATGAGGCTTCATTATAAATGAGGCTTTAATTTGATCTGTTTTTGTGTTGTAAACATTGTCACTCATCTTTTAATCATTAAGCTTGCAAAATATCAGGTTAATAGGTTTCCAACTTAAAGTAATGCATATTTTGTCTGTAAAAAATCCAAGCCTTAAACAACAATATGATAATCTTATCTGTGTATGAATATAAGTGGCAAAGCAGCAGTGTTGTTTCCATGCAGGAGACTTTCCTTCCCATCACAAATCCTGCTTGTTTGCAGGAATCTATAATGATAATGGCAGTCGGGACTTTTTATGTAAGACACTGCAGATAAGCACCCTGATCAATAAACCAAGCCAAGAGCCCAGATAGTGCTGACAGGGTTTCAGCTTTATGGGGCTAGACTTTCACTGAGATAATGATGCTAACTGCTGGATTAACAGACAACTCACTCAGTAAGCCATCAGACTGAAAGAACACTGATACAAAGATGGTGAGTGCATATGAAACACAATCTAGATATGTATGAGATGCTTTTGCTTTTCATCTTGAGTGGGTTTTCTGTTATGAGAACTTTGACGCATCTTTGCCAAATTAAAATTGGCTCCGTCAAAGATTATATCTTTAAAAATCTTCTTGAATGTTCATCATGCAGTTTGCCCAAGAAGTTAACCCTTGTAATTTAGCGGTTTGTCTCTATTTTATACTAGTGACTCATCTTCTGTCCCTTTCATCTGACAGGGAACACTCTGTAGCATGACGGATGGACCTGATTATAAACTTTGAATAATTTCAGAGGGAAAAGTCCTGAAATTTTCAAAGATATTTAAGAATGCATGTTTGAAAGAGGCTCTAGTTTAACTGTTAGAGATGTGGTTAGGGTTAGGGTTTGTAAAAATGGTTTAATGCAGTTGAACATGACTCAGATACTGCTGTTTAGCTTCGACCCAAATGACTTTAAAAGACGGCAAATCATTGAGAACATTGTATCCAGAACAATATGCTTTATGTCAATCAATCAATCAATCAATCAGTCTTTATTTATATAGCACTTTTCCTTCACGACCGTGTAGCACAAAGTGCTTTACACAGAAAAAGAAATAAAAGAAACAAAGAATACCCAAATCTACCCCAGCCCAACCCCTCATTCCCACTCCACGATCTAAATGCAACAATTAAAATGCATGAACTGAAAAAGGGCTTGATTTCGTGGAAACAGGAATGTGCGCACTGAGGAAACGCCATCTTAAAACTCAAGATTAGGAAACACTGAATGTTAAGTTAAAATCTAAAAACAAAGTAACATAGAATGAAATTTAAGAAATAATAAATTAAATTAAATTAAATAAAAAAAAAAAGACACTAAAATAAGAGCACCAAAATAGTTCAATAAAATACGATCCTGTCATTAAAACTAGAAAGCGATAAATGCTAAAACACTTAAAGTTAATGATATAAAATTTAGTTAAAAGCAAGACTAAAAAGGTTCGTTTGGAGTTTGGTTTAAATGTGGCTTATTTCTTTACAATTTTTTCTCAAGTATTTGATATGAGACTGTCACATTTAACAGGATGCTCCAAACAGTCCATGATAAGAAGAAAAACACCTGCAGAATAACAATGAAATTCGGTTATATTGACAGCTGTCTCTCCAGCTTAAAGGGGCCAAAAATACCCAAGGTTTACCCAAGTATATTTATGTATATAACTGAAGCTATCATCTGTAACAGTATCAGCTAAATGTTATTTTATATTGAAAATGAAAAAAGCGATTGCTTCAGGTAGCGGCAATGACAGTGTGCTGTATGAATAATGTTGGCTTTGACTCTATGACTCCTGCGCTGCCTTGTCACCTCTTGGGTCGTCTCACCTCACCTGACTGCCTCACATTTCCGCTCGGCGCTCCCTCGGTCAGAGCGTAACCCGCTGTTGTTGTTACAGACTCTTGTTATTGCCTCTTCAGGGGCTCACAAAAGACAAACCAGTCGTCTGTATTTTATTGTGCGCTGGTGGCCTGTGACTTCAGGCTCACTGTCGAGCAAAGTGAAATATCACAGCGGCCGTTGTGTTCAGGTTGAGTCTGAGTCCTGACTGCATGAAGGTACACAGTGTGAGGACAACAGTCGGCTGTTTTCTGCCATCTGCTGAGTGGGAATTACAGCAAGTGTGACCAGTGGAGCACAAAAAAAAAACACATTAAGTGTCGTACTTGACCCACAATGCATTTAAGCTGGACATGTCTGGCTTTTGGTCATGATATTTGTTAGTTTACTGCCTTGCTACACTTGCAGGATGATAATAAAGACAAAATAATAGCCATTTCTTGATAAATCTACAAGTTGTTTTGTAAGAATATCACAGAAAAAGATCAAAATAGAATGAAGATTGATAAAATAGTCAATACATTCTAACAGGGGCAAAAAGGGGTTTATCGTGGACATGATAATGTCATGTTGTCTGCCTTTTTGTCTCATCCTCTCTCAGCCTCGCAGTCATCCGTGTCAGCTCTGTCTTTCTCTGGCTGTGACCTCCAGCTGTGCTAACGTTAGCCTGCCTCTCCCTAACAGAGAGACTCAGACACCTGCTGAGTCACAGCACACAGAGGTGGGAGGTGAACAGAAAGGGTGTTTAAATTTGTTCAACCACCAACTGTGTGACAGAGCTCTGGTGTTGATTTAAACACATACTCTCTTTAACTTTCAAAATGGGCATTTTCTCCAAAAACCTTGCAGAGAGCATACCATCACCTTGGTTAACAGAGGTGTCTAGACTTTTTGTCAATAGATCTGTCCTGACCCAGTGCTTGTAGACTGGTACAGTGACAGCCATTTAATTAAAATGCCACATTAAGTTATACCTGTTGCTTATGTGAACGTATTGATAGAGTGACACAGATGTGCAGGAATTGAATTGTTTTGTTTTAGAGTAACAAACTGTGTCCGTTTTAGTAAATATACTTTAGTTTCTAAGTGCGGTATGTCTACCTCTTCTGTCACAGTTTCACTCTCATGCTGACAAGCACTGATGGATGTGAACTGTTACATGAGTAGTAGGCAGAGACGCTCAGTCCCCATGGCAGGACCTGTATTGATACTGCGTTAGAGGGGCATTGATTCCATCCCCTTTGAGGACTTCATTTTTGTCAACTTGCTATATTGGGCTATTGATTCAGCTCTACAGTAGCTTTAAATATGAGTCAATCTTTGGCACATTTTCCCAGAGTTGTTATTGAACTCCATTAAATCTTTAAGTGCGGCATTAAAACTTTGTCGCATCTTAATACTGTCGCACATTATTTGCCATGTATGTTGTTGAATTTGATTTCATTTATCCTCTACAATAAGAAACTGGATGTTTGGCTGCAAAAAAAACCAAATCTTTTGAATGCAGTAAATGCATCACTCTAACTGAATTCAAAGTATCCTTCATTTAGGCCTGTGTAATGAAAAATTTTCTTGTCTTTTGGATGAAGAAATAAATACAGACATAGTAAGAATATTTTGTTTTGAAAGGATCTGGCATATCTGGGATGCATGCTCTCAAATGTGCCTCTTGATTATTGAGTTTTCGGTCTTTGTGGTTCGAAATCTTCTTAGATCTAGTAAACAGAACAGAAATATAATGGATTTCTTTGGTTAGGTTATTTTAATCAAAGTGTCGTTTGAAAAAAAGTAGGTATTTTTGAAGTGAGGCATCCTCTCTCTTTTTTAAAAACACACATAAACACACCACAGCTGGACCAGGCAGACGGAGACGTGAGTGTTCATGTCTGTAGGGAGCTCTAAAGGTGTCAAAAAACCGTGGAGCACGTTATTATCACCTCCTCTACCACCGCCGAAGATCTGAAAGACATTTAGTCTAGCACACACACAGACACAGTACAGTAATAGGGCTGCCCACACAGTCTAGGCAACACTTCTACACAGTTTAGAGGATGTGAAGCACCCATGAGGAGAGGATGAATGAAACGGGCCGGAACGGCAGGGAATTGACTCACTGGTTTAAACACTAGCCGGATAAAATAAAAGAGAGAAAAAATAAAATAAATAAATGGGTCACTTCAGTCAGAGCCGATATCCAATTTCTCATTCCCTCTCTGAAAAGCCTATCAGTTTCAGTGGGATTGTCAGAGCGAGGTTATTCTGTGAGCAAGAGGAGCAAGAAGCCTCCCAGAGTGCAAACTTAAGTGGAGCTGAAGATGCAGAGCTGAGCCTATTCAGAGAGTCTGAGAATCTGTTTGAAATCAACACATCCTGTCACTTAAAAAAGTAAACAAAATGAAAGTTTTGCAGAGATGGAGCAGGATTCTGCATGGGAAACAGAGGGAGGGTCCAAAGGAAGCTCGCTGTCAATCATCCAGCACTCCAGGGATGGATTGGGGGGGCGCATTTCTCTGTGACAGTCACTTGTCAAAGCTGTGGATGCTGCAGCCACAGCACTCTGCATCCCAGAATCCCGCAGGGGGGGAGGAAAGGAGAGAGGAGGCGAGATAGTGGGGTGCTTACGTCACAGGTCATGTGACCCAGGCTTAGAATGACAACATTTGGTGTTCTCATCGTGGGGCTGGAGATGCTGGAGTGTTGGATGCAGAGTTTGGTGGAGGAGCCGTGTTTGAAGACGAGGTGGGGGTCTTTGTTTTTGTTCATTATTCCTGCAGAGCAGCGCGTGATGCACATTTCAGACTCTTTTGTTTTAATTTTGGCCGCGTTGGCCTACATTACATTCATGTCTGCTGTGGAGTTATGCCAGGAATTTGTGTCGTTTATCTCACTGCGTTGATTTTTTCTTTTTCATGTTGTTTATCATGGCATTATAGAAGTCTTCATTTGACATGCTGAATTCAGTCAATCTGGAGATTTGGACTATTTTAAAGGACCCGTTTCTTTCTCTTACTGTATGCATGTATTACCACTGTTGCTTTCACTTTATATATATTTAATTACCAGGAATGTTACGATATAAGATCTTGCCTCATTGAAAGTCCATTTTTTGTGACGATAAGAAAAAAAAGACAAATGCAGACTAGGGGAAAAGGCCATTTCTATTGGTCTCAGAAGTCCAGTCATTTGTGGTGAGTAAAATGCACTGTGCCTGCTTGAGCCTCTGTGTAACTTCTGCCTTTGTCTCTTTTTAATAGTCTATTCATGATGGGAAATTATACTTTGGCTCCAGTGTGTTTACTAACCTTCTGAATAGTGTCTGCAGAAAATGTCTGTAAGTCTTTGGCTTCAAATTAAGTGCTACATCTGCACGAATCTTTCAAGGTGATGATTTGCTAAGTGCTTTTTCATATCACCTGTTCTCGTGTAGGTCACTGCAGTGTGGCAGTGTCTGCGTTTCAAAACTATTTCAAAGTCTGTTCTCATTACTAACACCTCTGCCATTTTCACTGTAGACAGCAAGCAGAGTGCAGAGGTCAACGGGACGATAGTCTCACATCACACATCGCTGGTTTCTGTATTAAAACACTTTTGGTCTCACCGTACCATGAAATTGATGAAACTATTACCAGACACTGTTCACTTTTTGTTCAATTCAGTTTTCTCATCCTAAATCCTTTTTTTCTAATAGCATCTACTACATTATATAACTATTTAGAGTTTTATGGCTTTTTTCAGAGAGGACAGAATAATGGATAGAGAGAAAGAATCAAAACATCGAGGACTATAGCCTCCAAACATGAAGCATGCGATATAACCACTTGGACAAACTGGTGCCCTTTTATCACCTATCTGTTGATCCAAACTCAGACATATTCATTTATTTATTTTTGTTAGCTATTATTTCTTTTTTGATCAGATGTTCAAGTTTCTTTTTGCTGAGAGATTTTCTCTGGTTTGTTTGAATATATTCTATGATGTACTCTGCAAGGACAAATTTCTAACCTCATTTTTTTCACATTGAGCTTATTAAAAAGGTGCATTTGCAGAAGATAAAAGATATTACTAATCTTCCCTGCTGGTATTATTACAGATGAGCACCACCAGTGCTTAATTCCACCGCTGAATATCTGTGCAGATGAAACATAGTTATAAATTTGATAGAGAGAAAAGCTTGTACTCGTTTAAATCTGTGTTGCTGCGTTCAATAATCCAGCCTTTCGTATTGTATGATGACATTATTGACTAACATCATTGCATAAGTATCTGCTGGCCGTTTTCTGCACATGCATGTGCTGTTTGACTCGCTGTAATCTCTCTGCTGACAGGAACACTAATTACGTAATTGACACAACATCTAATTCAATCTGTAAAAGGAGGACACGGTTTGTTTTACAGTATCAGGATACATTTGATATTTAAGCCTGCGGTCTCTTTTGCTTTGTGCGTCTCTTCCGGTCTTGCAGAGTGATCAGCAGCAGCAGAATTTTGCAGAGCGATCGTCTCCAGTTTGTTGTTATTTTTAGAAAAAGCAGCTCATTGATTGATCTGCTTTTTGTTTCTCTTTTCCCTCTCTTTACTCATAGCTTGCGGCCACGTCTGCTGGCTCTGAGAAACTCCAGACAGACTGCTGAACTGAGAGGAGACTGAGGAAGAGGGAGCCGGGCACTTTGGGATCCGAGCCAATGACCTGTTCGAGAAGAGGAGCAGCGCAGAGGCTTTGATTAAAATGGGGTAAGTTTAGAAGATCAGACTGCACGCTGCTGGCTGCTGTAGGAACTGCTGGCTGCAACACGAGGACTCGTTTTCAAACCTGATCTCTGCAACATGAAGCTCACTGTTAGGCAACCTCTGCCCAGCCAGAGAGGAGGAGAGATGTGCCGATAGCTAAACTGGCTCTGACTCACCAACAACACAGCGAGGCTCACATGCACTGACAGGTTCTCATAGAAACAGCAGAGGCTCATGGCACGAGATCTCCAAAAATTTACTGAATATAAAACATACAAACTTTATGAGTGAAACTGGAAGTGATTGAATGAAAAGTAATGATTTAAATTATAGTTCATTTATGAGAAAGCAGTGAGTGGAGGCTTTGATGGTAATTTACAGTCATTTTTTGTCCTCTCAGAGTTTTGTTAGGTGGACAAAACTATGCTACGCAACCCTTAACCTTTTAAAGAGGTTCAGAGTGTGAGATCAAAATATTTACTCGTGCTATTATTGTAGAAAGAGGAAAAAGGTGTTCTTTAGTGTCATTTCGTTAGCATATGTTACCTAAAAGAAGAATTGTTGTGTTTGCTGACCGATTAAAGAGGTGATGGTCCACTCACACATCACCTGATGTAATATAAACATTTGAAACAAGAGTTGTGTTCACATGGAACTTCAGCCGTTGCCTTGGGTAGGATGTGTACAAGTGTTGTTATGATATGACTGAACTCCCATTGAACATAATATGGCCGAAGAGCAACTGCCAACAGTTCAGTATTAGGACAACACATCCTCTCTTTAACAGTAATGTGGGAAGAGTTACACCATCACTGGTTGACAAATAAAGCCATTTATAATCAATCATTTATTTAAAAATACCCAAATATTAATTTGGCACAATGTGAAATTAGTGAGGTAATGCTGCCTGATCAATAGAGCTCTCTATTTTATGACAATACAATTTCAGTTTGTTGTTATTTATCAACACTAAGAAACTTGCACTTGAACTAAAGGATTTTTCAAAGTAATATTATGACTTGATGCATTCAGAGACTTGAGACTGGACTTGGATTCGAAAAAGTGAGGCCAACAGCAGCTCTGGACTCCTCTTCAGTCACAGGAGCTTAATTAAGGTCCAACACTGGGACTGTGTGCCCTCAGTCAGGAAAGAAAAGATGTTAAATGGAGTTAAGGCCAGTGATCCGTTCAGGCCAGTGAAGCTCCTCCACACTGGAGAGCGGATTTGGCAAAGGGACTTTATAATGTTAAAGCATGAAGGAAGAAGGAACAAAGTTAGGAGTCTGCTATGATCCAAAAAAGTCTTTGAAGCTGTGGAAGATATGTGAATGTAGAGTCTCAGTCGTCAAAACATTGAAGAGCAAGAGGACACAAAGATGTCCCCACACATCAAAATGCAAGTGCTCAATAATACAGAAACTGACTTGATAAAATGGAGGTTTGTAAGTGTCTTAAATATTGCAGGGACTGACAGAGAATCCGATCACATCAATGATTTACACTCTCATTTTGAGGCCATCCTCTTCAAGCTCTTTGCCATCATATCTGGGGGGAAGCAGCCTCCGTGCATGCTGGGACACGGTGGCTGATTTACCATCCTGCTGGTAGGGATGAGTTATTCCTCAGTCAGCTCCTGTGACAGAGAGAGCGGAGAGAGTGCGGCCCTCCAGAGAGCCTTTATTCTGGCAGTAATTCAACCAGAGAGAAGCAGCGAGAGAGGCACAGGCCTGCTGAGCTGCATGCTGCCTGCCATTCAGACACACGCTCCAGCTAATTAAACCCAAACTTCACATATCAGCATTTTTTTATCCCTGACACTCTGCACACATGCAGATCTTTTCCTCTGCCAGAGAAGATAACTAGAAAATCTGTGAAAGAATGCAAAGGCCAAGAGCTCAGACAGTTTTTTTTTTAGAGTCAGTTCAAGGAAACTGAAGTTAGATCTTAAGATGGAAGTCTTGAGTCTGACAGATGTTACAGGAGGCCAATATCAGCAGGCCAATACAGACCTCTTATGGATACACTGATATCATGTTTGCTGGTGTGTGTGTAATATTTTCACAGAACATTTAATGCAGAAAATGATGAGAAGTCATGTCATCATGTAGGTTACTGAGTACAAATATCTGTATCACTGTCTAGGGCTGGGCGATAAACAGAAATTTTACTGATGCCGAAATGTACGAAAATAACCGACGTCATTTTGCCCATGTTAATATATTCGGTGTCAGAAAATAAATAAATAAAAGTTGGTTTTGGATGTGTGTAGGTAGGCTATGGTCTCATGTCCCTTTAAGACACTGTCCTGGATCAGAGACGTGACTCCACCCCATCCAGTCCATAACAGATAGGTGAGGAGATGGAGGACGGTTCAAAAGTTGCAGCGGCTGAAGTAGACAAAGTTAATGTGGGAGGGGCTGAGCAGCTTGTGGAGTAGTTATCGTCCATTTATCGTTATCGAGGTGAACTGCTCAATATATTGTGATATTGATTTGAGGCCATATCACCCAGCCCTATCACTGTCTGTAGTAAAGGTTGCAGATCATCAGAGCTAAGCAGATAGATAGACAGTCGCCCACAGGTGTCTATCTGTCTACCAGTTTGCTCATTATTTTGCTTTAGAGCATTTCTTTTCAAAATTAGCTGCACTTTGAGTTTAGAGCTCATGGTTGAATGCTTACCATCAACATCACTGTGAGCATTTTAGCATAATGATGTTCTCATGTATCTCAAAGCATCATTATCACTTTCAGAAAAGATATCTTTTCTCTCCTTGGAGGCTGTCGTTCATGAAATGAGATGTTTCTTGGAGTTAATTTGTGATGATGTCCTTGAGGCTCCTCTCCCCCGTCTTGAAAAGAGTCACTTCAGATCACCTGATTAATTTCCTCACTTTTTGTTTGGGAGCGTTTTCATTTAATAAACAGCTAACAAATACTATTTGATTAATCTGCCTACGCCTGTTACGTTGGAGGTGACTGATTAACTCTGATCGCAGCCTTGCTTACCTCCAAGCATGCAAGGAATGGAGATTTATCTATTACTGCAAAGCTGCAGAGAAGCCTGGCTGCCTGTTCGTGCTGTGGCATTAGGGAACGTTTGAGCCTAGAGATGATTTGGGTTTTATTATTCACATAATGCATCAGAGATGAGCCCTCTGAGTTGCTGTTTCATAATCATAATCACAGCTGTAACCCTGCGCCACTGACTGGGATGTAGACAGAACATGAGAAACGGATGACGGGCGCTCGACATGCTGTTTGTACTCATTACAGAGAGGGAGAAGGAGCTGTAGTTCAACGGGCGTCGTCTTCCCAGCTCTCTGTGCTCTCGGTTAATCTACGACTGCTGTCTGATTAGTCAGGAGGAACGAGCAGAGCGGGCCGCCAGCGGACAGCCGAGCAGTTATCTTCATTTCTGTCCCCTCGGCTTACAGCTTTCTCTCAGCGACACACTCATTTCCTCTCCCTCTGTCTCATCTTTGTCTCTTCTACCAGCTCTCTCCTCTTACTTTCTTCCTCCGCACTGTCTGTCTCTCTGTATCCTCCTCTCAATCTCATGTTTTAATGGCCTGACAAGCAGGGCAATAATCCCTCTATTATTATTCTTGCTGCAGAGAAAGAAAAAAAGAGAAAAAGCCTGAGGGGGTAGACAGGGAGCCATTTATATAAAATGAATGTGATTATTCTGGTGAAGGAACCACGCTCCACAGGCTCTGTCTTTGCATTCAGGGCTGTGGTTATCCAATACACCAATATGTGTGCAGACGGAGCTGCCGTCCCTGTGGCTGGAGACCTCGGACAAATCTTTTGTCACATGGCCAAAGCCAGTGACAAAGTCCGGACTGTGGAGTCAGTGATACAAGAGCTGAGCTGTGCTATCAGACACCAGAGTATACTCTGATCACAGACAGGCAAACTGAGTATTCAAAATCAATTTCATCAAGAATTCATTTGTGCATGTTTGTGTCTGTAACATTATAAATGTACTGTGAATAACAAAGTAGTCAAACACATGCTCAGTTTTCTTTTCGTCAGAGGTTTTGATGGGGGTTTTGTCATTCTGCTTGAGTTAGACAGCTGTATTTATTAAGTAGTGACATGCTATGATAACATCTGCATAATATGATTCCACTAGAATTAATTTTGAATAATTTTCCAGCTTTAGATAGCAGAAGTTATTAGATTTTTTTCTCCATTTTAGACCACAGATCAGTTTAAGATTTGGTAAGAGATAGAGTTAAGTCACTTAATGTAGATTTAAAAAGTTTCAGAGACAGCAATTCAGCTTATCTTACTTTACAATATATTTATGTGCATGATATAAAGGTAAAAGCTCTTAGATGCTAGGGAGTTCATCACAGAGGACGTGAAATCTTATTATATCTTACTACCATAATGAAATATTGACTTCACTCTGCTATTCAATTTCCTGCTACTCAAATTTTTTATGTAAAAACATAGCCGTCTGGACACTGGGGAACATCAAGCAGCAACCTTTGGAAAATGAAAAGCCAGTGCTGGTCTGCTACGAACTGCAGTCTAAATTAAAATCTTTACACCAGAGGCAGGTTTTCCAATGCTGTATTAAGGCCAAGTTTGCAAAATTCCCCTTATTTTTCATGCAGAGGAAAACAATGCGCCCCTAAATCAAGGTGGCGTCCTCTTATCAAGGTTGCCTTTTAACTGATGTGTGTAGCAAAGAAGAAAAACGCTGCAGCCAGGAATAAAACCAAGTTTACCACAGCACGGACAATCACACCTGGTTTGCTCACCTCCACTTTAAAAGTTTGAAGAGATATTCCAGCATAAAATTAATTTAGGGTCAAACACATCGTAACACCGAGTTAGAAACCCCCTTGAGAGATGAATGTTGCCAACCACCTGCTTCTCTAGTAATACCAACCTTCGTAACAACTGCGCGATAGCAATACACAGCGGTCTGAGGAGCCATAAACAAACCTCAACCAAAACGCCACTCTATAGCCACAAATAATGCTCAGAACAGCACCTGTTCTGAGGCAGGGTGACGCAGCTCAAGGAAGAACATTTATGATCATTTCTTCATGGAAATGCAATCAAACCGATATGCTAAGGCAGAAGAACTACCGCGTCTGCAGTGCAAAATGATTAATACAATGGTTATTACTTCAAGGAAATGATAAAGAAATGATCATAAATGTTCTTCCTTGGGCTGCGCTCCCCCACCTTAGACCATGATAGGTTGGCCTGAGGTCTTGCTACAAATAAGCAGCTGCTGGAAGAGAGTGGGTGAGTTGTGTTTAGTCTCTTTGCTAAAGAAATCAGGCAAAGTTAAAAAGATGTTTGGTGGTTAGTACTATGGCTGGGACCCTGTATGTATTGCTGATGAAGTTAGGTGATGATCTGAGCATTATTTGTGGCTATAAAGTAGTGTTTTGGTTGAGGTTTGTATTTGGCTCCTGAGGCCATTGTGTATTGCTATCATGCGGTCGTTACTAAAGTTAGTATAACTAGAGAAGCAAGCGGTCGGCAACATTGAATTCTCGAGGGAGTGTCTAGCTCTGTGTTACGGTGTATTTAAACCCTAAATTAATTTTATGCTGGAACATCCCTTTAAGTCTTTGTTAAACACTTTTGCAATGGCAACCCATTGATCCCCAAAAACAGGAAGTAGTTTTTTGAGGCGTTTATTATGTGTGTACAGTCACCAAACTTGGTACACATGAGCTCAGAGTAGAAACAAACACATTCAGTATAGTTTTCAGTTTTCAGTATAGTGATGTGTCTTGTTAAAACCTACAAAAATGTCTCTTGGACCCCTGTACAAAACCAACAGGAAGTCTGCCATTCTGAAAAAAAACTTAAAACTATGAGCTCCATATCTCTGATGATATTATCATACTCACTGTCTCTCTGTTCCTGCAGGCTGCACATCATCATACCAGCTGACTCTGTGTTTGAGGGTTGCTCACTCAGCCCGCAGCCATGCCAGACGTGAAGCCTCCTCCACCATGTGACTACCCTTGCACCTCCTCAGTCACAGCCTCCGCCAGCTCTCCTGCTGGTTGTGCTTCTCCATTCAACCTCCTCATTGACATGGAGCCTTGCATCGCCAACCTCCCCCTGTCCCCAGACCCCTTGAACTCATTCCCCCGTCACAGGCCCGGCGTCCCTCACTACCCAGGCATCCAAGGTCCTCCCTTCCCACTCATGGCCCGGTGTAACAGCAGCACCCTGCTCACTAACTTGGGGCTGAGGTACTGCTCCAGCAGGCAGGGTCCACTGGGGACAGGCTCAGGCCAGGGTCTGGTTCCTGGCTTCTGTGGCCACACTGGCAGCAATGGCAGCAGACCTTACAGGAGTATGGAGAACCTGAACTGGAACAATGTAGCAGATTCTAGCTTTTGTGGATTTAGTGCTGCCCCCTACAGGAGCATGGACAGTGAGTTTATTTTACGCTACACCTCTACCAGTCACTGGTGCGGGGGGTCCCCAGATGGCTCTATGGTGGGAGCTCATGGACTAGTACCTAGCCCAGATAACTTAGCATTTTACCCTCGACATGGACTACCCAGAAAGGACCTACCACTCTTTCCTCAGCTGCTGTTTCCTGGTGGAGTCGACGAATGGGATGCAAGGAAAGGCCTGAGGGAGAAACTCCGCCTCCAGAGTGCGAGGTCCTCAGTTGAGCCTGTGAAACCGCTTCCTTTACGCCCTCAACTAACCCCAGGTGCTGCGCCCTTTGAACGGGAGGGTGTAAATCATGTGATTCCAACTTCTTCTGGGTCGAGGCCGGTGTGCACGATGCGCATCACAAACTCCGAGGACATCAAGCAGGAAGTGCTGAGGCGCTTACAGCTCCGACGGCAGAACAGCAGCCCAAACCTGGCGCTCCAAAGCTCCAGTCCGAAGGTGGTGAAGACATCCTTCACCACAGACAACATTGCTGGAAACAAAAACGGCTCAGAGTCAGCAGCTGAGCGCAGTAGACCTCCTGTGGGACGCCTTCATATACCTACATTTGAGGAGTTTAAGAGGATGAGGCAGAAGGAGGGGGAGCAAGGTAAAGAGGCCACAGCGGGTTCTGTGGGTACAGTCAGCGGTGAGATATCTCCTTCTGATCAGCTGAGCGGAGAAGGAAAAAAGGAGGAGTCAGAGAGGTTAGAGGGAAAAACATGCAGAAATGAAAGGACAGACAACAGCGCTGAACCCCTGCAGAGTATCACCTCCTTAGAAACACCTCCATGTAACAACAACCCAACTCCTACCTCCACCTCTGTTACCAGCACATACTCTCCCATCCGCACAGTCCCCACCCCTCGTCCACCCCTGCAGCCCCTGGCCAACTCAGCCCAGGAGAAAACCCCTGCCGCTCCATTTGGAGATGATGGAGGCACCCGGCGTAGGAGGAGCAGCCTGGAACCAGTTGGATCGGTCCCCTTCCCTCCCTGCAGGGAGAACTGGGAACGGCCCTCCAGCTGCTGTCCTGCGCTTCTTCTGGAGGGGACGGACCTGTCGAGCTACGGAGCCAAGATCTATAAGATGAAGGATGGCCTTATTGGATCAGCACTGGACCTCATCAAGAAGAGGTGAGTTTGGGCAAAGGAGCAAAAAAAAGAGAGGGTTTCTGTTTATGTTATAGTATTTTTTTCCCTAATTTAAAGGGATTTTCCGCGGTAAATTGATTTAGGGTCAAACACACTGTAACACTGAGCTGCGTCACCCCGCAGCAGTCGATGGACTCGCCCAGAGGTCTTGCTAGAAAAAAGCGGCTGCTGGAGGAGAGTAGGTGAGTTGTGTTTAGTCTCTTTGCCAAAGAAATCAGGCAAAGTTAAAAAGAAGTTTGGTGGCTAGTGCTATGGCTAGGACCCTTTATGTACTGTTGATGAAGTTAGGTGCTGTTCTGAGCATTATTTGTGGCTATAGAGTGGCTTTTTGGTTGAGCGCGTGGCTCTCTGTCTTGCTATCTGCTGTTGTTAAAAGTTGGTATAACTAGAGAAGCAAGCGGTCAGTAACATTCATCTGTTGACGGGGTGTCTAACTCGGTGTTATGATGTTTTTGACCCTTAATTAATTTTACGCCGCAATATCCCTTTAAGCTGAGGTAGGCATTTTTCCATTGGAAGCATTTTTGGCATCAGAAGTGCTCAAGTTTCTTTCAAATCATAAACTAGTGTGTGGTTGCATTTGAAGGAGCATTGGCTCTCTAAAAAAGAGAAAAAAATAAAGAGCAGCACAACAGTTTGAAACACACAGTTATTAAATCTCAGAACCCACTGGCTGTCATCGAACAGCAGTTTCATTTGAACCTATTTACATACCTGCATGCAGGTGCCTTTAGATGTTATTCCTTAACAACAACTTATTTCTTGTCATGTTGCTCGTCAGACTGCAATCTCTGAATCCATTAGCAATCATCATCTATCATCATCTGATGATGAGAGGAAAGGTGATGCCTCGGGGAACAGATGCCAACTTTTCAGTAATTACGGTGTGAGCCAGCAGCCGCGAAAATGACTTCCAGCCAAGATTCCCTTTCCAGTGGCGCATCTATGTCTGCGATGTAAACACTGTCATTTCTTGGTCCATTACATCCCCTGTGTTATCACCGGCTCTTTAGGTTCAACAATAGACAAACTGACGCTTCACTCTGGCTTACTCTATTGATATGAGGCCAGAAAGAAACCTACTGTTAAATTATTATTCACGGGTGTTAAAAACCTTGTTTGAAATTTCATATCTGTCTTTGTAAAAACACAACATCTAACCTCCATTCTCCTTGAGTGGAGGTTGGCTCGGTAAATTCAGTAAATCAAACCACTATGAACATCTGTAAAACAGTGTCGAGGAAATTTGTGTCTCTTTGTTTGTTAGCTTCACTCTGAAGACAATAGCTTTTGTTTTTGCCGACTACTTGAACACACAGAGAGCAGAGTTTCTTCCTTGGGAGGAGCTTTTGAAAACTTTCCAGTGACTCAAAACAGTCGTGACTATTATCTGAGAGCTACACCACTCGGTCCGTCTGAGTTGAAATGTCTTTTAAATGATGAGAGAATCAGTCACTTTGTAGCACTCCTAGCTTAGCTGCATATCCACCTTTTAGCTACTCTGCACTCTGCTCATGAACACATTGTGCATTAGTTGTGAAATCCTTAGTGTGTGACTCCATCTATGAATCCAAACCAGCTTCAGGCATCCAAAATGAGAACAAAGGAGCCATGATTTTTTCTCTTTTTTTTTTTCTTCCCAGTACTTCTGAGACTGGACAATTTTACCAATTAGCGTCTTGTTTTTAATCCTGCTAATCTTTTTAGTTGTGAAATTAGATTCAGTGGCTCTCATCACATGTAAGCCCTGTAGCAGCTTTCATCAGCAGAGGTGTGTGTGTTTATCAGTGTACGTGAACATGCTTTCATGTGTGCTTGGCAGTGCCCGTGTGTTGTATCTGTGTGCGTGTGGGTCCATCTGTTTGAGCCTTAACGAGTTGTTGTGTTATCGATTTATCTCAGTTATTGTGCTAACAGCTGTCAGAGCTAACAGTGTTGGCTCCTCAGATGAGACTGTGGGCGGGAGGGTTGGCATCAAACATGTCAGACTGGAAGACTGGCAGCATCCCCGCAGAACTGCTGTCTCTTCCCTGTCAGCTTTTGGCTGAAAAAATGCAGTTTTAACTCCGTCCTGGTTCATCCTGATCAAGGACAAACAAGAGGAGGGTGTGTTTTACAGCTCTGTGGTGCCAATCGGGTCCAGGCCTCTGTGCAATGTAAATATTAGACCCTAAGCACTGAGAGGTGCTTGATAAGGCTGTTGAACGATCTAAACTCCACCCCCCTACAGGCTGCATGCTATGATAGATGGAAGACATAGTCAGTATCTCTCGCTGCCTGTCAGGACCCTCCACTGACTGTCGCTCCTTTGTCTGCACTGCTGGAAGGAATGATGGATGTCTGAAGCTGAACTGCATGGAGGCAGCAGAAAAATATCTGCTGTGTGAGTCTTTGTGTGTTGAGCTGCAGGCATGGCTGCAACTACAGCCTCTTTTTTTTAGTTCATCTGTGAAGCAATAGAACTGTGAAAATATCCAACAGGATGTCTTCAAATTGCTTCTTTATCCGATCAACTCTAAAACATACCAGCAGATCTGTCAGGCTGCCCAGGGTGCTTTTTTTCCACTACAGGAGTAAGAGACTGGCATGAGCTGTCTCTGCAAGAAGAATTATGAAAGTGCAAAAAAGATTGTAGATTAAAGTTATAAGTGAGTGCAAAGTGTGGAGATGCCAACCTATGGAGTTGAAAAACTGGCTTACCTGCAGATATAAGGTCTCTAATATTAGGGTTGACAGATATTAGTTCTTAAGGGCTGATACTGAATTCATCGATTACCAATATTTGCAAAATTGACAGTAAAAACAGAATTTGATCAAATTTAGAACTTGGAAAACAACAAACTTCAGTCATCTAGAGTCACAAGACAGTCATGTCACACTGTCAGGGGATGTCCATTTATCCATATAGAGTTGTAGGTGAGACATTTGGTCAGAAGAGAGAGTCATTAAGTGCACACCAGAGAAAAAGACACACTAGAAGCGTAGCACAACTTTTTTAAGATAAATCATTTTATCTGCCATCAGTCAGCAAAAGGATGATATCAGCCCCAACAATAAACCTAGGCTGATTATTTAGGCTGGATTATTTAATGTTTATTTTGTAAGTGGTGTAAGATATCAGATCTAAAGGGAACATCCAAAATGCCAATATTTTTAAACTCATTTTGGCTGATACTTACTCTGATATATCCTCTTATTTTATCATCCTTAAGAACCCAAAGCCTTTCTTTGACAGAATTGACCTGATACTCTAACTGTGGAAGTCTATTAGAAATTCTATTATAGATCATAAATATAGGTTTCCTTTTATACAGCCCACATATGTAAGCTGTCATCAAGTGCAAGAGTTCATGCATCAACTTCCTCACCAATATTTATACCCGCAAAATTTTTCATATCTACCGATACTGACAGTCAACTTTTTCTTCATACGATTGTATGGCCTTTATTTGATTGGACAGGAAAGTGTATAAAACAGGGAGTGAGGAGAAAGGAGCCACAGGCTGGAAATGAACCCAGGCCTCCTTTGTACGTGGAACTCACTTGATTACTAGGAGAGCAGCGCCCCCTATAATTCACTTTCTAAGGTATTATCTGCCTTAAAGAGGACTATACTGATCCCTAATATATTTAGACATATACATGTTTCAGTGCCTTATATAAAGAGGACAGGACAGTGGACGTATCCAGGAGAGAGGAAGGAGCCACAGGTTGGAATCACACCCAGGCTGCCTGCCAAACATATGCCATCACTCATAGAGGTATAGTTTTAATATTGTACTTAAAAAATGGGAATAGATAAGAATTTATTGATAGTGATGCCAGTGCCTGATTATGAATCCTATGATTTCTATAAATTCCCTAATCAATTGCCAGTTTTTACCTCCACTGTTCTGCTTACAGTACCTTTTAAATACTGTTCATCTTTGGTAAAAACAATCCAACACAAAACACAAAAGCAAATCCTCACATTTGAAGCCTAAAATCATTACCACCCTGCTTACAGACATGATTGACTACAAGAGCTCTAGACTGTCTCCCGATCGATTAGTCATCTTATCGTTCAGCTTTACTGCAGCCCTCTCTTAGAGCCCATCGGCTGAGCTACGAGCTCCTATTTAACATTGTTTATTCCAACTGAATTAATCTTTTATGTAGAAAAAGCACCCTGAATGCAGCACACTGCGCTCTCCCTCTGGTGATTTAAATGTGACTGGAGGCCCTGTGAATGTTTTAATGTTTGTGGATTTATTAATTAAACATGACGGCAGTCTGTGTGATCTCTGCACCCGGAGGTGTTTGACTTCCACCGGTAAGTCTTTTAGTTTAAGTGTTTCATGCGGCTGAAGTTGCATACAGAGCACAATGCAGCTCTGGTGGTATTATTAGAGTAATATTCACATTATTTCACCTGGGAGGCTTTTATTAAAAAAAAGCAGTGAAGCAGTGGAGAGCTTATACCACAGTCACACTGCTGCTGATGAGGGAGGCATGTGTCCACCGTTTCGATCATGTTTTGTCTCTATTAGATCCACACAGTCATAAATATATTAAACTCGTTGCTGTGATGGAAACGACAGCCAGGCTAATTTCAGAGTGGAAGCGTGTCGTGTAGAGCAGTGATCTATCACATATAGTGTATCCTGATAAATTAAGCTGCAGGTTATTACTTCCCATGCATCATCCGCAGTGTGACAGCTAATACTGTGAAGGAAAGGCTTATAGTGACAGTGTGACCAAGAGGGGAACCAATCGGATGCTTCAAAACTACATTAATTGAACCTGGCTTTGAAAAGTGTAATTTGGACATTCGGACACCTCTAATCTGCTGTGATGGCTTTGTTTGTTGGATTTGATTATGCCGACAACACAAAACAGTGAAGGTTGACAGGGTTTGTAGGAGTGTAATATGATTAAAGTGGGTGTTAAAGTGCCACAGAGCATCAGAGGGCTGCTGACACAGAGTTCGGGAGTTTTACTGGTTTGGGGGGAGAGACAGCTCGGAGAGGATAGCATTATGTAAGTAAGCATTAGAATAATGAGACCTCATTTTGAGGCGCCTTGGGGATATTTGAGGTTTCATTACAGGCTAAAGTGAAGTGCATATCATAACAGGAGTTAAGCTGGGATGATTGAAATGTGAACTGACAGAAATCAGTCAAATCTGTTCTGGTTTCTGCTTCTCTTCATGATGTGATTTGAAGACTTCCTCTGTTTCATTTCAGTTTCAGATTTAGATCAAGTTACTTTAGTCAATGTTAGAAAACAACAAACAAGAACTTAACAGGACATGACAAATAGTTTTAGAGGCACACAATAGACACAACAGTAACTAATAAAAGGCTGTAGAGTCATTTGTCCGCAATCAATGATGGTAAAACAGCGGTCAATATCAGGAGCAGTGTTTGAGTTATTGCTTCAGTAAGAGAAAGTGCTCGTGCATGGTGAGCACAGTTTAGTGAGGTCGTGTTCAGTCCTTTTTTTGTTGTTGTTGTTGGTATAGATGGAGAGCATAAGCTCCAGTTAGGAACTTTGAGTTCGTGTCACTTTTGGCACCCCCCTGTGGACACTACATGCTTAAATGGAGACTTGATAAAAATGTCATCCTTCTTATTTTCAACAGCCAAATGATCATTTAACATAAAAACAAGGCTGTTTTTTCAGCTGCTCGACGGACACCTACCCCCCTCCTACCAGTTTCAGACAATTAAAGTGACTATATAGAAATCATCAATCTTGTCCGTGATGGTTTAAAGTGTCTTTCAATACCATGAAAAGGCATCAGTATGAATTCAAGTTGATTTCATTCATATCCGAAAACTCCTCATAGTAGCTTTAAAGAACTGTTGCAACATTAAGGGAGGCAAGACAAGTGTAGAGCAACACATTACTTTATAAACAATACTAATAAATGCAATTAACATACCTTTCACCATTCATTTCCAGTAATGTTCAGATCTATAACTTAGCTATATCACCAGATCTGTGACCAAACTTCTCCAGAGAGCGCACTGCCTCATAAATGATTCTTTGTCATGCTTTTATTTTCATATTTAAAAAGAAAAAATCACCTAATAAAATGTGTTTTCACTCAAGAGTATCTACCTCTCCAGTTTTAGAGAATTGTATACTCTCCTCTGCACCCTTGCTTAGCAGTTTATCAGACTAAACTGCTCAACAGAGAAAGTAATTAAGCGGTGATTTCCCAGTTTAGCTGTAAAATAATTTGAGAGATCATAGGAAAAGAGAAACCTCCCATGTTTGTGGTGTAGCTGCAGTAAAAGTGGATGTTTGACTGACCTTATAAAGGTTGTAAATAGTCAGACTTGTAGACAATATATAAGCTTAAGAGCCAGTTCCACTACATCTGAACATGTTTATGGCCGCTGCTGTTGGGTAAAAACCAAAAAGCATTGCCATGATCAACACATAACCCTCTTGCTCCTGTGACTAACCATCCCCCCTCTCTCATAAACAAACGCGCTTTGAAAGAAAAAGTCAATAATTCAGGAATTTACAGTCTTTCTTTCTTTCATTGGGAGAGCCAGACACTCTTCAGACTCTGTTATGGGTTTCGACCCTTCAGCCTCTTCAACCTGCTGAGCCAATAAAAAAACACGAACATGTTTGATTTGTGTAAAGATATAATCATGTCTAAAATGCTGTTACTAAAGCTTTATTTTGCCGCGATATTATGTTTCACACTCGAGCCTGCTGGACTGTGAAGCTCACCGGTGTTTGAAAAAATCAATATACCATGTAGTTCCTGTTGTTAATTATGTCTGTCAGCAAAATATAGAGACATGTGCATTACTTTGAAGCCTGACTAATCAATATGACTACTTGTAATGAGAAAAGAGTCGCTTGCTGTTAGGAATTCAAAGGGAAATGCCGTCATCACAAATTTCTGTTACATTTTTTCATAAAACACCTCTGAACAGAATATTTATATTGAAAAGCTGCCAAAGTACAGGGGAGAGAAGAGAGATATTTATGAAATCATTCATTTGGCTTGCCTTGTTGTATTGTAATTTCACAGTAATTAGGTTTTACATGCGGCTGTAACTGATTAATTGACTCTGTTTTCCCTTGATTCAGCTTCTCGGGCTGCATGGATGTTAATTCTCTACCCTAAGACCGGCAGAGACTAAACCTGCAGGATGAGAGGTGCAGGCACTTCTCAAATACCACAACCAAATACAAATATATGTTAGAAAACCTATTGATACTCGGCTAAAATATTATAAAATATATTATAAAATATATATTTGATTTGATTTGATTTGATAATTTTATTTAAGTTTCATACACCAAAATTGGTGCCCAGCCCCATGGGCTTATTAGACACTGTTCAACAGATTCAAAACACAATGTATCCAAGACAGCCACACAACATAATATACAACAACAATAACAACAAAAATCCATTAAGAATTGTAATACAAACAATGAGGATAATGAAAGAAAAACAAGAAAAGTTCATCCTACAGGGTACAAAATACTTTGTCGCATATGCCAAGCTTTTTCAACAAATTTTGCCAAAACAAAAACATCCTTATCATAAATATATCATTTATTGGCTGATTCTTCAATATAAGGGCAGGAAATACCCTGACATCACTTATCAATGAAACTATAGTATATGAAACAAGACATTAGGGGGCAATGTTTGAGAAACTGCACAATTCAGCAAGATATGATACAACATGATACAACTGATTTTTTTTATAAACAAATAATAAAGAAAAAAAAAGGTCATATTTCCTCCGAGGGTTGAGTCATTTTTGACTCCAGTTGGTTGTCGTTGCATCTTAAATGTGATTAAAGAGGTTTTAAAAAATATTTGATGACCATTTTGTTGATTGGTTAATGATTGTTTCAGTCATAAAACAAAGGGGTTCCCTAAAAATGAAAAAACGGTCCATGTTGTCGTGGTTCATTGTGAGCGTTCACTCCTGAGGCACACCTCTTTCTTACGCTTATTTTCTCTGCTCTGTGTTTTGTCTAAGCTCCTCTAAAAGCATGCACAGGCCCCTGCAGGCATGCATCTGTGACTGTGTTCATGTTTGTGTGCGTTTCTGTATCGTGTGGTTTTAGCGTTGTGCCACACAGTGTGTATGACTGCTTGTCTGTTTCTGTGAAAGTGTCTCAGATCGCATGCCGGCTGCTGTGTGATGCAAGAATGGATCTCTGTCTGACAGACAAAGGAATGAGGGAGAGGAACGTGTTCATGTGTCGGCAGCAGCCCGGTGGTAACCCAGGGTTCAGGTGTTAATGTCCACTCATGGGTCTAATTGCTGTCCCCCTGAGGAAGGAGGGGGCATTGATTCAGGTCTTTTGAGGGTTTAGAGGGATGATGGAAGAGGAGAAAAGAAGGAAGAGTGGGTGGGGAGGATGGAAGAAGACACAGCAGCAAGGATGTGAGAATGAGTGACAGAGATGCTCTGCAAGAATAACAATCGCAACCCGCCTCTTTTCTCCCTTTTTCTCCCTCCTTTGACTCTCTATTCTGTTTCTGTCTCCTTCTCTGTCCTCTCTTTTCCTCTTTTTCTTCCCCCTTGTCCCTCCCCATCCCTCTCCCTCCCCTCCTCTTTCCGTCCATCTCTCTCTTCTCTGCCGCTGCCTCCTCTTTTCTCTCCACCAGCTGCAGTGCAGAGATCTCTGCCGAGGCCCCCGTCAGGCTGTCAGCTGACCAGGACGGAGGCTGTGACATCACCGCCCCCTCGACCGACTGTCAGCCCTCCGCCGTTGCCATGGCAACGTCGGCAACGGCCTGCGGAGCCGAGGCTGGCGACGAGACGCCTGCAGGAGGAGGAGAGGAAGCAGCAGAATGCGTAAGTATTCTTTCAGATTTTCTTCTCGCTCCTTAACGTCTTAAAAGCGTCCTCTTCTCTCTCTTTTGCACGCCACCTTTTATGGTTACAACTATCAAACGGAAACATATACATGTATTGGTATTCAAGGATGACTGGGACGAGGAAGGAGACTGCGACATATGCACACACATACAGATGCACATCACCAACACATCCTGATGCAGAGGTATTTGTTGAGGCAAGTACGAGCATTCAGCATAGCGCCCTGTCTTCCAGCGACAGCTCGATGTCTGACGATGCAGAAAAAAGAGGATCAGCAGCTGGATGCTGGTAACTCAGCGCTTCCTTCCTTCCTTCCTTCCTCCTCTCTTTCTCTGCATGGCGCCTCAGCTGCTGCAGCTAGCATTAAGCTTCCTCTCTGTGCATCTGCAGAAGAGAAGAGCCCCGGCTGACATGGTGCTTTTCTTTGCATGCTACAGAGCAGCAGGTAGTTTGGAGAACAGATGTCGAGCTGCGTTTTGCTTCTTGCCTCTCTTTAAATTCCTCTGCTTTGAATCCACACTGGAGCCTGCATCTGCATTCCCAAAGTAAGAGCTGCATTTGATATTTCAGCTGGACATGAATTATTCTCCTTCATTTAGGCTGATAGCTGCGAGCTGTATATCATGTTCCTCTCTGTTAGAAAAGGATGAAAACCTCCCTTTGTCTTGCAGTTGTGTGCTGTAGCTGTTAGCTGTCAGAGCTCTGTCAACAGTTGCGGAGCTTATCTTCGATAAATAGTCAATATGATCAGAATCATCGGATGTAGGTGATGTCTCTTGGGTGAGGGGTCTAGTGTCAGAGCAGTGACCTTTGAACCTTCCACTTAAGGTCACCTCCTTGGAGCTTCATAGAGCCTAAAAGGATGTGAAAACACCACGTGAGGAGTGTTTGTCAATGCAGGATGCTGCAGCATGTCGGGGAATTCCTCTTTACCTCCAGAAAATCCAGGAGACGTCTTTGAATTGATGGGACGTCTTTTATCTTCAAGGCTGGATGGTTTAAAGATGTGATCAGAGCGGTTATTTGGATGCATGGCCTTGTTGCGTTTAGCGTCTGTCACAAGACTTGGCAGACGATTAATGCTGCGTCTCAGTATGAAATTTGGATTCTTGGCAGTCCTGCAGGCTGGGATCAGAGAGATAACCAAGATTTGTTATGTAATGATTTCATGGTAGTAAACATGGTGACATTGCACACAAATTTACACACACACAAACACACACACGCTTTGATCCCTCTCCTGTCATTATCCTCACCTTATCTTCCCCAAGAGTTGTGCCCTTTTCCATCTGTTGCCATAGCAACCTGACCGTTTGATTGACACACGTGTCCTTCCAACCGGCAGCACACCGGTCTGGGCTGCAGGCGCTCCAGCTTGGATGCAGCCTATGAGCTGGCTGAGACGGTGAGAGCTCAGCGCGAGTGTCGTCTCCGGCCTCACTACAGCGACCCCATGCCAGCAGACGCATCCAAGCGCAAACAGCTGGAGATGAAGATCGCTGCCGCCGCCAGACTCCACGGCCACCGCCGGGACCGCGACAGAGACAGAGACAGTGGTGAGTACACAATACATGAGGGACTGCTGTGTCAGTTTGTGCCTGTCAGAGTTTGACATGCTCAGCATGGAGTGTAAAGCACTCTTAAACAAGCTGAGGAGCTTAAAGGCTGTAAATAATTGCTGTAAAACTAGACAACATTTAGCAGGCAACTTATACAAAGTCCAATCATTCCTTAAAATCTGCGAATCAGAGAAAGAAAATGTTTTAATGTCTCATAATATGCAGATGTGTGTCGCAGTCTTCTGAGAGTCATATTAATGATTAAAAGTTTAAATCCTGTGAAGCATTAGGATGACTTTGAAAAGGAACTCTGAGTCAGTGTTGTTTGAACTAGAGCATCTCATAATTGTTAAAAGCCACACCACATTTTGATGGATTTCGAACCGTGCACTTGTCAAGCTTTTGGTTGCAGGAAAGTAAGAACTTCAAAAACTGCAAACTTAGATGAGGAAAAAAAGAAACCAGCTATCAGACATATAACATTCCTACAATAAACAATCTCTCTGGGCTTGTTGTATAACAATTCTGGCATAGAGTGTTTTTCAGGAGGAATAAAAAACTAACATACTAAAACTAACTTATAGGTCCTAAGAATGACATGCAGGGAAAAGAAGGGGTTTCTAACCTTTTGGCACAAAGTTGATTCACCACAAAGAAGTAACATGGTAGAAGTCAAAACAGCAGTAACAGGAAATAACTATATTTCCTTACTTTTCAAACCAAATGCAGCACAGAAATATTAGCGTTCAATACCCTTAGCCCAAATACGCTCGGACCGTTAGCTAGCTATAGTTGATGTGCTCTTAGCACCTTTATTTGACTTGCTTATCAGTGTCACTTCTTGACCACAGACCATAATCCGTCTCACTGATATCTTTTTCTTACATACCCCTTACCATTATTATTGTTTTGTTAATACATTCAAGTTGTTGGAAAACACATTGTGGTAGAAACTTTGCAATTGTTTTAGTTATGTGTGAATAATGGGAACTTGTAAAGAGCCATGACACTGAGAGCGTATGACGGCCTCTTAAGTTAACTGAGCAAATTTGAGAGATAAGGAGGACGTTTTTACAACAGTGCAGTAAAAACCATCAGACTTATGACGGAGATTCAGACACTTTAGGGGAGGTTAAACTTTGATGCACAATGCAAATCCACTAAGTTTTGCAGTTTAAAAATCAGTCTGGAGAAACTTCAAAGTATTTTCACGACTTTGAGAATGAAATTAAGGATGACAAATTGGATCATGTCCAATAGAGAAAGGTTGTGATTTCCATTCTTAAAGATGCACAATGGTGGGTATGAAAACCACACTGCGCCATGATACACACTGTCTGCTCAAAGTCATTCATAAATCCATGCCCACGCACAGACCACACACACGGCTCTGTATCAGCAGCTCTGACTCGATGCTTCCTTCCTGTGCAGAACCACATGCAGCCTACTCTGTTCTTAAATATAATTCTAATTAATGTAATCACAGCGGTCCATGCGCTCATTACACCTCCCTCACCTCATCAGGGGAAGGTGAGTCATCCTAAACTTTAATAAAACTGCCAACCAGGCTGAGCTTCCTTTCTTCAATTCAGTCCAACAACCTATATGCAGCTTCTTGTTTTGCTTGTGTCCAGGCAGTTCAGCTTTTGCATCCAGCCTTCACTGCGCACACAAGCACACACACACATCAGAGTTCCCCTGCTAATATGGTGCTCCTCCTGTCAGCAGAGGCTCTTTGACACTGGACGCCGGCCACAGAGTGTCAGTCAATATGGCATATGCTAATGTCGACCTTGTTGCTCTTTCCAGTGGATAAAAATGAAAGTGACAGGACAGGAGTTTTTGCAGAGAGGTTTTGCATATTGAGACAAAACTGACATGGGTTTTTCTGCGTAACTTGATGTTTTAATAAAACATTGGAATTTTTGCTGCACACACACACACACACACACACACACACACACACACACACAAATGCGCACTTAGGGGATAGTATTGATATTGACGTGGATGTGGTCAAAGGTTAAGCCCTTGAGTTGAGGGTTAGAGATCTAATTATTGGAGAAAGATGATATCTATAATAGTTTCTTCATTCTGACATGACCAGTAATGACTGGTTCAGATTAAATGGGCGTTCATTAGAGAAGCTGCTATTACTGCTGTGTGTGCATATGTGTGTACATGTGTGTGTTTGCGCGCCTCCTTGCAGTGTGAATAACAAACCCTGTAGAGAGCAAATCCATAAACATCACTGGCACTAATGAATTTGACCTCCTTCACCTCCCCCTCAACAGCTCCAGCAGCCATTCGCGGTCGCTCAGAGCCCCCTGGAGAGGAGCGCCAGGCAGGCTTGGGTGTGACTCGTTCTGGCCAACATCGCTGGAGCACCATCAGCAGCCTGAGCGCCGACAGTGGGGTCGTAGGCCTCAGCGATGAGCGGGAGGAGGAGGACAGTGAGCCCCGCCGCCACCGCAGGACACGAGGAGCAGAAGTGGAGCGAGTGGACAGCGGCATCGGTCCGGGTCTGTCTCGCACATGGAAGCGACCGTCTGCCTCCCTCAGAGCGTGGGAGGCCCAGAGACCCTGTCCAGACTGTGGACTGAGAGACGGGGCCTCCAAAGAGAGAGGGGAGCGTATGTGCGAGCGCTGCTCCAAGCTGAGGACGGAGCGGAAGGAAGCCATCCTGGAGTTTCTCAACACGGAGTCGAGCTATGGCGAGGACCTGCGGATCATCAAGGAGGAGTTCTACTGCCCCATGCAGAGCGCTGGGCTGCTGACGGCTGAGCAGCTCACTGTGGTGTTTAGTAACGTCCAGGAGCTCATAGACGTCAATGACCGCTTCACTGAACACCTGCAGGACAGCATCGACCAAGCCTTTGACCAGGTAACACGCCTACACTCTAAAAACTCTTGGGTTATTTCTTCAACCTGGGTTATCTGGGTTGAGTTAAATTTCTGTGTTATTTTTCAGATCAATACCCATTTCTTGGGTCATATGGGTTCTATTGAGTGTTTTTTGAATGGGTTAATAATTAAGGGTTATTTTTCTGAGAGTAACCCAATAATTGGGTCAGAACGGTTCGATTGACTCTACATGGTTTCTAGGCCTAATGGCAATTAAAGTGACCTGGTGACCTTGTGAACTTTAGGGTACAGGTTGTAAAAGCAAAGCTCACGAAAAAAGCTCCCTAAATGCATAGATCAATTTAACCCAATTAACTCGAAGATTGGGTTAACATGACCCTTAATAAGAGTTATTGACTCAACCCAAAATTTGAGTTAATTTGAATAACCCAACATTCTGGGTCAAAATAACCCAATAAGTAGTCGGCCCCTTTTCAACCCTGGTGTTGGGTTAAAATCTACCCAAGTTGAGTTGTTTTTAACCCAGGAGTTTTTAGAGTGTACCTGTAAGAAAAGCTACTAAATGAACCTCAGTATAAGATTAATAACGTGAGTGTAAGAATAGGACAACATATTTGTTTTTTGTTCTAATATATGCTTTGAAAGCATAAAAAAACACTAAATCAAAAGTCAAACTCTGTCTAATTGTTGATGACTTCTTGACTTGATTGAAAGCTGCAGAAGATCTTTAACAAGGACCGTGCGAAGTAGCAACCAGGGTTTCAATTGAGATACAAAGAATTCAAGAAAAAGTCTGCTGATTGTTGAACCACAGTTCCAAAAATGTAAAGTGAAAACTTTCCTGCAGTCTGACAATATATGACATTCTTCTTGGAAATCATGGATGCTGTCTTCTGCCCTCAAAAGGTTAGGAACCACTGGGCCTGTTATTGTGGTGCGTTCGAGTTACCTCGGAGGTCAGATGTCGGAGCTGAAAACGAGTTACCAGCGTTACAGTTACCAAGTCGGAAAAAAGCATAATCGGCGGCCTGAAACAAGATGGCTACATCTATGGAAGTTATTTTGCCTTATATTCGGACAAGACAAGCGCTAAAATAACTTTCGTATATGTAGCCATTTTGTTTCCGCCTCCGATTTTTCCTTTTCCAACTTGGTAACTGAAACGCTGGTAACACAGGTGTGACGTCATTTTCAGCTCCAACTTCTGACTTTTGAGGTAACTCGAAAGCAGCATTAGTCCACAGTCCACCCATGACATGGCTAGTTCACACACCCAGGGAGCCACCATTAACGCTGAACAATATATAAAAGTTAAAAACACTAAGATTAGGAACAGCAATGGCAGTAAATTGAGCATTGACTTGACCGCTCGCTCTTCTGTGTTTGACCCCAGGGAGATGAAGATCTACTGACAGTATACATCGGAGAGATCTTCCTGGAGTTTGTCAACATGCTTCCCGCCTTCCAGACCTACTGCCTGCAGCAGTCCACCTCAGTCAACATGCTCAACACACTGGAGAAGGAGAAGGAACTGCTCAGGTACGCACAGAGAATCAAGAAACTTGTTCCTCTTTGCTTGTGTGATGGTGAAGTTGTTCTCAGAGCTTTCTCTCGTTCTTGCCAAAGCTGGTGGGTATAATTCTAAATGGAAAAGACAGCAGCTTATTACTTATTCAGAGGTAGTTCTATTTCGAGAGTAGAGCTGCAATGATTCATATTTTTAGACAGAACAGGAGCTCACTCACGAGTCAGGCTGTCCTATGATTCCCATGAATCAGTTTTAAAGAGTTTTCTGAAAATATGTCTCAGATGTCTCTGTTCCAGATTTATTTATTCCTGTTTGTTCTTGCAGAATCTTCCTGGATGTTTCCCAGAATGACAACACGGCACTGCGGCGTATGAACCTGCGCTCGTTCCTTATGGCACCCCTCCAGCGTGTGACTAAATACCCACTTCTGCTAAGTCGCATCATTAAGGTCACTCCGGAGTGTCACCCGGACTATTCACGTCTCCGTGAGGCCAAGAGCCGCGTGGAATCGCACTTAGAGCACATTAACATGAAGACAAAGCAGGAGGGGAACGGCGTCACATGGTCACTGCGATCATTCCGCCGTGACAGCCGCAAAAACCGGGAGGTGATTAACATAGAGATGAGAGAGGTTTCAATGAAGACGGTTGGCTGGGCGAGAGAAAACACAAGATTCGTCATGGAGGGACCTCTTCAGTTGTCCCAGCCTGCAGATGGTCAGTGGGTGAAGAAGGGAAGCAAGGCCCTGAAGTTCCAAAACGTCCAGAGTCTGCTGATGGTGAGGACACAGCGAGTCGGAGAAATCCCAGGACAGGGCACCGACTCTGGAGCAAAAGTGGATCAAGTGGAGGTCGGTGGAGAGAGCATTCGCGACGGGGTTCTGGTTCTGATCAAGGACAAGAGCAGTGGAAAGTTCACAGTGCTCAGAGAGCCCATACGTTTGGGGAACTGTGTGGTGTCAACAGACCCAGACAGCGAGGACACATTCGAGGTACTCGATATTCGAAAGGAGTCTTTCGTTTTCCGTGCCTCGGACAGATCTCGTACCCAGCAGTGGTTCCATCAAATTAAGAGGTACGCTCGAGACTTGGGCACCTGGAGGAAAAGACGCAATGCTTTGCCTAACATCATGATCAACACGAACCAGGGTCGTTCCTGAGACTGACCAACCCTCCCAACATCTTTGTGACACTGTAAATAACCTGAGTCCTTCTACTGCAAAAACAAACTGACAACGAGAAGCATTTCAGAGTGAAACCACTGTTATGACTCTTTAGATTTCAGTCAAATCTTTCTCAGTCTCATAGGAGTCGTAGGCCGTATAGAAGAAGTGGACATGGTTTTGGTGGGTTAACCTTCTGTTTGAACCATCCAGTTGGCATTTCTGGCTGACAACTTCTTGTTTTTCTGAACCAGGGGTGACGATCTTTAGACAACACTGCAATTTCTTAATCCTGGCACCCTAAACGCACCCTTCTTTATCCTTGATAATCCTCTAAATGTAATCTTACTTCACTAAAGGAGAATCATAATGCATTAAAAAAACATTTTCAAGAGCTGAACTGATAGACGCAACAAAGATAGTTTACTAGAGTGCTAAACAAACTTAAAAGTAGGGTCATCTTACCATCTGGTTTCATCCAATCTAATTTACTATTGTTCCCAATGAAGCCGCCCCCTGCTGGCTTTTTAAAATGATGCAGATTTTAGGCATTTTTCAGGCTTCCCTTTAAAAACAAAGGTCTTTGTCCACTTCTTGTATACTGTCTACGGTAAGAGAAAGATCTAGCACTTTTTTTTTCCTTACAAATCTTGAAGTGCGACATACTCTCATAAAATTACACAAGAAGATTTGAATCGTTAACGTTGAGAAAAAATTCCTTGGACAACCAAAAATCCCGGGCTGTGCTTGTCAGCCTTGATTGTAAAGACTGTTTGCTCCTGGAGAAAAAGAGCTGTGTGTGTGTCTGTTGAAAAGCATGGCTGATCATGACCGACTGCAAAAAGAAAAACTGTAAAGTCTTTTTTTTTTCTACCAGACATCAGTTGGGGGTGAATTTTTCTTTTCATGGTATGAAAAAGTGAAGATGTGGTTGAAAGCTTTGTTCTATGGTTTCTGTTTGTTGTCACTGCCCTCTCCTGTTGGCATAGAGCAACTTTCACTGCCAGAGATGCAGTTGAGCAGAGCCTCTGAGACAGGCTGAACGGACGTCCTGTATCACTGTGTTAAAATTTTTGGATGAAGACTCACAAAACAGCAATAATCTCTGCCAGTTTCAAAATACGTAGCTACTCTTTATGCATTTTGTTTCCCAGCATTGATCTTTGGCATTCAGGTTTGTCCTGCTGTAATACACACTGTGGTAATGAGTTAATGTGGCAGATTTCACTGAAGTCTCAAAACTATTCCTGTTGGACAGAAAACTTGCCTTCATCATACAAATACCAGGAAGTCTCTGTTTTGTTAGAAAGATAGTCTAAAAGCAATGAAAGCAGTCTGTGAGGTTTTTTTTAGGATTAAAAATGAACACAACTGTTTCCCCACTTTATGTTGAGAATTAAGTTTTTCAGCGTCAGGCCAGTGTACGGTGGCCCTGAAGGTCATATGCACAAACGTTTCCTGACGTAAACATACATTTACATAAATGCTAAAAGCATTTTTTAGAATTCAAAGATGTTTTGAGAAACTATAAAACATTTCACAAAGTATTAAAAATATCTCATGAATGGAAAAAAATTAGTTTCATGAGACCTTGAAGTATTTCATGGAAGGCATATGAAAATTTTCAAAACACCATAAAGAAATAAATGAAAACATGATGCTTAAAAATTGTTAATGAAATGAAAATTTGTAGTAAAATATTCTATGCGACACACAAAAAAATCTTCAAATATAAAAAAAATCAAAAACATCCAATATAATTTCAAGAAATATTATGTGAAATGTTTTGCTTTTGATGATATCTTTCAGTGTATAAGTAAATGCTCTTTGTGCTCACTGAAATGATAACATCTGAGAGTTGACCTTCAGGGCTACCGTACAAAGGACATCATGTCACAGTGATGGATAACGGGACAACAAACAGCTATTTGCATCGTTAATGCACCAAGATAAATGTTTGTCTAGAAGATACTTCAAAAGAAACTAGAAAAGCCTCTGGAGAGACTTATTAAGTTTTCTTCTTTGACAAACTTTAAAAGAACTTTAATTCAAAGGTACATGAAAAAGCAAAACCAATTGTTGGAAAATTGGAAAAAGAGTTTGGCAATTGTGAAAAATGATAATTTTTCACTTAGTAGATCAATTCCATGGAAATTACACTTCATCTGGACTTTAATCCTCACCTTGTATCCATGAAGTGCAAAGAAAATTATGTGATTTTTAAATTGTATTTACTATAAGACGTCATGGCAGCTGGTGATTTATCAATTGTGGTGTAAAACGGTTAGAAAAACGCTCGACTCGACAACCTCCCTCCAGAAAACCCTTCCAACCATCTCATCCAGATTTGAGTCTAACTGTGTTACTATGTGGCCTAGTGATGAGCTGTTGTGCCTTGGTACTTGATTACTGTTATGTTTAAAGGTACTGAAATCTTTGCAGACTGTCACAGTAGCATTTATCTCTGCGATATACACAAGAGCGCCCTCTGCTGGCACTTGAAGACATCATTTTACAGGCAATATAATTATTCCTCTGATGGTCTCTGGCTGCTGCTCCTCCCTCTTATTTAAATGTTTGTTTTTTATTATTTATAAAGGCTTTATTTCCTTTAATGCACTTTATTATGATTCAGTAATAGAACGCTCTTGAGTATGACACATTACACAGTCCTGTTTAAAAAAAACTCAGCTGGCTGAAGCTGGTTAAAGCAGGTTCTGAAAAGACTCATCAAACCAAATCTACTGTTTAAGACTGATGCTGTTTTATATTTGCTTTGAAGTAGCACTAGAAAAGGTAGCAAATCACTGTGTTCTGAGGGGCAGGGATGCTCAGCTCCACACCAATACTCCTGTACTGTCAGAAAATGCTGTTTCAGACTCAAAATGTAGAAGAAAAAAAAACAAAGCCTGCCGAGTTCACAAAGTTTTTTTTTGTTTTGTTTTTCTTATTTGCATTTTGAAGACCTGATGTATTATTTCCCCAGTGTAATATATTGTGAATTATATTAAAAGATTTTAAACACAACATGGCTTCTTTGTGTTTTCTGTGACAGGCCTGCATAATAAGAGAAAAATAGTGAGAGCCATTGCATAGTTCAGTAATGTGAGTAATGTGATGGCATAAAGTGAGCAATATAAATTCATGATGATGTATATAAGCAACAACTTGACATTTTGGTATCGTCTGTTTGGTTTGAGTTTTACATTTGCTGTTTTTAATGTTGCTAACAAGAGGTCAACTGATATTTATTGTTCAGGGTTAATATTGACACTAGTAGTTAATGAGACCAATAACTATTTATAATCTACCTGCATTTTATGTAAAAATGAACAACAACAAAAAAAAAGAATTTTTTTTTATAATTTAGTGGCTATTAAAGGCCTAAATAAGCCAGAGCAAAATATGACTTAAAAAGCAGCGATTTTCAACGCAACATTTTAGATTAGCCAGTCATTAGAAAACGCTGTTTTAACGGAGCATGGTGATTTGTTTTTAGCAGGAACTATAAATGTAGTGCTTACTCATGCAAGCTTTAATTTAGGAATTGCAGAGATTAACTTACCTTGAGACAGTCAACAGCTCCTGTTTTTTAAGAGTGCTGTAAATGATGCTTAAAGCGATTTACCGTCACACTACACCCCTTTGTGGCGCCAAAGTTTATCATTTTAAAAAATCGACTTAAAAGTCATGGCCTGACTCAGGTAACGCAGTTATAGCACACTCATGAATGATGTAGTATGTTTGTAATATTTCCGGCCACCAGATGGCGTCGTTCGTTCAGTTAGATGGAGGCAAAGGGGACACGCTCAAAGACACACTTCAACTTTTTCTAATGTTTACTATCAGGATCAATACATTTTAAAAAGTCTATATTTATGTGTTTACCTTGCAAGTTATTAGATTCGGGTTTTTTCACCACCAAAGTGGAACCAATAAATCTTAAAGTAGCAGATAATAATAATTTTATCTGACTACATAAAAATAATGTTAAGGCATGTTGGTTCATACACAGGTCTGTACTTAATAATTAGCTGTATGATCGATAATGATATAATATGATCAGAACTACGTGAGAAAGCATTACTTGCCTACCAAATATATATTTTTATTTTGTTGGATTTATGTATTTGTACTGTTAAAAAGTCAAAGTAAAAAGTAAAAGTCTGACAAAAGCTGGAAATGCAGAATGTAGAAATATATTCATAGTAATATGAAGCATTTTAAGGACAACCGATTCATTACACAGTACATGTGGAATACACTCATTACTCCAAGAAACAAAAGCACAAAATGGCAAAAAAGTGAACATGAATAACTTCTAGAAAACACAATCCTGCCTCACTGCAGCATGAAGGCAAACACAAACATCACTATTTTCTTAGGCAGATGTACGAAAAAGAAAAGAAAAACAGAGATCATACTACATGCAGGGCATAAATGTGACAGTCGGACTATTTTGCATTTTCTTGTGAATTTCCAGGGAAAGCTTCAGCACCTAACCAAAGCAATAAAAATGGCTCATCAGTCGTATTCATTGGCACTGTTCAGCAAAAATTCCTTAATGTAGGAAAAATGACAAAATAAGGATCTAACTAATCACACAGTAGCTTCAGCTTCATATTGTATGCAGTGCATCTTAGTCATTTCTTTGGCTGTACCTCTCCTGGAGCCTCATTTATGAAAATTAGGTCTCTGTAGTTAAGGTGCAAATGATTGAAATCTTAACCGAAGCTTTTTCCTTTCGTTTTTTTCATTTTATGAAAGCCAGAATGGTTGATATATACGGTAAGAGTGCTGCGACATGTAAAGAAAGCGTTGCTGTATTTTAGACTTTTGGATTCTTGATGTGATCACAGGATTGTTGCATCAAATAAGGCTCCTGGATTTCTGTTTGGATGCATATACTTTTTGACAGCAATATAGGGTCTGAAAGAAAAACCACCTAACATGAACATAACACGACACAGTTTTGTTTGTTTTGAAACACAAACATCCACAAAAATAAGCTCTTTACGACAGAAGCGCTCAATTACGAGGGGTCTCCGCCTGCGTGTCCAACAGTTTTAACATTACTATAGTTGAACTGCAAATGAAATGTAACAGTTGCAAAGTCAACTCAATGAATCAATAACACATAGGAACAGGAACTTGAACACAGATTTCCAGAAACTGACAACAAATTGAACCTTCGATCTTAATCCTCTGAACAACAGCGCCAAACTTGGGCACCATGTCTGCCACCCTTCTGACAGACTGTCATCTATCACAACCTTCTCATGCACGCCGTCCCACAAACACACACTCATTCATGCACACACACTCACACAGTCTGTCCTCAGCTGCTGGGGCCTCAGCTGCAGCTCTGGGTCTTGCCCTCCAGGAAGGTTAAAGGGGGCAGCAGCCGTGGAGAGGTCCCAGCCAGGGGGGGGCGGCTACCGCATCCTCCTCCTTAGAGCTCTATTTTTCCACGGCAGACTCCGGCTCTTTAGCCAGCCCACGGATGGACAGGTCATACACGACCTCCTCGATTTTCTTTACGTCATACTTAAGGCCATCGTAGCGTTTCCGCAGCGGGTCGTTCTTCAGGTTCAGCAGGCGGAAACCAGAGTCCAGCTCGTTGATGAAGTTGGAGATGCGGAGCGGCCGGCTGTAGTCTCCAGCTGTGACACTGTTAACTGCCAGACGCGACTAAACAAAGACAGATGTTGGAAACCACAAGTCATTTATCATACAACTTAACTTGAATGTGGAAAAAAACAGCTTGTTAAAGGGCAGTTCACGCCTTTAGAGTCACCACTTTCACCACCACATTTTGTGCGCACAAAGTGTGTAGTTATGTCGACAAATGCGGGTTCGAACTGTACCATGCAGAGAGGAAACCATATGTATGAACATCATCCAGAAACTGCAGTGACTTCTCTGAGCTAGAGTCTCTTTAAACTGTCCTGTGGTCCGACTGATCGAATTTTGGAAGTCTTTTTGAAAATCTTGGAGGCTTTCATAAACTCGAGACAAATGACGGGGCAATCTGAAGTCATATGAGGCTTCAATTTTGACAAATACAGGCAGATAACGAACATATGATGAGACACTCACCAGCTCACTCGCCATGATGAGCACACCTGCCAGGTAGTCTTCTACGTCCAAGTGGAAGCCTTTCTCCCGCACCACCTCAACTTTTAGGCAAAGAGGGCAAAGAAAAATATTGAAACTTAAAGCAGTTGTTCTCTCTCAGTGGATGCTTAACACTAAAACACTGAAACCGACACTCACTGCCAAGAATCTGAGCCACTTCCTCCCGAGTCACAAGAGCTTCACTCTCCAGGTAGACAACAAAGGCCGCCAAGAAAGCCAAACGCTGCAGGACAAACCGCCAGTGTTCATGGAACCTGAAGTTCAAGAGGATCAAATAGATCAGAGGAAGAGATTTCACAAGAAAATTCATTTTGTATTTTTGTTCTTTTACAGTCTGATTTTAGCTGAACAACATCTTACCCAAAATTACAAATTAAAAATGACAGAAAATATAACAGTGAATGGGTAAGCTGACATGTGCCTCCTACCTGTAATACTGCTCCGCAGGAAACTTTGTTTTGAGGTCTGCAATTTGTGTCCTAACGGTGCAGAACAACTCCCGTGCCTTTGTACATTTACCAGGAACTAGGAGAAGGAGAAGAGAGGAAAATAATTAATCTGAAATATATCAAAAAGTGCTTCAAACATAACTCCAAGCTTGTTCACAGTATGTCACACACTCACTTTCTTTGAACCCGGATGGCTGGTGGACACTCTGGAGTACAGTCAGTATTTCTCTGGCAGTCTGCTCCAACGTCTGGACCACTTTACGGATATCCTGGAAGAAAAGGCATTTAAATAAGTGTTAATTATATGTGTATGTATGTAATATGTAAATTATTCATAACCTATTATACATTAAATTATACATTTACTTATGGAAAAGTTAAAGGGATATTCCAGCGTAAAATTAATTTAGGGTCAGACACACCGTAACACCGAGTTAGACACCCCCTCGAGAGAGGAATGTTGCCAACCGCTCTTTTTAACTTTGCCTGATTTCTTTAGCAAAGAGACTAAACACAACCCACCCACTCTCTTACAGCAGCCGCTTGTTTGTAGCAAGACCTCGGGCCAGTCCATTATGGACTGCAGCAGGTTGTCGCAGCTCAAGGAAGAACATTTATGATCAGGGTGGGTGGGTGAGTTGGTAAAGCTTAAAATATGTTTGGTGGCTATTAATTTTACGCTGGAGTATCCCTTTAAGAAGTTATCAAAGGTACCCTAAAAGTTCCTCACAGGAGCTTCAAGTATCGCTAATCAAATTATTTGATATTACAGGAAATTCATAAAATAAAAAAATAAAAACATGAGGGAGACTTAAGGGGGTATTTTGTGAAGGTGTGCAAAATTAAAAAGTTCAAGTGAAACAGACAGAAAGTCAAACTGATGCTCTTTTATTACACACAAACGCAAACAACACCATCTGAGACAACATAATATATTTTTTGCAGTATTTTTTAATGCCCAATACTGGTGCTGCAAAACCAGCTTTGTTTTTGTTTTGTTTATATTTTCTACATGAAATATGAACACAAACCTAAAGTTCCTTACAGGAGCTTTAATAAGTCTATTTATTATTTATCATTTTTCCAAAGAGCAGCACTTTTTCTGTCATAAGTAGCATTATTCTTTTTGTAAGATTTCCAATTTAGCTTCAACTGACCCACCAAAAAAAACCTGGGTGTGGCGAAATAATGACTCCAAACATGAAAAATAACTGCGAGCAGAGTTAAAATTCACGTTTTCAGTAAAGTGACACACCGTTCATCCACGTTTTTCCTTTAAAATAAAATAAAGCCATGATATCGGTGTCATTTATTTGACCTTGATAACTCGAATTTGTGCTCTTTCAGCTCGGTTATCATTATGAGACTATATTTTAATGTATCGATGAGCGGGTATCGGCTGTGGTTAGCAGCAGGCTAACAGACTCTGACCGTTCGTGTTCATTCATACCTCTCTGATGTCCTGGTCAGCGCTCAGGAAGCCCTGAATGTAACTGAACATCTCAGTGACTGACATCTCAGAGCTGAAACCAACTGTCCGGCTGATGATGAAGATGATGATGATGATGAACCGTCCGCCGTTTATTCATAAATACATCAACGTGCACGAGAACCGTCACCTCCGCCTTTCTGGGACTACATGGCGCGGTAACGTGACGTCATCATGTAGGCGGTTTCTGCTTCTTCTTCTTTGGTGTTTAATAGTAGTTAACAAACCAGTTTATGGTGCATAGCGCCATCAGCTTGGACTGGAGTATGGGACAGAAGAGTTAGCAGCCAAATCACATTGTTGATATTTTCATCTCAGTAAATAATAAATTTTAACTGTGGAGGGAAAAAATATTTGCATACATCAAAGTGGTTTAAGAGAATTTTTATCTTTTCTGCTGAATTACCAAAAGAAAACTACCAGCTTTCTGGTTATGAAGAATTTTTTAAGTTATTAAGGGAGTGTGTATGTGTGTGTATGTGTGGGTGAGTGAGGGCGAGTGGGTGTGTGTCTTTGTGTGTGTGGGTCCATGGCTGGGTGTATGGGTGGAAAGGGTTTTACTGTTGTTAATTGTTGTTTTTAGCCTCTGTGAGGCACTTTGAACTGCATTTTTGTCTGAAAAGTGCCATTAAAATAAAGTTAAATTTGATTTTTTGGAAAATAAAAACTTCCCTGTGTTTCAATGGATACAAGAATTCAGAAGAACTGTAGTAAATGCCGTTACTTTCTTTTAACAAAATAGATATAATGGATAAGTATTAAATATACCAACAGACATATTAGAAATGACATCTACAACAAACAAAAATAACTTCATATGGCAAATGCTTTTGTAATTCCTTAATCTTCTAACATAAAATGAAAAATTATCACTTACTGGACAAAAAGATGCAAGAAAATATATAAGTAAGAGTATTCACTTGTACTGATGGGAATAGGACCCGAAGCTTGAAAGGCAAAAGTGTGAACAATAATACTCTTACAGTGTATGTGCACTCAAAACTAAGATTAAACATGTTGTGAAATCTGTACCACGATCAGGGTTATATTTTAAATGGACCAAATGCATTTTTTTTTCTGAGGTATGAACTCCTAATGTATTATCAATAACAAGAGAGGTCCATTATTTGATGGCCTTTTATAAGTTCTCAATCTTGTGATGCACGGATTGAAAAAAATATCTGCTCACTGAAGTTTTGGTGCACACATTCGTTTTTGAGCTTGAAGGTGACTGAACTTGCTAGAGCAGCTCATGAAATACTCCTGATGAAGTTATTGTTCAACTTTCCTAAATTTCGGAACACTCATTTGTAAGATTTCATATAGAGAGGGTTAATCCTGTATTCTTTGGTCTTATAATGTGACATGTTTATTATCATTGGTGCACTTTGATCTTAATTTCCTATACATACAAATTGATAAAACTTTGGCATTTTGTTTGGGAGATGTAGTTGTATTTGTTGAGAAAACATAACATTAGTTGTCAAAACTTGGCATAGTTGTTAGGAAAACATAATATTTTTTGTTAAGACAAATTGGTATGAATTGGAGGGACTAGTGATCTTTGTACCGTGAAATACTATCTCTATGTTGACACAACTAAACCACAATGACTCACAACAACCCGTGCAAGTAGTTCACTTTTTAAGTTGTGACAATTAATCACTTTTAACAATGTATAACTACTTTAACAAAACAAAAATGGTATCTTCATTATCCGATTATCCTGCATTACCTATCTCTCCCTGACGATGGAGGCAAAAGTAAACACTAACACATGTTGCCTTCAGGTACTGCTAGAAAAAATACTTTCAAAAGCATGAAGGGCCCTCACTGTGCAACGAAACTCTAAATAAGTTACAGGCTTCGAAAAGAAACTGAAAAACAGTAAAAAGTTGAACATACAGCTATGAGGCAAAGATCTCTTTCTTTTTGTTTAAGTGGCTTATTTTCTCAGATAAAAGAAAACAGTTTCTGTCAAAAATTTGCCATCATCTCACCCTGATTCACGTTTTTAAACATGTCATTATAGTATTTATGCATCTTAATCTTCACATAATTCTAATAACAGCTTTTGCATTATAAATAATAATTTCGGTAAGCCTTGATAATTTATGCGAATATGCAGTAAAATAATACAGTATATTCCTGTAAAAAATATAGTTATAATTAAAGTCAGTGCATTGAACCTACATTATTGTTGGCCTTCCCCTACAAGAGTACATTGTTTACAACTTATAGCGCGGATATTCTTCTTTATAATCAAACCCTTGCGATCAAATTATGTCTAAAGAAAGTTCTAGGATTTCCGACGGCTCCAGAAGGCATCAACATAAAGTGCAGGGAAGCAGTCAGTCAAACAGCCTGTTGCACGAACAAGTCAGCCAGACTTCTTACTGCAGGTCAGGAGGTACGAGCCGGCTCGTGGCGGCTGTTTGCCCGTTCATGTAACTCTCTTTTCTGAACTTTACCCATGCTAAATGTCCTGATATTTACCGTGACCCTGGACTTAACAACGATGAAGCCGAAACAGTGAGATGGAGAAAATCTCAGCAGAAGATGACTGTGTGGATTCAGGAGCCGAGACCGGAGGGTGAGTGAAGCTGAACTGCAACTGAGAAATGAGTGATTCAGAAAAAAGGACCTGAAATTATGAGGATAGTCTGACAACTTTTTCAAACACAGGGACTTTGAAAAGGGCAGTTTTAGCTAATTACAGGTTAAGTTTGTGTGGTTAAGCATTAGGTGAAATTTAAACCAATATGAAGAACTTACTGAGTTGATAATGGGTTATTTTTGTGTTGAAAAAGCAAGCTAGACATAAAAAATCATTATAAAGTGTGTGCCGAATTCAAAAGAGTCACAGAATAAAGGGACAGTTCATGTTTAAGTTGTGTATATTGTCCAGTTAGAAAGGTTATTTCTAAAATTTGGTGTTTTTCAGTAGAGGTTTGGTGACCGGATCTGATCGTACCGAACCAAACGTTAACGCGCGTGGACCAAATAAAAACAGATGGCAAACGGTTATGTAATCTGTCCATTTCGCACTTTTATCAATTTTATAAAAAATTACCGCAGTTTTTTTCTCTACATTGATGAAAATAATGTTTGTCATCATAATTATTTTATATTTCATATTGTGATATAGTATTATATTAAGGAGGTGGTGTGATCCTTATGCCTCACTGCAAAGTTAATCTTAGTCACTTAACCTAATGAGAGAACAGCCACACTATAGAGAGAGCTTAATTCATGACTGTTTTGACAACAGATAGTTAAATGACTGTGTTGTTCTCTCTGTTTTCAGCCATTAGACAAAGATGAGCCTCACTTTCTTCTCTGGTATGTCACTGATGGATGTTGTAGATCTAGAGTTGTAGTAGTAAAGGGCCTATGTCTTTGTGTGAATGTTTATGTGACAAACATTTATCCCATTAAAATAACAACTCCCAGACTCAGATCTGTTTCATGACACTAACTAACATATTCAACAAAGAAAATATGTTTGACCACAAGGTTTTCAATAACTTAGACGTGTATTTGGAAAGTATACTGATTTGGGATACTGTACGTGTAACTCATGTCCAGGTTCTTTGTCCAGTCATCATGGTCAATACCTCAACACCATGATTAGTTGTTACGATGTATGGGTATTATATTTAAATAAACTGCATTTAAATGATTCTATATGAACTAGGAAAGCAAAAAAACTGAATTTAATCAAAAAACATATATAATGAAAGTTCCTTATAGGAGCTTTAAGTATTCAAAGTTTGTTATTTTGAGTGTCATCGGTATCAAAAAAGGCACAAATTGCTCTCCTACTGAGGAGATATCCAGTTTTAACCAGCCCCCTAGATCTCTTTTGGGCCATTTGAGGGACACATTTCCAGCTTAAGTGCTTGAATGCAGTGTCTTTCTCCACTTATCATTCGTACATTAAGTAGGGTTAAGCTCCAAGTTTCTCTGTACAAACAAGCACTTATTAAGTGATTCAATGACTAGATGTGAATGGGCAAGATTCAGCCTAGGAGCTAATCTTGATGTTGATGTTGAAAGTTGTCTTCAATAACATAATAAAGTTATAAGGTCAACAAAATAAGATCAACATGCAAATGAAAATAACTAATTGTAACGCAATAAAACAATTAAAGAATTAAGGTTAAAAAAAACATTTTAAAATACAAAAACATGAAAGGATTCTGGTCTTTTTTATGTTTGAAACCTGGAAAAGTAATTTAGCAGCAGTTCCTCTTTTCTGAGTTGTTAGAGTCACCTGCAACCATGCTATTTCATTAGCCGTGAACTGGAACCAAACAGCATGATGTGTGTCTGTGTCATGGGAAAAGCAGCATATCAAAAAGCCCACTGTGAGAGGAAAAGCAGGGAGCTGATAACCAGAGAACCACCGCCTCCATCAGGTCACATCCTCCACCTTTCCTCCCTCGCTCCACTTCCTCTTCTGCTCCTGTATCCACTGTTTTTACTCATTCTCCTCTTTGTGGTCTGACCCTGCTGTCATCCATCTGTCTTTCCTCGTGATTTTTACGGCATTTCAGAACAAGACCAGGACTTTTACAGGATAAAAAACAGGATTTGTATGAAACTTTTTGTATGTGACCAATATGCTGGAACCACACTCAACAAAGGGCTTTAGTAGAGAGAAGATCTGATGGCTTCATCTAATGAGAAATGGGTCTATCGTAGGATCAGTGAGAAAAACACACAAACTGCTCACACTGTTTTTCCCCTGGTGTTGACATTTGACTTTTTTTTGTTCTGTAATGTTAGTTAATGAGATCAATATCCGATGTTTGGAAATGGGAAGTATTGACAGTAAAAATGAGAAACTTCAAGTCTAAATTTGGAATTTGGCATGTGAGCTGTCTGTACTAGGTTTCAACTGTCATCATACCCAGATCCAACCTACCCGGCCCCCTCCTAAACCAAGGATAAAGATTTATAGTAGTACATCAGACACTGTCAGTCACCTGCTATGAAGTTCAAACATTAAAAGCAGTTCCTACAAATATTCAGGCCTGATTGTGCAGAAGTTATTATGATTATCATCATTATTGTTATTATACCAATAAAATATCTGGAGTTAAGGAACTAAAATTTGTAACTTCAATAAAGGAAACTGTGTTTTTACTTTCCAACTAAACATCAGTCATCATTGTTTCTTTAAACTGTGACCTGAAGGTAACAAGACCTTGGCTGAAAAGGTGGCAGGCCATAAAATGCATGAGTTATGATTTAGGAAAGTCATAACTATGTGGATTTATCCTTTCACTACATAATCATTTCTCTATCTTTGTCTTTTTTTGTCCTCGTCTCGTCCAACCTGATTAAAGAAGAGACGAGTGAGTCTGTTAATGTTAATCGACCTCTTCAAATTTACTCGAGCACCCATCAGGTCACCCTGCAGTCAAACTCTGTGTGCATAACAGGGCTGCTGTCTGTCTTCGCCTCACTGTCTGTTTATTGTCATTGGACGGAGATGAAGCGAGGCAGCGAGGCCAGACTGGGAACGCCAGACGAGATGCTAACCGGCTCTGCTGGAGGAGGCCTGCCAAATACATATGTCCTTTGGGAGCCATTAAAACAGACCTGCAACTGCCTCCAGCTTTTCTCTATAGAGTCACCAACCATAACAGGAGAACGTTTTCTCATTTGTTTCCACATTTTGACATTTCTACTTCAGCATGTAGGGACAAATCCACAAGTTTAACTCTGTATACTTTCACTCTAACCTTCTCATTGTCATTTATGATCTATCCTGGATATTTGTCTTGTCTTTTTTCCCCTTTGCTGTACCCCATCATCTTCTCTTCCTACATTGCGCTGCTCATCTTCCTCATCCTGTCCATTCCTCTCTAATACCCGTTAGTTAGATTAATAATGTCCTGCTGCAGGAAACAGACTCGCTCCTCTGCTTCCTGCTGTCCTGCAGCTCCCGAGGCCTTATTAGTTTAGAGACAGAAGGGTCTGTGAGGAGGAACAGTGTTCTCTGGCTGTCAGCTGACTCCTTTGGGACTAATAACCTCAGGTGATGTAGTGGACACGAGAGCTAAGGTTGTCACAGACGTCTCAGGGATGTATGGCATGTGTAGGGTGCAGTTCTGTCATGTATGGACAAACTGGACAAGCACCTTGTTTGTTCACACACGGATATTTGTGTAATAGCGGAAATCTAATTCTGCCTGTCAGAGCTCTCTGATGGGAGTTTTCGATTAGACACAATTATTTCCTGATGCGAGTGTGGTCAGAACTGAGAAACAGGATCTTTTTTATACAAGGATTCAAGCTTTTATCTCTTTTTGTCATCAGTTAATCCCGTCTTGTGTTTCGTGACATGGAGGACCAAAATGGGGTGCTGACTCAGGCAGAGGTGATGCGTGCCTGAGTGAATATTATTTTCTCAGAGCTGGGCAGACGTCCATTAATTGGTTGAATTCATGAATTTGCCAAATATCATGAGACTTTTTCAAAGGAACTTTTAACATGAACGTTTATTTGAACCTTAAACTTCTATTACATCCTGTTCTTCCGGACCTTGTCCTTTCCTCAGTGCAGGATCACAGCTCTGTGACAGCAGACAGTTTCTACCTTAAGCCTACTGAGCCAAGTGATTTGTTAAGGCATGATTGACTTAGCTCTAATAGCCAGCTCTTATGTGAACAATGAGATGAATATACAAATAAAATTTTAAAATTGATTGATCCTACACTTTGTCTTTTTAGGAGCATTTTGTATTTTTCAGTGGTTAGATATTGTCGTGTACAGCAACATGATTGTTTTGAAGGTATCGATTATTGCAGCTTTGCTGGCTAGCAAATTTATCGTCATTGTGAGCCTGGTATCAGATGGCCTATCATATTGAATTATGTTGTAATGCGTTCTGTTGTTTTGTGTCATGCCATATTGTGTAATATCATATTAGAATTAAATGCTGCGTTACAGTTACCTCGGAGGTCAGATGTCAGAACTGGGAATGACACTTCACCGGAGTTGACAGCGTTAGTTAACAAGTCTGAAAACCAAGATGGACACCTACAGTTACCCATTGTTAGCTGTTGTTTACAGTTGTCAGCTGTCATTGGCAGTTATCAGCAGTTGTTAGTTGTTGTTAGCGATACCAGTTGTAAACAACGCACAACACAGTATTTTACTCTTACAAACTCTGTGTTCACAGTTAGACGTTAGGCAGTACAACATATACCACTTATTTCACCAAAACAAAACAGAAGTGCTACTAAATAATACATTACAAGAGCTTTCACTGTTACTCTTCACTGTTGATGCTCAGTGCTGCCATCTTGAATTATGACGTTGTCGTCAAGTCGGGGATGGTGAGGATTGTCCATCTTTTCGAGTTGGAAATCTGACTTCTGGGGGGCGTTCCAGATGAATTTCCGACTTGGAACTCGGAAATCCCGACTTCCGAGTACAAATAGAACACATCATTATTGTATCATATAATATCGCCTCAGATTTTGAAAGGGCAAGAGTCACCCTGTTCTCCACCTTTTGACTCCTCTCTGCAGATATCCCCCGGCAAATATTACTCATGACTAATTAATGAGTATGAAATGGCAAATCATGGGCAAAGTTTGATTTCCTGGACTTCCTGGACCCCAAAGTCCATGCCTAAGACATTGCTAGAGATGTATTTTGTGTAGCTTTCATTAAGAGATCACCAGTAATAGAATTGCATCATGTGTTTTTTTAAGTACAGATGTAATGCTAAGACATCATAATCCTAGCTTAGCATGAGGATTTGAGACAGGGAAAGCACATGGCCCAAAAATATACCTACTGAGACATGTAAAGAGGTTTGTGATGAACTGGACTTGACTGTGTTATATAGTCCTTTTTCTAGTCTTCTGACCAAGTGAAGCACTTCTATATTACATGCCACATTCACTCATTCACACCACATTCATACACTGATGGCAGATGCTGTTATGTCTAGTGCCCATCATCAGTATTAGCTAATCCCATTTACACACCTCTGGAGAGGCCAATCAGCAGGGGCCCTTATGAGGTTAAGTGATTTGGCTCAAGGACACATCAGTAAGAAGACAGCTGGACCTAAGATCAAACTGTCAACACTGAATAAGAGATGACGAACTCTATCACTGAGCCACAGCTGTCCCTGTGACTGCTCTCCAAGAGCAACAGATTATACGTCCAAAAAGTGATGAAAGTCACAGTGGAACCAAAGATCTGTCACATTCCTATTTGTGTTTTATTATTATTATTTTATGTGTTTGAAATCATGACATCGATCAACCAATAAAATGTGCAACTTGGGCGTACAAATCTGAGAAATTGAAGAAGGCTGGACAAGCTGAAAATCCTCCAGTCACAACGTTTTATTTCCCATTGATTACACAGTTGGTCAGAAGCATTTTAAGATGATGGTCTGTCAACTATTGAGCAGTCTTATTATTGACCAGATTTTGACATAAATATACAGTTACATTAAGATGTAGCCCAAGTAAATTCAAGGAAATTCAAGTCTCTGAAAACTGTCCTAGCATCAGTCAAAGCAGTGCTTGAGTTAATGTCCCCTGTGTTTTATCCCTTCACTGTGAAATGTCTGTGACCTTTCCATTTGGACCTCTCCTGCTGTTTAACCAGATGTCAGCACTCTATTTGAAATAGGAGCGTGTCATACTGTAAATCATGTCGATTGTTTTTCATACTGTAACATAAACTCCTGTCTCCTCTCTCTGTTTTTTATCCTCTCTTTCTCTTTCTCCTCCTCCGCCCTCTCCCTCTTTTTTCTCTCTCTCTTTTCTGTCATTCTCTGCAGGTCTGATTACAGTCCCTTATCCTCAACGAGCAGTAAGTACACCAACTGTGACGTGTCACATTGCCAAACACACACAGAGGACTTTATCTCCCTAAAACACACAGATAAATTCAATCCACTCACTGGGGAGGGTTGTGTTTTTGTGTTTACTTATCGGTCTTTATGACCTACAGCAGATTTTTAGAGAGGATTCATTGTTCTACAGTTCGTGGGCTTGATTTCTGAGCCACTACATGTACCAAATTCCCTGAAAAATGTATAAGCAGGTCCCATAAAATCTGGAAAACAGCTGCCACATTATGAGTTACATATCAGCCACTTGTTGATGGTCAAGAGTGCTTGAACTCTGGGGTTGCAACATGCTCTGTTTGCCGTCTTGTTGTTCTGTTTACTTAAAGTTAGAGCAGTTAAAAACGTGTTCGCAGAGGTCATGACCGCTCTCCAGCCGGGTTTCCCAGCCTTTCACAATGGGAGGATTATATCCATTATTAGCCCATTAATCTGGTCTGCAGGAAGCTGCGTTATCCCACCAACACCAACACCACACCCTGGACTCAGGGACTGTAAGACCACATATATTTACAAACAGACGCACACAGTGATGCAGCTGCGCTTGGTTTTGCTCCTTCCGATCATGTTTCCTGAGTCTTTCCTGCAGCAGATGAGCTTCAGACCCTCATTGTCTCTGACATCTGCTGAGGTCAGGATGGACAGTGAACATGCACTGGCAGATTATCAGAAAAAACACAGGAAAAAAAAGTACTCAGAAACTAGAAATACTGAAGGCTGACGTTACACTCAAGCTGGGAAACTCAAATGTCACCCTGTCTCACTGTTTTGTTAAGACTGTTGGTCATATTATCATTGAGAAACTTGGGTTTTCACCACAAGACTGAAAAACACATCGATTTATAAAACCAAGGAGACATTTTAGATGCATTTTCAGTTAAAAACCTTTTTGATACACCAATAGATATCATTGCAACACACTTAGAATTCGCTTTTAGCCAGTATCTAGCTTAAATTATGTTTCAGAAACAGTTTCATAATGCAAAAAAAAAAAAAAAAACACCTCGAGGAATATCTCTCAGTTGTGATAATACTAATTTGCAACAGGTTGGTAACATGACTGACTTTTAAAAGAGCATTCAGAGAAGCTGAGTAGGAAGAGTTTCACCACTTTGTCAGGGACTGTATCAGCAGCACACACTTCTACAATTTCAGAAAAATGTTCCTCGGTGTAAAATTTTGGATTCAGTCTCTGATGAATGATATTACAATATATACAGTATGTTATATCGTACAATGCTACAGAGAGAGCCTGTTGTGGAAGTCAGTGCATGGGCTCAAAGTCATCCCCAAAAACTATACCTGTGATTGTAATTCATCACCGATTCCACAATTGAGCGGCCTTGGGGCAGAAAGCGTGACATTTCTTATTTGTTTACTAGCGGAGTCAACAGAGAAAGAACATGACAAGGAGCTGATATTGGAAACATCTAAAACAACGTCACAGCCTGGTAAATTGAGTGAAATTCATGGTTATTTCAGTGTTTTTCTGATTTGATACAATGAAAGACAAAGTGATTTTTCAATGAAATGACATTTTATTGCAATTGTAACGGGGAGAACTTGCAAACAATACGGCATCTTCATTGATATCAGTTCACTCCGATGCAGGCTTTTGCCCCCTGGTTGCACACGCACCTAGTATTGTTTGTACACAAGAAACCAGTCTATACACATGATCCAAGGTGGTGGGCAAAGCAGGGTCTGATGCTGTGATGACATCTTTAGGCTTTATATCAGTGCTGCCTGTAAGTTGATGTATGAAAAGAAGGGTGGGAAAAATCATACAAATAGACAAGAGTCTAATCCTGGCCAAATGAGACTCCTAAATTCTTTTATTATTCAGTTCCTGCTGCAGCATCTGTAATCCTCTTTTTTCAGAATATAGAAAGCAAATACTTCCTAAATATCTAGTTAGTGCCTTTTTATTCATCCAAAACTGGTTCTGGTCATGGAAACAAACACATGCTGCAGACAGATGGGTGACACAAAAAAAGAAACAGCCTGAGTTCATTTGTCCAACTGAGTCTCACACTAATGATCACAGCAGAAAGGAAGGACAGATGGATGCCAACTGCTGCAGTGACAGATTTTTCAAAGATGTGAAAGGACAATAGGATAAGTCATCTATCTCAGCGCTGTGTGTGGCTGCTGTTTCTGTCCCCTGTGCGTGTGTGTGTTTGTGTGTGTGAGCAGGGTTGAGTTCATTTCCAAAGGTGCATGCAGCATCAGTTTCAGAGCTCGCCTCCATCCTCAGAAGTATATTTGGCTTCTGGTTTAAAGGGGACACTGATGTTTATACAGGTGGTCCCAACCCCTGTCCTTTGACCCCAGATCAGACCAGCTATAAGCCCCCCCAAAGGCAGACTGATATCAGGCTAAACCACCAACGTCAGTCTGACCGGGGTCATACTCTAATGAAGCTGCTGTGTGACAGAAACTGGAGAAATGAAACTGTTTTTTGACTGTGAGCCCATGAGTTAACTACTAAAGACCTCCACTGACGCAGTTTAGGGTGAAGCATTGAACATGTCACTGTAAGGTCGTGTGAACCTTCAAACAAACTTGACAAAGGCCTGATGCTGAGAAACCTAACGTTCCTGTCAAAGTCTATATGACCATGTTAGTAACTTCAGCTGATTCTACCTTGGCTGTAAATCTTAGTCCAGTGGTGTGGTCCAGTCATTGAACCTTGAGTCTAAACTCCAAGTCAAGTACATCACCGAAGCATACAGTTTGCAGTTTTGGGGTTACCTTGTATGGTGGATATGAGCTCATAATGAGAGTATTTGTAATTAAATTGCTCATCCAAATAAGTATAAGTGAAGCTGCACACTTTGGTTTTGTTTTAACAATAACGAATGGTAATAAAAAAAACAATAGCTGTGAACTTATTCAGTCCACTAATATTAGTGTTAAAGTCCTCATAGGTTTTACATGCTCTCCTGTATGAGGCTCTCTGAACATCTGTGTGTAAAATACAGCACTCTTTTATCTGAGGCTGCCCTGAACACATCACTCCGAGACGGTGCGAGACTATCAACGTAAATATTATATCTTGCGTTTGTCTCCCTTTCTTTGAAGTGTTCATTTTGCAACAAACACTGCTTAAATATAGTTAACAGATTAAACTGACCTGAATCATTCCAAATTGTAAAGTAAAAGTATCAATCCAGTGTCTGTAAGGCTAAGCAGAAACATAGACAATCTTTGGTTGTCTGGAAACCTGGCAACTTTGGGCAAATATAGTGATCTGATTCATGAATGAACATGGACCATGCGAACTACAGGAGATTCTCAGGAGGTGGGCGGGAGATAGGTCTGAAATATGGGAGAGTCCCGGGAAAAATGGGAGTGTTGGCAGGTATACACCAAAGAGGACTCAGAGTTGACTCCTCTTTTTCTGAAAATCTGGATGCATGGAGTCCTGCACAATTCTTTTTGCAATACATGTTGCAGCCTTGTTGCATATGGCCTTCAGACTAGATTAAGGAGTTGCTGTTTGTTATATCCGCGTTTTTCTTTTTTTAGAAATGAGAAGCATGCCGTCAAGTATAACACTGATGTGTTCTTAGGTAGGGGTAGTTTTTAAATAAAGTTTATTTACATGAGTGGGAAAGGATGTTATTGTGCAACAGAAAAAAAAAACAAGAATGAAGCTCCTGAAGCTAGGCTATTCAAGCTCATTCTTTTTTACAGAAGTTTGTGAACATTTTGAATGTCTTCTTGGACTCACTTTTGGTGTTTTTGTTGTAGCCAAAGGGTTGATTCGTAACTGGGATTAAATCTTGAGAAGTGATTTAAAAACTAATAAAGACTTTGTTATTTCTTGTAAAACTAACATTTGTATCTCTTAAAAAACTGAGGCAAAGATAACATCAATCAGGCAACAAGGCACAACATCACCCAGAATCTAGATTCAACATCCACATTGCATCGTGGCTTATATTTAAGATTTAAAGGGATATTCCGGCATAAAATAACTTAGGGTCAAACACACCGTAACATCAAGTTAGACACCCTGTCGAGAGATGAATGTTGCCGACCGCTTGCTTCTCTTTGGATACCAACTTGAGTAACGACCGCAAGATAGCAATACACAGCGGTCTAAGGAGCCATAAAAAACCTCAACCAAAAAGCCACTCTATAGCCACAAATAATGCTCAGAACAGCACCTAAATTCATCAACAGTATATATACACAGTACATTTATTTTACCCCAAAATATTCCTTTAAGTCTGAAATATTAGACATGGGTTTTATTTTAAACATCATTTGAGTCTTGAATTTAGAAAGTATTTTTTAGTCTTTCAAAGGCTGAGGTCTGTGCGTAATTTAGAGGAATAACAGTTTCAGTCCAGAACGACCAGTGAAAACTAAGGTATCTGTCTTTCATGCTCCTGTCTTCAGCTGCTGCATCTTTACGTTTTTCAATAGAGGTAAACAGGTTTTGATTCAAGAGGCTTCCACTGAGTCCCGCCTCTAAAGCCCAATCACATGACCTCCCTCTCTGTTGGTCCCAGCAGATGAGTGTCCATTGAGGCTGAGTGACCCATGACCCTGCCCCCAATGCTTTTCTGCATGTATGTGTGTGCACATATATGTAACACAGAGGGGGGTCGACTGAGAGAGTAATGAATGTTTGGGGGGCAGAAGGGGGGAAGTTTGAACTACACAGAGGTCAGACTGTAACAACAGAAAGACGCTAAGCTCACACACAAATACACTAACAGAGACATAAACTTTCATGCATGATTTGTCACACTTGAAAAGCTTGAAAATATGCCGTAGATGAATTTACAGCTTGCAGATGTAGGCTCATGAAAATTAAACTCCACAGCCAGAATCCAAAAGAGAAAAACTTGGATGAAAGATGAAACGAAAACATAAGACACTCAGGACATCCAAATTTCTAATGTAATGGTTAGCAAAACAAAGACCGTGAAATGGTTTCTTCCTGAGAAAGACAGCAGGAATGAAGGGAAGATTTCCAAAACACAGAAAAGAAAAATCATGCATCAGCATATTGAACAGTTGAGTGAGTCTTTTATACCACGGAGGTCTAGACGGGGTGGATGGAGGTGGAACAAAAGCCAGAGAGGAGCAGGTTGATCAGTCTGTCACCAGCAGATGTTTCCTCACAGAGACAAACACACTTAATGTTTCCATGAAGAATTTTTCAACAAAGTCACAATAGAGTTTACAATAACCTGTCGCTGATTTAATTTCAACGCCTTTTTAATGCTGATCTATTTTAGTTGGTGTCAACAAGTTTGAAAAATTGTAGTTTTCAGTCAGTACCAAATCCTCACTGTTTGATTCATCGTTTGATGATCAATTCAGAGTGTTTTTAACAGTGCTAGAACAGTTTGTTTATGAGCTGATAAAGGCATAGAGGGAAGTTTAACTTCCACCTACTTTGACTTGCATTCCTCACTGTACATGGACTAAATATGGGAGCACTATTTATCCAACCCAGCTGTGCTTAGGGTTCTAATGGCTGATGTGTGTTTGTATAAGTTCCACTAGTAATTCTAAATATCATTTTTTAAAAATGGTTTATGTGTATTTTGCTGAGAAATATTGAAACTAGAACTTGTGACTTACTAACAAACACAGCACAGAAGTCAAATCAAAGGATTCGTGCTTTGAGAATTATGTAGAAAATGTGTTATCTTTTTATTTTTTGACTGTTGGTTTACAGAAAAGCACAATACCACACTAGTTCTTTCATCTAATGCCTTTAATTGTTATTTGTCATGGCAGTGAGTTTTCCAAAATGTTTTGTTGCTCCATTTTCACCCGAGTCACATGAAAATTTACTTGTGGGCTGGCAGGAAAAACTGAATGTTTTTTGCATTTACACACCCACCCTAAAATTTCTGGCAAGTTTTAAGGAGTCTGGTGCATGTGCCAATTTCATCCCGTAGTGATACTCAGTGTTTGTTTTATCTTTGTGTGTCTCAAGGGTCTGCAAATGAAAGACCACCATAAAAACTTTGAAAAACATTGTTCAACTATTCACCCCTGACTATATTAGAATCTATTGGGTGACATTTCTTTGTATAGGTTTTATTTGAATTTCACATGTCATTTCAAACTGTTCATACACATTTTGCATCTTCTAAAAACCTTGGCCATGGACCTGAGATGAAGCGAGTAGTATGCAGCCAGAGTAAACTTTATCTTGTAGTGATCAAAACAGACAAATTCAAAAATTGTCTGCAGACATGTTTTGTTTTCTGTGAAGTTGTAAAGCCAGAGGAATCCCCAGTGTAGGAGAGCAAATGTGAACATGCAGCCTGTGGGAAAGTTTGGGTTGCATTGGCATTAAGTTGTCACGGCTCTGTTATGATCGTGGGACAGTTAACAGAGAGGCTGTTATCAATTTGATCAAATTAGAATCAGTAGCAGTGAAGCTTTTGTGCTTTCAGAAGCAGTTCAAGTCAGAAAAAGCCAGGGTGCTTTTGTTATTTCAGCTCAGACAGGCAGCAGAAACACGTGTGGATACGAGTCACTCCAAATCCACTCTCCAAAATGTGTCCACGGCCCTCGCTGTTCTTTATCAGGCGTTGGATTTAATACCTGCTGGTGACAGTGCAGAAGTCTGTTAAGTCTCTCTTCCTTCCTTGAAAGAATTTGAGGTCTGCTGTGGTTTTAACAGGCGCTTAGTACTGCTGCACATCACGCAGGGATGTAAAACTCATACATTTGAAAGTGGCACGCATGGAGGTGCTATGATTCATGTGGTTTTTAGTCTGTAAGTTCAGTGTTTCTGTTGTAGGAGTCGGACTGCTGTTTCTCCTTGTTTTTCTCCAGAACCAGAGATTATTTCTCTGTATGTTTACACTGGAGATGTCTTTGTTTTGATAAGTAGAAGACGACAAAGTCACTCCCAACAATTTCTGCCTACTTTGCAAAATTGTAAGTAAAACACTCGCATGTGAGACAAACAAGTCTGCACGCTGATGTGACGTTCAGTCTGGCAGGTGTTTCTGGTCTCCCTGTTGTTCTGCTGATGGTTTCGCATTAGCAGTACAATTTTCGTACACCAACCACCGAACATTACTGCCACAGTGCCATCGTCTTACATTTTTGAGGGTCCAACTTACCTAGTGTACAGAACTCCATTTTCCTTTCCTTTTGACCAGCAGCTAACACCTGACAATGACATGTCCACATACTTAAAGGCATGGTTGACGATTGGAGAAGCAGTTGAAAAAAAACTGAGCTGTAGAGGCAGATTTGAAAAAAGTGTCCCACCCCCCACACACAAACCTCTCCCCTCTGTGCTTCACGATAACTCCCCCTCGAACCTGTATTGCCCTCCCCACAACACACCCACTCTGGCAGAGCAAGAAGCCGCCGGCAAAAGATCCTATGTTAGCTTCAAATAGGATTCACCATGTCAGATTGCTAGTGAGTAGCTGCAATAAACGCCAGCTCTGTTAGCGAGTACTGTCTGCAGCTGCCTGGACAGTTACCGTGTTGACATTGCAGAGACTAATAAGAGTTATTTATGTAACATGTGCCATGATAAAAGGCAGAAATTACCCGTTCAACATAAACTCTGCTGTCTTAGTGTCTGTTTTCAGGCCCAAATCCTGGCAGAGCTTTCTCCACCGCTTTAAGGATGACTCAATGTTTATTCGAGTTAGATCCCTCGCTTGGTCACGTTCCATCTGCGACTCTGCCCTTACCAGAAGTGGTATTTTCATATCCGTCTCCATCACAGCTCCTGTAGCTAAGCTGCTACGCTACTTTTAGCTGCTCAGAGCTCTGAGGAGGGCCAGGAGAGTGGGAGGGGACGAGGCGGAACTATGGGAGAGTTGTCGAATACAGCGAGATGATTGGATGGAGAGGCGGAGCTGGAGATTTACCAATCGGAGCTGTCTGGGACGGATGGCTCCCATTGGTCAATGTTTTCGCAGCCCTGCACCTCCTAGGGTGAACAGATTTTTTCCGTTCTTTTTTCTCTTCACCTTGTGGAGATCGTACTTTAGGACCATGATCACCATATAAACGAGGTTCATAGTAATTACCAATCTCTCCAATCATCAACCATGCCTTCAATAGAAACAGCACCACAAAGACAGACGAGGTGCACAAACACTTTACATCTGGTCATAGATTTTATATTTAAGCAGCAGTATTATTTGAGAATAAGGGAACTCATGCCTTTGTTATTTTCAGATGTCATGGTTGACTTTGTTTGACGGTTAGTTGGTCATTGGATTGCATTACTGTGTTCCAGTTTGGCTCTGACAATACTGTTTACACTACAAACAAAACCAGTTGCTGCACCCACGGTATTTTTATGCATGCAGACTGAAGTTGCATTATTACGTTAGTTATATTTTGTGAATCTGTTCTGATCACTGTGATTTCTTAGTTTGCGTATGTTTTGGCTCTTGTGCTTGTGCTGTGTAAGTCTAGCTCTTAAAAATACATCATAACTTCTGCAAAAGTCAAGACTGAGTGCAAAAAGATTTTTTAACCTTAAATTTGAAGTATAATTCATAGGATTTATTCTTGGTTACATGCTGTATCATTTATTACACCTTGATTCAAAGTGAAATTCGATCATTCGCTACCTTTTTCCTCTCACCGGCATCGACTTTCATTCACATTTACACCCAGACGCTCTGGAAGATGATGACGCACTCGTCTGTGTAAAGTACACCGCTGAGTGTCCGTTCTCATGCCAAACCACTCTCTGTGATGTTCGCCAAGACAATTTCAGCACAGTCGGTTTGAATCGCACCTGATGGAACAAGGACCACCCATTAAAGCTCAGCAGACACCAAAGCGCACGCTCAGACTCCCTTTGCCGTCTCCCATGTTGATCATAGGGTATAAGATCCGGGCTGTGCCATAAGGCAGCCTGGATTAAGTGTTACCAAATGTGCTTCTCTATAGAAACAGTGTTGGACAGAAATCTGTGTTTGCAGCTGAATTTGCTGCAGTCAGCTGTTTGTAAACGCTTTAATTGAAGTCATTTGTCTGTCAGTCTTTTTGGCCCTTTATGGTAATGAGTTTCTGAGTGAGTGCTTACTGAGTTCACGTTAAGTGCAGTCTGTGAAATACTTATCTGCACTCAAAGCACATTGAGTTTATGATGAAACGATTGCAAGGATTGAGTCTGAGGTTTAAAGTGAAGGTTCTTTTTACCTAGAACCTGACGCCAGAGCCGTTTTAACACAAAGGTCAATATATATTTTGCCCAGTGAGCTCTTAGTTGTGGGTTTGTCTGTCAATTTATCGAACCCCAAAGTTCATCTCAGTGGATCCAGATTCCTCAGGGCCAAACTGCCTCGTCTTAAGTCTGCTCAGAAACCGAAGGTCACATAATTTGCATTGCACTTGAACCAGCTCTGCAGTGACTCTGGTATCCTTACTTAGCCTCCTGATTTAATCTTGTCCTTCAACAATCTGTCGTAATCCCTCTAATTCAGAAGTTTGAAAGCAGCAGTGGTTTCATACTGTGTAATAGTTGCCAAGAGTTTTAGCTTTGTCCTCTTTGAGATTGAAGCATTAGCAGAAATCTCATTTTACTGTCTTGGAGCCTCTGTCATGCAAAACAAACCTGATCTAAAGACTAAACAGAGTATTTTTTCTTATTCTACTTATTTACTGTTTATCCTTATCTTCATTAAAGGCACTGCGAGGAGTTTTTAACTGGTTTATAATTTCACTGTCGTTATTTTTAACGCTTTCAACCATCTTAAAGGGGGAAAGTTTCAGATCAGATTATGATAGCAAGCTTGAATTCACAGTTTTTGCACCTTTTCCACAGCACTGCTGAAAATATGAGATTTAGGTCAGGAAATATGAGGTATCATTATGTCCACAGGGGGCGCCAGCATCATCACAAAGCTCCTCTCAACAGCTGTAAAGGCTTCATGTCATACGCTTGTATAGATTAGATATTATATAACTATCAAAGTTGTAGGGCCTGACTCATTACACTGAAAGAATCACATCTGAGCATGAAGAAACATGATGAGCGAACTGTTGCTGCATCTTTATTTGATTTATTTTGGTCTTATAATCAGTGTTTGAGAAATAATAGACTATTAAATGAAGGTGGTTCTCGAGTTTTATTCCACCTTAAACTGCTAATATTTTAGAGCTTTGCCAGTGGGCATAGTGGAGCATTAGGCAGCTTAAGAGGCCACTATTTTTATGAGAAGTAAATATTAGATTTTGAATCAACAGGTGGTCATTAACCTTACTTTAATGTTTTTCCCTTCGTGGCTTATATAAAGAAATAATCAACCTTTGGCAAACAAGACAGCCATGTTTTTTAAATCTTCTATCTGTGTCCAAAAGTTACAGTTACCATGGTTTCCAATTGCTTATACTTTTCCTAGAAAAACACAGCTTAGAACCATCTAAACTGGAACAAAAGTTTCTCAGTAGATATGTTTTTACTGAACATAAATATTAAAGTCATTTACATTTTAATTTCCTTGGTACCATCAAACTGAAGCATAAATGTTGAAACTAAAATCGTTTCTTCTTTTCTTCTCTTTGCGAGACGACAAAGAGGGGCCCTCTGCTTGAATTTCCTCTTTGTTTTGACTTACACTGAGGGCCAAGCTATAGCTAAAGCACTGCCTGCTGTACTTACACACACACTCACACACACACACACTCAGAGACCTTAGTTGAATTTTCGCTGTTAATCACTCTCATATGTGGCGGGGCCTCTATAAGGCGTGTTGTTTTATCTCACGTCATCATTGGTGCATACGGCCGCAGCCAGCATGTGTTGTGGGTTAGCACTTAACCACAGAGCAGAGCTAAAAGTCTGGGAGTATTAGAGTACACAGACCTGTGTATGAATATTCAAATCGATTTGGTGTGCGTTCAGGACGGTTGTGCGCATGCATGAGTGTGTATGCAGTCAGCAGAGTCAGAACCTCAGCTTCAGCTCAAAGACTCGAGTGGATTAAGAGCTTAGGGACACACTCCTCAGAGCTTTACACACAAACCCCCTTCAGTCCCCGCACAGGATCGGGGTGACTTAACCTCCAGTTTATTCTGCTCTGTGCCAGATTCCCCATAGTCATTACTGCTATAGGAAAACATTACCTTGAATGAACATATGACGTATTTCTATGGGGAGGGTCTACAAGAAACCCTCCTCAGGATCATGTGAACATAGTTTGAGTAAGATTTCTGCTGAATTTATGACAGTTTGGCATTCAACCGTCAGTATGCCCAACTACGGGAGAAGATACATGGCTGTTAATGGTGGTTTTTTTTTTGCCTTTTAGAGGATTATGTGTTAAACTATAATATAAAGATGGTGGGTAGACTTTAAGTAAATTCTCTTTGCAAAAAGTCTGGCAAAAATCAAAAGTCCTAAAAGTTAAGGTGGATGAGAAGAAGTGACGGGCAAAGCAAAGGATCAAGAAAAGAGCTTCTGATGTTAAAATGCTGCAACCACTACAACAGGGTGGATGCAGTCTCAGTAACAGACAGCCAGTATACATGTGCATTTTGTCAATACTGTAAGTCTGCTTTTTGTCTCTAGTCTGTCTTGTTGTGTTTTCTTTGTACTTCATCTCATATATACTCATATGTATATACTTATACTTACTTATTTACATCTTATATGTACTCCATCATATTTCCATACAGCTGACGTGCTTCTAAAGAGCTGTAAAGATTGTCTATCAAGCTAAAATACACTTTTTGGCTACCATGGTTTGAGGTTCAGGGCGACTTGAAGGTACACTTGTGGTAGGAATTTCAAAATAAAAGACGACACTGTTTAGATTTCCCATCAAATTTTTGGTATCATTGGTCAGTCATTCGATGGCTCGGTCCAGATTGATGGATGTTACACCTCTGACATGCAGTAAACACACAGTTTTTGTTTGCAATATCCCAGCAAAGATGCTAAACAAGTCTTACCCTTGACAATAAGAAAGATATTGTCTGATATTTTTGTCATTAAGTAGAACTTTTAAAGCAAAGACACAGTCTCACCAGCATCACCCATCTGTTTCTGAATTGGACATTAGAGGATTTGGTTTTTTTTTAACTCATCTACATTGGTCTCGTTTTTCAGCACTGGACATGTCTGCTATGTGGAAGCCTGCCTGGGGGTTTTGTCTGAACACAAACTTAGATTTCTCTCCTACCTGAGTCTCATTGAGGTATGCAGCAGGTTTACCAATGGCTTTGGAGAGATGGGGAGGCATGAAATGAAGAACCAGAAATGTAGATGGTGAAATTGAAGAGCAGACAGTGGAACTGAATTAAAGATAGAGCTGAGATATTTGGATAGAAAGTGGAAATCTTTCACTCTGGGCTCTATCTCCTCATTTGCTGTTTCCTATGTGTTGTTTTTCGTGGTGAGTTTCTTCTCCTCAGGTTCAGACTCCTGAAAAAGGATCCTGTGAGAAGTACGTAGGTGTTGCTGTGGAGAACTCAAGCTGCCTCTGTGACAGGACAATAGGCTCGCCAATAAATTCCCTCAAAGATCCTTCTTATCCTTTTGTTTGGTGGTTTGATGCAAGCTACAAATTAAGAGGACAGACTTTGGACCTAATGGGATCAGGCTTGGTTTTTGTGTGTGGGTGTTTGTGTCCATGTGTGTTTTTAAGGATGCCTTGGCATGGACTTGAAACCTGCTGTGGATTTCTCTTGATCCTGCTTTGATTATCTGATTAGACAAACAGAGTCACACAGGGACAGCTGAGGTCAGAGTTTGAGGTAGAAACCGTTTTATCAAACAAGAATTGGATGTTAAATCTGCTAAAAGAATTTAATATCTTTCCAATAATCTTATCAAATCTACTTTAACTCACATGCTGCAACCAATTAGGTTTTGGATACTGGTCAAAGAAACTGGCTCCAAATTCATCAGTGAGTTAAATTTTAAATCATGTTACTCAGCCTCAATCTCTGCTCGGATTTTCAATATCTCACATTTGAGGTTTCTGTTCCAAACACAGAACATCTACTGCCACAGGGAGAATCTGATGCTTTTTAGAGGTTTCCATATTTTTTCAAGGACAAGAGATCTGTTTCAAAGATTTCCAAACTTCAGAAAGGTGCTTGTTGTTATTATTTAGATAGATTTAAAATCAGAGGACTCACAGTCATAATATCTGAGGTCTTTAGATCAAGCCAGGCTGTAGCTTGGATTAATTCCAAGGGCTGTGACACTAAAATGCTCCACTACCCTGATGGAAACGCATCTGCAAGGGGGCAATAAGGTGACAGAGCTAGCTCTGCTAGTGTTAGCCTCAGTCTGCAAAACAATTCAACATGTTTACATTAAGACTCTGTGATCTCGAATTTAGCTGTGCTGAGAAATTTGTTTGTTTTCACATTTGTTTTCTTATCATTCCAGTTGTAGGTTGGTCAAAATTCAAATTTCGTTAAAACAGCTCTGAGATCAGTCACTTCAGAGCATCCCTACCTGTGTGTTTGGGTAGGTGCAGAACAGCAGACTAAAGGAAAGGCAGGATGAGATTACTGAATATTTCTTACACATGTCCCTGAGGAAATCGTAAAAGATAATACATCACTTTGTCCTCAGGGGGCGCCAAATTCAACAAAACAAACGGCCCTTTACAGGGAGTTTTAGATTGTCCCATCAGTGACATTTTCCTCGTGTCCCAGAGGTGAATGTTTTTCTACACCTTCGACAGTCACCTTCACACAGTGTCTCTTTGTAAACTGATCCGAACATTCAGAAAATGTCACCTCTTCGGTCCGGTAGAAAATGCCCTTCAGCAAAGGCCAACAGGACTCATGAGAGGGAACCCTGTCCCTGTTTAGCCTCTCTGTTTCATGGAGGGAATCTGGCAAGAACCGAAAATCTCTGCTGTGCCAGGGACAACAAGTCTGTGTGCCCGACGGTGTGCCCTTTCCAAAGTGCTAGAAAACAAGAGACGAAATGGGACAAGTCCCTGGAGAAGTCACAGAAACTCTGTAAGAAAAGTGCTCCAAAAAGCAAATGAGGGAACATGGAGATGAGGAGATAGAGTATAAGTGTGTGTTGGGGGACATGGTCGAGTGAAAACCCTGGCTTGTATGTAGTTTGACAACACTTCAGTGGTTTTGCAGTACCTGTATCAGGATTTCAGGCTTCTCCTGGTCAGGGGTTCAGAGGAAGGCTACACCTGAATGCATCGTTCCTGCTGTGGTCTGGAACATTCCTCTGGGCTTCAGTAATGACCTCCTAATGGCACTAATGAGCCTCCGCAGAGGAGTCCGGCTCCACATGGGTCTGATGGAGAGGAGGGGGGGAGAGGGAAGGGGGGAAAGGTAAACATAGAAATTGGGGGAAAGATGGAGTTAGAGCCGGAAGAGTGTAAAGGAGAAGGCTGGGAGTGGGAGATCTGTGGTGAAGTGAAAAGATTGAAAAACTTGAAGCAATAAACCAAGTTAAGATTGAAATTGTTTAAATGTTGGAGAGAGACTCAGCGTTCCTGGGAATACTGAAAAATGAAAAAGGAGCGCATGGTAGAGAGTTAGTGTAGAGTGATAGTGTTTTTATTATTCAAGAGGGAAACTGAGTGTCACCTCACTGCAAGAAGGTCCTCTGGTTCTGGGGCTTTTCTATGTGGTGTTTGCACCTCTCCCCATGCCAGCGTCCTTCCACAGTCCAAACGCTTGCTTGCAGTGAGGCAGCAGTAGCTCAGGAGATAGTGCGGTTGTCCATTAACTGGAAGGTTGGCGGTTCAATTCCCCCCTATCCTGTCCGTTGTATCCTTGGGCAACACATTTAACCCCCCTTGCTCCCAGTGTGTGTCCTCCACTGGTGTATGATTGTGAGTGTTGTGTGGTGGTTGTCGGAGAGGCCGTAGGTGCAAAATGGCAGCCACGTTTCTGTCAGTCAGCTGTGACCACTGAGGTACTTTACCACCACCAAAGTGTGACTGTGTGAGCAAAAGAATGATGTATCCAATGTAAAGCTCTTTGAGGGCCTCTGATAAAGCGCTATATGAAATCTGATGCATTCTTATTTATTATTGAGTCCATTAGTCACTTTGGATTTCATGTAGATGTGTCTCAATGTTTGTCCACAGACTGGCCTTGTGATTGGCTGGTCCCAGACTGCCTCTTGCCTAGTGTTGGCTAACATAGGCTCCAGTCCCAATACCGCCAATGGGAAAAAACTAACTCCAACAAACAATGTCAATTTTGACATGTCTGTTAGATGCTTTTAGAGAATCAGAACATTGAACCGTTTTCTGAGTTTGTTTTTTAAAGTAAATGGTTTCATGTTTTCTGCATCTCAAAGTCTCTGTTGAGTTTTTTTTTTCTGTTTCCAGATCAACAAGCTGATTATAATAACATATTTTCTTCTTCTCCTTTCTCTCTTTCTGCTCTGCCTGCTCTCTTTTGTCTTGCTGCTGTTGTATGTGGAGGTGAGTTATCCATGGGCGAGCTCCAGGACCCCTTCCTCGTCAGTGTCCACCTCATTGCAGACCCCGGTCAGGGGAACTTCCTTCAACATGCTGCTGATGCCGTCCTGGCCTGGGTGCACCCTGAGCTGCAGCTCTTCAGAGTCTCAGAGCGTGCCTCCATCTCCCAGCGACCCCGGCCCAAACACCAGCAAAACGGCCTCCCAGAAGTAGCCTGCCAGCCGGCTATGGCAGTCATCCTTTTCCTCCAGGAGGGTTACGGGGGCGAGGAGCAGATTCTGAAGCTGCACCACGCTCTGCAGAAGCCACCATGGCGCTACCACCACACAGAAAGAGTCAGCAACGGCCGACGGATGCTACCTTTGACACCATGCAGTCAGGACTTTTTCACTCTGTCTCCTGGGACGCCACTCTGGGCTGTTCGTCAGGTGCATTATGGGAAAGAAATAGTGAGATTTACAGTCTACTGCAGACATGAAAACTATGTGGACATGGTGCGGCTTTACAGGCTGCTGCTCCAGAGGAGGGTAGCGCAGAAAAAGGAGGACTTTTGCTTCTTTGTGATCTACTCAAACCCAGAGATGGAGATTCAGCTGTCGTTTAAGAGGCTCCCACGAGGAGAGAGTCCTGTGGTGCTGGACTCAGCGGTGATGGAAGTGAGGGTACGAGATGTGGGGGCCCTGGTGCCTTTGCTGCCACACCCCTGCAGCCCCATCAGTGAGGTCCGCTGGCAGACGGAGGATTACGATGGAAATAAGATCCTGCTGCAGGTGAGAGGGCTTTTTTAAGATCCTATGATCCTGCTTTATTACCTGCTAAAGCTATTGAGACCGCCACCAACAAGACTAATCATTTTACTTTGTGTGGATTTTGGTGGTGGCTGTGTACGGAGTGGTTTGTTTTCACTTTTTGCCTGTTCAGAAAGAGTTGTTCTCTCCCTATCAGAAAAAAATCTCTCCCTTCTTTCCATAAACTTTGGAAAGTATTGCTCCTCGTTTCCACTTGTGCATGTGACTGATGTCTGTACATAAACAGATGGGAGCTCCAGCGTCCAATGCAAGGAAGTGCATTTCTTTAGGGATGGAAAGAAACCATAGGAGCCATGGGGAGAGGCTTGTACTTCTGACTGAATCTCAAACCAAACTGATGAACAAAACCTGGAGAAAGAATAAAAAGATTAGCTCTCTGAGATTAAATCATGACTTTAAACTCATTATTTGGAAATTGAAGTTATAATTCAGATCTAAACCTCATAATTACAAGTTCCTGCTCAATCATGAAGCTGGATCACTATGTTCCTGACTGATAAGAGGCAGCAGGTGAGGCTGGGGAACATCACATCCAGCACCCGGACTATCAGCACTGGTGCCCCCCAGGGATGTGTTCTCCCCCCCTCTGCTCTCCTCCCTTTACACTGTACCTCAGGATCTGTCAGACTCATGAAGTTCACAGATGACACCACAGACATGGTGATGAGTCTGCATACAGACGGGAGGTGGATTAGATAATCTCAATTCAGTCTTTAGTTTATTATCTTCAAACTCAAGGCTTTAACATTGAATTCCTCCCCAAATCACAAAAATGGAGGTTAATCTATAGATTTACAGGATAAGTGGTAAATGGTCCATGAATAATCTTATGTAACATGTTTCCAGGCTTAGGACTCAAATCGCTTTGAACTACATGCCATTCAACCCATTTACACACAGTTATTTACTCATTCATACACAAACTCAAACACATGGGGGATTAGTGGAATACCTGCTTTATATTTAGAGCCACAGTAGAGCTTATTAATGTCTTTTTATCATTATAGTGTTTTAATTTTTTTTTACCTCTGTTCTGAGTTCTAATGCTTCAGGCCCCAAATTGCCCCAAATTGAAAAGATTCTGTAACTAAAATCAACAATTTTATAAAAAGACAAAGTAGCACTGTGCCCCTTGAATTTGAAGCCACTTCAATCCATCAATCGAGTCATAAATGTGTCAATCAGCATCCATCAGGCTGTAAAAAGTTTGCATGTACAAGTCTGTTTCACTGTAACACTCATTATGTAAGGATGTAAGGACACACACACATGCATATTAGTCCTGGTGTTGAGTGTATCACTTTCAGAGGAGATGTGTGTCCAGGTTGTGGCAGATTAAAGCAGATTAAAGTAGAAGTCCATTACTGGGATTGAAACAGCAGCGAGGGAAACGATGAGCTAATCTATCATGACAATTGAACATATGCATGATGCTAAACTGCCACCTGGACTCAAGTCATGGGGTCCCCTACATTGTGCAAACATAATATCTGATATCTTATAGACATACAACAAAAGTCGATAACTTCAATAAAGTCTGTGAACTTACTATCACTGAAGGATAACTTTTTACAGTAGATGAGAGGTGTCCGATTTATCCCTTCTTCACTCACCTTCAAAGCAGGTAAAGTTGTCGCCGTTCTGCTTCTAGTGTAGTTTGATGCAGAGACTGGAATCAGGATTATTCAGCCAGTGAAATATGAAAGTAATGCAAATCTTTATGACTGAACAGACAACGAGGAAGTGTATTTCCTAAAATCTGAAGCTAATCCTTTAAAATACTTTTAGTATGTTCCACACTTATCCTGGAAATATTTTTATTATTATATTATATTATACTATATTAAAGTGAAGGTGTTAATTAAGAGTTCACAATTAAAGGCAGTACCTATGAAGTGATGAGAAAATAATCCTGGAGCATTAAATAGGAAACTGAATGCTAACTTTCACGGATCAAAGTTAAAGGTCGATTGGGTCGATACAGTCCACAACAGAACAGTTTATTGTGTATGTGTGAAGCAGAAACTCACACTTTTAGAGCTCAATAACTTTATGTCTGCCATTTCTGTCTAGGTCTAGGTCTACCTGTCATCACTTTAATGCAGCTCCTCACTTGAACCCAAAATGACTTGACCAGTCTTGGTTTTGTCAGTATTTCGCTCTAGTCTGAGCTGAGACAGGTGCAGCTGAGTAGTATCAGATGCTGACTGCAAATGACTGGATGCCATGGCAACAGTGTTTGCTTTCAGATAGAGATGCATTTGTATTTTGACCAACATAATTGGTATATGTAGTGAAGGGTGTGGCTCCAAAGACTAAACCTTGTGGCACACCTTTAGTCATGTCATGGTGATGATTTCAAATGTCCTTGTTTTTCTAAAACAGTCTAAAACAAGCAGCCAGAACATGGGACCAAAGCATTTGATTCTTGAGCTGGAAAACTGACAGAAACGATGGAGAAGTTTAAAAAATGATAATTAACTGAATAATCAAAGGATCAGATTAGGGCTGGGCGATAAAACGATAATATCAAAAATTAATTTCCCTCAATATCGATATGAAACATGGTTGATATGCTTTTCAATAATCGGCATTCTGCCATGTTTTGGTAGACTATAGAAAAGCCAATAAACATGAATGAATGAAATGAATAAATGAATGACACAAAGACCTCACAGATGCTTGAATTTCATGTAAAAGTAACAGGGAACATTTAGGATTGAAAATAGTTTTTTTTTTTTTTTCATATCATGATTTATTTCCATATTGACTGATGTGAAAAAAATATATATTGTGATAAACTTTTTCCAATATCACCCAGGCCTACATTAGACACAACATCCAAACATCCAGAACTTGACTACAGACCAGAAGAATAATCACATTTATGAACCTTAATAACACGTCCTCCATAGTTGAGGATTAAAGGTAATTTGTGGTGTTTTTAGCCCGCAGAGGTCACGTCTCTGGCTGACCTGGCTTATCCCAAGATAACCACAGCTTTCAAGAATAAGGGTCTGATCATCACCATGTCAACAGCCTCATTACCCAGCACCCCCTGCTGTGGCTCCTCTCTGTCCCTGTAGCATGTTGTCCTTGCAGAAAAACTGAATGCATCCTGTCATGTTATATTAGCTGATGCTTTCACCCAAACGTGCGCAGAAATAGCTTCAAGAAAAAAAACAAATGTGTGTCGCTGACCTGCTGTATCTTTAGGATCATGAATCACTAACACACACATGCACAAACTCATCCTGGTTCAGCCTCCCTCATGTGTCATTAAGGTTTAAATAACAGCAGCAGACAGCGACACTCATCATCTTTTTCTTTCCTGTGCGGGGGGAAAAAGTACAAAGCCAAGTACAAACTAAAAGTAGAAAAAGAAAGATTAACAGAGGGGAGAGAAGAAAACACTTGGGTTTTTGTTACACTCTTATAACATTTTCTCCAAACTCTCTGACACATTTGCTCATTCATCTTTGTGAGGGTTCATGAGAACAGTAAATCCTCAGACCCAGGACTGAAGTTTTAACCTGCGTTATCAACTTGCAATCTTGTTAACAAAACATGAGGAGGGGAAAGGAAATGAATGAAAGTCAAATTTTAGTCTCTTCTAGTTTTATTTTCGGTCTCAGTCTGCTAGTAAAGGAAAGATTAAGCCTTTAAACACTCTATTGTTTTTCACCACCTGGTTTCTATTCATGTCTGTTCGGATGCTCAGCAGGTACAGATCTTGGCTGTAGTTTTAAAAAGAGCTATTAAAGTACTGGGTCAAAGAAAAAAGCAAAGATGAGATCCAGAAAGTGAAAAACAGACCTTAAATGAATCATCAAACTCCATAAATGTGATGAAAACTGCAGGTACTGGTTATTTTTCTTATTTAATCTGCTAATACAACAACCATAGAGTAACACAACCTGTCGCTGTGACACAAACACACACCAACTCGCAACTGTTGCCATTATCGCTTCTGCTTTTCGATCTAATTCTTTATCAGTTTCTGTTGATTTTCTGTGTGGAAAAATAGGCCTATATGAGGTTTTCAGAATCAACTTATCAGAAATACAACCTCTGATCGGTCAACAGACCTAAACAAAGGTCTAAGAATAGACTCTGATCTTCTCTATGGGATTTAAACAAGTGTAGCCAAACTTTTGACCACTTGAGGTCATGCGGTCTGCCATGATCCTCTTCTCACAGCTTTGTTTACTTACTATGTCACAAGTGAATTCCTGTTACACTGACGCAGCAGATCCTGGCAGATAAGTCCAACTTGATGTGGACTACAAAACTCTTTTAGATAGGTTAAATGATACAAGTGTCAGTAAATGGTGGGGGAAAAAAGGCCAAGGTTATGTAGCATTGTTAGTTTTACAAGATTCAGTTTTTTCAGTTTTGAGTAAGAGATTTGAAGTTGAAGTTTTGCTCTGTTAAAATAATTCAGTTGAGTCCATCAAGATCAGCAGGATTATTTATTTAATGTCAGAAATACAGACATCAGCTGTTCCCTGCTCTGGTTTTAGTTTGTCATGAGGATGTGGTAAATCACGGTTCAACTCCGCTCAGGAAACTTTAAAATTTGCTTCTATGATATTTATCGTTTTGAGCCTGAACATATGGAAATCTGGAAACTCCCCTCCTTCCCCGTACTCTTGAAAATGATTGTCTTGAGGCTGCTTTGTGGAAAGTTAATGCTTCTGCTGCTGGTATTGTTTGGTAGGAAAAATGGACGACAGAGAGACAAGAGAACAGAAACATGGAGAAACTATCAGCATGGAGACTCAGAGAGAGGAAAAATAAATGGGAATCTGAACCATCAGAGCATTAAAATGAAAACTGCTGCAGCTGCCTTACATGCTGTAAAAAGAACATTTCCACATTTGTGTCAGAACAGAGGAGCCTGCCATATTTCTTTGTACCTTGTAAATGATAATCAGACAGTAGATTTGTGGTGCAGTGAACAGCACCGAACAGCAGTGTCTGTGTTCTGAGCAACATCAGTCTATGAATGGAGGCGTGACACACATGGGGTTTCTCCGGACTCTGATGACTTCTCCAGCTGCTGGTGTGATTTATAAAGTGGCCCGGCCGAGAACAGGGGGGCGTGTTGGGCCTTTTATAAACCCCAGGGTTCCCTGGTCCTCTTTTCTCCTTCACTTTGTGGTCTGTATGTAGCGTGAGGAGATTTGGGTTGCATTAGAGTCCCACAGGGAGAGCTGAATGGCCCTGACTCTGCACCATTTTTCTCAGTTTCCCATCTCTTTGTACGCCTTGAAAAGTTAGTCAAGTGTAAGGTCAGGGGGTTACAATGAACCTTTATTTTTGAAAAAAGACAAATTAAAGGTAACGAACTTTACAAAAAAAAAAAAAAATTCAATCAGACTGCTTTTTATTAAAAATGTCAAGACCCAAGCAAAATATAGTTTGACATAATGGGATTGATAAATTTCCAACAAAAGCAAAATTCACAAATTAGGTAATCCCAAATCACTTTGACCCCAATCATGGCAGAAACATAGACTTGATTCAGGCAATGCAAAATGTTCACAGATTTAAAAATGGCAGCAAAGAGATTCAAAGTAACGCCAACGACTGGGTACATTTTGAAATCCTCTTCTACAGCTATTTATGGCCAAAACTAAACTATCTAGTGCTTAATGCCAGGAATGGGTGTATTAAAAACAGCTACACTATAACCATCATAAATGTATCCCTCTGTTTCTCTCGACTTAGAACTTTGCTATCTCTTCTGGTGTTGCCCAGGGTTTTTCTCCGGTTCTGTTTGTCATCTTTCTACTTCATTTTGGCCATTTCTGTTGTAAATTTAACACCCTGTTCACCTTTCCTCCTAACTTATCTCCATCTTCCTGCCCACTCCCCACTCTGAAATCAAATCCTTGCTCTTTTACAACTTTACAATTTCTCTATTATTAACCATGCATGCAGGATTGCTCAGTCACAATATATATGTTTAGAATATGATGGATTTGATGTACACAGACACCACAATTCTGTTATTATTTCTGCTGCAAAAAAATCATTACAATTCCAATAAATGGTGCTTTCTGAGACTCAATCTTGAATATTAAGAAGGGAAATGAGTGCTATTCAGAACATTCAAAAGCTTCTTACAAAAAGGCTTTCTGGACTCGAGTGTATTTTGTTGTTGGATTCCTGAAATGCTTCTACTACCTCTGTGCTAGCTTATGAAGATTTTACATGGCAGGATTTGATTGTGAGAACAAAAACTTTACATTCAGTTTAATTCCTCTTAGATTAGCCTGTTTTCATGCTCAGTGGCTTAGTTTTGTGGAGCATGTAGAGAAACTGTAGGAATGTTCAAACACAACCGTTTATTACTGACTTTCTATTTTAAATAAATCTATGAATATGACGGCTACAAAACAGATTTTACCTCCTATGAAAAAAAAATGTTATTCTGACTTCCTTGAATTACCGTTATTGTGTAGTTCCTCTTCTGCCAATAAAGTTAAAGGGATGTTCCGGCATAAAATTAATTTAGGGTCAAACAAAGGTCTCGCTACAAACAAGCAGCTGCTGGAAGAGAGTGGGTGAGTTGTTTTTAGTCTCTCTGCTAAAGAAATCAGGCAAAGTTAAAAAGATTTTTGTGTTAGGTTTAGGGTTAGGGTGGCTAGTGTTACGGTTGAGACCCTATATGTACTGTTGACGAAGTTAGGTGCTGTTCTGAGCATTATTTGTGGCTATAGAGTGGCTTTTTGGTTAAGCACGTGGCTCCTCATACTGCTGTGTATTGCTATCCTGTGGTCATTACTAAAGTTAGTATAACTAGAGAAGCAAGCTGTCGGCAACATTCATCTTTCGATGGGGTGTCTAACTCGGTGTTACGGTGTGTTTGACCCTAAATTAATTTTACGCCAGAATATCCCTTTAAATTCTAACTGTACAGTCTGATTCTAAATGGTTGTCTTTTCTGTTCAGATCCAGGGCTCCTACTTCAAACACCAAGGAGAACCCTTCTACATGTCCTCCTCCATCCCTGAATCAGCCTCCGCTCCATCCACCATCACCCGCAGCTCCTCATCGTCCTGCAAGAACCGTAGACACCATCACCACCGGTCTACATCTCGTCCCAGAGTCCACCAAACTTCTCACGGCTCCCACCCTCTGGTCTTCAACGAGCTGGACGAGGAGGCACAGTGGACTGACCACCACCACCCGGACAACTGGAGGTCAGGGTGGAGGGGCCACAGATCTGGATCCCTTTTCTCCCTACCAAACCTGGGCTCAGGCAGCTCCCGCTCCACCTGCTCCTCTCCCGGTCCCTCCTCCAGCCTCCATCACAGGAGCCACTCCTTCAACAGACGCTCCTCTCTGATTCCGCCTTTCAGGCTGAATGTGGACGCTCTGGTTGGGGCAGAGGAGACAGATGTGGACACAGGGGACAAAGTGAACTCAGACAGCAGTGTGGATCTCACAGTGGTGTCTGCGTACATCAAATCCAGCCTGCCACAGACTCCTCGGCCTACTTCAGCTCAGTCGGAGGACTTTAAAAGCATCCCTGAGAACTTTAACAGACCAAACTCACTGAGACGGACTCCAAACAGCTTCAGCAACAGCAGCACTCCCTCCACCCTGATGGGGTCACGCCTGAACAGCCCGAGTGCGAGCTCCGGTGCTGCTCTGTCTCTGAGCGACATTTCCATATACCACTCTGACAACTGCAGCCTCATCAGCGCTCAGATAGAAGGAGCAGAAGAGAAAACGACAGAGGAAGAAGAATTTTACATTTGAACCTGAGAGGACTCACTCTGGCCAGTACTGACACAGCTCTACTCTGCCCCCTGGTGGTTAATCTGGAGTGAAGGAGGGACTTGTTTTATGTTTGTAACTGTGGATGTTGCTCTTTTTGCATGTAGATGTATGCTTTGAAGCTGTAAATGTAAGGTAATGTATGGAAAAATTATTACACATATAAAGGGTAAAATCACAATACTATGTTCAGATGAGTTATCAGTAAATTTGTCTGTCACAACATTTTATACTTGTATTTTTTAAAGTTATGACTACTTGTCGCTGTCAGTCTTTTTGGTATTGTCGGAGGTTTTTATTTTTGTCAATGTTTAACTCAGATTTTAGTCATTACTGTGTGGAGCTGAATGATTTCATTAAGTATCGACTCATCAGTCTGGATCAGGGAGCTCTGTAAGGGGATGCTGGAGATGGTTGTTACACTTTCTGCTTCAATACCAGTAATTTGCTGGATTTTTGAGCCTGAGGTTCTAAATTTTTATACAAACTACCCACGTTTGTTAACTACAAAAGAAGCCATTTCAATCTTCAGTCCTAACAAATACAGGATAGCCAAACAAATAGCTAAAAGAGGCAAAAAAAGAGAACAAATTTTCTATCAGAATGATCCTGTTTCTCTGAGTGACCCAACACAACCCAAATTGACGCCTATAAATATATGTATAATGCATTATAATCATGTTATAGCACTGTATAAGTATAGTTATAAACACTCATAAATGATCATAATGCTTTATAACAAAAATCACAACACATTATAAAGCATTTTATCATGACTTACAAGGTCAGGTAATTTAATGTGTTATAACTGTTAACAACTCACTGACAATGCCCACATAGATAATGTAATATGTTGTAATTGCTTATAAACTTGTATAACTATCATTATAAACACTCATAAATGATCGTGATGCTTTATAGCAATAATCATAACGCATTTAATACCTGACCTTGTAAGTCATGATAAAATGTTTAATAATGTGTTATGATTATTGATTTAAAGCATTATGATCATTAATGAATGTTTATAACTATATTTATACAGTGCTATTACATGATTATAACACATCATACATATATTTATAATGCGTTATAGAGATAGGTGTCAAGTAATGTGTTGCCCCATTTTCTCTTTGACTCAGAATCCAAAACATCAGTGCAGGCGCTGTTTAAAAATGTCAACCAGGAAATCCATAGAGGAGCCATATTAACTGCAATCAAGACGCGTATTTGAGAGTAAAGACAGTAACCTCAGATTTAGAGTCATTCAGATGTTGAAAATCTTCCGACCCCCCAGTTGATTTCAGTCAGGCAGGATATGATATGAGAAACATCAGCGGAGTCAGGTTTTAATGAGGATTAGAGCTGAGTGTCATCTGCATATTAGTGAAAATCTATACTATGTTTTTGAAGGAATGGTGAATAAGGGGGGACCCAGAATAGACCCTTGAGAGACACCCATCCATCAGGACAACATTAAATACAACATAATAGACACATGATTAGATTATATTCCATCAAAAATAGATACAACAAGTCAATATTCACACCAGCACACAATTACACCGTTAGTCTCTCAAACTCTTCACATACTGACAGTCTCTGCTACAGGACTGAAGTGATATAAAACATCCTTCAACATGGAATAGTCTGTGATATTTTGATGTAACATGAAGCTGCACCGCTTTGATGGGGTTAAAGATGTAATTTAATGTAAATGTTTTCAGACAGTCTTTGAATATCCTTATTAAATATCTACTCTAAAGTTCATCAGGACTTGTAAAAAATGCACCCCCATGTGTCAGATTGTTTTCTGTGAGGTCTCTTCTGTGTCGGTTAATCTTTATCGCCCTCTTGTTCCAGCTCAGACAGTGAAACCTTCCTCTCTCTCCACACTCTGAGCTCTTCAACAGGTGTGGGTCTACTTGTGAGGTCCCCTTTGCCGTCTGAAGAGGGCAATCCAATAACAGAGCACCGTCATGGTCGTCATGGTGAAGTCTCCCCGCAGACCTGGAGAAGTGACTTCATCAGCCACCAATCAGCACAGAGAGTGGTTTAATGTGTTGTTTCCTGAGTGTGGAGGGCACACATGGAGCAGTCTGGAAAACAGATCAGGCAGCAAGGTGGGCTCCTGGAGAAGTTTCACATATCTGTCTGGTTAAAAACTGGGAGCTTAAATTCATCTTTCTCAGAAGTGGATCATATTTTCTGTAACCCAAAATTTTTTATGAACTGTTGCATAAAGTTTATGAGGGGAAAGCTGTAGAATGATTCACATAAAAACAACTTAAATCTCTTCTATGGAAAAAAAAACTGGTTGCATGCAGAAAAAAAGGATGTTACCTCATATGTCAGTTCTCCCCAAACCTTCTTAACCCTAGAACACTATCGCTGGGTGATTATCACCTGACCAAACATGTCTACGTGATTTTCATTATGTTGTCTGACTATTATGGGTCCCTGGGTAGCTTCAGCATTGCCTTTAACATCTTTGAAGACATATTTGTTTCCCTGATCCAAAATCTGCTTTTTCCTACAGGTACGTGTTTGGGTGATTTTCACCCAGCAATAGTGATAGAGGGTAAAGTACGTCTGGGTGGATTTGATAGCTGCATGTAGGAAATAAGGTCAGTAAGAGTGGTCCTGGAATTTGCATGTTATCTTTATTTCAGTTATTTTGTTGCATTTTTATATGGTCCCCTCATGGCACTTTTTTTCCCTTCCTTTGGATATTACACAGTTATAGATTAAAGAAAACTACTTTAATTCGTCATGTATTGTTTAGTTTTGATAAATTTTGATGACAAGCACTTTTTCTTGGGTATATTATTTTGGGTAAAAATCACTGAAATCCTAATTTTAGAAATTTTTGGAAATCTCCAAGATTATAGTTGTATACATTTTTTTTTTTTATCTACTGTGTACGAATATTGAATTTCAAATGTTCCTTGTGCTGTTTTTCTGTGTCATTTATCCAGATTGAGGGTCCATAATGAAATTTAAATTAAATTTAGGTGGTCTTGGTTTAACATATTATAAAGGAAAGTTAAAATGAAAGTTGATCTTCGTGCAAAAGTAGTCTAACATTTTGTAAACCTTGACTGATACCGTTCAAGAGAGTCAGATGCCTTTTGCTTCAGCGCCAAGTGTCAGCAGGTGGCACCAGAGCACAACAGAGAGAGGAATAAAACCATTACTGCAGGTACTTCACTATCCGGCCCAAAACCTCCACAGTCAGAACTATCCTTGCTGTTTTCTCCTTTATCTTAGAGAGAATATTTTAAGTATTTCTCACTCATTCAGAGGGATTCCTTCATGAGTTCATCAGCTGACACTCCCATCATCAACCCTGCAGCATATTTCCCATGCTTCCTCAGAGCCATGCAGAGCTCCTGGGAGATGAGGGCTACGTGGGACGTGTCTCCTCACGTCGCCCCTCTCACAGTGCCAGCACTACTGGCTCTAATCCTCCATGGCGTACCTGGCAGATCTCTCTGGCGACACCGGCTCTGAGCGCTGCTGGCGTTGTTGCAGCCTGGCCCGGGCCTGCACACCAGCATCCCCTCTAATCCTCCCCGCCTGCACTGCCCCAAAGCCCAGCAGCCTGCGGGGAAGTAGGGCAACAGAGGTGAAGCAGAAAGAGTCAGTCGACCACAGGCCAACACTCCTCAGAGCAGAGTTTGACTTCAGACGGCCTTAAAACTTTGTCAACAGTTCTCTTTTATTGTGTATTTCCTCTTCCTTTTTTTCTTTTCTTTTCCATTTGTCTCAATTTATCCCTCGTGTTTGACCTTTATCTCTTTTTCATATCAGTCTTTCATATCTTTGGCATTTCTATAACAAATCCATATCAAATATGTATAAAATCACATTTCTTTGGCACCTGTCTAAGGATCCAATGATCCAAACAGACCAGGATAATGCCCACGAAACAAAAAGCAAAGCTCCTGTGAGGACTTTTTTAAGTTTATGAAATACACTTTAATTGATGTAAAGAAAGAAAATGTAGAAAAGCCTTGAGGTAATCAGGTGGTCTTTGAGGATGAGGAGCATATAGTCAGATTTGAAAACAAAAAAATGACCTTCAAAGTTTGTTGTGAAAAATCGTAGGGTCATTACTGCAGTCTTTCATGACAAACGTTTTTTGAAAACAACCCTGACGATAATTCATTTTGTTCTAAATTTCAGATCAATGCTCTACCACCAAGAAAAAAACTGTGTAGAATTTAGGATTTCATCTTCCAGGGTACAAGATACCGTCCAAAAATTCAAAGAAGTTGAAAAAATCTCTGTACAAAACAGACAAGGCTGAAAACTAATGTATGATAGACCATGATCTGTAGACCCTCACTGCACTGGATATAGACATGACTCTGTAGTGGAAATAACTGCATGGATAAAAGATCACTCCTAGAAACCACTGACGGAGACCACAGTCCATTATCTTCTCTGGGGCCTAAGTCAAATTAAAAGAACTGAGACTGAGACACACAAAATTGTGCATCCTTTTTGGAAATCATGGACCACATGATATCATGATACGTTCTGTTGATTTAGTTTTTTCCTGGTTTTGTGATTTGAGTGTATTTTCTTTGTATTTTCCCTAGTGTTTCTGTTCCCTATTGTTCCTGTTCCCCCTGATCCTGTCTTGTGAGTTTTCAGTTTGTGTTTGACCCCGCTGATCCCTCATGTTCTCAGTGTTTTATTCGTTATGTCAGTTTTCAGTGTTTCCTGTTTTATTTTGTAGTAGTTTATTTCCTGTGTTTCTAGTCTTGTTTTACTTCCGCAGTTTTCCCTCCTCTGTAATTGTCTTCACCTGTGTCTCTGTGTCTCACCTACCTCTCGTTGCTCGTTTCCCTGTGTGTGTATATATACAGTAAGTCCCTGTCTTCTCCTGTTTCCTTGTTGGTTCATTGTATGTATGTTTGTCATTGTGTTTGAGTCTCCATGTGCTTTTTCCCTAGTGCCCTTTTGATCTTTTGGATTTTGCCTTTGGGATTTTTTCAATTGGACAATTATAGTAAGTTTTTTTTGCTTCTCATTTCATTATGCATAAGTGCCCATAGTATAGCTAGCTAGCACACCTGGGAAGGCTTAGTTAGTGGTGAACAATATACACATGTTTTGAAGCTACATGTGATGCCAACTAGCTGATGCCTTTTTAAGGGATGACTTTACATTTATCAGCAAGCCCATGTCAAACCACATTCTGCTAAAAACAACAACAGCATGGCACCGAAGTAGAAAAGTCACACCAGATCTCCAAAGATTGTTTATCATTTTAAATAGTATTGAAATATCCCCTTATTGCTCTGATAACAGATGATGCTGATGTTGTTACACCCATATTGTCTCATTTTAAAGCCGTTTTTGTCAGAAGTCAATATAACAACAAAATATATCAAGAATAACTACAGACTTGAGCCAACTAACAAACAAGTTTTCTACATCTTGAAACATTTTCTCCTTTCTTGGTCAGTCTGTTCCTCTGTGACTCTCTGTTCTCTTCCTACAGCCTCCTCCTCCTCCTCCCTTCATTGTCACTTTCCCAGCAAGGTCAAAGGTGAGGTGCTGGAGAGGGGACTGGGGTGAGTGGTCTGAATGGAGAGCCTGGGGACAGTCTCCGTTAGTGAGGGATTAAGTTATTGCTGTGTGGGGAAAGGTGGAGGCATCGCAGAGTCACACAGACACTCATCAGTGTGGATGTTTTGTTAGAGAAGTAACCATAAGCTCCTGGAAACAACAAGTGACGTGCACGTGTACTAAGTACTAAGTATTTGTATCATTCGAGGGTATTTTACTGGCAACCCAACCAGATTCAAAATTACACTCTTCAATCCTTTAATGCTAACTTTTCACGTCATGCGAAATTTTGAGACCGCACACTCACAAAACACAAAAAGACATAATCTGATCGTCAGTGTTTATGATATCAAAAAGTCCTTTCTTAGTGTTTTTGCTATAGAGGTTTTAAAGTTCATCATCACAACCATTCCAGTAGCATACCTCCAAAATAGTGATGGCTAAAAACAATAGAGATGGACTGAGATTTAAGGTGACAACAACAGAAAAATCTGATAATATAATACACAGGAAAGGTCAAACATACCTGCATCAAAAAAGTGTTCCTCCTATGTCATCATCTCCTGGATAAAAGGTGGCACTAAAACTGAAAACTGCAAGGAAGTAAGGTTGTATGGACTGTGAAAGCAAGAATGGAACCAAATGGTTTCCACAAAGTGAAACCAAAACATTAAGAGCTCCCCCTGGTGGTGGGCTACAGAGAAGTTATTTAACAGGGTCACCAGAGATCTTGAAAAGTGTTTCAGACTCAAAAGTAGTTCCCCAAGGTTTGATGGTAGGACCCCTGCTTTTTGTTCTTCATATCAATGATACCGATCAAAATATGTCCAATTCCATTATTCATTTTTATGCAGATGACACTGTGATGTACAGCACTATTTACAGATTAACACAAAGGAAGAGGCTCAAAAAGAAAAAATGAGACAAACACTAACTCGCCAGTGATTGAGCTTTTCTATTATCAAGTCTGTCTGTTTTAAATGAACACAAGAATCAGTTCTGCTGTACAGAAAATTGGCATAGAAGTGTTATGGTTAGCTGTTGAGATGGTTCAGTCAAAAGAGATCGATTGCCATTGCACACTTGTCTCCATAGAAGACTGCCATGTCCCAAATACTATGTATTTTGAGACACCACTGCTGACATTGAAACATTACGCTCTCTGTGGTTTCACGAGCATGACTGCAAAAAGAGCTGCAGACAGGTGTTAGACAAACATCTATCCTTTTTAGAGACTTTTATCTTGATTTTCTGTTTACCTATAGAGACTTGACCCAGACCTACAAAGGTCAGAGCAGCTCTGTCATGAACTACAACAGTATTGGCTCCAGGCTGGTGCAAATTGGTCGGCCTGCCAGGTTGCTATTCCAGCTTGGCCTGGCTGTAATTAAGTGGCAGCCAACCAAACCCTGGGGTGAACTGGCAGCTCAACTAGAAACATGAGTGACTGTGAAGTTAATGTGAGAATTTTTAACACAGCATCAAGTAAAATGCTCTCCTAAGTGAAGAGCGGCTGTTGAAAGAGGGTCCTGTTTGGCTGAAGCCTCCTGTAACACTCGTCCATGTCACTGTTGAGTAATTTTGCCCCTCATCCTGACCCTTCAGAGCAGTGGCGGCTTGCTTTTGCAGATGGTCCAGAGATCAGAAACAGAAAGCACAGACTGTTATTTCTACTTCTAAGTAGGAACTTCAAACATGGCGCTCATTCAAAGGCCTCGCAGTCGCCAGGATGAAAGCTGCTGTTTATGGTGGCATCTCTTCAAAACAATTGTCTTTGGTCAGTTACCGTGACATCTCATCCATCTCCTCCGTCCCGGGCCTTAAAAATCCAAATTCCTTTTAAAGAATGTGGCGACTGCGTTTAATGAAGCCAAGCCGTGGCTCCACTAATGAGTCAAGTCCCGTAATGGCCGGAATCCCCCGTCAGACAAAAGCCGCCAAATACCTGATGGCTACCAATCATGTTCTCTTCTTCATGGGAAAAAATGTCCTCAGTTTATTTTGATGTCTTTCATGTCCCCAATTAAAAAGGACAGTTGAGGGCAGATTGCCCCGATGCCGATTGATCCAAGGTGAAATACGGGACATACTACCATTGACTGTTATTTGTTTACTTCCTCAACTTACATTCTGAGAAATGTTTTTGTCGTACAGAACAAGCAAGTGAATATCAAAGTCAGGATGGTACCCTAGCATTTTGTGCTCGTAGTTACAGCCATCCTCTGAAGTAGGAAGAGACTAAGATGCAACTTGTTTCCTCTCTGAAGTGCTGAATTACTTAATTTGGTTGTGAGGTTGAGCAAATATTGTGGCACAACTGTTTGTGTGGTTACTTGAATTTAAATAACATTCAAAGACTTTCACTCCAGAGAGGCATATTGCAGTGTTCCCTAATGTAGATTTTTATTAACAAGTTTCCCTCACTGTACATTTGCAACTTGATACAACATTGATCACACTTGATACACATTTTATCTAATTTCTTAGATCAATTTCTCTTCATTTTTTGCTTCACACAAGTCATCAGATTTGGTCGAGTAAATTGTTTTCAGTTGAAGCCTTACCAAAATTGAGAGAAAACCATCATCCCTGTTTTCTCCCTCTTTACTTTGACTCAAGGGTTAGTAGTAGAGAGAAGTAGAGGGCGGTATCTCCAGTCCAAACAAGATCATCACCCTGTCTTCATTGTCATCTGGCATGCCTTAACATAGTCTCCTCTTTCTCTTTTCCCCCTACCCTCCTCTTGTTTTCTTCGTTGTGCATTTCTCTTCTGTTTCTTGCATTTTTCCTACACACCCACTTCATCCATCCCTGCATGAGAACCGGGGAATAAGGAGAGAGTGTACAGCCTCACCTTGCAGGGGTGAATTCTAACATGAACTAAATCCTTTCATATTATCTTTGTCTTTATCTTTTTTGCATGAATATACTACTGGCAGGTGGTATCATTGATTCAGAGTTAAGAGGACAGAAAAAGTCACCACCATTTGGACAAACTCTAATTTTTGAAACAAACATTTTAATGGTTAAATGACAAAGCCTGAGAAAGACCAGAGACATGCAGTTTATGAGATGTTTTCCACTGACATTTTAAGAGAGACCCAAAAAGATTTTGTCCTGCAAAAGAAAAAAGTTACTTGATATTTTTTGAAACTTCAGAAATAAAATACTTCCTGATAAATACGACGCTTTTATTCTTCCCATAATGGAGCAGAAACACGTCTGTGATGAGCGCCTCCAAATTCCACAGAGATACCAATTAGAAATGCTGACGCAGCAGTGACGCTCAGAGCAAAATGGCTTTTGATCGCCGCAACAAAAGAGTGAAAGACTTGTGAAAACAGAGCAGATGTCTTAGTCCATGTGAGCAGGAACAGAGCTATTAGGACGGTTTTCACATCTTTAATGGACTCCACAGTCCTAATGTTATTACAACAAGGAAAAAAGGGATATGTCAAAGAGAGGGTATGATATCTGTTACATATGGAATCTTAAAATAGTCACAATTAACAATCAAACAACCTAAGGACATTATTCTCATACAATTTTTATTCCTTGCTCTACATTATGTCAACTTGTTTCATTTTCATGATACAATCATCAGTGGGCAAGAGTTGAGATGCAAATAAACAAAATTCTACTGCAACAAAGACATTTGGGCAGTAGACCTGCCAACACAACAAAAATATAAAGGGGGGAGGGGGGTATGTGTAAATATAATGAATGGTTGTCATTGCAGATAGGGGCCCCTGCAGAATGCTTTTGTCAGGGGCCCCTATTTTTGTGCAACACCCTTGAACATAACAGATTCCTGAAAATTAATAGTCAGCGGTGTACCCTGGAATGTTATCGGTGAAATATTCAAAAATTTGAGCAAAATTTTGAGAAATTTCTGCATCCAAATTTCTGACAAAAGTCAAAGATCCAAGGCTCAGTTTGGACTCTTCTTTTTTTTTGTGAGATGTTCTTGGTCAAAGTCATTTTTTTAAAGTTTAAATTATGTTTTTTATTTCACTGTGTTTATTATTTACAGTGGTCGAGAACTGCCACTACTGCAAATAAAAAAGAATGCAAAAAAAAAAGAAGCCACAATGGAAGTTACTGATGCAAAAAAAAAAAAGAGACAGACCGAAGCCTGCTGTGAATAAAAAAAAGAAACTGCAGATAAAAAAAAGTACATGGAAAGGTTATTGTTTAACTTCACTTTGTGTGCTTTTCAATGTGTCATTTGGTTAGGCCATGTTGCGCATGGCTCTTTTTTTTTTTAACTGCATAGGGCTTCAGTTTCTTTCTTTCTTTTTTTCTTTTTTATTAGTAACTTCCCTTGTGACTTCCTTTTTGCATCCTTTTTTTTACATTCTTTTTTTATTTGCAGCAGTGGCGATTCTCGGCCACCGTAATTATGAGTACCCCAAAGAAAGTGCATGCATAAGTGACGTGCAGTGCGCGTGTGTGATTGTTTTTTTTCCCCTCCCTCTGCCCGGTTTGGGATTTGCTGGTCAGAGACATGCCTCCCTCTGCCTGGCTCCTTATAGCCCCGGGGAGGCAGGAATCCCGGACGAGTGGTACGGACATCGCCGACGGAGACCGCAAACACGGCGCGGAGCGTTCCCCTTTAAACACGGTCTTATGACTACAGACTGCTTCAGGTCAGACGACCGGAGGACCGGAGCAGAGAGCAGAGACAGCCCGGGACTTGAGAGGAGTGGTTCAGTGACAGTGACTGACAGGGACAGGGACACACAGGACACAGTTCCTCTGCAGAGGCTGAATGTTTGGAGGCAGTCTGAGAAAACAGCTGGAGTTACACGGATACTACCTCACCTGTCTGCAGGTAGGACACACAGCTACACCTGTCACTGAGTCCAAGTGTCAAAGTTTGCCTCAAAGTCAATTAAACTCATCAGGGTTCACTTTTTCTGTCACATCTTTGGTCAGTGATGCAGTGCAGTATGAAGGGATGTTACACTTGGATAAATATTGCTGATAAACTCTCTAAAAGTGACTCAGTTTAAATAAAATAGCTGCATAGAAATAGTTAAATTAAAAGAAAAATACTTCAGTATCAGTCATGGATCAAGCACACTTGTACAAAAGTATAATGTATAATGACTGATATTACACTTAGATTACAAGTGTAATCTAAAACAGCACAACTGTGTGCAAGAATATACAAACATTTTAAAGCTTCCCTTAAACTGAGTAGTTATTTGTAATTTGTTTATGTATCCATCAAGTTACCAATGTGATGGTGTAAGCTGAGTGCAACTGAGGTACTGTATTGACATGAACTACAAAGATTCAAAGTTCAAGTGGCCTCTGATTTTGTAATGTATTTTACCCCTCTGTACTATCATGTGTCTTTTGGATGTCAGTTTTCTTAACAATTTATTATGCCTGCACATCACAGTTGGTGGTAAAATATTACAGAATTACAAGGTCGACTGTGTTTGAATAGTTCTGTCAAATTTGACCTTTATATTATGAGCCAATTTCAAACTGCGAGCATTTTGCCAAGTGTGATCATTTTTAGTATTGTAGCATAATATGTATAAAACGTGTCCTGATTGCTTACAGTAAATAGAGCGCAGTTTTTTGGTTTGTATGTGAGGGCGAACATATGTTATAGTAATATGCTCTGTGTATGTGGAGGGAGGCTTAGATGAATGGAAGGTTGCAGGAATGTAGCTGTGATGTTAACTATTTTTTTATCTGTTAATCTTGTGAATAATGTCGTCTGAATAGCTTGTGTGTCTGCCAGCCCAGACTGCAGACTGACAAATCTAACTGATCCACTGGTCCAATGCATCTGATAATAATGTAGTTCACATATGAAAAAACTCTAGAAATCACAAGTTCATGTTTCCTCACTACAATTGTTTGAAACGTTGATTCTGAAATGGAATAGTCTTCAGTGACACTGCTGCTAAAGCTAGTTGAAATATTGCTTTTGCACAATGGTGGACAAAGTAAATAAATTAAAAACTTGAGTCAAATGTTATTCCATTAATAGAGAAAGTTGCTCAATTAGATTATTACTTGAGTTTTAGTTCATAAGAAGGCCTACTTACTTTTAAAATATATGAGTATTCAAATTTATGGAAAAAAAAAGTCAAAATGTATTTTTATAGTTTGCATAAATGCAGTCAGGATATTTAAATTACTTTTAAAAAAGTGTTTTTATTTTGCATGAGTGTTGTCAAGAGTACACAGGCCTACTTTCTGCCATGTTAATAAACTTGGAAAACATTATATATACCTCTTAAACGCAACTGCTACAGATATTACTTTTCTAAAATAACAGGACCGATAACAGAAACAACCTAACCTGCAATAAAAATTGCAACTCAGTCACTACAGGCTTAGATAACCAGGTAAAACAGTTGATCTGGAATAAAAAAAAGTCTAAGTACATACCTTGACATCTTATTCAGGATGGATAAGTTATGCAGGCTGTGGTGAAGTTTTTGTGCTGTAAACAGATCAAACATTTAAATTAATAATGATCATTATTAACTTCAAAAACACAGATTTGGCAACACCACTTTGAGAAAACACATGGACAGCTACATGTTTCACAACCAGTTAAAATACTCCTCACAGGAGCTTTAATATCAACAAGAATAAAATACAAACAGGTTGCCATATCTCTAAACTTATGATGGAAGTTAAGAGTTTTCCTCCATAAATATTTTAAGTGACAGAGAGGAAGGATATTCTCTCCATACATCATGTAAATGTTTGCAAAACCCACTGATGGAATAATAAAACTGATGATTTAATGCTTTGACCTTTTTAACATCACATCTGATGAGATCAGCTGTTGTAAATCAGCACAACAGACACATTAAAATTGTTGTTATCAGTAACATGTTCATGTTTAAGGACTGTTTGTGTTTCTCTGAGAGTCAGTAGTTTCCTATTAGCTGACCTCGTTGACCTCGTTGGGTTATCCCCTCTCTTTCTTTTTGGGCTTACAGGATTTAGTTTTTTGGGCCACCTCTTGCACCCTGAGGACACATTTCCCCTCCTGCAGCTCTGAGGTCATGTGTCGCCTGCCGCTGGCTTCACTCTTCGTTTGCTTCTGGTTGGTGGAGAAGAGCCAGTGTGACGGCAGCTTTCAGGACAGCATGGGAGAGCTGCACACCAGGTTCGCTGTCAGTCTCTATCACACGCTCACCGAGACAGAGAACAACTCCAACCTGATCGTGTCGCCAGTGAGCGTCTCTCTGTCGCTGGGGTTGCTGCAGCTCGGTGCCAGGGGCAACACGCTGGCTCAGCTGGAGGGAACGCTCGGGTACAATGTGAACGGTAGGATTCATCCCAAATTTTTGATGTATTTATTTAGCATTAGCTGCTCCTCATGCTGCGAGGGTGCTGTTGGTGGCCCTCAGTGCGGTTGGTACCAGGTGGTGTGGAGCGGTGCTGCTGCTGCTTCGGGCCCTGCAGAGCACAGTGGTGTCTGGAGCCATAATACCTGCCTCCACACCAACTCTAATCTCATTAACCACTCCTGCAGCTCGGCCTTGGGGTCGAGAGGTCACTGTGTTTCATTACAAACAAAATAAGAGAGGCAGCTGCTGTTTGTTTCATAATGTTACCTCAAATATCCATCAGCAGAGGAGACTGAGGACATGAAATTAACTTCATATGATACGTCATCTTTCATATGAAAACCATTTGCATCAGCTTTAAAAGGAAAGCTTTGCATTCATTTCTAAGTTATCATGCAGCTGTCACCAGTTTTGAGCAATGAAGCCGTTGTGAAAGTGTGAAAAACTGCAGTTCCTTGAGTGGCCACTTGAGGCAGGCTGCAAAAACACCAGAAACCACATACACACTCATTGTAACAAAGCCCATCCTTGCAGCAAAAATAAACATGTTTATAAGCTAGTACAAGGAATGATTTTGGTCTGAGGCACTCATTTCTCTGTTGTTAATTTGTGTGGAAGATATGAAGGTTAGGACGGAGTTTGGCATAATTAGAGACCAAGCTAACTTTACTGTCAGGAAGGCACATTAGCTGTTAGCATGTTGGCTAGTCTGGCCTGAACTCCACTGTTTTTGTGTTTTGCAAGGAGAACCAAAAGTTCAGTTTAGTCAGCATTTCAAGTAGGCTACAAAACTCTGTTTCAGAAACCAGGGCGTGGCTTTAGGGGCAGAAACTATGTCCATGTTTTATACAGTCTGTGGTCTTCTTTTTCTTAATGACAGAGTGCAGCTAAGGTTGCAGCTCAGACAGAATTCAGTAAATTTGACAACAGTTTATTTAAATTCATACTCCTAGAGTTTTTTAAATCCTCTAATTGGTTAACAGAGAGAAAAGAGGGCAAAAAAGTCTAAAAAAGGCTGAAGAGGTTAAAGATACAATAGTAGAGGGTAAAAGAAAGCCTGGAAATCAAAAATGACAGATGAGGTCAGCACCAAATAGAACAAGGAATGGGTTACAGCTGCATTGAAGGACTTTTAAATGGAAACCAAAACGTCATAGACTCTAAAAGTGATGAGGCAGAAAACTCCATCAGGAGTGGCACTGATCCATGTGGACCTGGTCGCCTCGTTTCACTTCACCATCAATGAAAATGCTCAGTTTGAAGTAAGCAATAATAGACTGTGTAAAATAAGGGGGAACTGTGCCAGTGATATCACCCGCTGGTTTCAAAGAGTTTTCAGGCTCATGGTTGTCGTGGCACTCAACCAATATTAGGGCCGATACCATTACCAATCATTACCGGTTTAAGAGGCTGATGACCAGTATTAGAACCCAATATATATTTAGTGAAAATTAAAATCTTTCTGTCAAAATTTAGAATTCAACGTACTTAAAACTCCAACTCATGACTTTGAAACTGGAACATCCAACCACTTTTCTGTGCTTGACAGTGGCACCCAGGCTTTAGTGTTGATTGGCCGTTACTCTTGTGACATTTATCCAGTCAGATCGGGTTGCTGGCAGGATAGCAGGATAGAATAGTGTTGCTGAACTACAATACAATAACCAAGAATCAAAGAAACAATATTTGTCATTTTTATTTATATTTGTCTATTTATCATTTTTAAAATCATGTTACTGTAAAACACATTGAAGAGGATGGCCTGTCCTGAATGCATGACACCACCTGGCCTCATAATACTAATCCTAATCCTTGCTGCCATGTTTTAAAAAATGACAGCACTGCTATTTCTAAATGATAAATATCCTTAATGAATCAATGACTTAGGTCAGTAAGAAGCATAAAAGTGCAAAGGCAAAGAAAATTCAATAGTAATATAGTTTTTGCAGTAGAAATCTGCTAATCCTTAATGTCCAGACAGCAGGAGACAGAATAGAAAAAAAGCTTACACATTAAAGAAATCCGAGCAACAACTGACTGTTTCCAATCGCCTCTGTGCTGTTGGTAAAGAATCTGTCTCTGATCCTGTTTGTACAATTTTGTATGAAATTGAAAAGCTCCCCGTGCGCTGCAGTGCTCACCAGCCTGAAAAAATCTGTTAGGCAGAGTTAAATTAAATCAAATGATTGTTTGTTTGTGCTCAGTCCTGCAGGGAAATGTTGCAAATTCACTAAATTTGCGGCAAAAATTAGCTTGGGGCTGCAGAGAGGAATTCATTTTAGCAAAGATCCCTTTGTTATAGAAAGTTTTTCTAGGTTGTGAAATTAACCGTGTCTGAATGTGCTGACAGCAAAGCAGATGATAGTTACAAAAACTGCCTCCAAACAACATCCAAGAAATAAACAGTTTGTTTTGTTATTTTTTATTTTCAAGATAACACCGCTCATTTCCTGCACAGTTTTCTCCTTTTAAAAGTCTTTTAATAGCTTGTAACATGCCTGACCCTTCCTGTGTTCTCACCGTGCAGACGCCCAAGTACACGACTTCCTGATGCACTCGCAGATTGATGAGAGCAACACCAGCCAGGGGATGTGGCTGCAGCAGACCTGCACATTATTCGTACAGAGCGGGGTCCAACTCCTCACGCAGTTCACACAACACGCAGCAGCCTGGGCCAACACCAGCGTGGTCAGAGCCAACTTCAGCCAGCCGACCAACAGCCGCAGCAGCCAGCCGGAGCGAGTGGGACACAACCACGGTGAGCAAGGTGATTTTTACACAATTATATACTCTACATATCATTACACAGACTGGATGAAATATGAAATCAGTGTGAGTAAGTTCAGTAAAAAAAAATTTGGAAGGTAGACTTTTTTTTTTTAGTGTCTTTTAGACAAGAGAAAAAGGTCCAATTTGAGACATGATTGTGTAGTTTTTGATGCAGCTGGACGTAACAGTGGGACAAACTGAAACAGACTGACTCTTCAGGCACCTGGAAACCTTAACTAGCATATTTGCACTGTGGTTTCAAAAGCATTATGGGTGTCATCCCCTGTGATTTCACCCTGTAGTTTGTTTAGTTTCACTACTCATGTCAACTTGATTTCACAAGCAGCAGCTTTTTCCAGTAAACAAACTAATAAACCAGCTTTTAACTACCAGCCCATGACTAAACAGAAAGGCTAAATTAGCCTCAAGCTGATGAACACAGCAGAGCATTGAGAAACAGAAACAAGGAATAGTTTTCATTGCTGGGTGAAGTGGTTTCTCTGATTTGACCTGCTAACAAGCAGGGAAGTCAGATTATTTTCCCACCCTAAAAAGTAATTTTGTTTTGTAATATGTGTATTTCCTGTGATTAGAGAAAACTGAAAAAGTAACATGTAAAGAGGATGTACTCCTCCATCTTTCTTATCCAAGAAATAATCTTCTAGTGCTGTGAATAGATCCCAAACATAGACTTCAAATAAACAATGATGGCACAACAGCTCCCTCAAAGTGAAGCCAAAATTTAAGCATTAAGAGTCACAAACACTGACATAGATTGTGATTATTTTATCGTAGTTTTTAATGTTAGAAACCAGTATGACAGGGTAGGTGTCAGCTTATGAAACACCTTTGTTTTGACCTAAAATATTCACAATAAATGATTCATTTCACTCTGAAAAGTAAGCAGGATGTGTTTTTTTTTTTTTTTTTTGTAAAATCATCTTAGACTGCTTTGTCCACAGGGGGCGCTAACATTTATACAAATCACAAGTCCCTTACAGGAGCTTTGAGTTAAATGTGTATCTTGGTCATTAGAAGTGGTGTATTGTCACCATCAGACAGAAATATGCCCTTGCCTCAAAAATATGTTACTCGTGCAACATGTTGACCCTCATCTATTCAGTATGTTGGCTTCATTTGTCTTACAATGGGAAGAGACGAAAGTATGTGGTCCATATATATGTACAGCTATTGATCCCATCTCCGTAACATTCATTAATGCTAAAGAGAACTGTAAAGACTAACAGCTGCATTTCAAGTATCTCTACTCTCTAGTCTGTGCCTCTGATGCTGAAAAATACAAACCTTTTACAAAAATAATTACCTTCGCCCCTTCCTTGTTACCTCTCAGATGAGATGCTCATCCAGTCAGGGAGCAGCAGCGGGGAGCTGTCAGGGTCAGGTGAGCCCCAGGTGGAGGCTCTGTGGTGGGGCAACCGACTGCAGATGGCTCTGGTCAACAAGGTGTCGTTCAGGGGCGTCTGGCAAAAACAGTTCTTGTTCACCAACACGCAGAACCTGCCCTTTATCCTCTCTGATGGGACCGCCATCAAGGTGCCCATGATGTACCAGGCGACAGAGGTCAGCTTCGGTAAGAAAAAAACAGCGATTCATCTATTTAGACCTTCTTCTCTAGTCAAATATTCAGTTTAGTGCTGGAATAATTCTGCTAACAGTTGTATCTTGTAATAAAGTTAATTTTTATTATAAAAACGAAAAATTTGTGTCTTGTGCTGGTTTTTAACTCTTCTTTACAGACTAGCTTACCTGCACAGAGACATAAAATATGATGTTTATAGTATCAAAGCTACCACCTGCTGCTACATATCTGATGACTTTGCTTTAATCGTCAGGTCAGTTCAGGACGGCGTTGGATCAGCGTTACACGGTGCTGGAGCTGCCATACCTGGATCGCTCCCTGAGCCTGCAGGTGATCCTGCCCAGCGAGAGGAAGACGCCGCTGTCCTCCATCGAGTCTCAGCTCACCGCTCGCCACCTAACCTCCTGGAACACCGGCCTGCGCAGAACCAAGATGGACATCTTCCTGCCCAGGTTAAGATCAGGCACTCTGTGGGGAGATTTTGAGGATCAGACTTTGAGCGTATTTTCATTTTGATTGACCCTGAATAGAAATGATGTACAGACTAATATTATGTTTTCTGTTAACAGATTTAAAATGCAGAACAAATTCAACCTGAGGTCTGTGCTTCCTGCAATGGGCATTAGTGATGCCTTTAACCCCTCGGCGGCAGATTTCACTGGAATATCAGGTCAGTGAAAGAAGTGAAATCTACCTCCTGCTGAGGTTGATACTGTGGTTATTCGAGCTCTGCTGGCAGCTGACTACATATTTTGTTTTTCCTGCAGTGGAGGAGAGTCTTTATGTGTCTGATGCTTTTCATGAAGTGAGGATAGAAGTGACTGAAGATGGGACAAAGGCAGCTGCTGCTACAGGTGAGAAACACACTTCAATTCGATTAAAGGATGAATACTTATGGCTTTGTTGGAATGAAGCAATCAAGAATAATTTCTTCCTTTTGCAGCTATGGTGCTACTTAAACGATCTCGTGCTCCGGTCTTCAAAGCGGACCGGCCGTTCTTATTTCTACTACGACAAATTAACACAGGTTAGTATCGAAGTCATACATGCATCAAACTGGCTCCTACAGAAAAAAACTTGTCTTCCTTTAAACAGCCAGATTTAAATATTTACCACTAAAAAAGTCAATAAAAGTGTCTCTGTGTCATATTGTAAATGGCTTCTTCTAAAACTACCCCCTTGCACCTGTTAGTGATTACAAAATTACAATATAGGAGCTGTAAATCTTCATGCTAATGCTCTTGTTTGCTTTTGTAAGTCATAAAGAGGCCTCACTGGTCATTTTTGTCAATTTCACAACCAGCTAAAAACGCCTCACAGGGGCCTTAAATGAACTTCTAAAATGTTTTACAGCAAATCTTAAGTGAAACTTTTTTTTTTCTTTTAATCAAACTGTCAGCAAAACCTCAAATACTTTAATGATTTTCACACCACAAAACAATTAAGTGGAACCAACCACAGTCTGAGATGCAGAAAATAGCCATCATGTAAACTAACATGCTTTATGGTGATGTTGGTTGCTGTATTTTGTTTAGATGATTTTAACTTGATTTTGGAGACCTCTAGTGGTGGTATAAAAACTAACACGCTACATCCACCCGTCTCTCACTCTTAAATTCTAATCTGTCTGCAGGGGAGGAGGCTGCAGCTTCACTCTAGTGCTCATGGTTTTTGTGACTGTTTTGGTTGAAGGACGGGTCAAAGTTAAAGTTGCAAGAATCTGAAAATGAGACATGCAGATCTGATCTGCAGCCTTTAGATCTACAGACACATACTACTCTCTAAATTGGCTAAATACATCTCAGCACTGCATTTTTAACCATCTTTTCTCTGACAGGCTAAAAAAGGGAAAGAGGATGTTGAAACCATCTTCATTTTTACTTTGTGCCTTTTACATATTTGCATTTTCTGTTCCCCTTTTCAGGATCCATCTTGTTCATGGGCCGAGTGATGAACCCAGCGGACCAAGCATCCTAAGACTCAAACACCCGACACCTCTCACACCCACACACACTTCTACCCCGACCCCTATTTCATTTCTGGTATTTATTTTGTGGACCAACAGGAGGGTCCGCGGACACTTCAGGAAGAGGGACAATATTTTTGTACATGTCTGTAAATAAAATTTTAATACATGTTTTTACACTGAGGGCGTTTTGGTCCTTTTTGTGTGGTTAAAATCAGCAACAAAAACACGTTGAGTCTCATGTTTACAGAACACTTTATTTACATGGCCCTTCACAGTGTAAAATAGAAACTTTATTCATGGAAATACTTACAAAAAGGCCATTTTCCACTGAACATTCTCTTTAAATAGTACTCTAGGGTTATTTACATCTTTACAGTGTATTCAAAATACTCTTTTGGTAGCGGCCTCTTCACAAACAAAGACAAGTATGGCAGATTTTGGTCCCTGTCCGAGGAGGGAGGGAACAGAAGAGGGCTGCCCCCCCGAATCAGAAATCAACTCTTGACCTTTTGACCTCAATTCTGATTATTTGTGTAGATTTGAGAAAATCGAACAAGTCTGGCAAAAAAAATATGAAGAATTGTTGGAGGAAAAAAATCCACAACAAAAGGTAGCTTCTCTTTTAAATTAGATTAAATAAATATTCTCAAATTTACACAAGTGCATTCGCGGTTAAGTGACAAGAGGTTGGTTTGAGATTCATGGCGGAGGAGGAGGAGGAGGAGGAGGGGTTTTTTAAGGGGGTGGGTTTGTTATTTGGCAGCGACCAGCACGTTAGGACAAGCTGGCATCCGAGACCTCGGTTTCTTCATCGACACAGGAGAGAATTTGTGTTTCATTTCAGCTTTTATCAGGCCAAAACTTTGATAAAAATGACGGGCAAAGTGTCTCCAATGTTATTGCTGATCAAGATGCATTTGTGTGAGTTCCTGAGCTTTTTCTCCCTGTATTACAACATTTGTAAGCCAATGATATCACATCATTCAAACATTTCATCTGGCGTCGATGGCTCTGAAAGCAGAATTTTAAGTTAACCATCTCCAGGTGCAAAGAAAACTGAATCCGATTGTTTCCCAAAAGGGGAACAAAGTTCACAACATGTTAAGTACTACTCAGTTATATTAACTGTCAGTTTGGTAAGGTTAACCACAAGTTGACATGTTTAATACTTGAGCTACGTCATACCTTTTTAAGAGCACGGCATTGGAGTGCTTCAGTTAGTGGAGTGTAGAAAGTAAAATTTCAAAACAGAACAACGAACTCTCATCCTCCCACAGGACAAAAACGTCAGAAACATGGAACCACAATGAGGAAAAAAGTGAATGAAAGACACGAGGGGAAGAAAAGTGATTCAGAAGAATTATCGTTGGATCCTCTTTGACCCTGAGTTGGCTGAAAACACACCTGAACCCTCTCCTACACTGTTACAATCATCTTCACAATCAAAACACGACTCGACGCCCAGGAACAGTCCTGCACTCTCTCCGCTTACTCCGCTAATTATAATTTCTTCTTCTTTAAAAAGCAGAAAATCTAATCGGGGAGGAGAAAAATGAAGAGGAATGCCTGAGAACAAATTTCACAAACCTTTAACACTTCACCTTTAGCAGCTTTCTCATTCCCCTTATAGAGTTTGCATCATCCCGGGTCAATACTGTCTTTAAGTTTGTACCGTGTGCAAGCCAACCAGACCATCATCAAGGTTCAAATACAGCGTGGAGTCCACTGAAGAGCTGATCGTTTCCGGTCCCGGATGCTGTCTTGTCTGGTCTTTGTGTGTGGGTCCTGGTACAGGAGGAAGAGGGGGTTTTGAAGGATGTGGAGAGTTGTCGGGTTCATTATCAGTTCAGTTAAGTTCAGGAATAAACCGGTCTCAGAGCGTGTCCACGTGGTTCAGGTTCATTGATCTGTTGTGGATCTCCTCCAGGAAGTTTTCTAACTGTTCGATGAGAACGCGCTTCTTAAACCTTTGAAGACAACATTCAAGAAGTTACAATTTGCTTAAATTCAACTTCAGCTGCACAAAATGACTCGGGAAAATTCTTACAAACTCTGAGCGTCTTAGTAAAATAAAGGTAACTATGAAAAAATGCTGTCAAATTTAAAATATGAGTTGCACACTGTCTGTTTTGGGGGTCTCTCTGTTATCCAGTGTGAAAATTACAAGTGTGTTCAGCAATGTGCAGTGCAGATGCAGATGTGTAGCTCTTTCTATCACCACCCTGTCAACTCCCTGTTTGATAGTCTAGCTCAGCCTCCAGTAGTGCCAATATTTGTGGGGATCAACAGCCTCTTGCCAGTTTGCAAGGTCTGGCGCCACCCACTCCCACTGGTCACTCAAGGAGGTTTTCATTTACACACCAGCACCCACAAAAGGTTTTTTCTTACTAGTACAGCCTTAGAAAGTGGGTCTACCTCGCAGTGCACGCCTTAGGCAGTGTAGCGGCCACTTGCTTTTACAAGCACCATCTTCTGGACAAAATGCAGCAACACAATAAAAAACCTCTCCCTGTTTAACACTTGTAGTTAGTCACTCTGGGTTATAGTACAGAGGTGATTTTTTTAGACGACAAAAAAAGTATTTAAAGTGCATTTTATACACAAAATTTTATAGAGGTTTAGGTGAACTTCTGAGAAATTCATGGACTGTCTCAACCGTACAGTTGAGGAGTTTTGATTTTCTGACGAGTACGTATATAACTGTGCTTCTATTTCTAACTCATTGAGGTGCTGTTATCCTAGAACTACTAAAAGCTGAAGGATCATAAACAAGAAAAATGGATGTTTCTGTTCCCAGGTTATTCTTAACTTAAACAGCGAGCTCATAAAAGCGACGACACCAGAGAGTGATGGTGAAATCCTGTACCTGGCCGCCTCTTTGATAATATTTTGGAGGAAGATGAGCCGGGTGTCCAACGTGCCTTGGATCTGTTTCAGGAGGAGGAAGATCTTCTCATAGTCTAAAACAGAAAGGAGAAATTTAACTGCTGTGTTTGTAAAACCAGGTAAAGACAGGATTCCTTCTCTAAACAGAAACAGGAGCAAGCAAACAACAAAAATACATGTTTTTTAAAGTCAAATATTTGATGCTTTGATATCTGACAGCTATTCCAGGATTCAGAGTTAACATCCAAGTAAGTTTTAGAGAGCTACAAGCCTCATAACCTGTAGATGTTTGTGCCTTTCATTAAAAACTGTTAACTATCACAATGGCTGCCTGGTTGCAACAAGACTCTATATTCACTGTGAATCAAAAATAGAAATTTAACTTCAATTTTCGCTCTTTCAGTTTGTGTTCAATAAGTCATTACATTATGAAAACATAAAGTTACAAATGTGTGTTACACTAAAACCCAATTTGTCATGTTGGTAAGAAAGATGCTCGGCTGGTGAACGTCTTAATCAGCCTGCTACCTCAGCTGGTGAACCAAAAAGTTTATTTCAGACCCTCATTTAGCTCTTTCTATTCAAAGATATCATTTTCAGCTACATACGCCTGCCAGGTTTCCTGATCTCCTTGGTGATGAGCGTCCTCAGCTCGTTGTTGACCTTTGTCGTCTCCGTGTGAATGTGCTTCTTCAGAGCTGTGGGTGACAGGTAGCGAGGGGGCTGGTCCTCCAGCAGCAACACCTCCGCTCCTCCTTCACTCCCCGGGAGCAGCTCGCCCGCCTGGAGTTGCCCGTTCTCCTCCTCGTCTCTGTGCCGCAGGTCCTGGAGGTCTGCTGATGTGTGGTTCTCCTCGTGGTCTGCCGGCCCTGACGGCTGGTCCGAGTCTGAGTCTGAGCTGTAGTGGTTCTCATTCAGGTGGTTTATGATCAGGTCCGGTTCAGGCGCTCCATCGGTCATGTCTATGTCTGCAGGATAAGAGAGTTACAAACACATGTAAGAATAAAAGGTGTTTGTTTTCTAAATCACAGCGTTAGTGTCCTCTTCTGTTCAAGAAGGAAAGTTTTCTGTGGAACTTAATTGATAAATTTAAAAGAAAAAAAACAATAACATGATTAAATGTGTCTCAACACTTTTCTCACCTGGTCGAGGGCTGGCAGGTGGCGTGACAGGAGGCGTGTATGCCCGTCCCAGACGCAGCAGAGGGGACATACAGCGTCGTCTTTTTGGCCCTCCCCCCGTCATGTTGTTGCTGTCTCCAGGCCTCTTCCCTTTGTTCTGAGGGCCGGTCACAAACTCATCCGCCTCGTCGATCATCATGCCCTGAAAAAATAGAGACGATGAGGACGGTCAGTTTGTCTTTTTGACGTCGATTTTTGATCATCCTGTTTCAGCGTTTGTGTTGTTATGAGGCAGCACCTTCTTGTCGAGTTTGAAGGGGTTGCCAAATGTGTGCAGACGTTTGGGCTGTTCAGGATCTGCGTCTCGAAGAGGCTGAGGAGCAGCTTTGAGGAAGTCTTGATAGTTTCCCATCTGGGCTATTGGCACACTGTGGAGCTGATCTGGATGGGAGACAGGAAAAAGCACCAATGAGGAAGGAGAATTTTACAATTTGCCTCTCAAGGACTGGCGAGAAACCATCATTTTCAGGTTAAGTTTGTCTTTGGGTACGGTAAGGAGAATAAACAGAGCACATTGAGTGTTTGAAACAGGCTAACCTGAGTCCTGCCCTCTGAGACTACAGACGCTGGTGTTGAGCAGGTTTCTTCTCATCCTGCTGAGCTGGTCCAGTAGGTGGCTGCGGGGGATGTCGTAAGGATTCCTGAAGCTCTGCGGCTTCAGACCCTGATAAGGATCAAGGAGATGGAGGATTGTAAAGCAAGAGATGGGAGTTTTGGGGGGTAGAAGGATGGTTTTCTGGTGAAAAACTGCAGTGCTTAGGTAATGAGAGAGTAAATGTAGAGTGGAAACTTTCGAATAAGGACATTAATCATCTCCACTAATTCTTCAGAGGGTTAAAAAACAAGCCAAGATGGCAGGGAAAGTCTGAATAAGAAAACTTGATCTTAAAGACAACCTGCTACTCTGATCTTTACTCTCATACAAACATATAATGTCACAGTGTCCTGTTACAGCAGGAAATGTCTGCTAAAGAGCTGAATGTGGTGTTAACATAGTAGCTGACAGATAGCTTTAGATATTTTCTCTAACTTTTTACAGGGTTTCAATGTTGAGTTTAATTCAGTGGACACTTTTGTCTAAAGGGACGCACATTCACTGACTATGAAGCTGTGTAAAAAGTAACACCCACAAACTGAGTCTAACTTTATATCAGTGGAAAAGGAAGAGCTGCAGGCTGAGTGCTGAAATGATGTATTTTGAGCTGCCAATCATGGAAAGCCACTCTTTAGCCTGACATAATGAAAGGTGAGAATGAGTACAGCAGGTGTCCTTTAAGATAAACATCACCTGTCCAATCAAATAAACCGCAGTAGTGTCTGTATTCATGATAGACTAGAAAGTTCCTGTATAAATATTTGATTTACCTTGTTGAGCAATGCCAGCTGGAAGCCCTGAAACTCTTTGGGGTTGAGCTCCAAGGGCATAGGGGGAGCATCTCCTGAGAGACTCTGCAGCTGCTGGATGAAGTCTCTCCGCTGGGCCAGAGATATCCCTCCCCCTCGCCACCGCACCTTCATGCCAGCCTCCGGTGGGGGCTTCTTACCAATCAAGGCGATCAGGCGGTCGTACTCGATTTTGGACTGGAAAAGTGAACACAGTTAAAATGCATTAAATATAACACCAAATCTTTATTATGATGAATCAAAACAATAAAAACACAAGAGATTCAAGCATCCAAATACGACAACAAAAGCTGGAAGCTTAATTTGCTGGTTCAAGTGTAAAAAATTGACTTTAGAAATTAAGTATTTATTCCGCAAAATTACTAAAATGATTAACAAACGAGTAATGATTAATTAATAGTTGTGGCACTACACAAACTTTTGCTAAAGTGCTTAAAAAAAAAGTCAATAGTACATTTGGAGACTACTTAGGGAGATTTAGTTTTCAGGGAAATGCAGTCCAGAAACTAGTCCAAACTAAAACAACAAACTCAGTCAGACAGAGGGGGTCGAACCTGTTGGCTGAGTTTCTTCAGATAAGACACCACACTGTAGCTCAGACCGTACTCCATGTTGTCTGCCAGCAGGTTCGGTGCTCCCATAATCCTCAGAGCCTTCCTCAGGGACTGTGAGAGAGGAACACGGTGTTAAAAAACGAGCAGAATTGATGTCCTCTGATTAAATCAAGATGAAAAACAAGGACTTGATGAGTTGAAAAGCGACGCCATTTCAACTGACCCCGATGTAATACGGAGGCATCGTCTTCAGGTAGTTCTCGAAGGACTGTCGCCACTTTAAGGTCGGCTTGAATTTGTGCACTTTGATCAAGTCATCTGGAATAAGCAAAAAGAAAACACAAGTTTTCACATGCAAAAAAGTAATTCTTTTTTTTTTTTACATCATGTGCTCGATTACACAAAAATAATGAAAAATTTAAATTGGAGGTACATTTTTTCTCATATTGTGCAAAAAACTAGTTTGCTGTCTGTTTACGACACTTCCAGGCACTTCAACAGCGCTGCCGTTGCCTGATTGGCCAAACATGGTAGCAGTAATTCTCATATATGCTGATACTCATAATCAACTTTACACTTTTATTGTCTGATAACAGGGCTATGCAGATATCAATACTGTGCAATCCTGGTTACCCTCTTCAGAGTCTGTTTAATGATCATTCCCATGTCTGGAAAACAAGATTTATGAGTCAAATAAACGTACCCAGAAGTGGCAGAAGAACGGGGTAGTTGTAGGGCATCACAAACAGGTTGACACAGTTCAGCGCTGTGCTGGCCTTCAGGTAGCCAAAGGGTTGGCCCAGGTCACTGTACTTGGCACTGTTAGATACAAACACCTAAAAAGCAGCAAAATATAAACAAGACATGATTTTGTTGAGTGAATCAACAGGCTGCTGTTTACATGTGCTCAGTTCACTGGTATACGACTGCAAACAGATTAGATTAGAAAACTTTATTCAAACTTTAAAACAGCACCTTTTAACAAGGCTGAGCATCAGTCATATCTGATAACCTCTCATGCTCAAGAGTTTGAACTTCTTCTAAAAGTAGAGTGCACTCTCAGCACTCCCTCTGGGACACATTTTCACCTCGACTAATCTCTGTCAGACTTTCAATTTGGCTAAATGGGACACAGCTTGTGAAAGATGTGCGTTTCTTACTGCAACATGAATTTCCATTTCTGTTTTTAAACACTTGCATGACGAGGTAGACAAAAATGTGCCTCAAAGTTAACAGACAAGCACGCAGCCCCTGAGGATGTAAAGAAATAAACTCGTTGTTTGTCTCCATGGCTTGATAAGAGGTACTAAAATGTAGAGTTAAGTCAGTGGGGTGAAGTAGAGCAAGGAAAAAGAAATCAAAACAAATACATATCTCAGCTTCGGATCAGACTGAGCCCAGCAGGCCTTTGAGCAGCTGCTGTGCTACTTTTGATGGGTAGCATGAGATGAGTTAGCATTTTAGCATACATCATTGAAAAGCCTCACAATTGTTCACAAATTCACAATCACTGCAGCTGTTTTTCATGAGCCTTCTTTAGTTAAAATGTTAGATGTGCTTTCTGAGGCCGTTTGTTGTTGTTTTGGACTTGTGCTTTTCTGTTGCCGACCAGGTATTATTCGTATTTGCTCACCATGTATACAATTTTCTTTTTTTATATCAATTAAAGATTGAGTAGAAGAAATCTCATTGTTTCCTGCTCTTTGCTTCTGATAAACTGCAGCTCCTGACACATACTCTGCAGGTGATCCCAGAGGAAGAGAGAGGTCCTACAGGACATCCCTCCTGTTAATGACTGAGGTACAATGTGTTATGTTAAAAATAAACCATCTCTATCCAACAAATCTCAGCCTAAGAACCAAAGAATATATATTTATCAACTTTGATTTGCTACGGGATAAATGAATGATAGCTCTCAGCTGGAAAAAGTCGGTGCCTGGATTAAAAATATGACAGACTGCATATCAACAGAGAGAATAACTTCTATTATTGTTTAAAGACAAAACATGGAGATATAAAAGAGCTTCTACAGAAGGAAGACTCAGAACAAGAATTCTTAAGTCTCTGTGTTATAGTCTATAATTTTTTTGTCCATATAGATATGAATATATATACAAACTGTATGTGGGTATTTATTTGCATACAAGTATGGGTGTAAAATGTGTATTTATACATCTGTTTTAATCTTTTTCCATTTAGAGGTACCATTTAATTTTACACTTTAATTTTAATGTTTTATGCAAATTTTGGTTGTGGATGTGTTGTGGAAGAAAAGCTCTAAAAAAGGAGAGGTAAAGTATGTTTCTGTGCAAAGGTGGGGATGACTGTAGAGAGTTCATGCTTTAGCTTGAGTTTCATAAATACATTAATAAACTGTCTCATCTCTCTATTTAAAAGTGATGCCCTGTAATTGTTGCAAATGTCAGTGTCGTCACTCTGTGGGAAACAGTTTTATACATATTAAGTATTTAATATATTTTCTGTGCTGAGAACTCATTTTCCTCTCATTTCAACACCGTATGAATACAGCATTTTATGCCAGTGTACTAATTAGATTCAGTCACTGTTTAGCACATGCCAGATGCTGAACAGTCACTGGAATATTTTGGATGTTTTTTTATAATCACTTCACTCAGGGTGTGAAATTGTGAAAAACTCAAGTTCCCACATGCAGCTGTGTGACATAAACTACCATCAGACTACTGGATGTTTAGGATGTTTGAACGTCGTGTCACGTGTTTGATGGTAATGTACCTGCCAGCAGGTGTGTGGGGACTTCCTCTCCAGGATGTACTGAGTGAGAGGCGAGGGCTCCAGCTCGTACTTATCGAAGGGAACCTTGTCAATCACCATCGGCTCTGCGTCCAAACAGGAGAACCGAACGTGGGGGTGGGCTGAGCGAGGGGGCTGAACGAGACACAGAGAGAGATGTTAGAACCGCCCATGTCTCAGCATTGTTGAAATAATGGAAACAGAATAACACACTGAGTGGCAAGTCTGTTTACAGAGGATCTCAAATTTGACCGTGAACTAGAAAGCTAATAGCAACATTTGCAAAGATTCGTGTCATGACTGTGAAGGAGATTTAAGACTGAACAGCCACTCAAGCACACACAGTGCTGCTGTTTTTTTAACCATTTAATTCAGTCAAACAGACAAAAGTTTTGCAGAGCAGCTCCAGCTTTCCATCCATTTTTTGTTACAGGTTCTACTAATCTGAGTTATGCTGCGAGTAAAAACTGAGGAAACCGTATGCTTTGGAAAAAGAACACAGAGTCCTTGTGCTTCCATCTATGTAATGTGCACCTTTCTTTAGCCCTATCCACTTGGGATCAGTATTATCTGGAGGGACCGTGATAATTTAAAATAACTGTGGAGGACATCTGTGTTTTTAATCCTGTGCAAATCGACCAAGTCTGTAATTTGTGAGGGAAAAAATTCCTGTGGAAACTACCTACCACATTTAAGACACAGAGGTCTCTGATAACATTAACTCAGTAAGTTGAGGTCACACTTTTTTTTTTTAAGTGGGCTTGTGCGCCTGTTTTCTTGATAAACAAAGGTATTGTGTGTGTAAAACTAGCTGGGTCATTTGGCCTCACAGTATGGAGACCTATTTGCAGAAGGAGCAAACGACCATCTATCAAGAGATTCATATAGCTTTATTCCCTTTGCAGTGTTAATAGTAGGTGTACAGTGAGGCACTGTCGCCTTCACAGAGCAAGGTCCACCGCACTTATTGTATGTATAGAAGGAGAGACACTTTCAGGTCTCACTACTTCCCTTTTCACTGGAATACTGTAGTGGGAACTATCTGACCTTTCAATTAAATGTACCTTTCATGCTGGTGACTGTCTCTTTTTTAAGTCGATCACTCCTGAATATGAACTTTGAACAGATTTGAAGTGAATCAGGTATTATCTTTGTTAATTTTGATAATCAATGTGCTGTTGTTCTGACATTTAGCTGACAATATTATTGAGGTTTAAACGCAGCGAATTACCATCCAGCTGCAGACTGTTTTTCTCGTCTCCTGAGTGTTTCTTGACCAGCACACTTTAACAACTTTCTCTGTGTTTGTGTTGCTTATTTTGTGAGACTAAACACAAGCTATCTAAGAGGAAAATCTATAAAAAAAAATCTCTGCAAATGTCCAGGATGAGTATGCATACATTAATCTTAAGCTGTAGATGGTGCTTATGTTGTCAAACTACATAAATGTTTAATTGTGACTAAGTGTTTCTTACCAGCGTGGGGGAGTTCTGGTCCGGCCAGAAGGCCTCGGGTATCGGCCAGTGACCGATGGGGACGCCGGTTTTAGGGTTGGGTCGTACGTAAATCAGCTTGTGGCAGCAGTGCCACGGCTGTGGGCCGGACTTCATCACTTCAGGGGGAGCATCTGCAGGCAAACAGAAGCAGCTGATTTTCCTGCGGTTACCGACAACAAGGGTTGTGTTTTCGAGGTATGAAAAACAACAACAACATGATTTTGAAACTGTAGCCGTGTGTGGGCAGTTTAAATTTGAAGGTAGGGGTTTAAAAGCGACATCCAGCAGATGCTTATAAACAAGAAAAGCTGAAAGAGGATTTAAAAAGAACAGTGAGTGGGAGAGAGTAAAGAGAAGCTCGACTTATCAGACAGTGCAGAGCCGTAGCTGTCAGAAAGGGTCCTTTAGAAACAGAATCAGGAGTACATTTCATTGGGAGAAACAAAAGGTATCTTACCTTCTAAAGGAGGAGGGTCAGGGCCTGTTTTCTCAAAATTAATCACCACGCCGCTCTGGATTTTTTGCACCAGAGACTCCAGACACTGATTCAACATACGCTGAGAGAACACGCTGTAGGAACGACCTGCAGAACAAGCCCAGAAGACAAACAGGAGCCATTAAAAACCTGAAAGTGTGGTTAAGAAGACACTGTCGAAAGAAGCAACGATTCTCCTAGTGAAAGCTAAATCCTCTGTAATCTTTATGGGTTTGGCTGTCAACTTCTTTCAGGCAGCGGTCATTACAATTTTAAACCACTAGAGGGCAGTAGACGAAGCTGAAATAGCAACATTATCTCTTCCTGTCAGTTTTTCTTTGGAAAGAGTGAGTTGGTTACTATCAGACAAGGACCATCAGACCCAGAAATGAAATATCGCTCATTAGGAATCACATTTGTAGTCCTTGAGGAATTAGGGTGAAATAATAAAACTCTTCCTTTCGATTAGGAAACACCTGTGGAAAATAAACGTCTACCTCTCTGTTGGAATCTCAAGTTTCTTTCCTCATCTCTTACTTTGTCTCTCAGGTAGCGTTCAGCGGGTTTATCAGAACTGGAAAACATTTGCCTGCTGCTACAGGAGCAGGGTTAAGGCTGAATCACACAGTAAATGAGCCATAACAACAAAACAGTGAGTTTAAAGTGACTGGAAGGCTCCATGCAGCTGTGAGAACTGCAGAGACCGATGATTGTTCTGTTTGGGTTCGTCATAATGAGTGAACACTTCCACGTCACACGCAGCCAAAGTAAACATGATCCATAGTTAATGCAAACCATGTTGATTAGAACAGCTTTGTGGAGCAAAAGTCAGTCACATCTTCAAGACTTGATCGAAACTAAAAGGAAAACACAAACAGAAGTAAAACTCTGATTTAGGACAGGATTATTTCTGAGGCTTCTTTAAATAAAACTGTCTGATGCATCATCCTGTCACAGACAGCATGGTTGGTGCTCCCACAGTGAATTTGACCTATTTCACAAGTTGCACTGAGGTAAATAAACAAACATCCTCCATCTCCACCTCTGAATACACTCCAAACAGGTATTACAACAGTATCAGACTGTGTGATATCAGAGAGCATAATTAAAGCCTTTTGTTATCACTCCTTCATATCTGCAGACTTATTAAACTGGGACCAATGCTCATCAGGCCTGCACAATGAACTGCAATCTCACCGCTGTTGCATTATGAGTGTTTGCAATAAGCACAAAACAAAAGCGCCGATTCATTGCAGTAAATGTAAAAATAATTTATGTAATCAAGCGATACATTTTCACTCAACTTGCGTATTTTGAACTCATTGTATGGAGGCTCTGGTGTAATAGATATGCTTTTTACACAATTATGAGACAGTCAAATGAAACTTAAGTTAGCTACTAACTACCCTCAGATTAATTTGTGACAATTATTAGGCGAATAAAACTTTTTGGGTTCATTTGTGTTTACGTTTACACATGAAAAACAGCAGAGACAACAGAGACAAAGACACACTCTGAATGATGGATAATGATTGGTCAAAGGTTGACCAATCACTAGCAGAGAAATGAAGACAAAATGTAATAAAACAGAACATACATTAGCAAGGAATGATAAAACACACAAGAAGCTGAGTCAAAGAGACATCAGTCGAATTGAAGAAAGCAAACAAAGAGCCATCACAAACAGCGGCATGTTACGAGCTCTAGCAATGAGACAGGACCTGTCGAGCAAGAAAGAAAAAGCCAAGAGAGGAGTGAAAGGGATCTTAGGAGGACCTCATGCTGCTGCTGTTTTCTGAATCTGTTAGGAGTGATGACTTTAAAAACTTGTTTGTTTAGACTTTTCTTTAAATGAAAATGTTGAGTTCAATTTTATTGGACTTGCTGATTGGCTGATTAGAATACTGTTGCCTTGGGAGCGCTACAAACCTTTGAATTTGAAGGACTCTTGCTTCAATTAATCATCCTGAAAAACGTGAAATTGGTCTTAAGTTGAACACTTTTTGGCATAACCATCAGACAACTATAGATTATCTATACTGTGGTTAATGTTAAGATTTAAAGATGCACTTGGAGTAATAGTACCAGGGGTCACGGTGGTTTATCTGTACAGGAGATATCTATATTATCTAATTACATTTGTCACACCTTCCTATTGCAAACACAATATTTAATAGTATAGCCATTCATCTCAGTATTATATACTCTTAAACTTTTATTGGTTAATATTAGTAATTATCCTGCATCACTACTACATAATTGTGAAATGGACCGCTAATATAATTCATTTTTATGGAGCTCTATCAGCCTCTGCTGGATCTCACAAACATTCAAAGCAGGTCCATTTGCATGATCACAGCTCTTCATATCTGAATCTGATTTAGTCATAGCATCAGTCACAGATAAGTGAAGGTCTCATGATTAATCAAACACACTGTTTCACAAAGATACAGCCGATTTGTCTAATTTTGCCTTCTGGACTTTCACTACCTCGAACTTGACCTGTAATGACCTTGTTATGCACCCATTCACTCAGTGGTTTCAATAGGCCGCAGCTTTGTGTCAGCTCTGCCATCAGCAGTACTGGACAGGCAGCATGTACTGTAGACTGTCACTGACAATGGAGCTGTGTCATGATCTGCATTCAGCCACCACTGACAGAGCTTTGGTGTGCTCTGTGCCCTCCCTCTGTGTGAGTGTGAGAGAGGGTGTGTTAATCTTAACCTGCCATCAGCATCATTCTAGTCTGTTCCTCCTGGCGGCTACTTCCACAATCAGGCAGTACGAGGACAGGAAGAATAAAATCAGAGACGTTATTTAACATGGATACAGCCGCAGTGATGTCACACATTGGTGTCTGAAGAGGCGTAATGCTGCCCAAAGATAGAAATGCTGACTCCAACTGACCTCTGGTTATTCTAGACAACTCAAAGAGGGGAGTTGTGGACACAGCTTTACCACCTAGCAAACAGCCAAGTCAAACAACCGCTAATTATGCAAAACTTTAAGCCCGAATAAAAACAGAAAGAAATAAAATATAAAACTAATATTCTGTGGGGCTGATATCAATAAATTTATGAGCTATAAACAACCAAAACTTTTTTTGTACCAGGCTGTAAACATGTTTTTTTTCTGCTGTAAAAATGGTTGTTTTAATGTGGGCTCGAATGGGGTTTCTTTGACTTTAGGAGCCAGCCTCTTGTGGACACTTGAGGAACTGCAGTTTTGTTTTGCACATCGCATCAAGAAAAGCATTGCCTTCAATTTTCAACACCACAGGCTGCTGCTTAAAATAAATTCAACATCTGGTGGCAGATATCAGGATACACCCAGAAAATTGGCACTGGGTATCAGCGGGTACACCAGTAAATGCACGTTTATGATAATCTGTATTTTTAGCTGCATATGGGCTACTTCTTTCTTTTTCCCCTCACAACAGTCACCTACATGGCAATGAGTTATGTACTTTTAGTTAGAGGACATTATTCAAACACGTAAAGGATGAGATAGGCAGAGACTGCTTTGTCCACAGGGGGCGCCAAAATCGACCCAGCTGGAAAGTTCCTCACAGGAACTTAAAAGGCTTCTACACAGTGATGCACAATTTTAAATCATATCAAAGTCTAGGAATGCTTTAACTGTTTTTCCAATCAAAAGATTGATGCATGATAAAAAATGACCACAATGGTCCACAGAGCAAATCCAGACCTCCCTAATGTCTTTGTATGATTATAAATGCACAACTGAACAGATCAAAGTAATGAAACCACAAACAGGTCCAAACAAGTCCAAACAAGTCCAAAGTAATCTGATCCATAAAATGAGTACAACATGACAATCAGCACAGACATGGCCCACATTATGACTCCTACAGTGCATATCAATATGACATTGTTATACTCTTCTCCTTTTATAACACTTCTAACTGGTTGTACCTGACCCGGGAGTGAGGAAACAGGGTATGAATTTCTGAACAAATGAAGATCATCGACTTGAAGGTATATTAGTGGGCTTTGAAGTTTCTTAATGTGATGGGGAATTCTTGGCTTTCCAGCCTTAATCAACAATAACTCCTGAAGAGCACTTGAATGAAGCACTTGAGCTCCCCAGAGGAGCTCCAGCAGACCTGCTCGCAAGTTGAAACTACAGTGTTTGTACTGGGTCGTTTCGCTCCAACTAGCAAACCTGTAAACACAAGTTACTCTGATTGTTGAGCAAGACATTGCTGAGACAGAGCTTGGGGGTGTCCCTCACTGGAGAGAACAACAACTGCCAAGACTCTCTCTCTCTCTCTCTCTCTTCCCCGTCACTAAGTTTCCCCATTAAAAACAAGCACATCATTCTGCCCGGTTTTTGTATTGACCGAGATGATTCATCAGCTGCTGCTAGAGAATGCATTTAACAAACAGCTATTTTGATCTCATGTTATAAATACTTTGAGCTCGTCCCAGCATGTTCCAGCAGGCCCTGCTGTAGAAATTAGGCTTGTGTCAGTTCCAGGAGAAGTGGGTCTATTATGTTTTTTCCAAAATAAGGTTTGAATGACATCTATTTACAAGTCAGTGACTATCAAAAACAAAAACACATTACAGCGCTCTATGAACTACTACGAGTGGCTGATACATTCTGACGTACAGGTAACCAAAGACCAAGTGTTTAAGGATTTGTTAAACTGACTTTATGTTAGCCAGTAGAGTATTCCTCATGAGTTTTCAAGACCGTTTCTCTCCAAAACATAATTTATCTATTCTCTACAAAAGCTTCAAGTTTCTTGTATAATCCTTTTATTTGACACTGCATTTTTGTAAGTGTATGAACCAAATTCAAGATGTGGCTTAATTACTGTTTTTAGGTAATTGTCTTTTTCAATACCAGACTGAAAAAACATTATTGTTAACAACTCAACTAATAAGGACAATAGAATGATGTCAAGCTGCAGTAGTATTTTTTGTTCAACAAGACTTAAATGATCAGAATAAAGTCTGCTATTGTCTTTTGTTTACCCAAATACAAGAGATAGTTTGCCTTCCTAAAAGGAAGTCCAGAGACTTAAAAGAGACATAAAACAAAGACTAGTGGATGTAGAAGAGGCTGAGAGATCCTCTGGGTCAGGCACTAAAAGCGAAGCACTTATAATCCTGCAATTCCCATTATGCAACTTAACCGAATCTCCCATTAAACCTTTCCTGCCTGTTAATATCTGTAATTTCTGAAACTCAATTTCCTAAATTCAGAACAAGTTTTCTATCAAAAATAATGAAGTCAATCTACTAGAGGTAGTCCTGATATCTTTGCCAGGGGAGACAGAGTCATAGCTTAGGGATGTGATCAACAAAGAACCACAATCAGGAGAATATATAGTGTGCAGAGCAAGATTATTAGATTTGTGACTGCACTGATATATATGTTCGAATTCATGTTTAAATATAAAAATACCTGCATCATTAGCTTCTTCTGTTTGATAAACACCAATAAAATAATATTTGGAGTTTAACCACAGCCCCCCTACACGGGCTGCAAAATGAGAGGGGGAGTCAGGAAATTTGGAACATAAATTGATTCCCTGTCTTTTGGTGAATTTTCTTGTACCAATGATGCATTTTTTTACTTAATTTTTTTCTCTTTGTGTGCTTGGTTTTTACACGTCTTTTTAGTGCATCTGACCCAATTTCACATCAATGAGAAGTTAGTTTATCTCTGAACCACTGGCCTTTTTTGCACAATCTGTGTAGCATTTAAAAGTACATTACATATACAGTATGTAGTCGAGTTTTGTCTCAGATAACTCAAACTATTTCCGTTTGATTTGAAGCAAAACGTCAATTTGCTGTCTTGATACAAGGTTTTCACTTTACAATTATCATGGCCATAAAATATCGTGATATGATGATACTTCTGGAAAATTTAAGAATAAAAGAACACAATCAGTAGCAATAATAATATTTATAATCATATAATATACCCTTATAATTGTTACAAATCTGTAAAATGTACTAAGAAATGGTATTAACTAAAATGTTATCGTTTGTTTCTAAGGATTCCTAATCTAAGATCCATCCACATCACCAACCCTGCAGCTGAAACCTCTATGGAGAAGACATTGCCCCATAAAACGATAGTTTGTCATGCTTTTATTTTGACCTTTTTTCCTGCCTTTATTTCCTAAGTTGGAAAACCTTTTGACTTGAAGTACAAGCTGCTTTTAATAGATGTTAGTTACAGAATTGAATAAAAACACTGGGAGAATGGTTAGAAAATATCAAATCACAATTGTCTAATAACCCAAACATATATCATAAATGAACAAAACGCCAACTTGTTCTCTGCCTACCTCCAGTGACCTCACACATGGGGGTAATTGGGGAATCATCTGGCGGGACACCACCGAGGGGTTCGGGCTCTACCGAAGCGTTGCCAGGGATACGCAGCACCAGAGCGAACAGACGCTGGTCCCAGCGGAAGGGCTCCTTGGTCAGCTCACTACCCGGCAGCGGGGTGGTCAGAGGCAGATGGAGCTAGTAGAGGAGAGAGACGGGGGAATGAGCATTGATTACAGAGAGAACCGTGACTCAGATGATAATGTGTGGGTGATTGACAATGTGATAATATGTAGACATGAACCAAGAAGAGACAATTAAGATCTGTGAGTAGAGATTCTGTATACAGTATATTACAGTAGCTTTCATCTCATATCGCCGAGTTGGATATTTTAAAGAAAAACTCACACGGTGTTTCATTTACCAGGCTTTTAATCAAGTGTATTATCTAACTGCCGATTTTCACTTTTGAACAAAAGCAGTCCGCTGATAAAACACTAATTTACTCCCCAAATCTTTTAAGCACACACCCACGGCCATTTCAAGTGCTATTAAAAGATTTTGTAGTCTTGATGCATCATCCCTGCACAGGAACAGGCACCTCATCAGACTGCTTTACAAACATTCATTCTCAGTGCCTTATGCCTTTTTTCTTTCTTTATAACATTATTTTGAGGCGGCCTGGACCTTCAAATTACCGGGCTGAGAGCTGTTATTTTTCTTGCGACTTGTTCCATGTCTGAACAAGCGGAGGCCTGGTATTATGACAAAGGCTATAAATTACACTGTGGCTGCAGAATCTGAGGTTTAATTGTACGGGTTTGACCTCGACAAATTTCAGAGCCACAGAAATCTCCTTTCAGCTGAATATTTCTCCTTTTCTATCTTGTGAATTTCCCACAGAGGTGACAATTTTTAACAAATCAAGAAGGCTTTTCACATGGTTTTCTTTTTCAGCTTCAAGAGGAAGGATTCAACCAACTGAATAAAACAATTTACTTTTGTTGAGTCGCTTAAATTGTGCTCAATTTCTGGGTTCTCTCGAATGGGTATATTTGCTGTTTTTTCCATCTTTTATGACGCAATTTAATGACATTTTGGTTATTGATTTTGGTGAGATAAAACAAGCAGCATGACTATTGCAGCTTTGGCTTTGGGAAGTTTTACGGGACTCTTTTTACCATCCACCAAAAGGGTCCATTATTAGGTCCATTATCATCCATCAATAACAGCAATCTACTCACAAAACAACTCCCAACTTTAAAATGACCAGAACTAATTTTTTTTATGGTTATGATATCTAAATTAGATGTTGCTATCCTCCCAGATTGAGGGTGGGGCTGCTGAATGTTTCATGGTCACAGGGTGAATCTTAACACGTTATTTAAAAAAAAATTAAATTAAAATAAAAGGACAGTTTCCTTTTATGATTACATTCTAGCTATAGGTACTAGATTTTTAGTGGGTTTTCACATGAATGCCTTTGTTATCATTTATGTCATAAATTATTTCTGCTGGTTTTTGCACGGACATGATCTTGTACCTTCCCACATGAATATAAGGCTTTCTACTCATGTATATATATATATATATTGTTTACGTCTATTGACATACCATGTTCATTGTTAAGCACTAAAACATCACAACAAATTCCTCTGTGTAAAAACCGACTAGGCGACAAACTCAAAGTCTGAATCATGTTCTTCAGGCAAACCCTAACCTCTACGCTCTAAGTCTTTATAGTGATAAGAATAATAATAGGAGATGGAGAGAGCTTTATAGGAGCTAGTTTTTTTTAGTTTTAGAACATATGTTTGAGTGTTAGGAGGTCAGGCAAACAGGAGGCGCTCCTGATTGGCCGACATCCCTTCGCCTCTGAGTAGGTTTTTGGCTGACCTCGTCCTGGACGCCGCTGCTGCTGGTCAACTTGCTGCCGTCACTGATGGCGATAATGATGGCTGGTTCAAGGAAGAAGGGGTTCCTTCCCTGAAATTAAAGAAGAAAAATATATCCTGATTAATTTAGAAAGAAGCAAATGAGTTAAACTGAGAAGAGAAGACGTGAATTGACTCCATTTAGGAACCAAGCAGCTGTGTATTTGTAGTAGTTGAAAATCAGAGGCATAAATGAGCGCAGGTGATGTATCATTAAATAGGGAACTTGTGGAGGATTTATTTTAAATCGGTGGGAGAGTAAAAAAGAGAAACTCTGAGAGGTAATAAAAAGAAAGTAAGAGTGCAGTCTTTAAGAGACTATATTGATAGATTTGAGACTATCTCTGGCATCTCTGCAGTGTGTGGCAGAGTACTTTACCTGAGGATCTACTTTTAAAACCTCCTTTTCCTGATAGACCTCACAGTGTTTCCTGACAGCAGCCCTGCACACTGATAAAATGAAAGTGGAGCAGCACATTTATCACCGTGCTTCAGCCCTGTGGGAGCTCCACGGAGGCCAAAGAATAACTTGGTGAGTTAAGAGCGTAAAACCTCAACTCGGGTCGACGTGTCCTGTCAGCAAACAGTCAACGGAGCAGACCTTACTGCAGAGTCTCTCACACACACACACACACTCAGTCCATAAACACCGTCCTGTTTCTGACAGCAGTGTGATTATTAATGGATGTGGCCCCGCTCAGTGTGGACCCTACCTGTAGGCTGTGGTTTGTGCTGAATGATGAATCTGTCCACTTTCACAAACAGACCAAAGTAAACAGAGCAGGATGCGACCAAGATCCACTCTGCTGGAGGTATCCATGACAACCTGGCTGATTTTTTCCCCATCCAACCCAAAATCCCTTTATGATATCGAGCACTTTCTTGGCATGCTAATGAGTTGGTGATGGGGCTAAAGTTGCCAGACGAGTGATGATGATTTCATCTGTGTCACATCAGCTCACTTAGCTGATACTGTTGCTATGCAATTAGGCATTTGGCTCGTTTCTTCAGCCCCTACATGACAAAAACAGCTACGAAAATGAGACTTTGGGACATCACAGCAGTCCATATTGATGATAAAAAGCAGCAGTCAGATCGACCTCAGTAATCTTATTCATGGTTGTCTTACATGCTGGTAAACTGCAGTACTTAAAATTAAAACAACAACGGAAAATTAATGATGTAGCTGCTCTTCTGAATACTGATTTTTTCAGGGTCAAATTTAGGACTGATCAATCATCTTATGTGACAGCAAACTAATAACCTTGGATTTTAAGTTTTATGAAAAAGATATCTAGATCATTTTTGGCATTTGGGATTGATTTGATACAGTTTCTGAGCCGTCAGATTAAATGATAAAATAAGAAATGATCAACACATTCATCAAATTACTAGTAAAAACTTGTGTTTTAAAACTGATACTTCTTTTTTTCTCAGTCCTTTAAAAGGTGCTTAGAAAAGTCAAAGGACAGCTAGTGAAATTGGATTTTTGGGCAGTCTGTCATGTTCAGAGATGAAAACGTAACAGGAAAAAGGTCATAAATTATTCTGACACGTTGTTCAAGTCAAAGTTGAAGCAAAAATATTCAAGTTAAGATCTAGATACAAGTCCTCAAACGTGGATTAGTACACATCTATTTTTCCATTATCATAGTTTATAGAATTCCACCTTAATTTTCTGTTTTTAGTGGTGTTGCTGTGATATAGTTTTATGAAACCTTTTGAGCTACATGCTTTGATGAGAGATGTGAAATCAATCAAGCTCCTGTGAGGAGTATTTTGGTGGTTATAAAACTAAGTGAGATTAATGAAGTGCCTCCTGATGACCCTCAAAACAAAAACAAGCCTCACGGTGTAAAGATAAACTACTATAAATTCTCAGATATAAACCAGGGCCTTTATTTGCTAAAACTGCAGAAGGTACCAGGCCTTTATATGAAGCAGACTTGTATTAGAGGCAGCTCTAATCTACTATTATCAATACATACTCTTCCACAACCATGCCAACAAACTATAGGAGGGCACTTGGTCTAAAATAAATGACAATGGTAAGATGACGCCAAAGACAAAGAGAAACAGAGAGCGCAACAAACAGACAGAAAGAGATTTTAGAGTGGATATAAATAAGGACAGAAATTAAACGCTTCACTTAATTCAGGGTTTTTTGGGGTATTTTTATCAATTTATTTTATGCCTAAAACTTTAACTCGTGTCAAATTTGGTGATCTACAGCATGCAACAAAAACAAACTTTTGTGTTTTCACCCGCAAGGTATTTTATAAGCGATCAATTTAACGGTTACAGAAATGGAGAGGAAAATTTTTGTGAAATAAATTCATAAATTCATATTACAAAACAAGCGATGAAAGATACCAACATCAAAGCAAACCACGAGTTCCTCACAGGATCTTTCAGTGAAAGCCAACTTTAGGTTTGGGGTCATTAAAAAATGAAGCGATTTGATACTTTTTAAGCTCTTGGGAAATCAGGATGGCTTTTTGAGCGATCTAACAGACCTCATAATTACAAAAGAGACTGTAAATGTAGAATCATTTGAAACCCTAGCTTGGATTATCTGTGGCTGACAGGCAGCTAGGTCAGCCAGGTTGTCCTACATGAGGATCTCTGGTCAGTTAACATAATGGCAGACAGGCTGAGCTCCATTAATACTCTGTTTATCACCCCTCTGACAAGTTAACTTACGACCCAACATCACCGGTCATATCATTTCCTCCCCCGTCTTCTCCCTCCTTTGCTGTTCGCTTAATGAAAGCATGATCAGTGTCAGGATTACCCTGCTGCCTGTCTCGCTCTCTACCTCCATGCTTCTCTTCAACTCCCAGGGGAGAGTCATCTCAGATGCCTGGCAACCTGGAGGGTTCTTTGTTACTGTAGCAAGAAGCCCTCCAGGGCAATATTAACTCCTCCACAGCAGCCCGACTCCCCCTTTGTCGTCTCCCTCTCTGCCCCACTGAACATCTCAAGGATGAATATCAAAGTCGACTTTTCTTTATGAATTAAAGAGGAAAAACAAAAGCAGACCATGATGACTTATTAAGCGGGACACTTCAGATAGAAAACACCAGCTGATCAAAAGCCTCCTCGTCGCTTTGATTTACAGCTGAGGAAGAAAAACTGACTGAGATAACGCAGACAGAAAGTGTGTGTAAGTCATCAGACGGCTGACTGAAGCTTTCTCATATTTGACTGATCAGAGTAAAGAGAGCTGCACCTGATGAGGTCTCTTTGTCTAGGAGGAAATTAGCTTTCTCGCAAGCATCTGCACCCAAGACCCTGCATTTATCCAGCGACCACAGCACTGATAAACAAAGCATGTACCGACTCCCCAATATTAAAACTAGCAGAAAAGTTAAGCACATTATCTGCTCATATGTAAATAAATCTAATGCTGATGCACTCTGGTTCAACCTCACTTAAAAAATCTTTCACAATCAATTAGTAAGGCTTCATTTAAAGGCAGAAAAGGTTAAAAAAAAAAAAAGCGGTAAGCAGCTCACAATAGTAAAGTAATGCTTAAAATGGTGAAGTCATAAAACACTGAACATAAGCAACAATGTTTTTTTCTTCATTGAGCTGATAAGCAGCAAAACTGCCACCAACAGGGAGAGTGTGTCAAACGTTGATAAAAAAACAGAATTTTATGATTTGGAAATCATTTAAACTCTGCCTGAAAATAGTGCAACGACAACATAATTGATGCTGAAACTGTAAAATTAAATGTTTTTTTAAAAGAATATAACACATTATCTATATTGAAAAGAGACCAAACTAGTTGTGAGCTGCTACTCAAGTTTTTTTTTAGCAACACGACATTTTTACTGATTTGTTACTCCTTTCTTAGTTGTTTTGAAATGTGAGGCTGGCAACAAATTTAAAATGAGCATATGCTTTTTATACATTTTCAGTCTCAAAGTTGTTTCTCTGCACCATTTTCAATTAAATTAGGGGTTAAGTTTAACAGGGATAAATTCATTTGAATAAATTACTAACAAGGAATTAGAGATTTGAAAATCAATGAAACAATAAAAATATAAGGTTAATGAAGTTAATATATAAAGTCAAAATATAATGTTAAGAATAATTAATCAATAAAATAAAAAAATAATTAATAAAAAAGTTTTTAAAAATACATAAAAATAAATAATAAATGAAGGAATAAATTATGATTAAAAATATAGTGGGTTTTTTTTGGGGGGGGGTTAAACATGAACAAGGAATATATATATATATATATATATATATATATGCTTTCTTAATTAAAACTAATTGGTAAAAAGTATGTTAATGATATAATTTTAACAGTATATTTTCGGGAAAAATAGACAACAATTAAAACTATAAAACTGGATTAGTTTTAAAAGACGAAGGTAGTTAACCTCCTCAAAAGAAAGTTGAATAACCAGAGGAAGAAAGGGTGTGGGATTAGATGAATGTGAACTTCTGAATACATGCTGGGTTGTGAGTCTAACTTTTCTCACATGAGAATTTGGCACTTTTCTTTTTCAGATATAAATGATAAAGTGAATTTCTTTGTAGTTTGAGCTACAAATCTAACAAAATAAGAGTTGAATATGAATATAATTGCAAGTTTCAGTCTTTCATCAGTGTACCACTCTTTTTGAAAAGGGTATAATAAGCAAATAAAGCACTTTCTGGTAATTACAGAATGGGTTATAATGTCAAAGTTAGGTTGGAGTGTAACAGGGATTGTGTCACCTGTTCTGAAAGCGACCTTATTTCAGCTCTGAATAGGGCAGAGAGGAGAGAGCGGGTCATTAAATAAATAAATAAAAAAACAGTTAAATCAGCCAGTCATTAGAGGTCAGCAGTGACCACTGCAGGACACAGTAACCTTAACCTCAGCACAGAGCTGTTTGTGTGTGTGTATGCATGTGTATGCTCTCAGGCCCTCTGAGTTCATTTTACTGCTGCCAGCTTGACAGTGTTGATGGCATTTGACATTCAAACTCCCCGAGGGTGCCTTAACATGCATTATGTATGCTGTATGTATGTATGAACAGCATGTATTACGTAGACAGTGGGATCTCCTGTTTGTTACCCACGAGATGTCAGCTATGTTTACTAGTGTTCCCATCCTCATCCTTACCTCAACAGGTGTCCAGATTGTATGTTAACAAGATAGGGACTCATCTCGTCAATCAACAGTAACCATCCTGTAAGCGTAGCAGAGGCTATCTTATTTGTAAATCTTACATGTCTGGGACTTTCTTTGTTTATTTTTTCTTCCTCACAAGGCTAAATCAGGGCAGAACCCCTCTTGACTTTTTGTAACAACACACTGAAAGACAGTTTTGTCATCTATTGCTGATAAATCTGTGTTTCAAACCATAAACACAATCTCACACAGCTATTTCTTCGACTACTACCTCCCCGAACTGGAAATTTGACCACAGAGACTTCAACTGGTGATGTCATTAGGCGGCACTTTCTGGAAGAAGGCCAGCCATACTGAATTAGTTACAGACTTTGTGGGCTCAATGAGGATTTGTTTTTCCGTATTCAGCCACAATTAATGTTATGAGAATGCAGGTTTCCAGCTGTGAATCGACTCTGCCGCTCAGCTGGAGGAGAGACTTGTTCCGAACTCACAAGTTCTGGCTGATTTGAGCAGCTAAATGTTCATAACACTGAGGACTTGTGGCTTAAAGTGCATTTCTGATTGAGCTGTGAAACGCCTTTTTTGAGCGTACAAAAAAAATGTAATCTAGGGTAGAGAATATATAAATTATTCAGAGACTTTCTTGTGAGGTTAATCCCCATTTGCTCCTGACATGAATAGAAAAATGATCCCAGCTGCAGAACCTTTACAGATCTGTCTACATCTCACCACCAGCAACACAAATTGAAAAATATATATACTTTTTCCAAGTCTGACAATCTGCTCACCAGGCGCAGCAGGCAGCAGAAAAATTCAACTTAAAGCCGTTCCCTCCAAGCAAAAAGTAGCTCTTTTGCCATTTTTAAGGTCTCCCATGAAAAAAGTAGTCCATTCAACAAAAAGGCAGCCAAGCTATTAATCATACCCTCACAAAATTTGCAAAGCTACATTTTTTTCATTTTTTGAAAGGTGCTGACTGACATTTAAGGTTATCTCAGAAGGCGGACTCATACTTATAAGTGTCTCGAAATTTCATCTCACCTCATTCATGCCAGTTAAGGTCACCGAAATAACAGAAAAACCTCTCGAGGCAAAAAAAAATACAACTCAACAGCACTGCTAACTTTACTATGAGAACATTTTGTGATATCTAGTGTTTCGATTCTGGACTGAAACGTCACCTTGGTAACCCCACCTTGCCCCTGGTAACATGGTGGTACATTTAACTTTTATCCTCCCTTTGTCAAGTTTAAACCTTCAAAATGTCAGTCAGCACTAACTAAATTTTTGTGCATGATAACCGCTCTCTTTTTCTACTACTTGTCTTTTGACTCACAACAGGTACACTATTTTAAATATTATTTTATACGCCATTTATACCAAGTCTGATCTGCTAAATACGACACGATGCACTTTCAATGTGGGTCAACACTTCTCAGAAACAGTAAAAAGCCGAGACTGGTAACCCTCACAGAGATCTGCTATGTTAGAGTGCATTGTTAACTAGATGCTGCTAACAAATAAAACTTAAGAGCATAACAGCTAATACTTTTAAATCGTTTTTTCCCCTTCTAGGCTACAGGAATATGTTTCAATTTAAAGGTACAGCGTATAAAAATTGAAAATTTCAAAGTAAATAGCAGTCAGATTGTAGACAGTAGCTCTCCTCTTGCTCACCCCTCCTGTAAGCAAAAGGATGGTGGCCTTTGAAGACAAAAAGTTGCTGTGATGCAAGATGAGTACAATCCTCCATTTGTCAAGTTTTTTTTTTGCTATCAAAATTATCCATCAACACAAATTCTTTTGTGCACAACACCACTATCTTCTCCTTAGCCTTAAAACTAGTGCATTTCAGGCTGCCACTTAACTGATAACACAACAACGCATGTGTTACTAATTTGTCTGCGCCGTGAAGGTAGAGAAACATTGAGGTTTAGGATGGTAGACTCGGTGGAAAGGGGTCTTATTGCATGAAGATATAAGAAGCTCACTTTAATTTAAAAAATATGTATCCTTATATATTATATTTAAGTGATTAAACATAATTTAAATAAACTCACAGGTAGAGTTTTCTAGTTTTACCAAGCCTGTTTTGTTGAATGCAATTAATTTTGCACATCGTTTCTTTAAATGCCATTTTCACTTTTAGGTTATATTTAAATTATAGTATTTTAAATTCATAACTCTGAGTACGAGATAATGAAACACAAGCTTAAATCACCAGGTTGATGGTGAGATTACTTAAAGTTACACAAGTAAAAAATAAGTTATTTATCTCTCCTGCACTTTTTCCTCCTGTCACCAGGTTGATGGTGAGATTACTAAAAGTTACTCAAGTAAAAAATAAGTTATTTATCTCTCCTGCACTTTTTCCTCCTGTTATATTTGTGTCATGAGAGTGTGTGGGGTCACAGTATGCAGGTGGTTGATGCTTGTAAGACTGGGAGTAGGGGAAGGGGAGCAGCGAGTGGGTGAAAGGGGGTCTGTTTGGGCTATTTAGCAACTTTTTCATAACTCTTTATAACCCTAATTTCCTGCCTCTTTGGTACTACATACCTGTCCATAGTTGTCTATCCCAGTCACTAATCTATTGAGATTGAGTAAATCAAAAGCGGTCCTCAAAGACTGGCCAATAGTTGTGAGTCCGGTTGCTTGGAGGTTCCTCAGCTCTGTCATGAATGTGGCATGACTCTCTTTCCATCCAGCCTGTATAGAAAAAGGGAAGAAAACAAAGACAAAGCATTTCATAATTACAACTGGGATGAGATTAAATAAGCACCCCACTGTTGTGACCACTTGATAACATCAGCTGAAGTTAATGGTTAACTTTAATGTTGTCATTTTTTATGATAAACATGATGTAGGTCACTTCTTTTTAACAAGCCAGTGTTTGACAGCACTGCAGCCGTCCTCACCGATGTTTGTGAGAGAGAATTACAAAGTAGCGTAATGTGCAGTAACTCAAGTGACAATTTGGTCTAAACAAGTAAAGTAAGCTAGTCTGTCACCCCCTCCTCCTCCTCCTCCTCTTCCTCCTCCTTCTCCCCCCAGATATCACCTCGCTGTATAAATAACACCCAGAGTTCCTTGCTGCTCACATTGAAACAAAATGTCGGCCATGTTTTAAAAGGGGTATGAAAGCTCCTCCTGAAGATTTCCTCTACACAATTGATGTAGTGATCACAACGTGGTGGAGCGATGGAGGGACAGTCAATCTGCGCAATGTAAAGCTGGACATGACCCGAAAACAAACTCTACCTTTATCCCGAACGGAACGTCTTCAAAATTTACCAACATGTACCGGTCCCCTCGGCTCGCCGGATCTCTCCCTCTGAGCTGTGGAAATAGTAGACAATTATTTATCGAGAGATCAGGTTTGACAGGCGAGCTTGCAACAGTACAATCCCGCTCGGGATCTCCCAATATGAATGTGTCCCGTGGTTACAGTACCTTCATAAAAGTCTCAACAGCGCCTTTTGCTATGTCCAGATAGGTAGTGCCCAGATGGGTGCGCTGGTTCATTGAAGCGGACGTGTCTATCAGAAAAAGTAAAACGGGCATTGTGATGGTAATGACACGTTCTGCATGGACTTGGTGTCAGTACAACCGGTCAAAACGCAAAAAAAATCTTTTGTTCTCCTGCCGCCTGTATCACCTCTCAGCTAGCTAGCTAGCTGGCTAACTGTCTGTCTCACACATTCTTTCAAAAAAGTGTAAGAATAGTGAGTGTAGAGGCCCTTTCCGGGCAAACTAAACTAAAAACCTCACACCCTAGGGGCAGGTTATGGATTCACGAGGGATTTTGGTAATTTTTACAATATTTTGCAAATAGTCCTAAGTTTCATAGTAACAAAGTTCCCCCTCATAGTGAGTCCCTGCATCTCCCTACACTGAATGCGCTGTGTCTCCGCCACTGGTTTTAATCAAAGCCCTCCGCTAAGCCCCGCCCCCCAAGCGGTCTTTCAGCGTCACGTGTAAGACCTCTCGCTCCTCATTGGCTGTCTGAAGACACTTATTACCATATCCAAATTAGGCCAAAGCTGAGCGTCTCATGCGCATGCTTGCTTGCCCGAGAGGCAGGAATGCGAGGAAAATATTCAGTACATACGCTATGTGTTTAGGAATGTAATATATGGGGATACGCTCTTCTTCTGAGGATTCCTGCAGTTGTTTTTGAATTCGTAATGTTTTTGGTTTGAGCTCATATCCACCCTTAGAGCTGATTGCATAATCCACGTTTACTTCATCCTATGCACGGGCGTGGGCTACTGTGAAAGACAAACCCTGAAGACTGTAGAGAGGAAACTGGATGCAATAACAGACAATATCGAACAAAAAGCAGTGAAATATTAACCCAAGATTGCACCCAGGGTGCACAGAAACTATTGGCTGACACTGTGGCACTTTGTTTTCATCTTATGTCCAAATAAAGACAGCCTTTACAGCCAAACAATCAGAAGGAGGGTAGGTTTCGCTGGATAGGAATTGACATGCGCGCTCACACACCCTTTCTTTTGCTTTTTGACTTGGCTTTCCCATATGTGCAATGACATAAATGCATGTCCTTATACACACATTTGGAATTTGTCATTCCCGATTTGCTCGTTTGGATTTATCAAAGCAATTTGTATGATTGATTTTGCCCTTTTTACCAACTTGGGCTTTCTAAACATAAAGATAATAAGTGACAAGACCACCCCCTCTTAGTTTTTTTGTTAAACAGACCTCAAAGGGTTGCACTGATCGCCTTGTCTGATCAGTTGGGGATTACTCATAAAGACACCTGACACTCGAGCACACGTTAGTGATTGTGCAATACAATTTACATCATGAAGCTCCTTTGAAAATAAAATCACTTCCGTAAAAAAGAGGTGGAAACCATCCGGTAGCAGCTGATAGCAAAGATGAGGAAGATCCGTTGCCTCCTGTTTGACAGAGTTCTCAGAAGCAACAAATACAGCCCTTCAGTTTCCGGTGTTTCCATGACGTGATTTTCAGAATAAAATTGTTTATATGCAAGGTAACTGTCAGAGGTGACCAACTTGTTGTATTAGATTGCACGCGAGAAGAGTCAGGGTTACAATTTAAAGTTAATAAATATCAGGCATTCATATCAACATTTTTTTCACTGTATATGGGAGGAAATCAGGTCTAGCGAAACAACCTACATTTTTAAAATATATATTTTTGAGTAGTTGACAAAGTAAACAAAAAAAATCTAATCAAACAGGTCGAGGAAATTAATATGAAAATTCAGCCAGTATAAAAAAAAAGTATAAAAAAATAGAGCAGTTTCATACCAATAATAAAATGCAAATAGTGTCCCGACCTCTTATACCCCATTTTAAAAAGTAAAATAAATAATTTTAAGTCAATCTTTCATCAACATTTTTTACTTATTCAGCAGTTATTTTTAGACACTGCAGCATTATCTTTAAGCTCATTCAACTTTATCTATGATTACAATTAACATCATATTTGCTATCAAAATTATATGACCAAAATGTGCTTTACAGTAATTTACTGATGTCCATCGAAGATTTTTGAAGCATCTAAAGGGAACCTCAATTCAAAGTTGTTACACGACAGTTTTATCTTTATTTTTAACTTTATTCTGAAAACCAAACAGATTGTTCCCGGAAATCATTATCTTTAACTTTAACCACTTTTAGTGAACAGCCTGCATACTATAAAACATAGCATGTAAAGTTGCTCTGTTGAGGAAGTTTAGAATTTATATTTGCAAATGCAACGACACATCACTTTAAGGTCCCACTTGGTGATGAAAAAGTTCTAAGGCAAATAAAATAATATAAAAACGTGTGTTTTACAGTATGTGTTTTAAATTGAAAGTCATAACCGGATATTTTGTATTTTACTGGAACGTTTCCTTTAATACTGCGCTGCTCTGTTAGTTTTAAACGTGAAGCTACCTAAGAGATTACAATAATAACTTCTGGTTCAAATTAAAGTACCCAAAGCCAGTGTTTACAATTCTCGTAAATGAAAACAGCTTGAGAATGTTCATGAACACTCATGTTTCACACTTTGACAACAGCCAGAGATATTTTAAGAGTTATTTTGAAATGAAATAAAACAAAATCGATGTTTCTTAAAAGCAACAAAATCAAACTAGACCATCACCATTAAGATTACTATTTGAATAGATTTTTTATGCCTAAGACTACAGATCCAGAGTAGGGGTATGACAGAACAATAAATAGCATGCAGTAACAGCTTATTGAATTTTCTATAATGAATAATTTCATTGAGAGATACGTTTACCATTTGGAAAAACTAGGTCAAAAATGATATCTAAGTTGAGAAAAATCAAAAGGAGAAACATAACAGAAGAAAAAGAGGCGCCATCTTGTCTGCAGGGGGCGCCAGAAATGGCAAAAGTTTCTCAAAGGAGCTTTATTTCCTAATTTAATACCTCAAATATCACTCTCATCTTTAAAGGAAATATCTGAAATTGCACACACTTTAACCACCATAAAAAAACCGCACCCTTTCTCATTTTGAAGATTAAAATACTTTCAAAATGTTTTTTTTTTTTTTACAACTGCCCCAGATATCATGCCTATATTTTGAAAGTGTGCCATGTAGCGAGCCCCCTGGAAGTCTTATTTTGTTCACCGGAAGTGCTTAGTGTCTGGAGTAGGCGGGTGTGTGTAACATCAGGTGACTAGCAACATCTCTGGCAGCCGTCACAACACCGCCGTGTGCTGCCCCCGCTGACAGGTAGTTAGCAGTCCCGGGACGAAGCTCTGTTGGACCGGCGGGCTGGGTTATGTTTCCCGGAGCAAGGACCGTTGACGGAGGTTTGTGCAACAGCAACCCATGGCGGCAGAAATTCAGCCCCAACCGCAGGCTCGGAAGCCATGTCTGCTGAGCAAGATCGAGGCTTTCCAAGATGTTGTTAGCACGGCGGTTATCATCCCAAAGGAGGACGGTGTTATCAGCGTGTCTGAGGACAGGTAAGCCAGTAGACTGCGAATAAGCTCCTGAATAACCGACATTACAACTCTGTCTCCTTTCTTGTATTCCGTACAGAGTTGTCCCCGGTCATGTATGTTATTGGTCGGGCTCATATTTCGTTTAATGATTTCATGGTTCATGATTATAGCAGAAATATTGTTACATTTCCATAGCCCGGTCAGCTGACACAGCCATTTGCTTTATATGCTTGTTGGCTCTTTTTAAATTTGTCCTGCAAATGATCGTTTGAATCAGCGTTAATGGATAAAAAAGAGGATAGAATGGTGAGGAAACTTACGATACCATACGTAGAATAACGATATTATCGCGATACAGCTATTAATTTAGAAAATGCGATACAGCCTTTTAATTAGGGCTGGGACGATATGCTTTTCTCCCGATTCGATTCTTCTACGATTTTTTGGATGCCAATTCGATTCAAATTGGGATTCTACAATATTGTCGATTTTCTCGATATTTAGTTCGCATTTTTAACACCAGTGAAGCAGTTGAATGATTATGATTGTCTACTGACTATTCCAGGAACCATAATTTCCCCCCCAAAGTACATACCACATGTAAGTCAGTTTTTAAGATTAATTCTTAATTTTGAAAAAAAAAAAGTATTTTTGAACATAAAAAATATCGAAAAATTATAAAACAAAAAATCGCGATACTTATATGAATCGATTTTTCCTCCCACCCCTACTTTTAATGATACACAAATTCTGATTAACTAAAAAATACAAAACACAAATAAAATGAAGTCCAAAGTGCCCCTTTGAGGAGTGGTGAAATAGTGAAGTATGTGCTGTATTGTTTTCACTCATAAATATTGAATTTGTTTTAAATGAAATAATGATTGTAGAGCATGAGTCAGCATTATGATGTTACTGTATGGAAATTTTGTTCCACTCTAAGTGCACACTTTGAATGTGGTTTGCAAGGCAGCAACCAATTATAAACAAATTCAGGAAAACACAATGTGGCCATGGATATATTCGTACAAATGCACCAGGGGTCAGTAAACATTATATTTTTATGACACCATGTTGTTTCTTAGGCTTGGGATCAGGACCCAAGATTTGGCCACACTAAATAAAATCTAAATACTTTTACACACTACAAAAACTTCCCCTACACTTTCCTAGTTAATGAATTGCCTTTGGCTGTGTGTATATCTGTCTCTTTGCAGTCGTTATGTGTATATTGTTCAGTCTGTTGACATATGTGCAAATGCTGGAGGGTGGGTTAGTGGTTCTGTATGTTTGAAGGTCGTATTTCTTGTAATGCTTGAAGAGTCCCCTGTTAACGTGCCCTTTATATGTCAAATTATATATTTTACAAATGTTGTCACCAAGCTTTATGATCCACAGACCTTATCATGTATACTTCATCAGCTTCTTAACTAGATAGATGATAAATATTGACAAAGGAAACTATAATGATGGTAGACCATTTATCTTACAACTGACATGCTGACATACAAGGTTCAACACAGAAGTAGGGTATTTAAAATTTGGATCTGAGGACTATAACACTTAAAGAGTGGAAATATTACTAAGATTTGTGATTTTGTTTGACTTGGAAAAAATAAAAACTTGCATGAATAAATGTAGTTATTCATACACTCATATTGATGAGACTAAACTTCTGTCAAAGTGTCGTCCAAGTTCATTGACCTTTGAGTTTATAGAAACTTCTCACGGATTGAGTGAAAAGCTCTGTGTGCTATACACTTGAAACTTAACAGAGGTCAATAAAATATCTCTTTGTACTAAACCTCACCCCTAAATTATACAGGAAGTGGGTCCTCGGACTGAGGAAATGCTCTTGAGTATTAGTCATTGAGCAGAGATAAGAGCCCCACATCATGGAGGGGATTGTCAGTGACCTCGAGTGTTTCATATTCTTGTCAACTCAAATAAATGTAGCATTTTTCCAAACCGGAAAAAATCCAAAGAGGAAACTGGAAACTGTTGGAGTTAATTGAACATCAATAAGCTATTGAATTTAATCAGCTTAAATTGCACATCATCTTGTATTCTCTCTGCATCAACAGAGAAAGGATTTCACAACAGGTTATTCTCCCTTTGGTAACACAGGGGCAAATTTCTTAGTGCTGGTTGAATGTATAAATGAGCAATGTTATGTCTTTCCCAGGTTTAAAGGCTACTTTGGATTACACAGTGATAATCTGCAGGTTTGGTGTGTGTGCAGTGTTGCTCTTGATTTGGCGCTTAAGGTCAAATCTTAACAGTAAACTTCTGAGAGCCTGCGGTGGCAACTGAAAGAACGAGGTCCGCCAATTTCAGATTATCTTCATCATTAGTTAGAAATCTTTGTTTAGGGCACTTTGGTAGTGATGCCTTTGGGCAAAATCTCATATCTTTTTCTGGAATGAAGACTGCATTTTTCATGAGCACCCCCACCCCCACTGGCATAAACACTAAATCCTGTCCAAATCCTGTCATTTAGCTCTTTCAACTAGCAAAGCCCTGGTTGAAGAGTTTCTCTGCCTAACAATACCTCAATGGGAAACCTATTTCTTGTTGCCAATCCTGTATCAACCTTGAGTACAAAATGTGTGAAAAGACATAAAAAAACCTCCTTGTTCTTGCTAATTTACTTCTCTCTGCCAAAGTTTACAAGCACGGTCCTAAACCTGAACACTTACTGGTGAGTGCTGTATTTATCACTGCTTTTTTTTAAGATAGCAAATCTAACTGGAACACACCAGTAGGCACTAAAATTCAGTGTAAAAATAACCAAATAGTCACTGGTCATTGTAGGTCATTCTTACTGTGAGGTTATTTCAAAATAAGTTGTAAACTCCCAACAGTGCCTTTAAACTAATGTTTTATTCATCATGAATTCAACACATCAAGAATTGAGAGTTACACCTCAAACTTGGTACCTGTGCCTCTTTGGTTGATATTATCAGGCTGTTATTGTCAATCACAACAGTATCAGATTTAGCGTGAGTGTTTTCCAAAATTTGCTCATATAGAAATTGGTTTTATAGATCTTCAGAGTACTCATACAGAGCCATGTCGGTGTTAAATTGCTGTGTAGTCCACCTTTCAAAATAATTTCTCTGTAATCTGTGATTTCTTTTTTCTCTTTTAAAATCAGTGTCAGTCTTTAACAATCAGTTTCTCTCAGGCTTCAGTTCAGACACTGTGAGGAGGACTTTTGAAAAGCACTCAAAGGTTATGGTTTGTTTAATCCTGCAGGACGATTCGAGTATGGCTGAAGAGAGACAGTGGTCAGTACTGGCCCAGTGTCTACCACACAATGGCATGTAAGTATTTCTTTTAAAGATGACACAAATTTTCAGCTGTTATTTTAGTCCTTCCTTCAAAGCAAGTGAGTGATTAAATTAGCCAAATGATTTTTAGTTCAAAAGTCTTGAATGTACAGTATATAAATCTGTGTTACAGTAGTCAGCAGAGTTGTGCAGATAACGTCCTTTTTTTGGGACGGACATGTCATGAATTCCTGTTTTTGGTTCACCCTTCCTCTGCGCTTGTTTTTGTCTGAGTTGGCTTCTTTCACATCAGGATGAACATTATGAATCACACAGACTCCACCTCTCTAAAAATGACACGAAGAATTTGTTAAATTGCTCCTGAATTTGCAGCAACATGTTGTCCTGTGGGATCATTCACTCTCATTTCTTACATCGCATTCGTGAACCGCTCTCAGAGACAGATCGTGCCGCTCTGAGACGAGGAGGGAGGGGGTGCAGGCTGTCCAAGTAGTGCCGGTCTCTTCAACAGTACTGCAGGGCTCTACATCTGTGACACTGTCTGTCCTTGTTTCCCTTCGGTTGAGCAACTGAAGGAAATCCCTCGCTACCATCAGCAAGATCTGTGGTTTGCAATATCAGCACGAGAGGATGCAGATGTTAAACATTTCAGTTCGTTGATAGAAAAACTGGAAACTGAGGAAGAGATAACAAACCAGCCACTGTTTTCAGATTTAAAGATAAAGTAGGTGAAATTTAAGCAATTTTTACAGACAAACTGGCTGAAAATTGGGTGGAGATTGAATGCTGTTTAGGTGTTTTATATTTACATTGTTTTTCATACAGTATGGCTGGGTTGCAAAACAAATTGAACTTTAATCACAATTTTCGCTTTCTCACAATCAAAATAAACATGATAGATCGTAGGAAACTTCACAGGGAAGAGATTACTGATTACTGAGACGCCCTTTTACCTCCTTTTCCCCATCTACCTGTCTGTGCTTGCTTTATTGATTATAATTCCTTGCAGTGCATTCTGTGATTGTACAAATAAGTCAACTCGTGTTTTCACTAGCTTCTCTATTAGGACAACAGGTGACAAAGGGTATTTAATGATCCAAAACTCAAGTTGCAGAGAAATATCTGCAGCAGAGCAGCCAGAGAGCAGGAGGATCAGATGTTGTGCGTTAGTAAAGCAGAGAGACAAAGTCCTAAAGAGTGAAGCTGCAGTATTTACAAGAATTAAAGCACTAACCCTTGCCAGGCTAAACATTTACTTTACCTATTCCTGGTAGTCTCGTTTGCTGGTGGATATCATGAGAAAGTATCGATATGAAAGAAAAGCTGTAATGCTCATGTCTGTCATATTTGACCCAATGTTTGGGGCAGAGGTTTTGTCCCAGTCTGGCCCCGTCAGTAACTGAGATGTAGTTATTTATGTTTTTAAATCAAACTATATAAGTAGAAAAAGCACTTAAGTCAAGATTTCATCACGATAAGTAATGGTTAGTTAGTTAAAGTGTGTTTTCTGAGCTGCCACATCGCATATTTGCTCTGTCAGAGGAGGTCGGTTCACAGGGACTTTGTTCCCACATTTATTCTGCCTCTTAAAGCTCAGCCACTACATTCAGGATATTGCACCATCGCACAGTTATCCATGGTGGGTAAATGTTCAACAGACATGTTTGAATTATTTGAAGTATTTTTATTCTGGGGTTGTTTGCACTACATTTCATCAGGCAGAGTTCAACAGAAAGGAAAGCTCTTAAAATAGTCTCACACTGACTGTGCCCTTAACAAATGACCATAATAGGCAGTTTTTAGATAAATTACAAACAAATGTGTGATTTATTTTGAGTACTATGATCTCACGGTGGATTGTTGTTTTTGTTGTTGTACATTTGGATTATTTATTCATCCTCAATTTTACTCAAATATCAAAACTGCAAAGAAGAAAAGAGAAAAACACAAGAGCCCATTAGCAGAATTAATCACCTTTTTAATGAAATACTGTTGGAGAAAACAAGGCGATCAAAGGAAGCTCTTAAAATGCAAAATAAAACAGCACAAAGGCTGAGTGTCAACAAAACAAAACATCCTCTGCTTGAGAGACTAAAATCCAGGAGTAAAAGTGTTTGTGCACCTCTCAATTAACCAACAGGAGGTCGAAATAATAACAAAACTAGCAATGTGTGACTTGTGTGAAGGTGTGGGTGTTAAAACTGTTGTTGAAATCTGCCGATCAGCTCGAGGGTCACAGGAGAGCTGGAACCAAGGTCTAGATCAGATCAGATCAGATCAGACATGAGATGAATGTAAAGCTGAGGGATGCTCTTTAAATCACAGCAAACTCACGGAGCAGGTAGAGCAGACCCAGACACATAAATCCAGCTGATATTATCTGATGTCGTTAGGTTGTATTTGTAAGCAAAGGCTGTTAGAGTTATGTTCGAGGTTTAGAGATAGTGTCTCATTTTTATAGTTTGACAGTCGGAGACCACTGATGATGATACAAACATAATATCTGAATCTGAAATAAACTAAGAACCTTTTTATTACCACCAAACTGGCGCTGTTTAATCTGAGGGGAGCTGATAGCTAGCTTGAGCTTCATCATCAGACCTCCTTCCAGTGGTGTTATAACTCTGAGATATGTGATACAGCAGTATCTGTGAAATTACCATACAATACTGTTTGGTAAAAAGGAATTAAGCCTGAGAGGTTCCCTGTGTAATAACAAAACCAACATTTGTATGCAGAGTGTTCACTATTTGTCTCCTTTGTTTTGTGTTTCTCCAGCTCAGTGCACCTGTATGTCCTTTAACCCGGAGACCAGGAGGCTGTCTGTGGGCATGGACACCGGCAGTATCTGTGTAAGTCCATCCACCAACCTGCTCCCCCTCCAAACTCAACCCACTGCCCTTTCTTATCTTCTTCTCTCTCTCTCTGTTTTCTCTTTTGCTGCTTCAGTTGTTGATCATCTGATGTCCACATGTCATTCCAGTTGGTTGTGTTTTTGTCTGTAGGCTAACAGAAACGTCTTGTGATATTTTTCATCGTTTCTTTAAGTGCGGCGCTGCTCAAATTGTATGTATACTTGTCTGCACGTTAGCTGATCTCCAGTCCATGACGAGAATGTTTACAACTAGTTTGTTTAGTCAGTTGAAATGAGGGCTTTGTTTGGTCACTGTGAGCTGTCACATAAGCTCCTTTCACACATGAACTCCTGACATTTTCAGGAACTTTCCATTCACACGTGCACCTCACAGCATGAGATTTCCTCAGAAACACTCTGTTTGGTGAAGAGGGTGGTTTACAGTTTCTGTTTTATCTTCTCCGTCACACATTAGTTCACCCTGGCTCTTTGCAGACTTTGGCACTGTCAGGTAAAAGTCCAGAAATTTCCCAGAAGAAGCCAGAGTGAAAATTTGATCCATTTTGCATCTACACAGGGATGCATGCGTGTCTTTTCTCTGTAAGTCGTATCGAGAATGCTTCCCTCTCTCCCTCTCCTTAAGAGGAAAATTATACTCTGATTATTATTATTTATATCTATATTATTATTTATATAGCTAATCAGATCGTGCTCCTCTCCCTGCTCTCCTCTCTCCACCTGTGGCCGCATGGTAGCTTCCACTACTTCAGCACATGTTGAAGATACACAATTGATTCTTTGACTTTAAACTTAGAGCTGTGTGATGGGAGAAGCAGAACAGTGGTGGAGATTCAATCATTTAAAAAGGGAACATTGCTTTCAGACTCATTCAGACTCATGCTCAGGCTTATGTTGATGAAGTCTGAGCATTACAGCAGCAGGTTATAACTTGTTATTTGAAATGTTTAATTGTTCGGCTGGCAGCTGAAGCAAGCGGAGAGTCCTGCTAGATGGGTCTATAATGTTTGACACAGAACAGAGTGGATTTATTTATTTATTTATTTTCTACTGTGGAAGTGTAGTTGAAATCTTGTTTGCTTGGGAACAAGTTGACCCAGCACAAAATCCGACAGTCCTTTGACGGCACATTTAGTCGACGTTTGGGTTTAAAAGAACCCTCAAACTTCTCAAACTTGGAGTTCTTCAGGGTGATTCGATGGAGGGTGGTGGTTCACGCACTGTTAGTCACACCACGCTGTTCTGCTTTTCTCTGGCTCGCAGTTTTATCTCACTAAACGGATTTGCATTGACATTTTTAGAGAGTGATAACAGAAAGTACTTTTAACTGCAAGAGGGAAGCTTCAAATACAATCACATTTATTAGCACAGATACTCATGAGGACTGTGAAATGTTCCAGCACCAACCTGTATCGACTTCAACATAAACTCTGCTGTATTATAATTGGTCACTTATTGATCTGATTCAGTGTAACCACTAATGTTCATTTCCTCTCTTTCAGGAGTTCACCCTGTCTGAAGACTACAACAAGATGACCCCTGCAAACACTTACCAGGGTGAGACAGGAAGTCCGCCTGTGTGTATATGTGTGTTTCAGTGTGTGTGTGTGTTGGTGTGAGTCAGTTAATGCATCACGTGACTAAGTGGAGGAGAACCAAAGAAGATACAGTTGAGGGTTTGTTTAGAGACGTTTAGAAAAAGTGCTCAAAACAAAACTTTTTGTAAAAACTGAAATCAGTTCTTTTGTCTCCTGATTGAAAATTGATCTGTTTTTGCATCAAATTAACAAAAAGCTGAGACAAAAATGTTGATCAGCTGATGGAGCAGTCAGAAACAAAGGTTATAAACAAGACTAATCTCCCTGAATATTTGTGGTTTTCCCAGTTAATCCAAAAATATGAAACGTGCTTTTTTTGGAAGCTTTTTACCTCATCTTTGAGTGATTTAGATGTGATCAGGGACAAAACTTTAGATAAATCACTGTCAATTTTGTTAAAAAAAAAGCATTTGTCAGGTACACATTTTTTCCATAACAAAGACAAGACAATGACAAGTTGCGTAACATCAGTGATTACAAAAACAAAAACTATTTGAGGTGGACTGTCAGACATTTAAGAATAAAAATGAATATTGAAAAACAAAAACTCACATAAACCGTGTATTTTCTAGTATAAACTTTGCATGTTTAATCTTTCTGTAGAGTTAAGTGTGTCTGTCTTCTGATGGGACACACGTGCTCAGCATTAGAAAGTCTGTAAGAATTTATCTTTGGCAGGATTTATTGAAAAGGCAGAATTACATGTTAAAGACTCAAAAGAAAACAAAAATCAGTGCTGCTCAAAAATGTGCCACGGCCTCATTGTAGCAGAGGAGCCGTCCTGTGTCTAAAAACTCACCAATTAACCTCCACTCTTCATTACATGTTAGTAAGTCATGGATTATGTATGCACAAAACATCACGTCCATGCTCTGGATGTTTTTCAGTTAGTGCAGCTACGTAATACGGTAGAACTTGTTGGAAAAAAAATCAACTTTATTGCCCCTGTTTCTAGTTATTTTTCTTGGGTGAATTTAAGTGTTGTTTTTTTTGGCAGTTACTGACCAGGAAAAGTTCAGCGGCTTAGCTCGTCTTTGATCTTTGATACCACATGCTGAGATTCTGAAATTCTTGTGAATTTCTGCAGCATGTTTTATTTATTACCATCTATTTATTATCGCCCGGGCCTGAGAGCTGTCTGATGATGAAGTCTGCTCCGCTTGCTTTATTTGAAGCTTGAAAAACTCTGCAGCCCGAGGAATGTTTGTTCTCTTGTTGAGTTCATTATACATTTATTTTATTCTGCAAAACTACCCGAGAAATAACCGGATCAATCTCCACATGTCTCGTCTGCAGCCTCGACTACACAAAGTTTTATTTTGTAGAAAAGCACATTAAAGTCTTTGACTGTGTCACGTTGCAACAGGAGAACTCACAGTCTACACCTGTATCTTGAACATTTCTCTTCTTATGTTGACCGGAGCTATTGCTAACAGCCTCAGACGGTGTATTTTTAAGCACGATGATGTATAAGCCGTTCTAACATAAAATCAGTAAGTAGGGGTAGGAGCCGTATGTTTGCAGCAAAAAGCCAAGACTTTAATCTTTCCCATCATCATGTTGTAAATTTGTTGATGAGATCAGCAGCTGCTGTAAAGGCTCGGTTTAATGGGTTCAAAAGAGTGAAAGCGCCCTTGAAGAAGACATGGGGTCAGCGTGAAAGGAAAAACGTTGTATTTTAAGTGTTAAACACAGAGTAATAACTTTCCCATTTTATGTTCAGTAATTGTGTCATTACCTTACATTAAGTGCAGTGTAAAACTTGTCCAAGCAGGGAAAGAAGCTAACTAAATGAGGTTTAAGCTGGTAAAATGATTGATTGATTTGAAAGATAATAAACTTTTTAAAAGAAATAGTTTCAGACCAATTGAAATATCAAAAATGTGTTTTAGAGCACCATTTCTAACACAGACTCAAAGAAGATGGTGATACTGCATGATTATTCCTCACTGCAGCACCGTCTACTTTCTTCAAAATAGGGTTTAAAATGCACATTTCTTTGTTATTTGAGCACACGGAATATGTGTCCCGAAGAAACCAAAGGAAATAGCCTAACCATGATTTCTAGTTAGTCCTCTGCACTGAGATTGAAGTGTGAAAATGGATCTCATATGCTGTAATGATGTGTTTTTTTTGTGTGTGTGTGTGTGTCTGTGTGTGCCCACAGCTCACCAGGGCAGAGTGACTGTGGTGCTGTTTGTGTTGGAGATGGAGTGGCTCCTGAGCACCGGCCAGGACAAAAACTTCACCTGGCACTGCTCAGAGAGCGGGCAGCAGCTGGGGACGTATCGCACCGCCGCCTGGGTCTCAGGACTCCAGTATCCTTTAATGCCCTCTTCTCCTCACCCTCCTGCTCCATTTGTTGTCTTGATTTGTCGGCTACTTGGCCTCTGCGGAGGGCTCAGTGAACCCGACAGTTAAGCTTTCTGCTAAATGGAGTGGAGTGGACGTAGCTGAGTGTCGAGCCATCTTTGGTTCTCTGGACTGTGAAAAATCTCTGCCTTTTATTATGACAACATAGTCTATTTTAAGGCCGCAGCAACACAAGACAGAGCAATTGAGATTAGCTCCAGTTAGTTTGTTCTAATGGAAAAGGGCTAACAATAGGCATCAGTCATGCTGTTGTCAAGGAAACGGTCTGAGGAGGTTTCTGTAACGGCCACATGAAAGGCTGTGAGTGCTCGGCAGCGACACTGATCCATACCAATGAGCTGCCATGAGGTCTTTACACCGCTGCTATCTGGCTAGCCTCGACATGCTAACCTGTCCGACTGGCACAGCAAGACGAATCAGTGAGAGAGGAGGAGACGCCGAGCTGTGACCTCTTGTGGTTTTGTTTGGAGTGACCCTAGCTGTGATAACAAGGGCTGTGTCTGTACCTGCTCAGTCCCCACTGAATGAAGTCTAGTGAGTTTTTTTCTTTTGGTGTTAGCAGGTGGAAAAGAGAATAAAAGGATGTGTTTTAGATTTCTTGTTTGAGGTTGTTTCAGCTGTGCTTTAGTGACTGTAATTTAACTGCAGAGCTTAATTTCAATTGAGGCTGCAGATGTGCACAAATTAACTACAGCAAGTTTGAATGAATAAAATCATCTGTAAAGTAATGTCGGATCCAGTAAACAAATTTGTTCTGCCATCTTTGCACAGTCATGACTGCAGCCCAGACAGTAGACATGAAACATTAGACAGCTGCTGGTGAAGGTATTCTTCTTCTCAGATGATCCTGAATTTATTCAGATTTAACAAACTGCGTGACAACAGCCTGATTGTATGAAGAAGAAACAGCAAAAATGTGACAAACTGCTGCATATTTGTGATGAAATACTGTGTTAAAAAAAAACATTATTCTTCTTACTAACTAGCTTAACCATCCCAGCAATTACATTTTCTACGGATGTACATCAACCACGTGTTACTTTTTTTATGATTACATCCTGAGGGTCCTCAAAAAATGTAACAACAGATAGATAAAATATAAGGCTTTAAAATTTCTCAACAGTCACTTTTTCTCTGGTGGATGTCTTAAATTTCAGATCGCACTTTTAGTTTTTAAATTTAAACTCCCTAGTTGATATTATAAATGATTTTTTTAAATCCTTTTTGTTGATTCCCTCGTTCATGTGACTACTTCTCTGAGGTGACAGGTTAATTTCAGTCTTAACAGTCCACTCTCAGTGGATGTTAGGCTTTTATTTTGAAAGCGAAGAGCAACATGACCTTCCTGCATCATTAGCCATGGACACTTAGACAACTTTCTTTACTTTTGCGAAAGTACAGAAGAAGAATAATATGTGATGTGTGACTCAAGTTAGCAGGGTTTCTGCTGGGTCTTAAAAAGTCTTAAAACGTCTAAATTCCAGTAATTTAAATTTAAGGCCTTAAAGTGTCTAAAATTCTCTGAAAACCTTATAAAATGTCTTTGCCAGTATGGATGTAAAATTGATCTTAAATTGTGTTCATTATTGTCTTAAAAAGTCTTAAATTTGACTTGTTGAAACCTGCAGAAACCCTGAGTTGGATCATCTGCAGCCAGAGTAAACCTGAAGACTTCATGGCGGAGAAACACAAGTCGACACAGCAGATGATAAAACTTCCCTGCTGTGAAACTGATAAAAATCACATTAAAACTTACCACTGACCGTCACTTTTTAACATGCATACTTAGATAGTTTTCTCACTTGCTTTTTAGAGGGAATCTTGAACGATATAACAACATGTGATTGGCACAGAAACAAGGGAAGCTTGTAACAAAAGCATTTCAAATGTAGATGGATGCGCTAGCTGTCAGCAAAGATGAATTTGCATGACTCCTGTCCGACTTCGCTTTTAATCAGGGGAACCCGCATTATAAAACGGTAGCGTGATTACACTCAGGGCATGATGTTTCTGAGTGTTTATTTGTCATCACTAATCCAGGAGCTGGATGGAGTCTGCCAGCTCACTGCACTTCTGGTTTCTATTGGCACTGCTGCTTGAATATAAAGGCATAAAATCTTGATGGGACTGTTTGAATCCAAAAGCAGATAAAACCCGTCACGCTCCACGGTCCTCTGCATTTGTCTAAAAACTCTGGTGTTAGATTTCTTATTTGTATTTTGTAAAAAACAGATGAGAGGAAATCCGCAGATCTACATGCTTGTTATTGGAAATATTATTTGAATGAAAAGCTCAAAAGCAGAACAGATGGTATCATCTTAGTTTTCCTGAGAGAAAACTGAATCAGAAACTTCATAGATGCCGTCTTTACATTGATTATGTGTCTGTTTTAAGGCGGTGGATTTATGCTGTTTGGTATAATCAGGTCAGTCCTTATGCTGTTGCTGCTTTCCTTTTCTACTCAGCGGACAGCGGTGATTGTGGTCTGTAGTGACTGAACCAGGTCAGCGGAGGACTCTGACTAAAAGAGCTCAGAGTCATTCGCTGACATTGTACCGCAGTGCAGGACAAACAGTCATCTGGTCGTTTGTTTGTGTTTTTATTTTCAAGATTGATTTTCTTCCAGTTTGGCCTTAATCACGTCTCAGATTCGATGTCGAGACCCGACACGCCTTCGTAGGGGACCAGTCAGGTCAGGTGACCATCTTGAAGCTGGAGCAGGACAACTGTAGCCTGGTTACTACCTTTAAGGGACACACTGGTACGCCACACACACAAACACACACACACATACACATGCACACACATTAAGCTCTGCCTCACCTCCTCCCATTTCTTGTCCTTGTATCAGATTTTTGATGATATTCTTCAGAGGCACATTTTATAAGGACACTCAGAAAACAACCTGTGTGATATAATCTTTCTCTTGACGTTAAACTGTCAGAACAGCTGATCTCCTGTTTGCAATGATATCTCACCAAAGTGAGATAGTGTGAGAGGAGACACATAATCATAATCCCTAAAAGATCGGTATAAGAAGGTTAATATTCAACATGAGATGTCCATGAGGTGTGATGTACCTAAAGGCCCCCCGCCAGGCGACAAGAGACCGTCTAAATCCCAAATGGATGTAAATCTTATGCAAAGAGGGAAAAAGAAAAAATGTTAAATTGTTCGTGGATTTAACCTCAGAGTAATATTGATGAGCTGTTCTTTTTTTGTTGCGTTTCCATCGAGTTTCCTGAAGGATGAAATGTGTTTTTATCCTGATAAGACTCATGGTTAGATGTTAGATTGTGCTCATGCCGCACCGCTCTGCACCGTCTTCTTAAAGAAGATCTCTTCCGCACAAACATTGAAATGACTTTATTGGTCTTGCAGCTGTCTGAATCGAGATAAATATACTTCCTGCTCTGTTTTCATACTTACCTACAAATATCTGATGGTATAGACTCTAAGAAAGCCATTTCCAGAGAATGAAAGAGTTATTTTCCTCCAGCCACTTTGAACTGATTTATTTTCCTCCTCGTCTAAAATACCTTTTTCCTTCAGTAAAACGTTCCTTTTAAAACTGTTTCATGGTTATGGATTGATTTTACAAACAAGAACACAATAAAGAAAGAAAGACTGCTGTCAGAGGAGACAGAGGAGAATAATTATACCTCTGCATGGCACTGAATTCAGATTAGTTTTTTTATTTGTATAAGAGGAGCCTCTCTTGAACCTCTGAGAGTCATGCTCCAGCCGCATTAAATCCACATTATTATTTAAGTTCAATTGCCTCCGTCAGCTGGTGTCATCTCTCGACGGTTTGCAGGTTTATTGAGCCACTTAAGAAGTGTTTTTTTCAGAGCCGTGAGTCTCTCATGATCTCGAGTGTTAAAGAAAATCTATCGAGGCTTCAGCAGCAGAATCTACTTCAAAAAAAGAGACAAAGAAAAAATGTCTGGAGGAGGATTTAGAGTCTAGAGGTACAAGCTCGACAGTTGTAGTCTAAGTCCAAAAAGAGATCTGAAATACTTTGAAGATAAGTTCAGACAGCAGGAACAAAGATGCAGGGTTCAGGGAGAGGAGTTTTCACCATTCATCCATTTATAATTGATTTCTTTTAAGCATTAGGAAAGCAGTAAAAAGAGAACATGGAGGCAGATGGCATTTCAAGGATGAATTCCTCTTTGTGAAATATCAGCTACACAAAAAGCAAGGTTGTTAAATTTATGTGTTTTTGGTTTGTTTGTTTGTTGGAAGTCCTTTTCAGTTTGTCTTTACTGTTGGAGTTCCCCGGATCAGCACTCTTCCGTTTAACACATCTCCTGCACATCTCCTGGGTATGGTAGGGCTGGGCTATAAACCGAAAATTTACCAATACTGAAATTTACAATAACAACCAGCATTTCGCCCATATTGGTATATTCGGTGTCAAAAAAAATTAATAAATAAAAGTTGGTTTTGGATGTGTGTAGGTAGGCTGTGATCTCATGTCCTTTTAAGATGCTGTCCTATGTTGGAGATGTGACTCCACCCCATTTAGTCCGTAACAAAGAGGGAAAGACAGGTGAGGAGATGGAGGACAGTTCAAAAAATGGCTGAAGTAGACGAAGTTAATGTGGGAGGGGGTGAGCAGCTTGTGGAGTAGTTATCGTCCATCTATCGTTATCTAGGTGAACTGCTCAATATATCGTGGTATTGATTTGAGGCTATATCGCCCAGCCCTAGGGTACGGTGCAAATCACATGAAAATATATACATGTAAAATCAGTCTCACAAAAAACAGCCCAAACGTTGTTCTTACTGTTTTAATTTTGACATCATGATCAACAGAAGATAAAAAAGGTTCAGCTCAAAAGTGTCCTAATTTTTGTGCATAAATGGATCTTTATGTTGGAAAGTTTTGGGATTTATATATATTCACATATATGCTTCTGCAGGTAACGTGACGGCGCTGTGTTGGGACCCATCCCAGAGGGTTCTCTTCTCCGGCAGTTCCGATCACTCCATCATCATGTGGGACATCGGGGGACGCAAAGGCACCGCCATAGAACTGCAGGGACACAAGTAAAAACCCAACCTGCTTACTGACGTTTACTGATATCACACCTGTTACGCAGAGACACCATTCAGTCCAGAGTCCTTCACAAAAGATCAGACAGGCAGGAAATCAGAAGAGAAACCAGCATTAATAGATCAGTAGAGTCTCTTGCCTTTTCATGATATTTGCTGAAAATTTGTATCGTTTCTATTTTGTCATTTTAGTGAAGATTCACTCACTCTGTTGCAAACCCTCTCAAAGAACAATGAAGTATTTGTGGGATGTCTGTTTCAAATATGGACCCCGTTAGACAAATGTGAAGGCAGACTTGAACACCAGGGCGGTTATTTAGATAATCAAGAACAGCTTTATGTGAAATCTGAGAAAACAATGCCTGTAAACCAGGATTAGCTACATTTAGCACTTCAGACTCAAGCTGCATGCAGCAGATTTAGTGGAGCAGAAACTCTGAATTCATTAGTTATTGTCAAAGAAAGACTTTTTTGAAACTTTAAAATAGGTCCAGGAGCTTTAGGAACCCTGGGTGATTGTGAGACCACAAGAAAAAAAAGCAGATCTGACAGAAAAGCTAGTGGAAAGCAGCGCTGGATTCAGACTCAGGCATATGCAGTCAATGCGAGCATGAAGGATTCAGCAGTCTGGTTTTAAAGGCTGTTATCAGTTGTCAGTGCTGGTAGTTGCAGTCTGCTGGTGATGCTCAGGGTAGCACTGCAGTCCATTAGCACTCCAGAGCTGATGTTTCCACAGGGAGCACCTTGGGCCATCTCCTAGAAGCACTCCCCCACCCCTTCTCCTCAGCTAAAGATACAAAATATATGCACCGAGTCTGTTTTCTGATGGAGCCCACACATCAAGCTAAAAAGAAAACACTGACCTGGTCTATTGATCAATTTTTTTTTAAAGGGAGTTCAACTTTAAAGGATGATGGTTTTTGTTTGTGTGTCTCTCTATAGTGAGAAAGTCCAGGGCTTGTGTTACGCCTCACACACCCGTCAGCTCATCTCCTGCAGCTCAGATGGAGGCATCGTCATCTGGAACATGGATGTAACCCGGCAAGAGGTGAGACAGGGAGGAGGAGGACAGCAGACGGAGGGCGGGGGACATGAACCTTAGACGCACAGTTGCAGACTTATAACTGTTGCGACATGTGAGGAGAAGCCGTGCATGTGTAGATACTGTGAAACAGATCGGTGTGGCGGTTTAAGAAGTGCTGTTTGCTTCACCTCCTACTCCAGAACAAATTCACTCGAGAGATCAGTGAGAGTTCCCCAGATTAGCAGAACATTCATTGATTTTTCTATCTTAGAAATACACACACAAAGTTTATCTGCAGCTTCCTCTCTTATCCCTCTGTGTCCCGCCTGTCTCCTCAGTTAGCCAAGGTCTGATTTGGTCTTTACCCACAGACACTGTTCATCCACCTGAGGGCCAATCTGAGAGGTGTAAAATTCTGCTTCATTTCACTCAAGTAAACAATAAGACGGAAAATGCAATCTATTCTGCGAAGTCGTTTTTCCGTAAGGAGCATCTGTGTAAATTAAACCAAAATGCAGCACATTGGACTGTATTTGGTTTGGAAAAACTCAGTCAGCTTCGTCTGCTGCTGCCATGGGACAGACATTTTTCTCGTTCCATCAAAGCAGCTGTGATATGTTTACTCAGAAGTGTAGCAAGTCCCTTAAAATTAGAATTACTATTCTTGATACCTATTAGCAGGATAAAAGCCCACTAGCTGACTGATCAAGATGACATAAGGCTACATGATAAAAACCAACAGGCAAAGGTAAATAAAGCATTATCAAAAAAGCAAACCTTGTGAAAGAGAGCTCCTTTAAGAGGTCTAAGAGGTGATGTTTTAGATGTTTCTGTGTTTATAGAGGGTGTCATATATTGAAAAAGAAAATGTAAATAAAGGAAATGTGAAATTTTTTACTGTGTTTGCTCAGACTCCAGAGTGGTTGGACAGCGACTCCTGTCAGAAGTGTGAGCAGCCATTTTTCTGGAACTTCAAACAGATGTGGGACAGCAAGAAGATCGGTCTACGACAGGTACTGAAGAGATCTCATTCCTGATGTTCGATTTTACTTCCTTTGAAAAGTGAGTTTATCAGAAATATCCCAAATAAATGTTTAGATTTGACATCAGAGCTGTAGCATCAGTGTATCGCTTATGAAATCTTGGGAAATAACTTCAGAGGAAACAAACACAGGGCTCTTCAGTCCTGCTGCGTTAGAGGCCAACAAACTGTTTTGTTGTCTTTTTCTGAGGAACAGCTTCATGTCGGCTTTATTAAACCAACTCAAGATTGGACAAGAATGAAAATAACAAACAAAAAAGCATCATAGAACAGAAAAAAACAGTCATGTTGGATCATTAAAAGGGTGATTTCACATGTCTGGGGTTTGTGGGGTGATTTCTGGCACTAAATTTGACAATTACTTCTATTGAACATTGAAAAATCTTGATTTTTTCTTTCCTGTCTGACTTCAGATTATCAGTTAATACAAAAATCATCAGAAATCACATTTAAAAAGTTTTCTTTCACATGATGAATTCATCTGACTGCAGCCAATCTTTGAGCAGACGCAGCAGGAGGAGGTTTTGTTGTTGGACCATTTCAGTAGAAAGACAACAGATAATTCCTCAGATGATCACAGTCAGATGTTAAATGTCTACAGAGTTCAACAAAAAACAGATGACAACTTGAAAAACATGAACTCATTGTCTGTGAACGGGCACACTGATCTGTTTGCTTTAAAATGTTGAGAGTATTTTAAGATTGGATAAACAAAATTGTTAGTATAACAGAGTAGGGGGTCACTCTGGAGAAGAGAAAATGAGATTTAGGATTTAAGTCAAATATTTGCAAGACTCAAGTTTTTATTAGTTTTCATTTTAGTAAAGTGGTCATGATCTAACAAGATTAAAGTTACAAAAAAAAACTCATAATTTTAGTTTTTGGTTTGCCTGCATTTTATTTTGAAAGGCAAGTCAGACAGGCAGAAACTTCGCTTTGGCACCTGTACGTTATTTTCACCTGCATGTAAATAATCGATTGTAGTAACTTCTACCTCACAAGACTTGTAAGATTCTTACAAGATTACAACAATTCTCGTCCAGTTATTACTCTAAAATGTACAACTTTGACCTCTTAAATTCACAAATTTACAACTTTAATTTCATGTTTTCCTAATTTTGCTCTCATAAATTTACAAGTTTCTCTCATATATTTATAACTTTACTCTCTTTTGAGTCTTACCAAGTAATTTACAGCCTGATTCTTGAAATGTTAGATTTTATTTTTTATCCTCAATGCCGCCGTAATCCTCTATAGTTTGTTAGATACAGATTTACAGAAGAGTTTAGTAGGTTCAAGACAAAGTTTCTCAAAAATCTAAAATTTGAATGATTTGAAGAAGGTTCAGTTTTTTGCTTCAGGGAGCAGGAGCATTGGTCCTTAATTTGAGTTTATAATGTTTGACTTTGTATTTGACTCGGTATGTCATAGCTGAGAGTGGAGACCTGCAGAACAGTCATTTTGTTCCTTCCCTGCTCCAGTAAAGAAGCCCTGACCGGCACTTTTCTCGAACTCTGCTCCTCCTGCTCTGAAATGACATTTCTGCAAATCAAAGCTGACATGCTGAAGTCCTCCTCTGTTCCTCAGCACCACTGCAGGAAGTGCGGCCAGGCAGTTTGTGGCAAGTGTTCCTCCAAACGCTCCACCATCCCCCTCATGGGCTTCGAGTTCGAGGTGCGCGTGTGTGACAGCTGCCACGAGTCCATCACCGACGAGGAGTGAGTAACAATCAGCCTCTGTTTGCGGTCGTGTACTGACTCTTTGTGCTTACGGCTCATCAGCGCTCTCTCACAGTCAAATAACGCACGTTCCCTTTGTGTCCCCTAGCCGAGCGCCCACAGCCACCTTCCACGACAGCAAGCACAGCGTTGTTTACATGCACTATGAACCAACTACGGGGAATCTGCTCACCTCTGGCACCGACAAAGTGATCAAGGTCTGAATAGAAACAAACACGATCTGATGAATTAATCCTCAACAGCCAGTTTTTAGTTACTGCTCTTTTTTTTGTTCTGATTCAGGATGTTTTGGGCAGCTTGGGGCCCAAACTGACTCTTTTTGTTTAAAATGGTTACATGTCTTCAGTTTCACTATCTAATCTCCTTGGCTGCAGAATTTAGACTTTAATCTGAGACGGCAGTGATTTGTCTTAACAAGCATTAGACATCAAAGTGACCGTGTTTTTTTCTCTCCACCTGCAGCTCTGGGACATGACTCCTGTGGTGTCCTGAGGTCGGTGTGTAACCGGTGGTTGGCAGAAAGCTCTGTTCACCAAACTGTGATCGGTTTTCAAGGCAGCAGCCACACTTGGAATCAAAGAGGGAAACATATCCGACAGTATCAGTGTCATCTGGATAATATTTAAATGTTATTCAACAACAAGCAGCGGCTGTCAGGCGTTCACAGTGAGGACACTGCAGGCCAGTGAAGCCTGGGAAGAGGACAGACCTGTGTGAACACGAGGTTACAGACGGTTGTGAGTGTTAGTTTGTGTCGAAGGCTGCTGTTTAGTTGAGGATCTCGGTGTGTATTTGTGCGTGTGTGTCCTTTACATGAGTGTTAGGGAGGGGTTTGACACACTTTATTTTCTTAATTCTCATGCATTCCTGTTCATTTCATACTGGAAAACCATAGAAAGTGGAACATTTCTGCACTGCGTCAGCCGGTACCATTAAACCAAAACTTTACTTATTGTAGATGTGAAGCAAATCATGAAACTTGACCCAGTACTCACAAACTCACATGTTGTAACTTAAGGTTCTCCACAAGGGAAAGAGTTTGGTACAGCTTTACTCCTGAAAACCTGCGCCACCTACAGGCAAAAGAAAGCAAGAGCAGCAGCAGCAGCATTTAAGACATAAACATGTTTAATTTGTCCCCTTCAGGCAAAGAAATACTGATTTGTGCTGCAATGTTGAGATACTATGACACCAAAAGCTGAAAAAGATCTAACATAACAGCCCCTCAAAAGTGAAACCATAATATTTAGTTCTCCCAACTTACAAGCTACAGTATAGGCCATAAAGCTCGCCTCCTCCATGTTAGCAGATGGGACATGAATCAAAGTAAAAAATTAAGATAAATATCTAATCAGTTTATCTCAGATATAGTCCCTGTCTTTACAGTTAGTTATCATGCTGATTTATATGCAAGCATCTGTTTCAGTAAGGAGTCCAGTCCTAAAGGTACAGTGTGTGGTATTTGGCAGCATTTAGCAGAATGGACTTTGTATAAATGTTATAAAATATTCATAAGTGCGTTTAAGTTACTTTACAATCAAAGGGGTGTGTCCTCCTACACTGAGTTCTCATCTTGCAGTTGGAAGAAGAAGAAAGTGGCTGAGGTGACTTAATATTTTGATAGAGAATCGTATTAGGAACTTTTTGTCCTCAAAGGCTCCCTTTAGGGCAGTGGTTCTCAAGTCCAGTCCTCGAGCCCCCCCGTCCTGCATGTTTTGGATGTTTCCCTGCTCCAACACACCTGATTCAAATGATCAGCTCGTTATCAAGCTCTGTAATGGCTTAATAACGAGCTGATCATTTGAATCAGGTGTGTTGGAGCAGGGAAACATCCAAAACATGCAGGACAGTGGGCCTCGAGGACTGGACTTGAGAACCACTGCTTTAGGGTGAGCAAGAGAGCGTTATTATCTGACCATGATAAGTATTCCTATTTGTTCTCTCTGTACCTTTAATTAGTCGGTCCATGTTAAAAAGAGGGACTGGGACATAATGATTGGCAGCCATAATGACATGCGGCTCCTGCTGCTGGAAATCCTGGAATGATCAGAGTAGCTACACCGAGAGGAAACATGAACACAGAAGTCATTGAACTCTGCATGAATATGAGTTTCCTCAAACTCACAAAGACCAACCAGAGGGTTCTGTGACATTAAATCAGTAAATCAGTTTTTTTCCCTTCTTTTACAATGATGATGATGTAAGAAGAAAACCTCTACACAACCTCTGCTGTAGCTTTTAAAAGAAAACTTCATTGACATTTCATTGCCTGCAGGTGGCAGTACTGTCAACATCACAAATGCTGTTACTGGCCTTGCCTGAGGATGGTGCTCTTGAGCATAATTGTCAACTAGCCGCAGCTCTAAGATGTGCACTTCTATAACATAACTGTTTGATGTATCATCATGTAAAGTCACTAATGTTATTAAATAAGCCTTTTGGGCAGCTAAAGCTAACATCAACCAGGAGGAAGAGATGTTTAAAACCCACTGAAAACATTTTACACCACGCCTGTTTTTTTCTGAATCCATATCAGAGGGTTGTGAAGAGCCACAAACCTCAATGACAGCATGTGTCATCATTTCTGTCCTCACAGAGGCTGGCTCAGGTCACCCTCGGTGAAGTTGTGTGTGGATGTTCCAGCTGCTTGAGCAAATGATCCCTCTCAGTCCACAGAGAGTAACAGAAAAGATCTGAAAATACTGTAAAATCTAGAATATAATATATTAAAATATTACAAATTCAGGCTGTTGAGCAGAGAAACTGTCTTTGTTTTCAGCTGAAGGTTAAAGTGAAACATTCTCAAACATGTTAAATGTAACAGGCTGAAATTTAGGAGATTGTGTTTGAATTTATTTAAAGGTGAAGCAATCAAGAGTCTTTTATTAGATGATGTAAAAAGAGACAGTAGATCTATAAATTAACCAATCAGACTGCTTTCTGCTCCCTGTATATCCTCTTATGTTGGCTGTTTGATGAGATTATTTATTATCATAAGCTGTAATGTCGCTGACATGCAGAAACACATATCATGTATCAGAACTGAGAGGAAACGTAATGTTTTTGATGTTATTTTCATTATCAGTTGTTTGTTTTTAATCATCATTATACTGTTTACTGACTCCTATTGTCGATGCACTGGAATCAATGAGCAAAAAAATGTCACAAAGTTGCTGCTGTAAGAATATGATTTTCTTTTTGATGTGATATAGATTGACTTGTTTGTGCTTCACTATTAAGATGGTAACCTGAGTGCAGTTGAATTTTCTCTGATGTTTTGAAGCCCACTGAGTATTTTCCAAAGACCTTCATTTCGGAATCCGATATTTAGAGATAAGAAAAACCGTAGAAGAGGTTGGTTTGCATTTTTACAGTATCTTATAAAGGTACATTTACAGCAGCTTTTACTCATGAATGTGAGTTGGATGGTACTTCAACCTCAAAGCACCTTATCAGTGTTTCCTGAGGTTTGAGGCTCCTGATCTATACCCATGCTGCTCTTTGTGTTTATGCTGTTTCAAATGCATTTTAATAGTTTTAAGGATCCAAATTTTCCAAGAAATATTCGTGTCAGGAACATTTAAGGGAAAGTAGTGGCTGCCTCAACAAGAATCCAAAAACATCCTGCTTTACAAAGCTGATCCGTTTTTATTTAAAGTGTGTGTGATTTAAACTGGCCAAAGCATTCAGAGTCAGACAGTGGATACAGATTTATAAGGTACATTTAACTTTTGTTGCAGTTAGAATGAATGATGGATTGATTATATCTGAGGCCAGTGGTCTGTTTTTCTGTCGCAGGCATTGTTGTGTTTTGATGAGCCCATTAATGTAACCGCGTTTGTATATATGACACATTAAAAGACCATGATCACAGACTCGGTTAAGTTTGTCTGATTATTCTCCTTTACTTTAGACCTCTCCCTCTGTGGCAGGTGGTATGCTGCTACATGTTTTGTTTGACAACTGTTACCATTCTTCTTTCACACGTACATAGTTTTATCCTATTCTGTATTTGTAAATTAATTGACTAGAAATAAAGTGAATCCATTTGCAAAAAAAAATTAACTCCTATCCTTGTAGCTCAGCTGCGATTTACAACCATTAGTATCTAAGTGACTTTGTGATGGTTGGAGGTTACCTAAGGATCGACTCAGAGTTTTCAGTGCCATTAAAGTGGTTCACTTCTTACCAGAGGGGATCATCATAGTAACTTATGAACTTGTGTTATCAGTTCATATAAAACTCCTCCCACTAACCAATCAAATGACCTGATTTATCCAGGATCCACGTTCTCACGTTAACTCTGTCACCGTTACTGAAGCCAGATAAGCAAAGATACTCAGGATATGTTGAATTCACTGTACAGTGCAAGCCCCTGACGTTCACAACATAAATACCTGATAATGAAATTGAACTCACCTGCATAAAACACACAAAAGCAAGCCAAAAAGAAAAATGTATAAATATCTTTAATTTTAAAATGTATAAGCCTCCACCTCTCCCAAAACACGGACAAAATTAAAACATTTCACAGACATATGTAGATAGAAAAACGTGTATTTTTGTTACAATCATAATGCGGGATAACATAAAAGCACCATTGATTTTCAAATACCTCCACATATGCTCAAAGGATACAGTATTCAGTACTTAGACTAATAAGCGAAACAAATTTGAGTGTTTTTTATAAGTCAATCTGAGGGACAAAATAATAAAATTTAAAATAAAATAAAAAACATACAAGATTCCTTCTTCATAAAATACCTCCACATATGCTCAAAGGATACAGTATTCAGTACTTAGATTAATATGTTAATTAGTGAAGCAAATTTAGTGTTTTTTAAGTCAATCTAAGGGACCAAATTAAAAAAAAAAACACGATTCCTTCATAAAAAATAAAAAAACTAACCACAGTTTGACAGTCTTTTACTACATGAAGCTTGCCTTTCACATGAAGCTTTACATATGCTTCTTGTTACTAGCATTTATTTAACATGTAAACATTGGTAATGATTTGGTGGTGTTTGGTTTTTGTTAATAAAATCACTAAGTTATTAAGGTTTGAACTTGAGGGTGAGCTCCTCCAGCGCTGTGACAAGTCTCTGCTCCTCCTCCGGTGATGACCTGGAAGACGCCAGGGGGAGGTGAGTCGCCACGGCTTTACGATCTGAAAGAAAAATAACACAAAAACATCAGTGACGATCATGTATTTCAGTTTATGTTGCTGTAAACAACTTTAAGAAAAAATACTCGTTTTTTAAACAAAATTTTAAAAAAAGCAGATAAGACAGCACAAATATAAATACACTACTACAAAGACAAACATGTCACCCTGACCTTGGAAGAAAAGTCCACTGGGCTGCTTGATGGCAGATGGAGACACGGCAAGCCACACCACTGTGTCCGCCCCCATGGCCTCCGTCCTCAGTTTGGACTGCATCTTGGCGTGAAAAGAAGGCATTGACTGCTGGACGGCTGCAGAGAGCAGAACAAACAGTGTCAGTCACAGGAATGTGTCTGAGTGCTACTTATGTAGGTGATATCAACCACGGCAACCAAATCTAGTTTCTTGCTATCTTGAACTTTATTTGCCATTTTCTAATCCTGAGTGAAAAACCGTGTTTACCTGGTGTATCTGCCCAGCCTGGATGCATAGAGGAGAAGTGGATATCTTTGTGCTGAGCGCCCCACCTCTCTGTCAGAATTACCTGCTGTCTCTGTCCGGGGAAAATTAGACAACAAAAAAACATGAATACTACAGTCCACAGTGTCTTCTGTTCATCTTTTGTGAGTCAGTGTGGTTACCTTGTTCTGAGCGTAGGCCATAGTGCCATCAAATGTCCCTTTCTCAAACTGCAGATCGTCCACGTTCAGCTTCTGTGTGAGCATGCCGCCTGAGGACACCGTCACCTGAAGAGAGAAAACAGACAATATGACACTGGAGTTATAATAAAACACAGCTTTTACACGTATAGGTGTTACATTTGCTCTATTCATGATTTGTGTGTCATTTTGTCTGAAATTCAACCCACCACTCTTGCATCTTCAACCTTTTGTAAAGCAGGAATCAAAGCTGCAGTCAGGATGTATGTACCTGAAAATACAGGGAAGTACAGAAGATAGTTCAGACATAACTAGTTTCAGACCTAGAGTTATGCACTGGCCCTGTTATTACCCTAACAGTGGCTTTAAAGATTCATATTTAACCTGACTACCGATGCAAATCGTTACCGAGTGTATTCGTGGCGAAGTTCTTCTCCAAACCTTCCTCAGTCAACTCTCTCTGGTTCACCATACAGCCTGCATTGTTTACCTAGTGAACATAAGTAAATACATCAACAAATTTGTGCAGAACAGCTTAATGAACTCGAAAAATATCTGCATCCCACCTACCAGGACATGTAGAGCGCTGTTTTGTGAGAAATTCTGGGCAAACTCCCACACTTGTTTTGCACTGGACATGTCGACGATATGGACGTGAACATTCTGGAAAAAAAGACACAAACATGAAAATATTCCCAACTTTTTGGACGTGACAAATAAAGAGTGTAATGGGGAGAGGTTTAGGGTGCTGGTTTAGCTCTGTGGTCCAATCAAGCCCCCCACATACAGTACAGAGAGTGTATGTCAGGAAAGCGCCTGCCCAGCTTGAGTCCAGCCCACAGCCCTTTGCTGAATGCCATTCTCCACTGTCTTCTCCTATCCTTTCTCTAAATTATCAGCATAAAAAGCCCCAAAGTAAACTTTTGGACAAAACTTTATTTATTCCTCTTTTGGTAATAGATTTATGTTTGATTTAAAATTCCTTGTTCAGTCGGCATTTTTACACAGCAAACCCAAGACAATGGAGTGTTTAGTTAGTTTGGTACAGGGTGGGGGATTTTTCCTCATCCGAAAAGGTCAAGCATCCCTCTTGTAGCACAGCTCAAAAAGCAAAACAGTTCTCACCTGGTTTTTACTCTTTTCCACTATTTCCTCTTTGGCTGCATCTGCTCGCCCTTTGTTTCGGCACACCATGTGAACAGTCCCTCCTAGAAAAAAAAAAGACAAAAAATACAGCACAGGTGGGATTTATTGACACATCGCACATGAAGAAAACAAAAGCAGGAGTGTTTGTTAAAAACCTGGAAATGACTTTATACAAACCACACCCAGATGAAAGCTTAAAACCAAACATTAAATATGAACATCAGTGTTTATTTGGAAATGAGAAGAAATTTAGATAAAGAGAAAAAATATTCCTCTGTCATAATTTTTAAATGACTTAGAAGTAAAAGAATCAGGTTGTAGATAATATAAATGTTCACCAGCTTTATGAATATATAGTTTTTCTGTAATTCACTGTGCTGATGCTTGACATGGCCAAGGAAACTGGATTAAAATTAAACAAACAAACAAAGAAACAGACACAAGCAGCACTGTCAAAGAGTCAGTCAGTGAAGAGAGATTTTCATACAAATAACAAAGGAAGTTGTCATCACAAGTTTTGCCCTGGCTCTTGTACAACACAAAGGATTAAGACGGAGACCAGGAGGGCTTACTGAATCAAATTCAGGTGCTACACCTCATAGCCTTTACAAAAAGTGGAAGAACCACTCTACTTCTGCAGTCTCTGTTTGTACCCTCAATAAACAGAGTCTGCCTTCTTTGTTACCATTTAATAGCTCACCTCTGTTGGCTATTTCCTGTGCTGTAGCTTTTCCTATTCCGCTGTTTGCTCCTGTGATCATGAAGGACCGGCCATTCAGATTTACATCCAGGTCTCCTGGAGCAAAGTGCTTCGCTGCAGCTTCATATCCACTCCTGTTAGTGTCAAAAGCAGTAGATTAAATTTCACACACACAAATAGGAACTGTAATTGTTTATTTTATAATACTTGATGAAGTTACAGATGTCTGAGTTTATAGCACTGAGTAGATTCATGTTTAAAAAAGCCCCTTTTTGATATAATGAATGAATGTCAAGAGTTTCAGTATTTCAGGTGTATGTTCATGTTTTAGTGTTTCAGTTTGTTCAGTCATGGACTGCATCTAAATAGCAATGCTTTCTGTAAAACACTCATGACCGTGAATTAATTGTTACATTTACGTTACAGTTGGGATAAAACCTTGTAGTTTTTAGATTGTCAACATTATTTTCCTCATGTTTTTCCTCTGTTGTTGGACACAAAGTTGTTGTATTTTATTACTACAGGTGTTCCACCCCTGCTGGTTCAAATTGTATCCACATCTATTATCTTGTATTGTTGTATTTTTTTATTTCTGCATGCATTTATGTATCCGACACAGGAGATGTGAGCCTGATGTGCTGTACCGGAAAACAAATTCCACCAACCATGTTGTGTGGCCATTAATAAATAATTCTGATTCATACCCTTCTCTGAACTGCCTGTGGGAGGATGAAATTACTACTCTGCCATATATCTTCTATCTTTTAAAACTATCAGTCTCTGATTGATTCATTACGTATTCTATTTATTTTTAATTGATTTAATCTCAAATTGTCTCCTGCATATTTGTTCTTCCACTTCAATTTTGCTGAAATATCATGCATAACAGTTGATTGCCTCTTATAAGGTACCATGTCAGTGGAGGCTGACTTGTGTATAATGAGACCATGTGATTAGAAAATGACACAAGTTCTACAAGAGGAAATTTGAGGAAAACTGTTCTACATTTCTTTTATGTAGAACAGTTTTTAAGAGATAGGATTTCAATGGGCACATTTAGTATGATACATCAGTGCTGCTACAGTCTTTCATTAAATCAGTCTTGTTTTATTTGACACAGCCTCTCTCATTCAGCTGGGTTTAAACATTAACAGCCCTCAGTCTCTTTCATTGTAAATGTCACTGGTTTTCTGTTTCAATCTTGTTTTTGGTCTGACAAAACTCAAAATATCAAACCCTTAAATGTGCTCTAGGGAAAAGTAAAGGCTCCTGTTAATCTCTATATATTTTGTCAGCTTCTATCAGCTTGTCACAGGGTCTCAGACAGCCAAACTCCAGCATGTTAACAAGTAACAGCTTACAGGAGAATTTTTTCAGAGAATTTCCCAGTTTGGGATCAATAAAGTATATCTATCTATTTATCTATCTAAGTATTTCTCAAGGATATACTTCATAAAGAGGTTTAAACGAGGTACGACTCAGTGTACGGTAAACTGACAGTATTGCAGACACTTACTTTGTGTACTCCTGAAGTCCTTTCATGAACCAAACGGCGTTCCTGTAAAACGACATGTTGCAGATGAGTTGAATCCTTCTGTTCGGGGTTAAATGTTGTAAACGCCTAACTGAGCACAGTCCAATGTTCTGTTTCATAAGTATGACTGGTGACAGGTTATGTAGTAATGCCGCATTCAGGGTCCCTCGGAGGAAATCGTTCTCGACAGTTGAGCGTGTTGACAATTAACACGCCGACAGCATGAAGGCAAAAGTGACTTATTTTGTTCCTCATTACGAATGAAGGTCAGTCTATTTGGAGAGAAGCTTAAATAAACAACCCGATACCACTAGGTAACCCGAGAGAATGATAGACAATAGGAGTTTTTTTGTTTGTTTGTTGTTTTTTATTTTTATTTTATTAACAAACCACTTTCCGCCTGTCACCATAACCAATCTGTCTGCCCGACAGGCTGTTTATAAAAATTCTCGAGTGTGAACGTTCCGGGCTACCAGAGGCTTTCATTGACAATAACCAGAGGAAATCTCATAATTCCGATTATTACGTAAACATTTAAACTCAGGGTTTAATGGGAGGAGAATACGTCATGACGTAAGCTTTAAAACACCGTTTAGCGCCCCTATCGACAAGTGTTCTTACCTTAACTGAAGTCAACGCGGAATAAGGGATAGTGTTGCGAACGATTGTTTCATGTACATTTTAAGAAAATGTCTTATAGTCTGAAAGAATGAAACAGCGAAGATAGAATTATATCTAAAAACACTGCAATACCCCCGTCAATATTTATACTTCGTATATGATGTTGTGTTTCGTTCGCCCCTCCTCAGTTGTCAGGATGGCCGAGTGGTCTAAGGCGCCAGACTCAAGGTTGCACCTTCCTCAAATGGGATTTCTGGTCTCCGAATGGAGGCGTGGGTTCGAATCCCACTTCTGACAATAACTTTTGACGCCAGCAAGACATTAACAAACCTCACGACAGTGATGATTCAACGAGCAGCATTTATGTGAATTACAAGAAGGAAATGTTCCACACGCTCCGAACAGAAACTATAAACAGTAAGGGACATGGCGAGTATCATATTGCAGCATCAAATGGCCACAGAAAAACAGCAATACACACTGAATCGACATCGACATCTTGGATCGACAAAATTATTACCATTTCAACAATCAATAATAGTCCCTTGAAGACAAAACAGTACCAGAAAATGTTACATGAGGTTTGCAGGGTGTGAAATAGCAACAGTGCCCTCTGCTGACAGGAAAAGCTTACAGCACCTGGTACTGAGTACACCAGTGTACTGATGCAGCTACGGCTGTCATAGAGGCTCCTAGGAAAGTTGTAGACCCTACATACCTACCCAAAGCCCGACAAGACAGTGGTCCCATCCAAGTACTAACCAGGCCCGGCCCTGCTTAGCTTCCGAGATCGGATAATAGTTGTATATACTTTTTTTTTATTATTATTTCTTTTTATTTTACACTCTCATTCTTTCTGTACTCATATTCTTTACAGTCTTGCTTACCATGTCTTATGGCGCTGCAACAGTTGATTTTCTCCTATAGGGATTACTAAAGTGTTGTGTTATCTCATCCTTTCTTATCTTTTCATATCTTTTAATCATGTATTTTAATTACTTATGCATCTATTTTTGCTTAACAGATTTATCTAATCATTCAAGAACTTTTTTGTTCTCTATAATCTTAATAAACATGGTGGAATATCAGTAACGTGACACCCCATAAGATTGATGGTGATAAATTGTCTAAATCATATATACAATATAAACTTTTAGTACACAAGTCTTGTAGGGAACTTTATATTGTCAAATCATTATCCAGTGTTTCTGGTTTGGGAGAACTTCGACATTCATTTTCTTCGACTTTAAACACTCAGGAGACCGTTGTCAAATTTGCAAAAGTATTGTCAGAAGTGGGATTCGAACCCACGCCTCCATTCGGAGACCAGAAGTCCCATATTCAGGAAGGTGCGATACCTTGAGTCTGGCGCCTTAGACCGCTCGGCCATCCTGACAAGTTGGTGTCAGCGGCGGCTGTAGGGGTCTTTGACTGCTGTTTACAAACGAAGTTAGTAGATGTCAGAGAAATTGAATTACTTGGTATATCTCTGTATGAGTTATGTCTAACTGTGGAAATGATTTCTTATGCTTAAATCAATTATTTAATGAAAGCAAGGTACAGAAGCTGCACCTTACCGAGAAGTTACTGAGTACGGTAAGATAAGCTCAACCAGGCTTCACCCAGTTCTCAGTAAAGTTAACCGTAATTTCTTGTGTCAAAGTTGGACAAATAGAAATAATCGATCACCGACCTTTGCGTTTGACCATAAGAAAATTAAAAAACAATCCAACCTTAGAACACCAAGGTGGAATACTTGAGTTCTATAATATATAAAAAGCTACTCCGTCCATGTGATTGTCGCTTACGGCCATACCACGCTGAACACGCCCGATCTCGTCCGATCTCGGAAGCTAAGCAGGGTCGGGCCTGGTTAGTACTTGGATGCCCCTTTCAATTGCCCCTAGGTGATGAATAAAGCTAGAGTGAATTGAATTGAATTATCCCATGTAGTAGATGTTTTCTCCAAAATATATGTATTTCACCAAAAAACGAGTGGTGTTAAAACTGAAAAAATACACTTTCCCTGCTCTTTGAAACATTTAGGAAGGACTAATCAATAATTTTTTGAAGTAGCAGAGGTCATTTAAACATTATGAATAGGTTTGGGGTTAGAACTTTGGTGAAAATACTTGCTACATGGGCAATTCTTGGTCCGGGTCAATTTTGACCCGGAAGGTACTGTGAGGGTACAGGATTTGAAGAGTATGTGAGTGTTAATAAACACATAGATCATCACAGCTCTTTTATTGACAAAATTATTTTTATTATTTTGATCAACACACCACACTTGAACAGTTTAAACAGCAGAATTAAAATCTAATCACACAGAACATAACTTTGCAAACAAATCAACAGTCTTAAATATTATTAAAATAACATAAACAAATGTGGCCATCTTGTGACCATGCGGCCATCTTTCCACTCTGGATTTTTCTCTTAGCTCAGCGCCTGATCATCATCAAGATGCTCACAAATCAATAATACTAACCTTGCATTTAATAAATACATAGACAATTACAGTCACCGGCTGCTGTGGGGCTGTTTGACTGCTGTTTACAAACGAATTTAGTAGATGTCAGAGAAATTGAATTACTTGGTATATCTCTGTATGAGTTATGTCTAACTGTGGACTTTTAACAGAAGTGAGCCTCATTCTTTCTTCTTTCCAGTTCCTCATCTACAACACTTTTAAAATGCTCATAGCTCATGTACACAACACCTTCAAAACCACTAGTGGTGGATTTCCTAGTTACTGGGCAATAGGTGAATATCTTCTGGCTACTCCCAGCAGCTTTCACCTTGGAGGGTGTGTACCGCTTCCGCTGCCCACCACACTGAGGTACTTGGCAAGCACTGCACGGCTTCCTAGACTGGTTGGGCATGACCGGTTTATTTGTTGGTGCAGCGGGCGGTGTTACCAAATCCTTTTTTCTGCAGGTACTCCCCTGGAGGTGCAGGACAATTAGCATTTGGGCAGCGGATCATGGCTTGCATCACACCAACTGGCCGCCAGAAGAAGGCCGGGGTGTTAAAGAAGGCCAGCATGTTTGGCACTCCTCCCTTAACACTAGAAGGACCGGCTTTTTGCTGTTCTACCTATAAAGACCAGAGGGCAGCCAAATGGCTTGGAGGGCTTTTAGCTAGTACTAAATCACCTCTGAACACTCAGTTTGTTATGCAAACGAGGCTGTCGCTGGTGCACCACAGGAGGGGATATGCTAAGTTATTTCAAGGAAACTTGTGTTGTGGGGAGAGTGAGTGGGGAGGGGGAGGGGAGTTTCCAACCTGAGAACAACTGTAGACAGAAACTGCTTCATCCATAGCCACTGCACAGACAGTTTGGGCCTCTGTTTGTTTTGTTTGGTTCTACTTCTCCTGATGTTCCTGCACCTCAGCAGATGCCCCAGCGGTCGGTCCACGGACAAATACTGTTTGTACTTTATATTAATGACATTGTAAATGTATCTAAATTGTTAAATTGCATACTGTTTGCATATGACACTACATTTTTTATACTCTGGTGAAGCTGTTGAGAGTATGAATGTGAGAATGACCATAACGACTCTGGTGAATGCAACCAGTCCCATTCACAGGATCACTATTTGATTGACAATTTATCACATTTTCTGGTTTGCTGGTGAGCAAACCTGGGAAACCCCCAGATCATGGCAACCATGCCCCGAAATCGCTTCAAAGACATCATGCGACACCTACGCTTTGATGACAGGGACACCCGCAGTGAGCGCACAAAGACTGACAAGTTTGCTGCAATTTCTGCTGTGTGGTCGTCATTTGTCACCAACTGCATCACATCCTACAACCCTGGTCGACACATCACCATTGACCAACAGCTTTTCCCCCCAAAGACTCGCTGCTGTTTCCTGCAGTACATTGCAACGAAACCTGACAAGTTTGGGATCAAGTTTTGGGTGGCTTGTGACTTGAAATCCAAGTACATCTGCAATGTCCTCCCATATCTTGGCAAGGACCCCAGTCGTCCCAGTGGGGAGAGACTGTCCGAGAATGTAGTCATGAGGCTGATGGAACCATTCCTGGACAAGGGCAGAAATGTTACCACGGACAATTTCTTTACATCACTGTCACTTGCGCAACAACTGCTTAGGCGGAAAACCACCATCCTAGGCACAGTCAACAAGATTCGCCAGGAAATTCCACAGTCATCTAGACAGAGGGACTGCAATGAACTTTACAATGCTACAAAGTGCAGCGTGGATGTGATGGACCAGATGGTGCGGGAGTACACTGTCCGCACAGGAACATGGCGCTGGCCAGTCGCTGTGTTCTATAACATGATTGATATGGCAGCATTGGATGCACATGTGCTGTATCAAGCATGCACCGGGAGGAAGGAGAGACGGGTGGACTTCCTGGTGGAGCTTGCAAGAGAGTTGGCTAACTCTCATGTGACTGCGAAGAAGGCATGAAAGGAAGAATTGCTTCGGCAACAACCTTCCACACCTAGCCCTGGGAAAAAAGCCATGTGCCAGGTTAAAAATCAGTGTAAGAACAATCATGCCACTGTGCGATGTGTTGACTGCTACAGATACACATGTGGGAAATGCAGAAGGGAGATACCATGGCAGTGCCAGGATTGTGAGTGAGAGTCTAACACTGTATCCTGATGATGCATATTCACCTGAAGTCCATCACCAACCTTTTTATACTTTATATATGTCCTGCATGCTTTTGTTATTTTCTATTCTTGTATTTTACATATTATTCTCCGTTTAATGTTGCACCATCACGCCGTAAAAAATTCCTAGTCTGTGAAACCTGTTCATTGACAATAGCAATAAAACCCCTTGTGATTCTGATTCTGATTCTTGTTCTTATTCTATACAGTTGTTTAAATTTTGTTTATTTTTAATCAATAAATTTCAGCAACAAAGTAAACAACAAATTTTTTTAGGAACGTCCTAGAGACTCGGGAGTTGGTTCATTGCACTCAGAAAAATCCTAGCTCCAAGCCCAACCCTAACCCTAGCTCCAACACTAACCCTAACTCCAACCCTAACCCTAACCCTAACCCTTGCTCCAACCCTAACCCTAACCCTAACCCTAACCCATGCATTCCTATGGGAAAAAATCACATTTTTTTAGGAACGTCCTAGAGACTCGGGAGTTGGTTCATTGCACTCAGAAAAATCCTAGCTCCAAGCCCAACCCTAACCCTAGCTCCAACACTAACCCTAACTCCAACCCTAACCCTAACCCTAACCCTAGCTCCAACCCTAACCCTAACCCTAACCCATGCATTCCTATGGGAAAAAAATCAAATTTTTTTAGGAACGTCCTAGAGACTCGGGAGTTGGTTCATTGCACTCAGAAAAATCCTAGCTCCAAGCCCAACCCTAACCCTAGCTCCAACACTAACCCTAACTCCAACCCTAACCCTAACCCTAACCCTAGCTCCAACCCTAACCCTAACCCTAACCCATGCATTCCTATGGGAAAAAATCAAATTTTTTTAGGAACGTCCTAGAGACTCGGGAGTTGGTTCATTGCACTGAGAAAAATCCTAGCTCCAAGCCCAACCCTAACCCTAGCTCCAACACTAACCCTAACTCCAACCCTAACCCTAACCCTAACCCTAGCTCCAACCCTAACCCTAACCCTAACCCATGCATTCCTATGGGAAAAAATCAAATTTTTTTAGGAACGTCCTAGAGACTCGGGAGTTGGTTCATTGCACTCAGAAAAATCCTAGCTCCAAGCCCAACCCTAACCCTAGCTCCAACACTAACCCTAACTCCAACCCTAACCCTAACCCTAACCCTAGCTCCAACCCTAACCCTAACCCTAACCCATGCATTCCTATGGGAAAAAATCAATTTTTTTTAGGAACGTCCTAGAGACTCGGGAGTTGGTTCATTGCACTCAGAAAAATCCTAGCTCCAAGCCCAACCCTAACCCTAGCTCCAACACTAACCCTAACCCTAACCCTAGCTCCAACCCTATTCCTAACCCTAACCCATGCATTCCTATGGGAAAAAATCAAATTTTTTTAGGAACGTCCTAGAGACTCGGGAGTTGGTTCATTGCACTCAGAAAAATCCTAGCTCCAAGCCCAACCCTAACCCTAGCTCCAACACTAACCCTAACTCCAACCCTAACCCTAACCCTAACCCTAGCTCCAACCCTAACCCTAACCCTAACCCATGCATTCCTATGGGAAAAAATCAAATTTTTTTAGGAACGTCCTAGAGACTCGGGAGTTGGTTCATTGCACTCAGAAAAATCCTAGCTCCAAGCCCAACCCTAACCCTAGCTCCAACACTAACCCTAACTCCAACCCTAACCCTAACCCTAACCCTAGCTCCAACCCTAATCCTAACCCTAACCCATGCATTCCTATGGGAAAAAATCAAATTTTTTTAGGAACGTCCTAGAGACTCGGGAGTTGGTTCATTGCACTCAGAAAAATCCTAGCTCCAAGCCCAACCCTAACCCTAGCTCCAACACTAACCCTAACTCCAACCCTAACCCTAACCCTAACCCTGGCTCCAACCCTAACCCTAACCCTAACCCATGCATTCCTATGGGAAAAAGTCAAATTTTTTTAGGAACGTCCTAGAGACTCGGGAGTTGGTTCATTGCACTGAGAAAAATCCTAGCTCCAAGCCCAACCCTAACCCTAGCTCCAACACTAACCCTAACTCCAACCCTAACCCTAACCCTAACCCTGGCTCCAACCCTAACCCTAACCCTAGCTCCAACCTTAACCCTAACCCTAACCCTTGCCCCAACCCTAACCCTAGCTCTAACCCTAACCCTAACCCTAGCTCCACCCTAATCCTAACCCTAACCCTAACCCTAGCTCCAACCCTAACCCTAACCCTAACCCATGCATTCCTATGGAAAAAAAATCAAATTTTATTAGGAATGTCCTAGAGACTCGGGAGTTGGTTCATTGCACTCAGAAAAATCCTAGGTCCAAGCCCAACCCTAACCCTAGCTCCAACACTAACCCTAACTCCAACCCTAACCCTAACCCTAACCCTAGCTCCAACCCTAACCCTAACCCTAACCCATGCATTCCTATGGGAAAAAATCAAATTTTTTAGGAACGTCCTAGAGACTCGGGAGTTGGTTCATTGCACTCAGAAAAATCCTAGCTCCAAGCCCAACCCTAACCCTAGCTCCAACACTAACCCTAACTCCAACCCTAACCCTAACCCTAACCCTAGCTCCAACCCTAATCCTAACCCTAACCCATGCATTCCTATGGGAAAAAAATCAAATTTTTTTAGGAACGTCCTAGAGACTCGGGAGTTGGTTCATTGCACTCAGAAAAATCCTAGCTCCAAGCCCAACCCTAACCCTAGCTCCAACACTAACCCTAACTCCAACCCTAACCCTAACCCTAACCCTGGCTCCAACCCTAACCCTAACCCTAACCCATGCATTCCTATGGGAAAAAGTCAAATTTTTTTAGGAACGTCCTAGAGACTCGGGAGTTGGTTCATTGCACTGAGAAAAATCCTAGCTCCAAGCCCAACCCTAACCCTAGCTCCAACACTAACCCTAACTCCAACCCTAACCCTAACCCTAACCCTGGCTCCAACCCTAACCCTAACCCTAGCTCCAACCTTAACCCTAACCCTAACCCTTGCCCCAACCCTAACCCTAGCTCTAACCCTAACCCTAACCCTAGCTCCACCCTAATCCTAACCCTAACCCTAACCCTAGCTCCAACCCTAACCCTATCCCTAACCCATGCATTCCTATGGAAAAAAAATCAAATTTTTTTAGGAACGTCCTAGAGACTCGGGAGTTGGTTCATTGCACTCAGAAAAATCCTAGGTCCAAGCCCAACCCTAACCCTAGCTCCAACACTAACCCTAACTCCAACCCTAACCCTAACCCTAACCCTAGCTCCAACCCTAACCCTAACCCTAACCCATGCATTCCTATGGGAAAAAATCAAATTTTTTAGGAACGTCCTAGAGACTCGGGAGTTGGTTCATTGCACTCAGAAAAATCCTAGCTCCAAGCCCAACCCTAACCCTAGCTCCAACACTAACCCTAACTCCAACCCTAACCCTAACCCTAACCCTAGCTCCAACCCTAACCCTAACCCTAACCCATGCATTCCTATGGGAAAAAATCAAATTTTTTTAGGAACGTCCTAGAGACTCGGGAGTTGGTTCATTGCACTCAGAAAAATCCTAGCTCCAAGCCCAACCCTAACCCTAGCTCCAACACTAACCCTAACTCCAACCCTAACCCTAACCCTAACCCTAGCTCCAACCCTAATCCTAACCCTAACCCATGCATTCCTATGGGAAAAAGTCAAATTTTTTTAGGAACGTCCTAGAGACTCGGGAGTTGGTTCATTGCACTCAGAAAAATCCTAGCTCCAAGCCCAACCCTAACCCTAGCTCCAACACTAACCCTAACCCTAACCCTAGCTCCAACCCTAACCCTAACCCTAACCCTAGCTCCAACCCTAACCCTAACCCTAACCCTAGCTCCAACCTTAACCGAGACAGGAGGTGGGGGTGGGTGGAACTCCATTCTGTCCTTGAGAAGCTTCCTCTCCACTATCTCTCCTTTGGCATTTTTGTATTTTGAGGCCCTTTCAAAGAGGCCAAATGTCTCATTAGATTTAAGCCACTTGATGTTTGGGAGGGCTATTCCGAGGGCTTGGGAAGCTGCAGGTGGATTCTCCCAGTACTTCTGCCAACCCTCCAAAATGATGCCAGAATCAGAGGCAGATGTTGGTGCTGGGCATGAAGTTTCAGGCCTAGTGTCCAGACACACAGCTGGAGTAAGCTCTCCCCAGGTGGTGAGCTTTGTGGAGACTGCCACCTCCGACGTGTCAAGGTAAGATTCTGATGAAGATAGACATCACAGAAAAAGATATGCATTTGATTGTTTTCTGCTGCCTACTAATAAACATCCTGTATTTTACCTGGATAACCATATTTTACCAAAATAATCCTACTGAGGTCATTTCAATCCTCTCCAGCATAAGTTTACCTGCAACAGCCAATAACTCAGCATCGGTTGCATAGCTAAGGTCCTGGTGAAGCTCTGAGTCGGCTTTTGGTGACGTCTGTTTCTGAAAATTAAATATGAAAAAAAAAAAAAACAGATTCCAGTTTACTTCTATGAGCCTCTTACCTACAGTGATATATACATCCGGTATTACTTCAGCACTGATTATTCAAAATATCATCCATTTCTAAGTATAAGGAATGAAAAGAGTCATCTAACCCCCAACCGCTTCTCAAGATGACATGTTACAGAGGGGAATTGTCTCGCATACTCCAACATTCGCTCCTTTTGCCACTGTAGAAGCTCAGCTTTTTCACCTTTCTTGCAGTACTCGGCAAGCAGCCACACGACCCAGCCAACATCGTTTTCCAGGAGCCATCTAAAGGACTGTCCAGCATACTTCCCCAAGGTCAGAACTAACTGCCCTTTCCACATTTCCCCACCAAGTGTCTTTGCAGCAGCCTCCGCCTTCACGGGATCCAGCCAGGTAGGGTCTACAACTTTCCTCGGAGCCTCTGTGACAGCCCTAGCTGCATCAGTACACTGCAGCCTGGCCTCTCCCTGCCTGTACAGAGGGATGCTTGGATACTGATGCAGCTTGATGTGGTTGTTCAGCTGGGGTTTGGTTGTGAAGCTTTTTCCACAAACATCACACTGGTTCTCCTTTGGTGCATGGATTTTCATGTGGCGTGTAAGGTTGGACTTTTCCGTGAAGACCTTGTCACATACACTGCACTTATTTACTCTGTCCATACCTGGTGAAGTGAAATATGAAGAAATATCAGTCATAATGTATTATGATGAATAGATAGATAATTATGGCAGTCCTATTTGCCTAAAAGCAACGTAGTATGATTTTTAAACAGCCTATTTTGCCAAAACCATGTGTATTCTTGTCCTAAGAGATGACCAGATTTCATTTAGTAGATTCGACTCAAATGGCTAACTATAATTGTTAAAACTCTTGGATTTAAACAGTCTTAGATTGACCAGTATCACATAACCCTGTTAAGAAACAAGAATAATAAACTAGGTGCAATTTAATGTACATGATGACACTGAAAGTTTCAACCCCTGTACATGACACTGCACACACAGACACTGTGTTCTTGTGACGCGGTCAGAAAATATTTATGCAGCCAGAAAGAAAACTACGAAAGTGGTTGGTCTGTTTTTCAATGTAGTTTTTTCTGTATTTCTCAGTAGTGTTTCCCTGTTAGTTTGCCGTGGCGGTGCTACTAGCTTACTCCAGTAGCTCGCGCATACTCATCCGCTGTGGGCGACACAGGCCGCTGTTCACGAAAGAGGTACGTTAACTTCGTAGCAGTACCACGGCCGGAAAAGTGCTTCATACAATACTTCCCACACATGCTCCCTTGATAAATTTACCTGTAGTCGTAAAAAGTCAAAAGAGATGGAGATCCAAGAGGTTAACTTGTCCGTTCGTGTTCAGTCAATCCGCTGTGGGCGACACAGGCCGCTGTTCACGAAAGAGGTACGTTAACTTCGTAGCAGTACCACGGCCGGAAAAGTGCTTCAAAAAACACTTCCCACACATGCTCCCTTGATAAACTTACCTGTAGTCGTAAAAAGTCAGAAGAGATGGAGATCCGAAAGGTTAACTTGTCCGTTCGTGTTCAGTCAATGCGGGCTATCAATCACTGTCTGTGAAACACTAGCAGTGACTGACAGACCGGCTGCTGCTCAATGATTGGACGCTGAGACTGCTCGACCTGCTCAACGTCGCTCAACCATTGGTCGCTGACTGCTCAACGTCGCTCAACCATTGGTCAATTTGAGGATCGGATAAGGACTTGGAGGAGAGTTTGCCTGGGAATACCAGGTGCTGTAAGCTTTTCTTTTCTTGTATCTTGTGCCGTGTTCTCTCTCCAAGAGGCTAGGATATGGGTCTTTGGGGAGCCTGGTCTTTAGCTTGGACCAATGCAAATACACTTGGAGATGAGCCTTCAAGATAAATGAAAGAAAGAGTCAAAAAAGCACAAAGAGCGGGAGGACTGAGATCTTGTCATGAAGCGGAGCAAAGGAGTGGAGCATGATGGACTGCAGAGATAGGCTGTAAAACTAAGCTTGACTGCGTATCCGGGTGTTTTCTTGAGCGACGCATTGTTCATTGAAAGTGAAATGCTGATTATAATTGAGAGAAGCACACAGGAGCACGTTCAAATAGCTCATTTGGAGCCTGTGTCATCGCTTACGGCCATACCACCCTGAACACGCCCGATCTCGTCCGATCTCGGAAGCTAAGCAGGGTCGGGCCTGGTTAGTACTTGGATGGGAGACCGCCTGGGAATACCAGGTGCTGTAAGCTTTTCTTTTCTTGTATCTTGTGCCGTGTTCTCTCTCCAAGAGGCTAGGATATGGGTCTTTGGGGAGCCTGGTCTTTAGCTTGGACCAATGCAAATACACTTGGAGATGAGCCTTCAAGATAAATGAAAGAAAGAGTCAAAAAAGCACAAAGAGCGGGAGGACTGAGATCTTGTCATGAAGCGGAGCAAAGGAGTGGAGCATGATGGACTGCAGAGATAGGCTGTAAAACTAAGCTTGACTGCGTATGCGGGTGTTTTCTTGAGCGACGCATTGTTCATTGAAAGTGAAATGCTGATTCTAATTGAGAGAACCACACAGGAGCATGTTCAAATAGCTCATTTGGAGCCTGTGTCATCGCTTACGGCCATACCACCCTGAACACGCCCATTTTTTTGGTGCATGCACACGGTAGTTTTGAGTCAGAGAGATTGTGAGGAAAGAAGTGAAAAAAGTTTTTTTTAGGTAAGTTAGATATTTGATCGTAAATAGTGGTAGGTATTTTGTATCTTTTTTTTGTTTTGTACCCCTGGCAGGGGTTTTCTACTGCCTGGGGGTGAGGAGTTTTGATCCTCTTTTTGTTTGGTGACGTGGCGTTCAGTGTGCTGCGGCACACAAACGCTGTCTCACAAGATGGACAAAATGGTAAAAGACACGGAAAACGGCAGAGAAATTCCCACGGTTTCGACTACGGACAGTTTAAGAGATGGAAAAAGGAATATGGAGAAAGAAAAGAAGAATGACGATCTACAATTGAATTATAGAAAGGAGTTGACAGTGATGCTGGAGCTGGAGGGACAAGAGAAAGTGACGGTGACGGAACTTCTGAGGGCGGTGAGGCTGGCGTGTGGAGCGGTGGTGGCATGCAGATATGTCGGGGAGAGGAAATACGAAGTCACGATGAACCATGGGAAAGGAAAAGAGAGACTGATGGAGGGTCTAAAGATTGGAGCTGTGAATGTGTGGGCGAGGGAGCTTTCAAATGACGAGCTGGTGGTCTCTTTTTTGAACCTGCCTGCTTACATCCCGGACGCGGACATTCAGAACAAACTACAAATGTGGGGAGTTTCAGCTGTATCCCCGATAAAAAGGAGAATGTGGCCCGGCACAAACATCGCCGACGGTACAAGATACTGTAAGGTAAAATTCACAAAAGACATCCAGTCACTGCCTTACTCGGCAAAATTTAATACTGCAACAGGTGCTGAATTTTTTAGGGTCATACATGACAGACAGGTGAAAGTATGCAGATTATGCATACAACCGGGCCATATTTTCAGAGAATGCCCAGAGTTTATATGTCATAAATGTGGGGAGCAGGGCCATTACGCACGGGAGTGTGCAAACGCACCAGTCAAGTGCACAATTTGTTTTAATGACATGGGGAGATGCATTTGCAGAAATTCTGAGAGCGAGGGTGGGGAACAACAACAGTGCTCTCCCACTAACGATGATCACATGAGTGGCGTCGAAAGTGAGGGAAACGGGGCAGATGAGACGTGCGTAATTGTGGCTGAAAGCTCTGTGGACATGGAGGAGGAACTCCAGGCTCGTGGGTCCCAAAGTGAGGGTTTCGAGCCGAGTCCAAGCTCAAGAGCCGCACAGAAAAATGTGCGAGGGAGGGAGACGGACGGGGCTCTGAGAGCGCGTGCTACGCCGGAGACCCCCGAAGCCCCTTCAGCCCTTGCAGAGGGTATTGAGTTTCTGCCACCGCGAAAAAAAGCGGCAAAGACAGGCAGCAGAGCGCAGCCGGTGGGGCCGGGAAGGGAAAACCTCGGCCCGTGTGAAAAGCTGAAGCCCACATCATCTCTGACAGAATCGGAATCGGATTTAGATGGTAAAGTGGTGGAAATTAGGAAGAAAAAAAAGGACAGGAAAAAACATGGAGAAGGAAAATTGACTGACCTAGATTGAGTCCAAATTTCGACTTCTCAGATTAATAGGAATGATTTATAGACCACTCTTCTCCTTTCTTATAATGTTCACAGCTATCTCCCTCAACATTAATGGTCTCTGCTCCTCACATAAAATGGTCTCTTTTTTCAACTCAACTCAACAAGACATTATTTGTCTACAGGAAACCGGCTGGTCACCTCAAACCCTTCTTCAAATACAAAAACTTTACTGTGGGAAGATCTTTGTGGGGTTTGGGGTGGGGAAAGCAGGGGGGGTAGCTGTTATGATAAATAATAACTTACTAGAACATAGTAAAGAGATTTATAAAGACAAAAGAGGTAAAATTTTAATTATAGATATCTTGTATAGAAATAAAACATATAGAATTATAAACTTTCATGGTGAAAACAACGAAAGGGAGAGATTATTTCAACTCAAAGAAATAGTAAAATGGATAAATGATAATACAATAATAGTAGGGGATTTCAACATAGTGCTGAACAAAATAGACTTATCATCAAACAATAAATTCAGAAATGACACAAGCAGAACACAATTACTGAAAATAATGCAAGAGCACAACCTGGTGGATTTATGGAGAATTAACAATACAAATAGCACCCACTTCTCCAGAAAACAGACAGTACTAGGAAAACTAAAACAATCAAGGATTGATCTTTTACTAGCTGCAAAAAACACTATTCAAGAAATTAACAATATACAGTATAAACCTAATGTATGGAGTGATCACGATATTTTACAATGGGAACAAGGCATAGATAATAAAACTAGAGGAGCTGGCATATGGTGTCTAAACTCCAGCATCCTAAATGACAAAGCTTTAATATATAAAATAAAAAATTTATTGGAAAACATCAAAGCTGAAACAGTTGAAAAAGAGAACATAACCGATTCATGGGATGACATAAAAAACAGAATAAAAAAAACCTGCATAAACTACAGCAAGAGGAAAAAATGGTTTGAAACCAGAGAAGAAATAAAATTAAAAAAATTTTTAGCAGATGAAACTATACTGCTAAACACTGACATACACAGATCATGTGAGCAATATGAAATTTACAAAGAACAATTAAGAAACATAGAAATAAAGAAGTGCAAAGGGGCAATCATTAGAAGCAAAGTGAAATATACAACAGAAGGTGAAAAATGCACTTCTTTTTTCTCGGCTTGGAAAAAAAGAAACAGAACAAATCATACATCAATCAACTAACAGACAATAAAGGACAAACGCTGTTTGAAACTGATGAAATCTTAGACCATACATATCAATTTTACAAACAGCTTTTCTCCAAACAGAAGGACTTAAAAGAAAAAGAAATACCGGAATATATAAAATGTATAAATAAAAAACTTGAAAGACAAGATAAAGACTGGTGTGATTCAGAAATTACTGAAGAAGAAATAAAAAACGCCATACAGGCGCTAAACAAAAATAAAAGTCCAGGTTCAGATGGACTGACTGCAGAGTTCTATGTGAAGTTCCAAGAGGAGCTTACACCGCTCCTGAATAAACTTTACAGAGATATGTTGGATAACAAAAGAGTGCCTGCAACGCTAACCGAAGGAATAATCTCGCTAATTTTCAAAAAAGGTGACAATAAACTTATCAAAAATTACCGCCCCATCAGTCTACTGAATACTGATTACAAAATCCTAACAAAAATTCTAGCAAATAGACTAAAACAGGTTTCGGGTTCCATCATAAATAGTACACAATCTTACAGCATACCAGGAAGAGACATCAGTGATTCCATATTGACCATAAAAGAAACAATACATAACATGCAGAAAGACAAAGGGTTTCTGCTCAGTATAGATCTTGAAAAAGCGTTTGACAGAGTTGATCACACTTTTCTTTTCAATATTCTACAGGCTTTTGGTTTCGGTTCAAAATTCATCAACTGGATAAAACTTCTTTACAATAATGCAAAAAGCTGTATTAAGGTCAATGGTTTCCTCACAGAATTTTTCACAATAAACAGATCAGTTAGACAAGGTTGCCCACTATCAGCACTACTCTATTCAATAGTAGCAGAACCCTTAGCTCTTCATATCCTACAGGACAAAGACATTAAAGGAATACCAACAGGTTACAACAGAACAACAAAAATAACCCAGTATGCAGACGACATAAACATCATGGTTTTAGACAGCCATAGTATCGATAAGGTTTTGAAACACATTCATGATTACGAGAAGGTAGCTGGAGCGAAAATGAACCTGGAAAAGAGCGAGATTATGTTTTGTGGATCAAATGTTGACAGCGTAAATAAATGGAACTTTGCAGAAGTAAACAAACCAAAAAGAATCCTGGGTGTTTATGTTGGGAAAAACGAAAATGAAGCAACAAGAACCAACTGGGAAATAGTGATTACCAAAACAAAAAATATTCTCAATCTCTGGAAAGCCAGAGGTTTAACACTAAAAGGAAGGGTAATTGTAACAAATGCACTAGTACTGTCCAAAATCAACCATATAATGGGGGTCTGTGAGTTGCCGCATTGGGCGCTAAATTCACTCAATAGTGTAATATCCTCCTTTTTGTGGAGAGGAAAGGGAAATCTGATCGCTCACAGAGTGCTAATTGCTAACAAAAGGGAGGGGGTTTAGGGCAGATTGATATTGGAGCCAAAAAAGATGCGCTCAGGGCAAAATTAATTAGTAAATTTCTAGATCCAAACAGGCACTATCCCTGGGAGGACGCGCTGGCAAGCCAATTGTCCAACTTCGGGCTGAGGGACGTACGCAATCTGTGTATACTTCACCCGGAGAAGGTAGTTGGTGAGCTTAAGCCGTTCTACCGGGAGATTGTTGAGGCATGGGGCAAATTGCTGCCCCACCTCATGCCGATATGCAGGAATAAAGAGGATGTGTTTCGATTACCCTTCCTTAAAAACCCTTGTTTTTTGCATAAGGGGAAAACAATAACGAGTTCACACCTGATGGAGGCTGGTCTGTTGTGGATCAGAGATATAATGAATGATGACTTTAGCGTCAAACTAGATTTTATTTTTGGTGTGCTAAAAAACAAAAATATTAATTTCAGAAAATGCAGCATAAGGTCAATTACGGAAAAAATAAAAAATACAGTAACTCTGTTTTGGGAAAGAATAATGCAGACAAAAGACATCTCGATGCAGAACGATGACTTGAATTTCCTCCTGTGCCAAAACAATAACCCGGTCCCAGTGCAAGAGATTAAAACAAAAGCATGGTACAAACTCCTCATAGCCGAAATCAAAAGAACTCCAACTACCGAAAAGATCTGGGCTCAAATCTTTCCGGGTTTTAACACCAAATCAATATGGACCAGTGGGGGAGGTCTCTTCACTCCCCCAACGCTACAACATCTAGATTTCAAAATTAAGCACAGGAGGATTTTCACAGGCATCGTTCTGCATCAAATCAACAAGGGAAAATACGAAAGAAAATGTAAAAAATGCAATGAACAGGATGAAGATTTGGAGCACCTCTTCTTGGATTGTAGTCTTGTAAGAGCCTTCTACTCCACAATACGGCGGACAATACAGAGCGCCTGCAATTTCCACTGTGGAAGTGACACAAAATGGACTTTGCTTTTTTTATTCGGACTAAAAAAGAATTCTGCACATCAGCATACTCACATCATCAACACCATCCTCAGCTACACAAGATTTTCAGTCTGGACTGTCAGGAACTATGCTTTATACGAAAACCGGACTCTGTCACTGCTTCCTTTTTTCAAAACCCTATTTCTGAACCATCTGAAAAACTGCTTCTTCGCCATCCCGGACACTTTCAATCAGCTTTTGAACACTGGACACACTCTTTTTACAGTACATCAAAACAATATCACACTTAATTTATGAAGCTCTTTTATTTTAATTTGCAGATTGTTTGGGTTCATATAATTTATGTTGTTTTTTTTTTTTCCAAAGGTTTTTTCTATTATGTTGTTTATTTTATTTTTATTGTTGACTGTGACTGTGATTTGTAAAGATGGAATTTTGTGAATATATTTTTGATAATAAAAGATAAAAAAAAAACACGCCCGATCTCGTCCGATCTCGGAAGCTAAGCAGGGTCGGGCCTGGTTAGTACTTGGATGGGAGACCGCCTGGGAATACCAGGTGCTGTAAGCTTTTCTTTTCTTGTATCTTGTGCCGTGTTCTCTCTCCAAGAGGCTAGGATATGGGTCTTTGGGGAGCCTGGTCTTTAGCTTGGACCAATGCAAATACACTTGGAGATGAGCCTTCAAGATAAATGAAAGAAAAAGTCAAAAAAGCACAAAGAGCGGGAGGACTGAGATCTTGTCATGAAGCGGAGCAAAGGAGTGGAGCATGATGGACTGCAGAGATAGGCTGTAAAACTAAGCTTGACTGCGTATGCGGGTGTTTTCTTGAGCGACGCATTGTTCATTGAAAGTGAAATGCTGATTATAATTGAGAGAAGCACACAGGAGCACGTTCAAATAGCTCATTTGGAGCCTGTGTCATCGCTTACGGCCATACCACCCTGAACACGCCCGATCTCGTCCGATCTCGGAAGCTAAGCAGGGTCGGGCCTGGTTAGTACTTGGATGGGAGACAGCCTGGGAATACCAGGTGCTGTAAGCTTTTCTTTTCTTGTATCTTGTGCCGTGTTCTCTCTCCAAGAGGCTAGGATATGGGTCTTTGGGGAGCCTGGTCTTTAGCTTGGACCAATGCAAATACACTTGGAGATGAGCCTTCAAGATAAATGAAAGAAAGAGTCAAAAAAGCACAAAGAGCGGGAGGACTGAGATCTTGTCATGAAGCGGAGCAAAGGAGTGGAGCATGATGGACTGCAGAGATAGGCTGTAAAACTAAGCTTGACTGCGTATGCGGGTGTTTTCTTGAGCGACGCATTGTTCATTGAAAGTGAAATGCTGATTATAATTGAGAGAAGCACACAGGAGCACGTTCAAATAGCTCATTTGGAGCCTGTGTCATCGCTTACGGCCATACCACCCTGAACACGCCCGATCTCGTCCGATCTCGGAAGCTAAGCAGGGTCGGGCCTGGTTAGTACTTGGATGGGAGACCGCCTGGGAATACCAGGTGCTGTAAGCTTTTCTTTTCTTGTATCTTGTGCCGTGTTCTCTCTCCAAGAGGCTAGGATATGGGTCTTTGGGGAGCCTGGTCTTTAGCTTGGACCAATGCAAATACACTTGGAGATGAGCCTTCAAGATAAATGAAAGAAAGAGTCAAAAAAGCACAAAGAGCGGGAGGACTGAGATCTTGTCATGAAGCGGAGCAAAGGAGTGGAGCATGATGGACTGCAGAGATAGGCTGTAAAACTAAGCTTGACTGCGTATCCGGGTGTTTTCTTGAGCGACGCATTGTTCATTGAAAGTGAAATGCTGATTATAATTGAGAGAACCACACAGGAGCACGTTCAAATAGCTCATTTGGAGCCTGTGTCATCGCTTACGGCCATACCACCCTGAACACGCCCGATCTCGTCCGATCTCGGAAGCTAAGCAGGGTCGGGCCTGGTTAGTACTTGGATGGGAGACCGCCTGGGAATACCAGGTGCTGTAAGCTTTTCTTTTCTTGTATCTTGTGCTGTGTTCTCTCTCCAAGAGGCTAGGATATGGGTCTTTGGGGAGCCTGGTCTTTAGCTTGGACCAATGCAAATACACTTGGAGATGAGCCTTCAAGATAAATGAAAGAAAGAGTCAAAAAAGCACAAAGAGCGGGAGGACTGAGATCTTGTCATGAAGCGGAGCAAAGGAGTGGAGCATGATGGACTGCAGAGATAGGCTGTAAAACTAAGCTTGACTGCGTATCCGGGTGTTTTCTTGAGCGACGCATTGTTCATTGTTACGCCCCACCCTTAGGCGGCCCTATGGGGCGAACAACTATCCTCAACTTTGTACCCATCAAATTAACAAAACACCTTCAAAAGTTTAACACGTGATTTATTGTGACAAAATTGCAAACTAGACACAAAGCACCCACAACACAAATGAGAGGCAGCAGGGCAGCAGTTCCCCACCAAATGCCTCTCCAGACTGCAGGCAGCTCTGGGCTTTTAGACTCCCAGCACCAGGTGAGTCTGATTGTCACTCAAGTGATTTCACCTGGGCAGCTATGGAGAGACAAAAGGGGAAAAACACATGCAAAAACAAACACACAGCCGTAACATCATTGAAAGTGAAATGCTGATTATAATTGAGAGAAGCACACAGGAGCACGTTCAAATAGCTCATTTGGAGCCTGTGTCATCGCTTACGGCCATACCACCCTGAACACGCCCCATCTCGTCCGATCTTGGAAGCTAAGCAGGGTCGGGCCTGGTTAGTACTTGGATGGGAGACCGCCTGGGAATACCAGGTGCTGTAAGCTTTTCTTTTCTTGTATCTTGTGCCGTGTTCTCTCTCCAAGAGGCTAGGATATGGGTCTTTGGGGAGCCTGGTCTTTAGCTTGGACCAATGCAAATACACTTGGAGATGAGCCTTCAAGATAAATGAAAGAAAGAGTCAAAAAAGCACAAAGAGCGGGAGGACTGAGATCTTGTCATGAAGCGGAGCAAAGGAGTGGAGCATGATGGACTGCAGAGATAGGCTGTAAAACTAAGCTTGACTGCGTATCCGGGTGTTTTCTTGAGCGACGCATTGTTCATTGTTACGCCCCACCCTTAGGCGGCCCTATGGGGCGAACAACTATCCTCAACTTTGTACCCATCAAATTAACAAAACACCTTCAAAAGTTTAACACGTGATTTATTGTGACAAAATTGCAAACTAGACACAAAGCACCCACAACACAAATGAGAGGCAGCAGGGCAGCAGTTCCCCACCAAATGCCTCTCCAGACTGCAGGCAGCTCTGGGCTTTTAGACTCCCAGCACCAGGTGAGTCTGATTGTCACTCAAGTGATTTCACCTGGGCAGCTATGGAGAGACAAAAGGGGAAAAACACATGCAAAAACAAACACACAGCCGTAACATCATTGAAAGTGAAATGCTGATTATAATTGAGAGAAGCACACAGGAGCACGTTCAAATAGCTCATTTGGAGCCTGTGTCATCGCTTACGGCCATACCACCCTGAACACGCCCGCTCTCGTCCGATCTCGGAAGCTAAGCAGGGTCGGGCCTGGTTAGTACTTGGATGGGAGACCGCCTGGGAATACCAGGTGCTGTAAGCTTTTCTTTTCTTGTATCTTGTGCCGTGTTCTCTCTCCAAGAGGCTAGGATATGGGTCTTTGGGGAGCCTGGTCTTTAGCTTGGACCAATGCAAATACACTTGGAGATGAGCCTTCAAGATAAATGAAAGAAAAAGTCAAAAAAGCACAAAGAGCGGGAGGACTGAGATCTTGTCATGAAGCGGAGCAAAGGAGTGGAGCATGATGGACTGCAGAGATAGGCTGTAAAACTAAGCTTGACTGCGTATCCGGGTGTTTTCTTGAGCGACGCATTGTTCATTAAAGTGAAATGCTGATTATAATTGAGAGAACCACACAGGAGCACGTTCGAATAGCTCATTTGGAGCCTGTGTCATCGCTTACGGCCATACCACCCTGAACACGCCCGATCTCGTCTGATCTCGGAAGCTAAGCAGGGTCGGGCCTGGTTAGTACTTGGATGGGAGACCGCCTGGGAATACCAGTTGCTGTAAGCTTTTCTTTTCTTGTATCTTGTGCCGTGTTCTCTCTCCAAGAGGCTAGGATATGGGTCTTTGGGGAGCCTGGTCTTTAGCTTGGACCAATGCAAATACACTTGGAGATGAGCCTTCAAGATAAATGAAAGAAAGAGTCAAAAAAGCACAAAGAGCGGGAGGACTGAGATCTTGTCATGAAGTGGAGCAAAGGAGTGGAGCATGATGGACTGCAGAGATAGGCTGTAAAACTAAGCTTGACTGCGTATCCGGGTGTTTTCTTGAGCGACGCATTGTTCATTAAAGTGAAATGCTGATTATAATTGAGAGAACCACACAGGAGCACGTTCGAATAGCTCATTTGGAGCCTGTGTGATCGCTTACGGCCATACCACCCTGAACACGCCCGATCTCGTCCGATCTCGGAAGCTAAGCAGGGTCGGGCCTGGTTAGTACTTGGATGGGAGACCGCCTGGGAATACCAGGTGCTGTAAGCTTTTCTTTTCTTGTATCTTGTGCCGTGTTCTCTCTCCAAGAGGCTAGGATATGGGTCTTTGGGGAGCCTGGTCTTTAGCTTGGACCAATGCAAATACACTTGGAGATGAGCCTTCAAGATAAATGAAAGAAAAAGTCAAAAAAGCACAAAGAGCGGGAGGACTGAGATCTTGTCATGAAGTGGAGCAAAGGAGTGGAGCATGATGGACTGCAGAGATAGGCTGTAAAACTAAGCTTGACTGCGTATCCGGGTGTTTTCTTGAGCGACGCATTGTTCATTAAAGTGAAATGCTGATTATAATTGAGAGAACCACACAGGAGCACGTTCGAATAGCTCATTTGGAGCCTGTGTCATGGCTTACGGCCATACCACCCTGAACACGCCCGATCTCGTCCGATCTCGGAAGCTAAGCAGGGTCGGGCCTGGTTAGTACTTGGATGGGAGACCGCCTGGGAATACCAGGTGCTGTAAGCTTTTCTTTTCTTGTATCTTGTGCCGTGTTCTCTCTCCAAGAGGCTAGGATATGGGTCTTTGGGGAGCCTGGTCTTTAGCTTGGACCAATGCAAATACACTTGGAGATGAGCCTTCAAGATAAATGAAAGAAAAAGTCAAAAAAAGCACAAAGAGCGGGAGGACTGAGATCTTGTCATGAAGCGGAGCAAAGGAGTGGAGCATGATGGACTGCAGAGATAGGCTGTAAAACTAAGCTTGATTGCGTATCCGGGTGTTTTCTTGAGCGACGCATTGTTCATTAAAGTGAAATGCTGATTATAATTGAGAGAACCACACAGGAGCACGTTCGAATAGCTCATTTGGAGCCTGTGTCATCGCTTACGGCCATACCACCCTGAACACGCCCGATCTCGTCCGATCTCGGAAGCTAAGCAGGGTCGGGCCTGGTTAGTACTTGGATGGGAGACCGCCTGGGAATACCAGGTGCTGTAAGCTTTTCTTTTCTTGTATCTTGTGCCGTGTTCTCTCTCCAAGAGGCTAGGATATGGGTCTTTGGGGAGCCTGGTCTTTAGCTTGGACCAATGCAAATACACTTGGAGATGAGCCTTCAAGATAAATGAAAGAAAAAGTCAAAAAAGCACAAAGAGCGGGAGGACTGAGATCTTGTTATGAAGTGGAGCAAAGGAGTGGAGCATGATGGACTGCAGAGATAGGCTGTAAAACTAAGCTTGACTGCGTATCCGGGTGTTTTCTTGAGCGAGGCATTGTTCATTAAAGTGAAATGCTGATTATAATTGAGAGAACCACACAGGAGCACGTTCGAATAGCTCATTTGGAGCCTGTGTCATCGCTTACGGCCATACCACCCTGAACACGCCCGATCTCGTCCGATCTCGGAAGGTAAGCAGGGTCGGGCCTGGTTAGTTCTTGGATGGGAGACCGCCTGGGAATACCAGGTGCTGTAAGCTTTTCTTTTCTTGTATCTTGTGCCGTGTTCTCTCTCCAAGAGGCTAGGATATGGGTCTTTGGGGAGCCTGGTCTTTAGCTTGGACCAATGCAAATACACTTGGAGATGAGCCTTCAAGATAAATGAAAGAAAGAGTCAAAAAAGCACAAAGAGCGGGAGGACTGAGATCTTGTCATGAAGCGGAGCAAAGGAGTGGAGCATGATGGACTGCAGAGATAGGCTGTAAAACTAAGCTTGACTGCGTATCCGGGTGTTTTCTTGAGCGACGCATTGTTCATTGAAAGTGAAATGCTGATTATAATTGAGAGAACCACACAGGAGCACGTTCAAATAGCTCATTTGGAGCCTGTGTCATCGCTTACGGCCATACCACCCTGAACACGCCCCATCTCGTCCGATCTCGGAAGCTAAGCAGGGTCGGGCCTGGTTAGTACTTGGATGGGAGACCGCCTGGGAATACCAGGTGCTGTAAGCTTTTCTTTTCTTGTATCTTGTGCCGTGTTCTCTCTCCAAGAGGCTAGGATATGGGTCTTTGGGGAGCCTGGTCTTTAGCTTGGACCAATGCAAATACACTTGGAGATGAGCCTTCAAGATAAATGAAAGAAAGAGTCAAAAAAGCACAAAGAGCGGGAGGACTGAGATCTTGTCATGAAGCGGAGCAAAGGAGTGGAGCATGATGGACTGCAGAGATAGGCTGTAAAACTAAGCTTGACTGCGTATGCGGGTGTTTTCTTGAGCGACGCATTGTTATTGAAAGTGAAATGCTGATTCTAATTGAGAGAACCACACAGGAGCATGTTCAAATAGCTCATTTGGAGCCTGTGTCATCGCTTACGGCCATACCACCCTGAACACGCCCGATCTCGTCCGATCTCGGAAGCTAAGCAGGGTCGGGCCTGGTTAGTACTTGGATGGGAGACCGCCTGGGAATACCAGGTGCTGTAAGCTTTTCTTTTCTTGTATCTTGTGCCGTGTTCTCTCTCCAAGAGGCTAGGATATGGGTCTTTGGGGAGCCTGGTCTTTAGCTTGGACCAATGCAAATACACTTGGAGATGAGCCTTCAAGATAAATGAAAGAAAGAGTCAAAAAAGCACAAAGAGCGGGAGGACTGAGATCTTGTCATGAAGCGGAGCAAAGGAGTGGAGCATGATGGACTGCAGAGATAGGCTGTAAAACTAAGCTTGACTGCGTATGCGGGTGTTTTCTTGAGCGACGCATTGTTCATTGAAAGTGAAATGCTGATTCTAATTGAGAGAACCACACAGGAGCACGTTCAAATAGCTCATTTGGAGCCTGTGTCATCGCTTACGGCCATACCACCCTGAACACGCCCGATCTCGTCCGATCTCGGAAGCTAAGCAGGGTCGGGCCTGGTTAGTACTTGGATGGGAGACCGCCTGGGAATACCAGGTGCTGTAAGCTTTTCTTTTCTTGTATCTTGTGCCGTGTTCTCTCTCCAAGAGGCTAGGATATGGGTCTTTGGGGAGCCTGGTCTTTAGCTTGGACCAATGCAAATACACTTGGAGATGAGCCTTCAAGATAAATGAAAGAAAGAGTCAAAAAAGCACAAAGAGCGGGAGGACTGAGATCTTGTCATGAAGCGGAGCAAAGGAGTGGAGCATGATGGACTGCAGAGATAGGCTGTAAAACTAAGCTTGACTGCGTATGCGGGTGTTTTCTTGAGCGACGCATTGTTCATTGAAAGTGAAATGCTGATTCTAATTGAGAGAACCACACAGGAGGACGTTCAAATAGCTCATTTGGAGCCTGTGTCATCGCTTACGGCCATACCACCCTGAACACGCCCGATCTCGTCCGATCTCGGAAGCTAAGCAGGGTCGGGCCTGGTTAGTACTTGGATGGGAGACCGCCTGGGAATACCAGGTGCTGTAAGCTTTTCTTTTCTTGTATCTTGTGCCGTGTTCTCTCTCCAAGAGGCTAGGATATGGGTCTTTGGGGAGCCTGGTCTTTAGCTTGGACCAATGCAAATACACTTGGAGATGAGCCTTCAAGATAAATGAAAGAAAAAGTCAAAAAAGCACAAAGAGCGGGAGGACTGAGATCTTGTCATGAAGCGGAGCAAAGGAGTGGAGCATGATGGACTGCAGAGATAGGCTATAAAACTAAGCTTGACTGCGTATCCGGGTGTTTTCTTGAGCGACGCATTGTTCATTGAAAGTGAAATGCTGATTATAATTGAGAGAACCACACAGGAGCACGTTGAAATAGCTCATTTGGAGCCTGTGTCATCGCTTACGGCCATACCACCCTGAACACGCCCGATCTCGTCCGATCTCGGAAGCTAAGCAAGGTCGGGCCTGGTTAGTACTTGGATGGGAGACCGCCTGGGAATACCAGGTGCTGTAAGCTTTTCTTTTCTTGTATCTTGTGCCGTGTTCTCTCTCCAAGAGGCTAGGATATGGGTCTTTGGGGAGCCTGGTCTTTAGCTTGGACCAATGCAAATACACTTGGAGATGAGCCTTCAAGATAAATGAAAGAAAGAGTCAAAAAAGCACAAAGAGCGGGAGGACTGAGATCTTGTCATGAAGCGGAGCAAAGGAGTGGAGCATGATGGACTGCAGAGATAGGCTGTAAAACTAAGCTTGACTGCGTATCCGGGTGTTTTCTTGAGCGACGCATTGTTCATTGTTACGCCCCACCCTTAGGCGGCCCTATGGGGCGAACAACTATCCTCAACTTTGTACCCATCAAATTAACAAAACACCTTCAAAAGTTTAACACGTGATTTATTGTGACAAAATTGCAAACTAGACACAAAGCACCCACAACACAAATGAGAGGCAGCAGGGCAGCAGTTCCCCACCAAATGCCTCTCCAGACTGCAGGCAGCTCTGGGCTTTTAGACTCCCAGCACCAGGTGAGTCTGATTGTCACTCAAGTGATTTCACCTGGGCAGCTATGGAGAGACAAAAGGGGAAAAACACATGCAAAAACAAACACACAGCCGTAACATCATTGAAAGTGAAATGCTGATTATAATTGAGAGAAGCACACAGGAGCACGTTCAAATAGCTCATTTGGAGCCTGTGTCATCGCTTACGGCCATACCACCCTGAACACGCCCGCTCTCGTCCGATCTCGGAAGCTAAGCAGGGTCGGGCCTGGTTAGTACTTGGATGGGAGACCGCCTGGGAATACCAGGTGCTGTAAGCTTTTCTTTTCTTGTATCTTGTGCCGTGTTCTCTCTCCAAGAGGCTAGGATATGGGTCTTTGGGGAGCCTGGTCTTTAGCTTGGACCAATGCAAATACACTTGGAGATGAGCCTTCAAGATAAATGAAAGAAAAAGTCAAAAAAGCACAAAGAGCGGGAGGACTGAGATCTTGTCATGAAGCGGAGCAAAGGAGTGGAGCATGATGGACTGCAGAGATAGGCTGTAAAACTAAGCTTGATTGCGTATCCGGGTGTTTTCTTGAGCGACGCATTGTTCATTAAAGTGAAATGCTGATTATAATTGAGAGAACCACACAGGAGCACGTTCGAATAGCTCATTTGGAGCCTGTGTCATCGCTTACGGCCATACCACCCTGAACACGCCCGATCTCGTCTGATCTCGGAAGCTAAGCAGGGTCGGGCCTGGTTAGTACTTGGATGGGAGACCGCCTGGGAATACCAGGTGCTGTAAGCTTTTCTTTTCTTGTATCTTGTGCCGTGTTCTCTCTCCAAGAGGCTAGGATATGGGTCTTTGGGGAGCCTGGTCTTTAGCTTGGACCAATGCAAATACACTTGGAGATGAGCCTTCAAGATAAATGAAAGAAAGAGTCAAAAAAGCACAAAGAGCGGGAGGACTGAGATCTTGTCATGAAGTGGAGCAAAGGAGTGGAGCATGATGGACTGCAGAGATAGGCTGTAAAACTAAGCTTGACTGCGTATCCGGGTGTTTTCTTGAGCGACGCATTGTTCATTAAAGTGAAATGCTGATTATAATTGAGAGAACCACACAGGAGCACGTTCGAATAGCTCATTTGGAGCCTGTGTGATCGCTTACGGCCATACCACCCTGAACACGCCCGATCTCGTCCGATCTCGGAAGCTAAGCAGGGTCGGGCCTGGTTAGTACTTGGATGGGAGACCGCCTGGGAATACCAGGTGCTGTAAGCTTTTCTTTTCTTGTATCTTGTGCCGTGTTCTCTCTCCAAGAGGCTAGGATATGGGTCTTTGGGGAGCCTGGTCTTTAGCTTGGACCAATGCAAATACACTTGGAGATGAGCCTTCAAGATAAATGAAAGAAAAAGTCAAAAAAGCACAAAGAGCGGGAGGACTGAGATCTTGTCATGAAGTGGAGCAAAGGAGTGGAGCATGATGGACTGCAGAGATAGGCTGTAAAACTAAGCTTGACTGCGTATCCGGGTGTTTTCTTGAGCGACGCATTGTTCATTAAAGTGAAATGCTGATTATAATTGAGAGAACCACACAGGAGCACGTTCGAATAGCTCATTTGGAGCCTGTGTCATGGCTTACGGCCATACCACCCTGAACACGCCCGATCTCGTCCGATCTCGGAAGCTAAGCAGGGTCGGGCCTGGTTAGTACTTGGATGGGAGACCGCCTGGGAATACCAGGTGCTGTAAGCTTTTCTTTTCTTGTATCTTGTGCCGTGTTCTCTCTCCAAGAGGCTAGGATATGGGTCTTTGGGGAGCCTGGTCTTTAGCTTGGACCAATGCAAATACACTTGGAGATGAGCCTTCAAGATAAATGAAAGAAAAAGTCAAAAAAAGCACAAAGAGCGGGAGGACTGAGATCTTGTCATGAAGCGGAGCAAAGGAGTGGAGCATGATGGACTGCAGAGATAGGCTGTAAAACTAAGCTTGATTGCGTATCCGGGTGTTTTCTTGAGCGACGCATTGTTCATTAAAGTGAAATGCTGATTATAATTGAGAGAACCACACAGGAGCACGTTCGAATAGCTCATTTGGAGCCTGTGTCATCGCTTACGGCCATACCACCCTGAACACGCCCGATCTCGTCCGATCTCGGAAGCTAAGCAGGGTCGGGCCTGGTTAGTACTTGGATGGGAGACCGCCTGGGAATACCAGGTGCTGTAAGCTTTTCTTTTCTTGTATCTTGTGCCGTGTTCTCTCTCCAAGAGGCTAGGATATGGGTCTTTGGGGAGCCTGGTCTTTAGCTTGGACCAATGCAAATACACTTGGAGATGAGCCTTCAAGATAAATGAAAGAAAAAGTCAAAAAAGCACAAAGAGCGGGAGGACTGAGATCTTGTTATGAAGTGGAGCAAAGGAGTGGAGCATGATGGACTGCAGAGATAGGCTGTAAAACTAAGCTTGACTGCGTATCCGGGTGTTTTCTTGAGCGAGGCATTGTTCATTAAAGTGAAATGCTGATTATAATTGAGAGAACCACACAGGAGCACGTTCGAATAGCTCATTTGGAGCCTGTGTCATCGCTTACGGCCATACCACCCTGAACACGCCCGATCTCGTCCGATCTCGGAAGGTAAGCAGGGTCGGGCCTGGTTAGTTCTTGGATGGGAGACCGCCTGGGAATACCAGGTGCTGTAAGCTTTTCTTTTCTTGTATCTTGTGCCGTGTTCTCTCTCCAAGAGGCTAGGATATGGGTCTTTGGGGAGCCTGGTCTTTAGCTTGGACCAATGCAAATACACTTGGAGATGAGCCTTCAAGATAAATGAAAGAAAGAGTCAAAAAAGCACAAAGAGCGGGAGGACTGAGATCTTGTCATGAAGCGGAGCAAAGGAGTGGAGCATGATGGACTGCAGAGATAGGCTGTAAAACTAAGCTTGACTGCGTATCCGGGTGTTTTCTTGAGCGACGCATTGTTCATTGAAAGTGAAATGCTGATTATAATTGAGAGAACCACACAGGAGCACGTTCAAATAGCTCATTTGGAGCCTGTGTCATCGCTTACGGCCATACCACCCTGAACACGCCCCATCTCGTCCGATCTCGGAAGCTAAGCAGGGTCGGGCCTGGTTAGTACTTGGATGGGAGACCGCCTGGGAATACCAGGTGCTGTAAGCTTTTCTTTTCTTGTATCTTGTGCCGTGTTCTCTCTCCAAGAGGCTAGGATATGGGTCTTTGGGGAGCCTGGTCTTTAGCTTGGACCAATGCAAATACACTTGGAGATGAGCCTTCAAGATAAATGAAAGAAAGAGTCAAAAAAGCACAAAGAGCGGGAGGACTGAGATCTTGTCATGAAGCGGAGCAAAGGAGTGGAGCATGATGGACTGCAGAGATAGGCTGTAAAACTAAGCTTGACTGCGTATGCGGGTGTTTTCTTGAGCGACGCATTGTTATTGAAAGTGAAATGCTGATTCTAATTGAGAGAACCACACAGGAGCATGTTCAAATAGCTCATTTGGAGCCTGTGTCATCGCTTACGGCCATACCACCCTGAACACGCCCGATCTCGTCCGATCTCGGAAGCTAAGCAGGGTCGGGCCTGGTTAGTACTTGGATGGGAGACCGCCTGGGAATACCAGGTGCTGTAAGCTTTTCTTTTCTTGTATCTTGTGCCGTGTTCTCTCTCCAAGAGGCTAGGATATGGGTCTTTGGGGAGCCTGGTCTTTAGCTTGGACCAATGCAAATACACTTGGAGATGAGCCTTCAAGATAAATGAAAGAAAGAGTCAAAAAAGCACAAAGAGCGGGAGGACTGAGATCTTGTCATGAAGCGGAGCAAAGGAGTGGAGCATGATGGACTGCAGAGATAGGCTGTAAAACTAAGCTTGACTGCGTATGCGGGTGTTTTCTTGAGCGACGCATTGTTCATTGAAAGTGAAATGCTGATTCTAATTGAGAGAACCACACAGGAGCACGTTCAAATAGCTCATTTGGAGCCTGTGTCATCGCTTACGGCCATACCACCCTGAACACGCCCGATCTCGTCCGATCTCGGAAGCTAAGCAGGGTCGGGCCTGGTTAGTACTTGGATGGGAGACCGCCTGGGAATACCAGGTGCTGTAAGCTTTTCTTTTCTTGTATCTTGTGCCGTGTTCTCTCTCCAAGAGGCTAGGATATGGGTCTTTGGGGAGCCTGGTCTTTAGCTTGGACCAATGCAAATACACTTGGAGATGAGCCTTCAAGATAAATGAAAGAAAGAGTCAAAAAAGCACAAAGAGCGGGAGGACTGAGATCTTGTCATGAAGCGGAGCAAAGGAGTGGAGCATGATGGACTGCAGAGATAGGCTGTAAAACTAAGCTTGACTGCGTATGCGGGTGTTTTCTTGAGCGACGCATTGTTCATTGAAAGTGAAATGCTGATTCTAATTGAGAGAACCACACAGGAGGACGTTCAAATAGCTCATTTGGAGCCTGTGTCATCGCTTACGGCCATACCACCCTGAACACGCCCGATCTCGTCCGATCTCGGAAGCTAAGCAGGGTCGGGCCTGGTTAGTACTTGGATGGGAGACCGCCTGGGAATACCAGGTGCTGTAAGCTTTTCTTTTCTTGTATCTTGTGCCGTGTTCTCTCTCCAAGAGGCTAGGATATGGGTCTTTGGGGAGCCTGGTCTTTAGCTTGGACCAATGCAAATACACTTGGAGATGAGCCTTCAAGATAAATGAAAGAAAAAGTCAAAAAAGCACAAAGAGCGGGAGGACTGAGATCTTGTCATGAAGCGGAGCAAAGGAGTGGAGCATGATGGACTGCAGAGATAGGCTATAAAACTAAGCTTGACTGCGTATCCGGGTGTTTTCTTGAGCGACGCATTGTTCATTGAAAGTGAAATGCTGATTATAATTGAGAGAACCACACAGGAGCACGTTGAAATAGCTCATTTGGAGCCTGTGTCATCGCTTACGGCCATACCACCCTGAACACGCCCGATCTCGTCCGATCTCGGAAGCTAAGCAAGGTCGGGCCTGGTTAGTACTTGGATGGGAGACCGCCTGGGAATACCAGGTGCTGTAAGCTTTTCTTTTCTTGTATCTTGTGCCGTGTTCTCTCTCCAAGAGGCTAGGATATGGGTCTTTGGGGAGCCTGGTCTTTAGCTTGGACCAATGCAAATACACTTGGAGATGAGCCTTCAAGATAAATGAAAGAAAGAGTCAAAAAAGCACAAAGAGCGGGAGGACTGAGATCTTGTCATGAAGCGGAGCAAAGGAGTGGAGCATGATGGACTGCAGAGATAGGCTGTAAAACTAAGCTTGACTGCGTATCCGGGTGTTTTCTTGAGCGACGCATTGTTCATTGAAAGTGAAATGCTGATTATAATTGAGAGAACCACACAGGAGCACGTTGAAATAGCTCATTTGGAGCCTGTGTCATCGCTTACGGCCATACCACCCTGAACACGCCCGATCTCGTCCGATCTCGGAAGCTAAGCAGGGTCGGGCCTGGTTAGTACTTGGATGGGAGACCGCCTGGGAATACCAGGTGCTGTAAGCTTTTCTTTTCTTGTATCTTGTGCCGTGTTCTCTCTCCAAGAGGCTAGGATATGGGTCTTTGGGGAGCCTGGTCTTTAGCTTGGACCAATGCAAATACACTTGGAGATGAGCCTTCAAGATAAATGAAAGAAAGAGTCAAAAAAGCACAAAGAGCGGGAGGACTGAGATCTTGTCATGAAGCGGAGCAAAGGAGTGGAGCATGATGGACTGCAGAGATAGGCTGTAAAACTAAGCTTGACTGCGTATCCGGGTGTTTTCTTGAGCGACGCATTGTTCATTGTTACGCCCCACCCTTGGGGCGAACAACTATCCTCAACTTTGTACCCATCAAATTAACAAAACACCTTCAAAAGTTTAACACGTGATTTATTGTGACAAAATTGCAAACTAGACACAAAGCACCCACAACACAAATGAGAGGCAGCAGGGCAGCAGTTCCCCACCAAATGCCTCTCCAGACTGCAGGCAGCTCTGGGCTTTTAGACTCCCAGCACCAGGTGAGTCTGATTGTCACTCAAGTGATTTCACCTGGGCAGCTATGGAGAGACAAAAGGGGAAAAACACATGCAAAAACAAACACACAGCCGTAACATCATTGAAAGTGAAATGCTGATTCTAATTGAGAGAAGCACACAGGAGCACGTTCAAATAGCTCATTTGGAGCCTGTGTCATCGCTTACGGCCATACCACCCTGAACACGCCCGCTCTCGTCCGATCTCGGAAGCTAAGCAGGGTCGGGCCTGGTTAGTACTTGGATGGGAGACCGCCTGGGAATACCAGGTGCTGTAAGCTTTTCTTTTCTTGTATCTTGTGCCGTGTTCTCTCTCCAAGAGGCTAGGATATGGGTCTTTGGGGAGCCTGGTCTTTAGCTTGGACCAATGCAAATACACTTGGAGATGAGCCTTCAAGATAAATGAAAGAAAGAGTCAAAAAAGCACAAAGAGCGGGAGGACTGAGATCTTGTCATGAAGCGGAGCAAAGGAGTGGAGCATGATGGACTGCAGAGATAGGCTGTAAAACTAAGCTTGATTGCGTATCCGGGTGTTTTCTTGAGCGACGCATTGTTCATTGAAAGTGAAATGCTGATTATAATTGAGAGAACCACACAGGAGCACGTTCGAATAGCTCATTTGGAGCCTGTGTCATCGCTTACGGCCATACCACCCTGAACACGCCCGATCTCGTCTGATCTCGGAAGCTAAGCAGGGTCGGGCCTGGTTAGTACTTGGATGGGAGACCGCCTGGGAATACCAGGTGCTGTAAGCTTTTCTTTTCTTGTATCTTGTGCCGTGTTCTCTCTCCAAGAGGCTAGGATATGGGTCTTTGGGGAGCCTGGTCTTTAGCTTGGACCAATGCAAATACACTTGGAGATGAGCCTTCAAGATAAATGAAAGAAAGAGTCAAAAAAGCACAAAGAGCGGGAGGACTGAGATCTTGTCATGAAGTGGAGCAAAGGAGTGGAGCATGATGGACTGCAGAGATAGGCTGTAAAACTAAGCTTGACTGCGTATGCGGGTGTTTTCTTGAGCGACGCATTGTTCATTAAAGTGAAATGCTGATTATAATTGAGAGAACCACACAGGAGCACGTTCGAATAGCTCATTTGGAGCCTGTGTGATCGCTTACGGCCATACCACCCTGAACACGCCCGATCTCGTCCGATCTCGGAAGCTAAGCAGGGTCGGGCCTGGTTAGTACTTGGATGGGAGACCGCCTGGGAATACCAGGTGCTGTAAGCTTTTCTTTTCTTGTATCTTGTGCCGTGTTCTCTCTCCAAGAGGCTAGGATATGGGTCTTTGGGGAGCCTGGTCTTTAGCTTGGACCAATGCAAATACACTTGGAGATGAGCCTTCAAGATAAATGAAAGAAAAAGTCAAAAAAGCACAAAGAGCGGGAGGACTGAGATCTTGTCATGAAGTGGAGCAAAGGAGTGGAGCATGATGGACTGCAGAGATAGGCTGTAAAACTAAGCTTGACTGCGTATCCGGGTGTTTTCTTGAGCGACGCATTGTTCATTAAAGTGAAATGCTGATTATAATTGAGAGAACCACACAGGAGCACGTTCGAATAGCTCATTTGGAGCCTGTGTCATGGCTTACGGCCATACCACCCTGAACACGCCCATTTTTTTGGTGCATGCACACGGTAGTTTTGAGTCAGAGAGATTGTGAGGAAAGAAGTGAAAAAAGTTTTTTTTTAGGTAAGTTAGATATTTGAGCGTAGATAGTGGTAGGTATTTTGTATCTTTTTTTTTGTTTTGTACCCCTGGCAGGGGTTTTTCTACTGCCTGGGGGTGAGGAGTTTTGATCCTCTTTTTGTTTGGTGACGTGGCGTTCAGTGTGCTGCGGCACACAAACGCTGACTCACAAGATGGACAACATGGTAAAAGACACGGAAAACGGCAGAGAAATTCCCACGGTTTCGACTACGGACAGTTTAAGAGATGGAAAAAGGAATATGGAGAAAGAAAAGAAGAATGACGATCTACAATTGAATTATAGAAAGGAGTTGACAGTGATGCTGGAGCTGGAGGGACAAGAGAAAGTGACGGTGACGGAACTTCTGAGGGCGGTGAGGCTGGCGTGTGGAGCGGTGGTGGCATGCAGATATGTCGGGGAGAGGAAATACGAAGTCACGATGAACCATGGGAAAGGAAAAGAGAGACTGATGGAGGGTCTAAAGATTGGAGCTGTGAATGTGTGGGCGAGGGAGCTTTCAAATGACGAGCTGGTGGTCTCTTTTTTGAACCTGCCTGCTTACATCCCGGACTCGGACATTCAGAACAAATTACAAATGTGGGGAGTTTCAGCTGTATCCCCGATAAAAAGGAGAATGTGGCCTGGCACAAACATCGCCGACGGTACAAGATACTGTAAGGTAAAATTCACAAAAGACATCCAGTCACTGCCTTATTCGGCAAAATTCAATACTGCAACAGGTGCCGAATTTTTCAGGGTTATACATGACAGACAGGTGAAAGTATGCAGACTATGCATACAACCGGGACATATTTTCAGAGAATGCCCAGAGTTTATATGTCATAAATGTGGGGAGCAGGGCCATTATGCACGGGAGTGTGCAAACGCACCAGTCAAGTGCACAATTTGTTTTAATGAAATGGGGAGATGCATTTGCAGAAATTCTGAGAGTGAGGGTGGGGAACAACAACAGTGCTCTCCCACTAACGATGATCACATGAGTGGCGTCGAAAGTGAGGGAAACGGGGAAGATGAGACGTGCGTAATTGTGGCTGAAAGCTCTGTGGACATGGAGGAGGAACTCCAGGCTCGTGGGTCCCAAAGTGAGGGTTTCGAGCCGAGTCCAAGCTCAAAAGCCGCACAGAAAAATGTGCGAGGGAGGGAGACGGACGGGGCTCTGAGAGCGCGTGCTACGCCGGAGACCCCCGAAGCCCCTTCAGCCCTTGCAGAGGGAATTGAGTTTCTGCCACCGCGAAAAAAAGCGGCAAAGACAGGCAGCAGAGCGCAGCCGGTGGGGCCGGGAAGGGAAAACCTCGGCCCGTGTGAAATGCTGAAGCCCACATCATCCCTGACAGAATCAGAATCGGATTTAGATGGTAAAGTGGTGGAAATTAGGAAGAAAAAGAAGGACAGGAAAAAACATGGAGAAGGGAAATTGATTGACCTAGATTGAGTCCAAATTTTTGACTTCTCAGATTAATAGGAATGATTTATAGACCACTCTTCTCCTTTCTTATAATGTTCACAGCTATCTCCCTCAACATTAATGGTCTCTGCTCCTCACATAAAATGGTCTCTTTTTTCAACTCAACTCAACAAGACATTATTTGTCTACAGGAAACCGGCTGGTCACCTCAAACCCTTCTTCAAATACAAAAACTTTACTGCGGGAAGATCTTTGTGGGGTTTGGGGTGGGGAAAGCAGGGGGGGTAGCTGTTATGATAAATAATAACTTACTAGAACATAGTAAAGAGATTTATAAAGACAAAAGAGGTAAAATTTTAATTATAGATATCTTGTATAGAAATAAAACATATAGAATTATAAACTTTCATGGTGAAAACAACGAAAGGGAGAGATTATTTCAACTCAAAGAAATAGTAAAATGGATAAATGATAATACAATAATAGTAGGGGATTTCAACATAGTGCTGAACAAAATAGACTTATCATCAAACAATATATTCAGAAATGACACAAGCAGAACACAATTACTAAAAATAATGCAAGAGCACAACCTAGTGGATTTATGGAGAATTAACAATACAAATAGCACCCACTTCTCCAGAAAACAGACAGTACTAGGAAAACTAAAACAATCAAGGATTGATCTTTTACTAGCTGCAAAAAACACTATTCAAGAAATTAACAATATACAGTATAAACCTAATGTATGGAGTGATCACGATATTTTACAATGGGAACAAGGCATAGATAATAAAACTAGAGGAGCTGGCACATGGTGTCTAAACTCCAGCATCCTAAATGACAAAGCTTTAATATATAAAATAAAAAATTTATTGGAAAACATCAAAGCTGAAACAGTTGAAAAAGAGAACATAACCGATTCATGGGATGACATAAAAAACAGAATAAAAAAAACCTGCATAAACTACAGCAAGAGGAAAAAATGGTTTGAAACCAGAGAAGAAATAAAATTAAAAAAATTTTTAGCAGATGAAACTGTACTGCTAAACACTGACATACACAGATCATGTGAGCAATATGAAATTTACAAAGAACAATTAAGAAACATAGAAATAAAGAAGTGCAAAGGAGCAATCATTAGAAGCAAAGTGAAATACACAACAGAAGGTGAAAAATGCACTTCTTTTTTTCTCGGCTTGGAAAAAAAGAAACAGAACAAATCATACATCAATCAACTAACAGACAATAAAGGACAAATGCTGTTTGAAACTGATGAAATCTTAGACCATACATATCAATTTTACAAACAGCTTTTCTCCAAACAGATGGACTTAAAAGAAAAAGAAATACCGGAATACATAAAATGTATAAATAAAAAACTTGAAAGACAAGATAAAGACTGGTGTGATTCAGAAATTACTGAAGAAGAAATAAAAAACGCCATACAGGCGCTAAACAAAAATAAAAGTCCAGGTTCAGATGGACTGACTGCTGAGTTCTATGTGAAGTTCCAAGAGGAGCTTACACCGCTCCTGAATAAACTCTACAGAGATATGTTGGATAACAAAAGAGTGCCTGCAACTCTAACTGAAGGAATAATCTCGCTAATTTTCAAAAAAGGGGACAATAAACTTATCAAAAATTACCGCCCCATCAGTCTACTGAACACTGATTACAAAATCCTAACAAAAATTCTAGCAAATAGACTAAAACAGGTTTCGGGTTCCATCATAAATAGTACACAATCTTACAGCATACCAGGAAGAGACATCAGTGATTCCATATTGACCATAAAAGAAACAATACATAACATGCAGAAAGACAAAGGGTTTCTGCTCAGTATAGATCTTGAAAAAGCGTTTGACAGAGTTGATCACACTTTTCTTTTCAATATTCTACAGGCTTTTGGTTTCGGTTCAAAATTCATCAACTGGATAAAACTTCTCTATAATAATGCAAAAAGCTGTATTAAGGTCAATGGTTTCCTCACAGAATTTTTCACAATAAACAGATCAGTTAGACAAGGTTGCCCACTATCAGCACTACTCTATTCCATAGTAGCAGAACCCTTAGCTCTTCATATCCTACAGGACAAAGACATTAAAGGAATACCTACAGGTTACAACAGAACAACAAAAATAACCCAGTATGCAGACGACATAAACATCATGGTTTTAGACAGTCATAGCATCGATAAGGTTTTGAAACACATTCATGAATACGAGAAGGTAGCTGGAGCGAAAATGAACCTGGAAAAGAGCGAGATTATGTTTTGTGGATCAAATGTTGACAGTGGAAATAAATGGAACTTTGCAGAAGTAAACAAGCCAAAAAGAATCCTGGGTGTTTATGTTGGGAAAAACGAAAATGAAGCAACAAGAACCAACTGGGAAATAGTGATTACCAAAACAAAAAATATTCTAAATCTCTGGAAAGCCAGAGGTTTAACACTAAAAGGAAGGGTAATTGTAACAAATGCACTAGTACTGTCCAAAATCAACCATATAATGGGGGTCTGTGAGTTGCCGCAGTGGGCGCTAAATTCACTCAATAGTGTAATATCCTCCTTTTTGTGGAGAGGAAAGGGAAATTTGATCGCTCACAGAGTGCTAATTGCTAACAAAAGGGAGGGGGGTTTAGGGCAGATTGATATTGGAGCCAAAAAAGATGCGCTCAGGGCAAAATTAATTAGTAAATTTCTAGATCCAAACAGGCACTATCCCTGGGAGGACGCGCTGGCAAGCCAATTGTCCAACTTCGGGCTGAGGGACGTACGCAATCTGTGTATACTTCACCCGGAGAAGGTAGTTGGTGAGCTTAAGCCGTTCTACCGGGAGATTGTTGAGGCATGGGGCAAATTGCTGCCCCACCTCATGCCGATATGCAGGAATAAAGAGGATGTGTTTCGATTACCCTTCCTTAAAAACCCTTGTTTTTTGCATAAGGGGAAAACAATAACGAGTTCACATCTGATGGAGGCTGGTCTGTTGTGGATCAGAGATATAATGGATGACGACTTTAGCGTCAAACTTGATTTTATTTTTGGTGTGCTAAAAAACAAAAATATTAACTTCAGAAAATGCAGCATAAGGTCAATTACGGAAAAAATAAAAAATACAGTAACTCTGTTTTGGGAAAGAATAATGCAGACAAAAGACATCTCGATGCAGAACGATGACTTGAATTTCCTCCTGTGCCAAAACAATAACCCGGTCTCCGTGCAAGAAATTAAAACAAAAGCATGGTACAAACTCCTCATAGCCGAAATCAAAAGAACTCCGACTACCGAAAAGATCTGGGCTCAAATCTTTCCGGGTTTTAACACCAAATCAATATGGACCAGTGGGGGAGGTCTCTTCACTCCCCCAACGCTACAACATCTAGATTTCAAAATTAAGCACAGGAGGATTTTCACAGGCATCGTTCTGCATCAAATCAACAAGGGAAAATACGAAAGAAAATGTAAAAAATGCAATGAACAGGATGAAGATTTGGAGCACCTCTTCTTGGATTGTAGCCTCGTAAGAGCCTTCTACTCCACAATACGGCGGACAATACAAAGCGCCTGCAATTTCCACTGTGGAAGTGACACGGAATGGACTTTGCTTTTTTTATTCGGACTAAAAAAGAATTCTGCACATCAGCATACTCACATTATCAACACCATCCTCAGCTACACAAGATTTTCAGTCTGGACTGTCAGGAACTATGCTTTATACGAAAACCGGACTCTGTCACTGCTCCCTTTTTTCAAAACCCTATTTCTGAACCATCTGAAAAACTGCTTCTTCGCCAACCCGGACACTTTCAATCAGCTTCTGAACACTGGACACAATCTTTTTACAGTACATCAAAACAGTATCACACTTAATTTATGAAGCTCTTTTATTTTAATTTGCAGATTGTTTGGGTTCATATAATTTATGTTGTTTTTTTCCAAAGGTTTTTTCTATTCTGTTGTTTATTTTATTTTTATTGTTGACTGTGACTGTGATTTGTAAAGATGGAATTGTGTGAATATATTTTTGATAATAAAAGATAAAAAAAAAAAAAAAAACACGCCCGATCTCGTCCGATCTCGGAAGCTAAGCAGGGTCGGGCCTGGTTAGTACTTGGATGGGAGACCGCCTGGGAATACCAGGTGCTGTAAGCTTTTCTTTTCTTGTATCTTGTGCCGTGTTCTCTCTCCAAGAGGCTAGGATATGGGTCTTTGGGGAGCCTGGTCTTTAGCTTGGACCAATGCAAATACACTTGGAGATGAGCCTTCAAGATAAATGAAAGAAAAAGTCAAAAAAAGCACAAAGAGCGGGAGGACTGAGATCTTGTCATGAAGCGGAGCAAAGGAGTGGAGCATGATGGACTGCAGAGATAGGCTGTAAAACTAAGCTTGATTGCGTATCCGGGTGTTTTCTTGAGCGACGCATTGTTCATTAAAGTGAAATGCTGATTATAATTGAGAGAACCACACAGGAGCACGTTCGAATAGCTCATTTGGAGCCTGTGTCATCGCTTACGGCCATACCACCCTGAACACGCCCGATCTCGTCCGATCTCGGAAGCTAAGCAGGGTCGGGCCTGGTTAGTACTTGGATGGGAGACCGCCTGGGAATACCAGGTGCTGTAAGCTTTTCTTTTCTTGTATCTTGTGCCGTGTTCTCTCTCCAAGAGGCTAGGATATGGGTCTTTGGGGAGCCTGGTCTTTAGCTTGGACCAATGCAAATACACTTGGAGATGAGCCTTCAAGATAAATGAAAGAAAAAGTCAAAAAAGCACAAAGAGCGGGAGGACTGAGATCTTGTCATGAAGTGGAGCAAAGGAGTGGAGCATGATGGACTGCAGAGATAGGCTGTAAAACTAAGCTTGACTGCGTATCCGGGTGTTTTCTTGAGCGACGCATTGTTCATTAAAGTGAAATGCTGATTATAATTGAGAGAACCACACAGGAGCACGTTCGAATAGCTCATTTGGAGCCTGTGTCATCGCTTACGGCCATACCACCCTGAACACGCCCGATCTCGTCCGATCTCGGAAGGTAAGCAGGGTCGGGCCTGGTTAGTTCTTGGATGGGAGACCGCCTGGGAATACCAGGTGCTGTAAGCTTTTCTTTTCTTGTATCTTGTGCCGTGTTCTCTCTCCAAGAGGCTAGGATATGGGTCTTTGGGGAGCCTGGTCTTTAGCTTGGACCAATGCAAATACACTTGGAGATGAGCCTTCAAGATAAATGAAAGAAAGAGTCAAAAAAGCACAAAGAGCGGGAGGACTGAGATCTTGTCATGAAGCGGAGCAAAGGAGTGGAGCATGATGGACTGCAGAGATAGGCTGTAAAACTAAGCTTGACTGCGTATCCGGGTGTTTTCTTGAGCGACGCATTGTTCATTGAAAGTGAAATGCTGATTCTAATTGAGAGAACCACACAGGAGCACGTTCAAATAGCTCATTTGGAGCCTGTGTCATCGCTTACGGCCATACCACCCTGAACACGCCCGATCTCGTCCGATCTCGGAAGCTAAGCAGGGTCGGGCCTGGTTAGTACTTGGATGGGAGACCGCCTGGGAATACCAGGTGCTGTAAGCTTTTCTTTTCTTGTATCTTGTGCCGTGTTCTCTCTCCAAGAGGCTAGGATATGGGTCTTTGGGGAGCCTGGTCTTTAGCTTGGACCAATGCAAATACACTTGGAGATGAGCCTTCAAGATAAATGAAAGAAAAAGTCAAAAAAGCACAAAGAGCGGGAGGACTGAGATCTTGTCATGAAGCGGAGCAAAGGAGTGGAGCATGATGGACTGCAGAGATAGGCTATAAAACTAAGCTTGACTGCGTATCCGGGTGTTTTCTTGAGCGACGCATTGTTCATTGAAAGTGAAATGCTGATTATAATTGAGAGAACCACACAGGAGCACGTTGAAATAGCTCATTTGGAGCCTGTGTCATCGCTTACGGCCATACCACCCTGAACACGCCTGATCTCGTCCGATCTCGGAAGCTAAGCAAGGTCGGGCCTGGTTAGTACTTGGATGGGAGACCGCCTGGGAATACCAGGTGCTGTAAGCTTTTCTTTTCTTGTATCTTGTGCCGTGTTCTCTCTCCAAGAGGCTAGGATATGGGTCTTTGGGGAGCCTGGTCTTTAGCTTGGACCAATGCAAATACACTTGGAGATGAGCCTTCAAGATAAATGAAAGAAAGAGTCAAAAAAGCACAAAGAGCGGGAGGACTGAGATCTTGTCATGAAGCGGAGCAAAGGAGTGGAGCATGATGGACTGCAGAGATAGGCTGTAAAACTAAGCTTGACTGCGTATCCGGGTGTTTTCTTGAGCGACGCATTGTTCATTGAAAGTGAAATGCTGATTATAATTGAGAGAACCACACAGGAGCACGTTGAAATAGCTCATTTGGAGCCTGTGTCATCGCTTACGGCCATACCACCCTGAACACGCCCGATCTCGTCCGATCTCGGAAGCTAAGCAGGGTCGGGCCTGGTTAGTACTTGGATGGGAGACCGCCTGGGAATACCAGGTGCTGTAAGCTTTTCTTTTCTTGTATCTTGTGCCGTGTTCTCTCTCCAAGAGGCTAGGATATGGGTCTTTGGGGAGCCTGGTCTTTAGCTTGGACCAATGCAAATACACTTGGAGATGAGCCTTCAAGATAAATGAAAGAAAAAGTCAAAAAAGCACAAAGAGCGGGAGGACTGAGATCTTGTCATGAAGCGGAGCAAAGGAGTGGAGCATGATGGACTGCAGAGATAGGCTGTAAAACTAAGCTTGACTGCGTATCCGGGTGTTTTCTTGAGCGACGCATTGTTCATTGAAAGTGAAATGCTGATTATAATTGAGAGAACCACACAGGAGCACGTTGAAATAGCTCATTTGGAGCCTGTGTCATCGCTTACGGCCATACCACCCTGAACACGCCCCATCTCGTCCGATCTTGGAAGCTAAGCAGGGTCGGGCCTGGTTAGTACTTGGATGGGAGACCGCCTGGGAATACCAGGTGCTGTAAGCTTTTCTTTTCTTGTATCTTGTGCCGTGTTCTCTCTCCAAGAGGCTAGGATATGGGTCTTTGGGGAGCCTGGTCTTTAGCTTGGACCAATGCAAATACACTTGGAGATGAGCCTTCAAGATAAATGAAAGAAAGAGTCAAAAAAGCACAAAGAGCGGGAGGACTGAGATCTTGTCATGAAGCGGAGCAAAGGAGTGGAGCATGATGGACTGCAGAGATAGGCTGTAAAACTAAGCTTGACTGCGTATCCGGGTGTTTTCTTGAGCGACGCATTGTTCATTGAAAGTGAAATGCTGATTATAATTGAGAGAAGCACACAGGAGCACGTTCAAATAGCTCATTTGGAGCCTGTGTCATCGCTTACGGCCATACCACCCTGAACACGCCCGCTCTCGTCCGATCTCGGAAGCTAAGCAGGGTCGGGCCTGGTTAGTACTTGGATGGGAGACCGCCTGGGAATACCAGGTGCTGTAAGCTTTTCTTTTCTTGTATCTTGTGCCGTGTTCTCTCTCCAAGAGGCTAGGATATGGGTCTTTGGGGAGCCTGGTCTTTAGCTTGGACCAATGCAAATACACTTGGAGATGAGCCTTCAAGATAAATGAAAGAAAGAGTCAAAAAAGCACAAAGAGCGGGAGGACTGAGATCTTGTCATGAAGCGGAGCAAAGGAGTGGAGCATGATGGACTGCAGAGATAGGCTGTAAAACTAAGCTTGACTGCGTATCCGGGTGTTTTCTTGAGCGACGCATTGTTCATTGAAAGTGAAATGCTGATTATAATTGAGAGAACCACACAGGAGCACGTTCAAATAGCTCATTTGGAGCCTGTGTCATCGCTTACGGCCATACCACCCTGAACACGCCCGATCTCGTCCCATCTCGGAAGCTAAGCAGGGTCGGGCCTGGTTAGTACTTGGATGGGAGACCGCCTGGGAATACCAGGTGCTGTAAGCTTTTCTTTTCTTGTATCTTGTGCCGTGTTCTCTCTCCAAGAGGCTAGGATATGGGTCTTTGGGGAGCCTGGTCTTTAGCTTGGACCAATGCAAATACACTTGGAGATGAGCCTTCAAGATAAATGAAAGAAAGAGTCAAAAAAGCACAAAGAGCGGGAGGACTGAGATCTTGTCATGAAGCGGAGCAAAGGAGTGGAGCATGATGGACTGCAGAGATAGGCTGTAAAACTAAGCTTGACTGCGTATCCGGGTGTTTTCTTGAGCGACGCATTGTTCATTGAAAGTGAAATGCTGATTATAATTGAGAGAACCACACAGGAGCACGTTCAAATAGCTCATTTGGAGCCTGTGTCATCGCTTACGGCCATACCACCCTGAACACGCCCCATCTCGTCCGATCTCGGAAGCTAAGCAGGGTCGGGCCTGGTTAGTACTTGGATGGGAGACCGCCTGGGAATACCAGGTGCTGTAAGCTTTTCTTTTCTTGTATCTTGTGCCGTGTTCTCTCTCCAAGAGGCTAGGATATGGGTCTTTGGGGAGCCTGGTCTTTAGCTTGGACCAATGCAAATACACTTGGAGATGAGCCTTCAAGATAAATGAAAGAAAGAGTCAAAAAAGCACAAAGAGCGGGAGGACTGAGATCTTGTCATGAAGCGGAGCAAAGGAGTGGAGCATGATGGACTGCAGAGATAGGCTGTAAAACTAAGCTTGACTGCGTATCCGGGTGTTTTCTTGAGCGACGCATTGTTCATTGTTACGCCCCACCCTTAGGCGGCCCTATGGGGCGAACAACTATCCTCAACTTTGTACCCATCAAATTAACAAAACACCTTCAAAAGTTTAACACGTGATTTATTGTGACAAAATTGCAAACTAGACACAAAGCACCCACAACACAAATGAGAGGCAGCAGGGCAGCAGTTCCCCACCAAATG